CCCTAACCCTAACCCTAACCCTAACCCTAACCCTAACCCTAACCCTAACCCTAACCCTAACCCTAACCCTAACCCTAACCCTAACCCTAACCCTAACCCTAACCCTAACCCTAACCCTAACCCTAACCCTAACCCTAACCCTAACCCTAACCCTAACCCTAACCCTAACCCTAACCCTAACCCTAACCCTAACCCTAACCCTAACCCTAACCCTAACCCTAACCCTACGAACAGAAGATAACTATTTACGCAAAAACCTATCATAAGACCAAAATAACTAACTAATCGTTCATGGAATATAAAAAAAGAAAAGAGGAAAAGAACAAAGCTATTAACCTTTTAAGTTACTTATTTATATTTAGATATGGTTTAATAAGTTAAGGCAGTAGCCATGTAGTTATCCACGTTTATCCATGTCTTAACAAACCGAAGCGAGAACTAATATGAACTACACGGTAAAAAGCTGCCTAAGTTCTTGCCTCCCCGCCGTAGACACTACCTTTTAACCAAACGTGTGTGCTTTGCCCATGTTCTTCTTGATAATCGCCCAAGCTGGACCAACGCGACGGCCTTTCTCCGCTTCAAACTCATCGAAAACCTGTTTAGCCTGCCTAATCGCGACTGTCTCCTCCTTAGCCTCTAATCCATTGATCGTCTCGTTCACAAACTGTTCCACCGGCATGCCGGGATTGAAGTTCGGGTCCCATCCCGGCTGCCCATCGTGGAGTTCAGCTACAGTAGTCAGCGATTTGGCTTGACAGTAATCGTTTTAAGGACAACTTACTCTGGACCAGGGGCACGACTATCTCCACCACGTTAATCCTATGTTCGGGGTTCTGCTTGAATTGCTCCCGGATACATAAAATGAATGCATGCAGGGCAGCTTTTGATGCGGAATAATTCAGCACCATGGGGTATGGTACAGACATGAGACTTGTGGTCGTGCTATGATGGGCGGTATTAGAAAGGGGCTATAGTTGGTATGTGTTGGGTTATCGGATAAAATAGCATACTACATGAAAGCAACTTCCTTGTTAAGGCTGTTGGCCTGGAAGAATGGCACAAAAGCATGGGTAAGAGCAACCATGCTGGTATAGTTGGTGGTGATCTCCTTTTGGATGTTGCCCATGTCCACGGTGTGTGGTTTGCTAAAGTCCATTACATACTGCACGCCAGCATTCAAGATAATGCAGTCGAGATCGGGGTGCTGTTGAACTACGCTGAGATCACCAAGTTCAGCATATGAGGCGAAACAACGGTTTCTACAGGAAATGACAGAATAAACTCACTTATGAGCAAATAAATGAGCCTTGTCGATTTCACTGATATCGAATGCAATCGTGGCGACCTTGGAATCACCATGTTGTGCGAGGAAAGAATCTAGACGAGTTTGGCGACGGCCAACAGCGACAACGAAGACTCCTCTCTGCACGAGCTTCTGGGCAAGCTCCCAACCAATGCCACTGGTGGCGCCAATGAGGAGAACTTTATTATAAGGGAACGATGCCATTGTTGTCGCGTTGAAGGATGAACCAAAAGGTATAGCTTTGAGTATAGGTAAGTAGGGTTGGTGACTATGTTTTATAGGGGAAGACTACTACTAGGTTGAGTAGTTGGGCCTAACTCTGAGTTGTGACCTCATCGATTTATGAAATATCTACCAGCAAAGTATGTGGCCAGGTCGGCGCCGGAATTTCCGGAAATAGGTGAATGGTGTTGTATCCCCGCGGACTTGGTTTTAAATTCCGCGACATTGTTGGCCTTCGTTGGTGGATGTACGTGGTTGAATACCTAGGCACCAAAGATACACCCTATGCGACGAAGGTAATGAAATGGGTCTCTCATCGCACCCATATGGCATAGATTTGCCAATACTTAGTGATTCAAAAGTCTCCTAACTGCGTACTTACTTAGCTACTTACTTATCCACATAGTGTAACACAGTTAGCAAATTAGAGGTGATCTCGGTGTGAGGTGCGAGGTGCGATGATAGGACTTATATTTATCAGGAAAAGGGGTGGCTTATGAGTTTACGGAAACGACATTACCCAAGGATAAATATCCTACATACCTATGTAAACTTCACGACAACTAACAGCCACCGTGATGGCTCGGACCGGTAATAAAAACCAGGAGGTATTCACGTCAACTTGCTGCCTTATAATCGAACATCAGTGTGAAGTTCTCGTGATTTATAAGCAGTAAAGAATCCATCACTGTCCGTCGCTATACGATGTTGTTGAACTTGAGGCCTCTGGAGCTCCTTTTCCGTGGTAGGAATGTCGAGCCTGACCGGCGCATTTCTTATTCTTCTAGTTCCTCTTGTAGGAGCTAAGCGCGAGGCAGGAGGCAGATGGTAGCCTGTGGCAAAGTTTTGGCTGGGCGTTTTCGCCATCCAATAATATGTATGCCATGATGGTCATTTTTAGCTGTGTACATAATAACGTCTTCTCTTCTTCTTCCGTACTGTTTACGTCCAGGCATTCTAATACCCCAAGATTATGTATGGCATGGACGAGCACGCTATTCTTGTCGCCTACAGGATATCGTGTTATTAGTTGCTTCATATGTTGTCGTTGAACGAACATGTGGCCAACGCTGGGTCGTATATATCTAAGAGATGCTGGCCAGCCAAGTTTGGTATCCCAAGGCTTCTCTGGGCTTCTCTGGGGATGATGGAACAAGCTTGGGTAGATATGGTGCATATTTTTAACGGCCGATTCATCTTGTAAGTACATCTACGTCATTGGTATATCAGTAATTCATTGTTCATTGATTCATTCAAATCTTGCATCTTACATGTATGCAATAAATAATAAACTGGATATTACATAATTGGTATGTAGTTATTCTGGTGGCACTGATGCCTACTACCTAGGTACTCTGTATGTGAGGTACGAATAATACTGAAGTATCATTAGTTAATGTGTAATGGCTAGGATAGAATGCATGACAGGGGTATGCGTACTGCTGTATTGTACCTGTACTTGTAGTTAATTACAATCTGGAACTGGAATACAACATTGAATGTGCAATACAACTTACCAGGTACCTGTCTTGGCCGTTTTAGCACAGCCTCAGAAGGTGACGCGCATTCCGCATAACCCATTAACTACCTACCTAGGGTACCTAAAGTTGCGAACGACGAACGAACATCTGTTTTACGCGCAACTTCAAGTTTTAATTTATTGTTACCTACCCTAGGCACCTCAACGAACTTACATCGACAATTCGTGAACTCATATCTCCTATTCCGCCAACGATTATACCTACCGGCGCATTAGTGTATATCTTGCTGCCTAGTACCTAGTAGTTAGCTACGTGACCGCTGCTACCATCTCAAGTGACGAATTGCGAATTACGAGTTGCGAGTTGCGATACATCATAAAAACACCATCATCTATACTCTGTCGCATAAACCAAACCACCCAAAATGTGCTTGATATTTACCTGCGGCGAGCACACCTTTCGCAAGGAAGTCGAAGGCTACGAGGGCGTCGTCTGCCAGTGCCACAACTGCGGCAACTACGCCGGTCATGTCATCAAGAGCAATCCATGGTTCACTTTTTGCTTCATAGTAAGTCATTTACCCTTCAACGCCTAGCTACCTAACTTACCTAGCTGCCTGCTGTACATTCAAATATTCATTCCGAGCAACTCCGATGCCTTCATTCTTGAATGTAAGCTAATAATCACTTAGCCAGTCATTCCGCTTTCCGTCCACGGCTACCACGACGTCGTCTGCCACATCTGCAACTTCGCGCAACCCGTCGAGAACCGTCCGGATGTCCAGGCTATGAAGCGCGGCGGCGAGGGAGGAAACAATGTGCCTATGCAGAACCAAGCTCCTCCGCCACAGCAGGCAGGCGCCCCGCCGGCTGGTTGGGGACAAGGACAAGGACAGGCTCCACCACAGGGTCAAGCGCCTATGCGATATGGCTAAGATGATGAACAAGTTCCGAACTATGCGACGTAGGAGGGCTCGGTTGATGGAAGTAATGGTTTTGATAAAATTCAAGGGAAGAGGCGGCTGGGGGGAAAGCAAGCTGAAAGCTGTTTGGTTGAGTTGAGTTTTGAGTCGCATCACAACCGGAGTTTGATGATTCATTTCTTTTTCTTGCTGTGCTATTAGGATATCCCGCTTTAGGCGTTTCGAGACGATGAGCTGATGAATACGCGATGGATTTGTGCCTTCCAGATATGAGATGGAGAGCTTATTTCTGCGAAGTTTAGGGTTGTAACTTGAGATACCTCGGCTTGTTTTACCTATATCAGCTTGATGGGGAAAGGTTACAAGCAAGTTGTTGTGTAAGAATCTGATGTTGATGATCTTACTTCACGGAAGGAATTGACAAGTCGTTATCTACCTACCTAGCTAGGAGAAATAAAGTCAATACTGTTCAGCTCTCACCCGTCTTGGTAATCGTTCTCGTCGTTGTCGAGAGGCCACGCATGTATGGATGGTATTAGCTCTCTTATTTCTCTAGTAGTCGCATATCGTTTCTCATTGTATTAATTACCTAGTACTAAGCCACGCATGATTTCTTTTCACAGATACCCGAGCCCCCTTCCCTTTCCAGTACGGATTACATTGGGAAGACAGACTAAAAAGTCTTTCAAGGATGTCCCATCCCCACACTTTCATTTCAACACAGGCTGCCACCCCTTTCGCCCAACATACCCCTTGACACCCTCATCCCTAAGCACCTCAGCACCAGTCCGCCCCGTCAAAACACTACGTTCAACTTCTACGCCGCGGACGTAAAACGGGTACGCCAGCCTGCCAGAGTTTTCGTCTACCTCCTTTCCCTTTACGCCAATAATTTTACCCTCCTTCTCCGCCTCCCAAACCACCCGCCCTTCTTTCCGACGCTTCACGAACCCACACGCGGTTCGGTCGAGAGATAGATACCACCGGCGCTGATGCACGCTTCCTATCGAGTTATCCGCGCCGCTGTACGCGTTCGTACGGCGCACCTCCTCGTCCTCTAGCTCGCGAATCTCGCGCTCCATCGCTGAGATTGCCTTATCATCTCCTTCTCCCGCAGCCGGTGGCGCGTTCCCGATTTCCGAGGCATCTCCTCCTCTTCCTGAGGTAGATTCCGAGTCGGAACTTGTGGCAGCTTGCTTCCTTGTTGTCTCCTCCGCTTTTGCCATGCGCCCCCCTCGTCGTCGCCTCCTCGTGGGTGTACGCCCGCTCTTTATACGGCCCGCGGCGTCTTCTTCTCTGGTTAACCGTAAGTTCAACACGTAATCATGCGGTAGCCGTGCCGCGCCGTGGAGGCGGAGGCGGATTTTCCGCGACTGAAACGCGCGGTGCAATTTCTCCTGTTCAGTCAACCTTGGTGATACATCGCCGTCATCTTCCTCATTGTCAGACGAGGACGACTGCATCAAGCTCGAGTTAGCATGGGGAAGTACGCTGTACGTCCCCATGTCCCAAATTAGCAGGGAACCGGTCGACATGGAAGCTGTTTCTATGAGGTGGTTCTAAGGATGTTAATATACCTAATAGTCAAATAAACGGGGAAACATATCTATAAGTGACGAATGAATTATGAAGGAGAAGGGCAACTTACCCATAGACAGTGGATCCTAGTCTCTGTTGCATTCCGGTTTAGTCGCTGGCTGTTGGGATCTCCTGGGAGGCCGTACATGATAGCCCATGAAACGCTGCTCGTCTTGTTGATTTGCAGCCGGAGGTCGTAGTGCGTACCCGCTATGGGATGGTCATGCTGGTGTATGATGAAGTGGGAACCTTCTAGACTACCTGCATTGCTCTCGTAAAGTCTACGGTAGTTCTCTATCAACAACTGTGGCATACCGGATGGAAAAGGGGCGAGTGCGGCTTTTCTAAGGCGATCGCTAAAATATCCTACATGATCATTGATTTGAACCTTTCCCGCTTCAACTGCAGATGCCTCTGAGATATTCTCTTCTGACAGAGGTTTTTGGTTAGGTAATTCGTCAAAATTACTGCTCCCATCGTCATCATCGTCGCGGATCAAATTAGAGAGTCCCAAGTTCCAATCTAAGTTTCTCTTTTTAATGAACGGATTGCTAATTAATCTAGTAGGAGTAGGACCTCTTTTCGAAGCCATGTTGGGCTCGACTAAGACATTGGTAGGTAGGTAGTTTGAATAATTGGTGAAAGGGAAAGTACATATATAGATTGTAACTACTCATTGATTGATGGCCATTGTATTTGTTGGATAGTATAATGCAACATCACGGCTACGTGCATTCTAAAACACCAATATAAGAAGACATGCATAGAGTCTTCTATCTATCCTTTAAGTTTTGTGCACTAAAAAGGTAACTAACTTTAAAAGTTTACCAAACATTATGTATGAAGCGGGGCGGCGGGGTAGAAAATGACGAAAAAGCAAAAAGAAAATCTTGAAAGGAGTGGGACTCGAACCCACGCGGATTGCTCCACTGCGAAACTTCTCATGTTGGAAATCCAGGTTAACCTGAACGCAGCGCCATAACCACTCGGCCATCCTTCCATGGGATGAACTAGAAACTTAGTTGCTTCCTATTTGATGATTGGATTGTTAGCTAATGCAGCTGATATTGCTTTGATACTTCTCTTCAGAAAGTGCAGTCCCTAACCCCAATAGTTAACCCCACCTTAGCTTGCACACGGACCAGCACCTGAGTATGTAATGTTATCTGTTAGAACAAGGTCATGTGATTTCTAGTTAATTATGTGGGCAATTTGTCTATGTGATATTTTAATAAGTAATGTGTTTATATTTATATATATTTGTTAAAGTTTTTTATTTATTTATAAAATTATTCTTTTTTAATTAATATAATTTTTATTTTAATAATTATATTATTTAATAATTAAGAATTTTATATGTAAATATTTTAAAAATATTATAAAAAGTATTAATATTAATTATATTTTATTTAAATGGGATTAAATATAATTTATAAATATGTTAAATTGTGAAGATTTAATTTTAATGTTTAAAGGAGTAAATTAATGAGATATATAAGATTTTATGTTTTAAAGGATAATAATAAGATTATATGTTTAAAATAAGATTAAATTAATTTTAAACGATGTAAAATTTAATAATCTAAGGTATATATAGTTAAAAGAATTAATAAAGTTTAGGATTAAGGATTATATCTTAAAATAAAAGCGTTAAGGATATATTAACGTTATTTATTTAATCAAAATATAATTATAATAATTTAATATAAATTTAATATTATTTAAAGAAAAAAAAAAGAAATACAATTAAAAATAAAAAAATATTATAAAATTTAGAAATTTATATTATAAGATAATGGTATTAAGTTATTTTAAGACGATATATAAATTAAATATGGATATATATGAATAATATTTGAAACTTTAGAAATTAATAAGTATAAATAAATAAGAATAATTAATGGAAGTATAAATTAAATATAAGAAACGTATAATTATTTTAACTAAACCGTTGAAAAATTAATATGTTTAAATTAATTAATGGAAAGAATATATGGTTTAAGTTAAAGTAAAAAAAGTATTAAATATTAAAAAAGCGGTAATATAGTTTAATAATTTATAAATAATTATTAATGGATATATAAGAGAATGGTGCTTAATATACTTTTAAACAAATAAAGAAAGTTTTTTAAATAACATAATTTTTTACCAAGATATAACAAAAAAATTAAAAATAAAATTCCAAACTTATAAAATAAATTAAAATTAAAATTAAGTAAGAAAAGGAGTATTTATAATAATATATGTAAATAAAGATAAAAAAAAAACCTTAGAAGTTAAAAAGGATAAAATAATAAGTAAACTAGTTAAAAAAAGTAAAAAAATATAAGGGTTAATATATAATAAAGGATTAAATAAATAAATGAAATAATTAATATTATCAATATTAAATAATAATTTAATAATTTATAAAGTATATTATAGAAATTATGTAATTAAAAAATGTTAATTTATATTTAAGGAATTAAGATTAAATAACATTTTAAAAGGAGTATTTAAATAAAAAGTATATAAAAAAAATCTTAAAGTTTAATTAAAATTAAAAATAAAGATAAAAAAATTTAAGAAATGAGCTTAAAAATTTACTTTTTGCTTTAAATTTAAAAAGGAGTAAGAAAAGGAGGAAGAAAATTAATTAATAATAACGATATAATATATTAACGTAATATTAATAATAATATAAGTTTTTATTATATTAATTAAGGTTAAGAAAATAATATATAATGTTTTACATTATTTTTTTATATACTTAATTATTTTTAATTTAAGAAGTATTATTTATATTTTTAATGAAAGGTTTTAGTTTTTTAATTATTAAAATATATTAAAAAGAGATATAATAATAGTTGATATAATTATAATACCAGTTATTAGGTATAAAAATATAAAAATAAAAGTTAAAGGTTTAAGGGATTATAGATTTTTACGAATATTAAATGTAACGTATTATTAAAATTTTATTTATAATTTAGTATCTTTACGATTTTTAAAACGATAAAAATATTATTAGGATAATAAATATATATAAACATATATTAAACAATAAGATAATTTTATTTTATGTGAAATGTTTAATCGATATAATTAATTTATGTTAAAAAATATTTTATATAAAATAAGTAAAAAAGCCTTTTATGTATAAACAAAGGTTATTAATTTATGAATAAAACGCGCTATAAAATAAAAAAATATAAAAATATAATATTTACGGTTAAGCTATCCAAAACTGTAAGTGTTAAAATATTTAGTTAATTATTTTTAAGGGGTAAAAATTATCGGTTTAATTATTATAAAATGTGATATATATAATATATTAAAATTTAAATATCTTATAAGATATAAAAAACAATATATAGATGAAAAATTAAAAGTGCAACTTATATTAAATTTTTATTTACTAAAAAAATTATTTAATAATTATAAAAACCTCATATTAATATTAAATTAATAATTTAAATATACTTAAAATTATTACCTAAAGAATTATATAATTTCTTCTATTATAACCGCCTTAAAATATGTAATTGGGATTTTTAAGATTTAATATAAAATCACACCTAAAATAATAAAAATAGATAATAAAATAATAATTATAAAGTTAGAAATATAAAAATATTTTAAAGGTATTTATATTTAAATAAAAACTTTAACCTTACGCACATAAAAATAAAACGATGTGGCTGAACGCTTAAAAAATGTGGTTAAAATAAAGGTTAAGGTTATATGTAATAATGTAAAACTTTTAACATTCCTATGGCTGGAAATATATTAATTAATGGTATATTTATATAATTAAATATTTAAGTATATATATAATTAAAAGTTATTGTATAAACGGTTTTATACGTTTATAGTATAAAAAAACGGCAGTAAAATATAGATTTGGAAATTGTAATAAACACACTTATAAGTTTATAATTATAAAGTATTTGTTATAACAAAAAAAACATAAAATAAAGAAAAGCAATTATAACAACTTAACCTTAAAGTTTAAATTAAATACCTTATAAAATACAATTTAACTAACATTTATTAAATATAGAATTTATAAACTAATTAAGTTATTATTATATGCGATATGGCTTTTAACGAAATTAGTTTATTTTTAGGAAATTTAAATAATCTTCAAAATAACATACTTAAAATAAATATTAAGGAGTATAAAAAATGGTTAAAGAAAGTAAAAAAATTAATTTAAAACATTACCCAAAATAAAATCTTCACTTTAAATAATTATAGTATTTATATAAAAAATAAGGAAATTAATAAAAAAAATTATAATAATTAAAATATTATAAATGTTTAAAACATTAAAAAATCTAACACATTAAAAGATATTAATATAAGAAAAGCTTCATTAAAAAACAAAAAAATAAATAATATATGTAAATTAAAAATTAAATCTAATTAATTAGGTAAATTTAAGGAATAAATATTAATAACCCCTAATCCTAACAAACTCATAAAAAACACAATTTATTATACATTATAAATAATTTAAAATATATATTTGGTTTTAAATATTTAATTAACGACTTGGTATTTTATGTTTAACATAGGATGCTTAAGAGTAAAAATAAGAATAATAAATAAAAAAAACATTAATAAAATATAATTCTTATAATTATTTAAGAATTTAAAAAAGATTTATAAAAAAGATTTATTATTTTTATTAAAATATTATAGAAAAATAAAAAATTATCCAATAATTAATTTATTTAAAGAAGTAAAACAAGAACATTTAAAAAGTCATACATAAATAAAGATATAAGAAGAAATTTTATATAATAACTTATAATATTAAAGAAAATAAATTATTAATTTAATATAAGTATATATTTATAAAATAAATAAGTATAAAAAGCTTTAAAAATATAAGGTAAGGATTATTGTTAAAAATAATTAATAAAAAAGATTAAAAATAGAAAAAACATACGCTTCCACCTTAATAAAAAGATTATTTCAAATATTAATAATTATTATAGCATAATTTAATTTAAAATTAAAATAATTTAATATTATTAATGCGTTTATAAATATAAAAATCTTATATAATATGTTTATATAAATACCCCAAAGATATAAAATATTTAAAAAGATTTTTAAATTAAAAAAGATATTATATGGAATGCGAGAATTATTATTATTATGGTAAAAGAAGTTTATATAATTTTTTTAATTAATAAGTTTTAAATTAATTTTTTACAAACCATACGTATATTGCAAAAATAGAATTTTATTATTTTTTTATATCGATAATTTAATATTTATATACCAAAAAAAAGATAAAAAAAAGATTAAAAAATTAATAAAAAAATTAAAAGGAAAATATTAATTAATAAGAAAAAACAACTTATAATAATTTCTTAATATAATTATAATAAGAAATTAAGCTAAGGGTTTAATCTAATTAAACCAAATTAATTATATTTATAAAATTATTAATTTAATAAATATAAACATATTTAAAAATCTTTTATATCTTATAATAAAAAAAAAACTACTATTATACAAAAAAAAAACATTACTTAAATTAATTATAAAGTATTAAAAGAAAATAAATTTAATATTTTACGTAACATTTAATATATAACCAAACATTACATTCGTTTGTTTTAAATTATTACGATTTTTTGTGAATTTTAGATTACAATATTAAGTTATAGCCAATTATATGTTTTATTATATAAACTAAATCGATAATTTAAGATTTTAATTCGAAAAAAAAAACAAATTTAAAATAATAAATAATGTTTTTTTTATAAATAACTCCCTAAACTAAAAAAACTTATAAATATATATTATAAAATTTTTTAAAGAATTAATTATATAAAAAATAAATAAATAAGATATTATAATTATGTTAATTATAAAAGTAAAATTATTAATATTATTATAAACTACTAAAAAATCGATGTTTGTTATATAATTAATAAAAGAATTAAAAGTATTATTAAATAAATTTATTATTATTATTTAATGTAATAATATTTAAATTATAAAAATAATATAAAAAAATATAGAAAAGTTATAAATTAAGTTAAGGTATGTGGATATATATAATTATTGGTTAAGATAAAAAATAATATAAAATATCATTAAAATATAATACACTTTAACCAAAAAGATAATCGCAAACAGATTAATTAAAACACTTACCAACACCTCATTTAAAAAATTTATTTAACAGATTAAACTAATAAACATTAAAAACTATTTTTAAATTTAAGAGGATAAGGAAATTATTGATATGATTAAACAATCCTAAGACAATTAGGTTTAAGTAGATAATGTTAAGAATGGTAAAGTTTAAAGGGGTGTGTTAAAATAAGGTTATATGATTTTTGGTTAATTATATAGGTAATTTATTTATGTGATATTTTAATAGGTAATATGTTTATATTTATACATATTTATTAAAATCCTTTATTTATTCATAGAATTATTCTCTCCTAATTAATATAATTCTTATTTTAATAATCGTATTGTTTGATATTATCTTCGCTGATTATTAATTTAATAAGTAGCTGAGCTTTTTTTTTCTTATATTTTCATCTTCTCACACTACCTAGGTACCCAAACGTTTAAGATCACAGATGCGATGATACCTATCAATTCCAAAATCAAAATCTTCATTGCCTTGCACTTAAAGGAGTAACACTATACTAGGGGATTGTATCTATATTAAGTCTAGATATGATACTTGTCTGCTTATCTAGATTCTGGGATATTATATGTATGTGACCATCGAAGGCCCATTAAATAAAGGTAGGTATACATTATGTTCCCGACCAGAAATGACATTCTTGTCTCATCTTCCTCATATTCCGCCAATTAGCAGACCCAAGGCGTCTTTCTACATCATATCGAACGCACGGGGAGTGTTGCTTGGACCGGAGTCAGAGTAACGTCGTCATAATACAGCTTACGTATAGGTCCCCCGGCTTGACACTGTGAACTAAACAGAATCGTCGCGGTATCGCTCGTAGCCGTCCAAGAATCAGTGTATGTGACATACTGGCCGGGACTGGACGTCAGAGTCGGCCGTCGTGTGCGCACGTTATTGATCAACACATCCATGACACACTGCGCACCCGCGTCTTGCTTCAAGGTATCTAGCGCCATAAGTTAGATATATAAGTTTCGAAGGCTGTTTGCTTCTTCTGTGTGATACGTACATTGGAATTGGTAGACTTGTCCGGAAACGACCGTGGCCGTCTGCGTTAGCCGGATCTGCCATAGTCCTGGAAGCCCCTGAGCGATGAACGACCGCGACCCCGCGAATGGGTCCGAGGTGGAGGAGCCGGTTGTAGCAAGATTGAGGTTGTATCCTGCCCATGTCCAAGTGATGGGATCTGTGGTCTCGAATCCGGGATTTGTAACCGCCTATTGCTAGGGTTAGTGACGTTTTCAGCTAATATGCCTTCCTACCTGGTTACTAGGTAGGCTATCTAACTCACTTGATTAGTTGTCGGCGTGGGCTCTGCTGATGTGGTTGAGGAGGTGGCCGAAGATTCGACTGAGGATGTGGAAGATTCAATTGAAGATGTAATAGAGGATACATCCGATGAAATCGTGCTTGACGATGTTTCCACACTACTGCTTGAAGATGCCGTTTCGGACACGGGTACGCTGGAAGATGTCGTTTCAGCGGGTACACTTGAAGATGCCGTTTCAGACACTGGTACGCTCGTAGTTGATGGGATGTCGGAAGAACTTGTCTCAGAGCTGGTGAATGAGGACTCCGTGCTTGAAACTGATGGGATTTCGGAAGAACTCGTCTCAGAGACAGTGGACGAAGATTCCGTGCTTGAGGCTGATGAAATGACAGTACTCGTTGAAGAGACAACTACAGAGCTGGATGACAATGTGATAGAAGACGATGGAGTGAAAGAAGTCGACGAAGGCGTAGAAGAAGACGAGGCGAAAGAAGACCCAGACGAAGTCGTATACACTGCATATGTGCTTGATGGAACTGAGATATATGACGAGGTTGTCGTTAATAGCCCACTGCTTGTCAATCTAGGCTTGCATCTGCTTGCATTCGTCACCTCATAGAACGCCGACAACGCCGCGGCAGAAAGAATATGCTTAAACAGCATGATTAAAAGAGTGACTTAACGATACAAAAAGCATGTATAGTTTAGGAGAGGGAGGATGATAGCAACAAACAACACGATGCCCTCAACTTAAGAGAAATGCAAACTCGAAAATTCGAACAGAAGACTCCACCTCAAAGACCTATAGGTTCTAGAACATGTCTTTCTCGCGGCCGGCCACGTTGATTGAAATTAAGTGGCGCAATTGATACTAATCGCTTGTGATTCTCTGTCCTAGTTCTGAAGCCGAGCTGAACATTATCAACATACTATGCTCTTAGCGGCTCGAGCTAAGCTTTTCTTCCTTGTTTATTTGGTCGCTTGCCGAAGCTGAATGGGCTAACCTCAGTATTAGACATGCGATCCTGCATACCTAAGTAGGTACCCAACTAAAGTATGTGCCTATGGATGATGCCAATACGGCATATAAGTGGATGGTTTAGAAGCTCCGACAATGTGCGCATCCTAAGATTGCACCTCGCCTCTTCTCATTCCCCGTTTTCTCGGCAGAGATATAGGGGTGTCCATCACTTACTGTTAATACTCTTAGGTTCATTCGACAGCCACCCCGACGGCCATTTCTGGTTTCGAGACCACTTTAATCCCGTGTATAGACTGCTTGTGCTGTTCACGAGATTGAGCGCGGTGTAGATTACCTACTGACGATATATGATGAAATGTGACGTCGAACATATCAGAACAAGACCATCACCTACTGACGATGATTATTACGAAGATCAAAACCACGATACACGTGCGAAGATACTAAGCTAAGTTTTGTTGACGGATTTGAGGTAGCAATGGCAGTCGCAGAAGCAAGAGGGAAATGGCTTGTGTTAGTTACTGTTGGATATGTACCTCTCTTTCCCCCCGAGTCGTGCCTATTTCAACCATATCACTCTCCGAGTAATCCTATATTCGGTAGCTCAAGTCTTTCAATGGCCGCTCGACTGGCCATTTCTGATTGGTTTATTGTTTTGGGGATCATTTGTCGGGTGTCCACAGTAGTCCTAGAGGGTATTCTGCCACTCAAGAGGTAAATCACTTACGGTTTGCTGGATGAATCTTTGGGCCGTCTCCGAATAGAAGTCGAGATATGCAACATCCAAGAGCCTACCTATTAGACATTGTTTGCGAGGCTGGCTGCCAAACCGACTGCGACCTCTGGTGCTAGAAACTCAACCGGAGTACGTAAATCTTCTCGGGCGGAGATTCAACAGGGAAGCATTAGTCAAAGTCGATGAGCCCTCTGTTTCTTCAGTGTTTTGGGGGAGAAGGAAGCGCACTAATTGATATGATTGATCGCCCTTCTCGTCCTCTGAAGGGCATGTTGAGAATATACATCAACCCGATATTTAAAATTTTACAAGCGACATGGAAGTACCAAGCGTGAGAAGTAGTGATAGCGGGAGACGATGTGGGTGGCATGGCAAAAAGGTGGGGTAATATATAGTTGGCATATTTTCATTTCAATGTTGGGCTTCTGTGTATCTTCAGCCAAAGACACCTAACCTTAGGTCAGAGCAATACTACTAACTAGGTACAATAACTTGAAGAAGGTACCTTGGTAATGCCGATCATTACCTCTCAACTTATTACCTACCTAAGGTACTCAGATCCCCTTTTCTTACGTCGAGTCTATTGCTAACCCTGAGAAGCCCTCCTCTAAGCTTCCACTCCAGAAGACTGCATTGCAATGCATGGCTCGCGTCGCATTATGAAATAAACTAGTTATCTCCGGTTTAGTAGGCGTGAGACTTCGGTCATGAATTTAACTATGCAGTCTCGCTAAACTCCGGCCTAAAGCCCGCAATGTTGAACGGGGCCGGCGTAACTCTATTTATACAATTACGGAATTGGGCCAGGGTCGTTATCCTGATTGGCTACCCCTGAGCGGGACATATAAGCGAGAACCGATCATGCCCCTGACAAGCGGTGCACTGTATTATAGATACCCTTAGGTTAGATATATATTAGATACCTACATAATTGGTGATTTTATTCTTTAACTCTTTCTAGAAAACTCATGGCTTAAATGTCTGCCTTAGTACGTGTAATATGTCCTTAACAACGACTCAGCGCGGCACGGTTCTCCTACTAGGCGGCACGGGCAAGGTATGTAGCCGCATCGCTCCGCTACTGCTTGCCGCCGGTATCCCGCCTCTTATTGCTTCACGCTCCGGTAAAGCACCTCCCGGACTTGTGGGTGTTAGATTCGACTGGGATGACGAATCGATATGGAAGCTTGCCTTTTCTACCACTGGCATCAACGCCGTCTTTCTCATTGCACCCGTTTCGGGGGACCAGGTAGCACTAGTGAAGAAATTCGTGGACCTGGCGCGAGAGAGAGGTGTCTCGCGCTTTGTGTTGCTGAGCGCTAGCTCACTTGAGGAGAATATAATGCTTATGGGGAAGACGCACCGGTACCTACGAGAATTGGGCGACGAGGGAAAGATAGAGTGGACAGTGTTGAGGCCGACTTGATTTCAAGACAGGTTACGCTCAAACCCCTACTTCCGTCCAACTTCAAGGCAGAATATTGCATTTAACAGAACATCGTCATATGGAAAACTTTCTAACGGCGGGAAACCATCTTGCTTCTCTTAATGACGAAAGCAAGATATACTCCGCGACTGGCGCTGGTAGAATCCCCTGGGTCTCGGTACAAGACATCGCCAATGTCGGCTTCCACGCCCTTACATCCCCACAGCCGCTTAATACGGATCTCCTAATATTAGGCCCGAAACTACTGACGTATGATGATGTGAGTCAGAAACCTTTTTACTTTTTTCGTGTTCCGAAAGTTTTAACATTTCCCTGCATGTAGCTCGCCGAAATTTTCAGGTCCATCCTCAACCGAAAAATAACGTATCAGGAGCTTGATGAGGCCGGCCTTGCGGCGCTCCACCGGCGGTTCGGAGTGCCTGAAGAGTATGCCAGGGTTTTAGCGGGCATGGACACGGCAATCAAGAATGGTTCTGAGGACCGTATTAATGAAGTTGTTCGCCGTGTAACAGGTAGAGAACCGCGTCGGTTTGCAGATTTCGTTGAGGCTAACAAGGAGGGTTGGTCTCTAAGCCTACATCAACCCTAGGCATATAGTTACCATCCGCACGTAACCCCTAGCTTTGCATCTACCTAGGTAGCTACTGGGCCTCTACTACAAGCTTCCTATAAAATATTGCCGGTCCTCAAATTGTGGGACAGACTCCAAGTTAATTTAAACATCAATTCACCTATGAATAGTTACGCAGGTACCTGAGTGGGCAAATGCATTCATTCGATACTCGTGTATGTATTCATATCCTCATATCCTCATCACCTGTACTCCTGATCTAGTATACATACATATAGCATCAGTTGGCCTTCAACGACACACGTACTAATGTCAAGCTACTACCTTAGCCCAGGTTTGTTTAAACATCACCCTCGCCCTGTGAGTAAGCATATGTAGGTAGGTACCTGGGGATAACTGTGTATAAAGAGGTATAGTACCTATCTAGGCAACTATGCTAAGATTTGTATCATTCTTTTTCTCTTCTCCGTTTTAACTGCCCAGACAGGAATTACATGCCTAACATACCTAACGTAGGTACCAAAACCAGCCAACCCCTATTTTGTTCTTCCGCTAATCGCTCCGAACGGGAAGCTAAGATACAGCTCATGCGACAACAAAAATAAAATGCGCAAGATGGTGATGGATAATGCGCAAACTAAAGAAATATGCAAAAGGCAGCTATAGTGCGAATGCATACCTAGGTCTGTACCTCGGTAAGTAGTGCGTTCATCACAAATGAAAATGAAAAGAACAAGAAAGTATGTAGACGTTTGCTTTCCGGATAACTCGACCTCATCATGAACTGATAAAATAATCGGGGCCGTAACAAACAGTATGTATAACGTTATCATTTACCATGTAGCTTTTCCTTCAGGTAAACTACCGCCGCATAACCAGAACAACATTGGGTAGTCATGCCGTGGGCACACCACGGGCACTTTACCATCGTGGTGATAGTGGCTGAGACACCCAACAGTTTGTCCTCCACGAGTGAGTCGGGCTTCGCCATACACTCGTACACTCTGGAAGGCATGTCGTGGAAAAATTTGCAGTTACAGCACTCTACTAGCATCTTGGCTAGGGGTTCTGATCGGCCATCTGCGGTAACCCCTCTAACACCGTTTGAGGAGTTCTTATGTGAGAAGGGAGGCCGTACAGCCCGTGGTGCAGCACCAGATGGGATAGGTGCCGTTTTTCGAGCTTCTTGAAGATACGCGGCACCTGGGGAAACTAGGGCGGAGGACTCGTCGCCATTAGAGACACTCTTGCGAGACGTTCTCATCGCAGATCTTCTAGGAGCCCCATCAGTGATTTCTGGTGGGGTATTTGGGAGACTGATGGATGATAGCCCCTCCTTCACTTTCTTCGGGTTTAATGGTTGATGTTTATTGTCTGGCAAGAAACTTGGCGAGTGAAGTTCAAGAGCTGACTGGGCCCGAAGTGGTGTGGATTGTCGGTAGCGGCTTTTGTTCATGGCTTCATCGTCCCGGAAGTTCTCCTTGACATCGTCTGGAAAGGTCGCTGAAGACGGGGTTGCCACTAGTGGCGGACTTGAGGTTGAACGGTCAGATTTATTAGACATGCCATCGGTATGATTTTCTAGTTCTATCGGCAATGCTGTGCGACTCCAACTATCATCCTGGTCATTTGTGTCCATACCAGCATGTCGTAAGCCATGTTCCGTTGATAATTCCACAGCTGGTGGACGATAAGATCCTCGTGGTGTGGTCTCGTCGTGATTCACGCTTGATATCACCGTCGGGTTTGCCGTGGTACCCTTGGGAAGAACTACGGGTTGCTTGACTTGTTGTAGACGAGAGCTATCCGAGGTTGGCGCAGTAGATGGTGACGGAGGAGTATCATCGTAGGTGGAGGACGAGGATCGTTCTGAGTTTGTCCGGCTCGGGTCAGTGTTGGACTGAGAGGGGGACGTGCTCAATATTTCAACCCCCGCGAGGACTCTTGCGGCCTTTGGTGAAAGGCCTAGGCGTTCGAAAGCAGAAATATCGCTGTCGGAATAATGAGTGGGCGCAGACGACAAATCCTTTGGTAGAGATGACCTTGCAGATTTGTTTGTGGTGTCTGTGGCTGGTCCTGTAGTTTGCTGTGCAGTCTTGAACGGCGTAGTGTTTTCATAAACCTGATTTCTAAGTGGCATATGCTTCAAAATATGATCTAAATGGTTCTCCGCTTCGGGCTCCTCGTCAATCCTGGGAGACGGAAATTTACCCTCTGAGGGTGAACGCAGTTCTAGAGATGGAGGAGCATAGGACTGGCTGATAAAGGTGAAATAATCACCGGATCTCTCTGGTCGTTGTGATCTTCTCACAGGAATGACGTCCTCTACTTCATTTGATTTCTGGGGCTTCGTTGACTGCAAAATTAGTTCGTTTACTTCCTCGGGAACTGCATCAGAGGTAACAGCTCTTCCAATAGCGTTTGAACTGGACGGGAAAGTCACATGTTTTGCTCCGTTCATCTCAGGAGAGCTATGTGCGTTTCTCCGAGAATGGGGCTGAATGGCTGATGTATGAGTACCAACAGATTCTCGCCCGCCTTCTTCACCTCTATCGCAATTTATCTCCAGTTGTTCGGGGCGCTGTTTGTTTGGGCGGAAAGATTCTCGCCGAGTAGATGCTGTTCCTTCAGTATCTTGTTTGGGTTCTGTCTGGATTTCCATACGAGTCTGCACGTAACCCTTACCCTGACGGCCTATATGATTATAGCGCTCAGGGTCCCTACTAGATCGTAAAGGTTGCGGTGGAAGATGGTCCACATCCTTCGGAGATCCGAGTTGCTGTCTTGTGACTCGGGAGGCTCGTTCCGATCGAGGTCGTTTTTCCTTTTCTATTGACGAATCTCGACCAGGCGCATGCGTTTGTGGTATTTGAGCACGTCGAGTCCTGAACGATGTAGGCTCCGGTGACTCATGGCCACTGCTCAGTTCTTTCGATTCTGCTCCATGGGCTTGGCCGCGAACACCATGGGCGACGGAATCAGGCACAGGTTGAGTGTTGGTTCGCTTCGATTTGGATGGAAACGTAAAGTCAGGTAACTGTTGTGCCTGCTCAGTGGATGTCATTGGCAGCTCCTTGACTCGTTCTTTGGGACGAATTCGCTGCTGCTCTGTATTCGGGTTCGTTGGCGGATCGTTCGACCAGTTAGACGCAATGCCTGATTCGTGGGAGCTACTAGGGCGTTGAGATTTGGCGTTGTCAGTGACTTCAGTCGGGCGGTAGTAAAGATATGACGGCCCCTTTAACTTGTTTAGTGTAGAAGTAAGTAATGATTGGGAACGTCCGTGGCTCGAGTTAGCTGAATGTCGAGCGGAGGGTGGTAGTTGGTCTATTGAAGAGATAGATCGAGTCGAATTCGAAAGGGCCGACCTAATCGAAGGTGGTTTTCGAGAATTGGCGAAGCTTGGGTCTAGGTCAGAGACAACTACGTGAGGATTGAGCGTCGGTGACGCTTCTGGCTGGCTTCCATCACTGCTTATCCTTTGGCTATCGATTAGTTTCTGTACAGCAGAAACATTCCCATGCTGCAGTCTGAAGCCCGATAAAAATCCTTTGCTTTTTGATTTGCCATCGAGCTTCGGGTTGGCCATTGTACTCGGCAGAGTTGGGCGAGATTTGAGATGCAAATCTAGCTCGGGGGCTGATTGCGAACGATTCGTCGTTGACAAAGGCTGGATAATCTCGGAATTCGGCGGCTGTACTTTGCTCAACTTATTTCCTTTTTTCTTGAGACCATTCCCGACTTTCTCCTCGCTGCGATTCTTGCTTTGCTCTACGTCTCGCTTTTTGGGCTTCTTCTTCTTCTTCCGGCTGTACTGCTCCCAACTAGGTGATTGACATATGGAAGATTGGTCTGAGGAATTAGCGTTATCTTCCTCTTCCTCTTCAGGGCCCGAAAATGTCACTGTTTTAGTGCGTTCCTCCCTTTTTGGTAGGGGCTCCCCAGGCGGCCCATCCGATCCCAGTATAGGGTCGTCGGCTGGTGCGGGGGGTATAGATATTGAAAGCGATGGTAGGGCAGAACTCCTCCGCACGGCTTTCATTATCTGGGTTTGGTGCGAAAGCGGAGGGTGTCCGCTCGCACGCCGAGCCTTAAGGGGATTGTTTGCCTGAGCGGAGGGATGACTTGTACTTGGCGAGATCGTCGCGGGGGTATGACCTTGGATGCGTTGCATCTATAAGATGTCAGTAGGCGGAGGTATTAATGAGTGCAATAAAAAAAAGAAAAGCGGAGGGGGGTAAAGGGGGGGAGAAAAGGAGAAACGGTAAGTCTGAAAATGGCAACCAAAGGAGGGTTGCATGCCGAGAATCGAACATACCTTGTACATTTTCTCCAGCTCTAACATTCGTAAGAAGGTATCAGACCTAGACGGTAGGCCTGGGTCTGCTTTCTGTACCTTTGTCATATTGAGGCTTACGCGTCAACAAGACCTGTAGCAAAGCAGTGCCGAATATTGCTCGGGGGGAACAATTCGCCCTGTCCCCCGGATGTTGACTGATTGGGAGGGCTGCAAATGTGTGCTGGGAAAAAGGGCCGGGTCGCCGTGGTCGAGACACACCACGTTTGGTATGTGAATAAGCCAACTGGACGGACAGAATTCAGATCGGATCGTCTTTATCATGGACGGATCGGCGGCGGCAGAGGCTTGGTATTCTCGTGGAGGCGAGAAGTAAAAGGGAATATCAAATATATTTGAATTGTCTTGGCTTCCCGATCTGTGTATGTCCGTATAACCGGGTTCTGTGAAAGGCCGGTATTTGTGCAAGTAGTGATTAGGCACACCAGGTCGATTTGTGCCCGTCTCTGTGGTTCTACCTATGCAGACTGTCTTGATTGGGTAGTTGGGGAGAAGCAAGCAAAGAGTGGAATGATGATGTGGTAAACAGCTTGAGATATCATGAAGGTCGAGATTTGGCGATTATTGACTAACGAGTGTGGTACATTTCTTTCCTTGCAGGATTAGACAGACACAGGGCCTGGTGTATTAGACATTGAATTAATACTGAACTTGTCGAGCAAACTAGACTGCCCGAAAACGAACGACAGAAACAAGAGACGCAGATGGTCCTTCTAACGAGTAGGTTGGAATCAAGGATTGAGATAAAATAAAATAAAAAGGGGGGGGGAGGAAAGAGAATAATTGACAAAAGTCAGGTAGTGACGAGAACGAAGGAGGCGTTTGTTTTCTACCTACGTACTACTAGGTATTCACAGCACAGGGCCAGAGACATTGTATGCAAGTTACCAACCGAAGACAAGAAAAGAACAGGGACTTATGTACATGTATCGTGGACCTATGATTAGCAAGAGATGCAAGAGATGCAAGAGATGGGGAATAGAAAGGTCTTGTCGGGGTTTTGACAAGTCGATTAGCTCTAGCTCTAATCGATTCTTTGCCCCTACGCCGTAGGTATTTGTATGTACAGGTAATTATTGGTCTTTAAAGATCTAAAAGACCTGCAATTGATGCCAAAAGTGGAAAACGGTCGGCACAGGTACGGACCGGAAGACAGGGATTACAGGCAGGCGTAGTACATGTATGTTCAATGTTGCCCTATATTGTCCCCCTATGTAGGTACCTATCTAAGGTAGATACTACATGTAGGTATGGGAGTACAAGATGGTAGTAGGCTCAAAGTTCAAAGTTAGGTCAAGTGCAGATGTATTGATGTGTCAGCTCCTAACGGTTTCTCTGGAAATAGCGGTCGCAGTGCAGTGCCTACATGTATGTATGTCTTGTTCGGTAAGCTGCACATGTACGTGTGAATGCCTACATCATACATAATATCATCATCAATGTACATATGTAATGTAGGTTGATGGCTTTTGTCGTTGTATGTAGTTGGTATGGTGCATCGACATCTATTAATAAAAATCAATTAACTATCCTCAACTTGGAAATCAACTTGAACTTTTACACAGTATGTAGGTATCAGATCTAGATCTGTTGGTCTGTTGGGCGGCGCACTCAACTTAGTATTAATGACTATGATGATGAACATTGAAAGGATCTGACATTAGCCATGTCCAGGTGTTTAATTGAATGGCTATGTAACTACTTCTATTTTCAGAGAATAGAACCTAGGAAACTTGGAAAGTACTTCCATGAACTGGAATTGAACATTGAATTTCATGAAGTTAAAACACCTCCAGCGCTGAAGCAACTTTACTTAGTTAGTACCTACCTAGTAGGTAGTTTCTGCATGTGGGCTAAATACACGCATGCTGTACCTAAGCCACTCCCCATATATACTAACTTCAATCAAATGTTAGGGTTTACTACAATAAACACACTATCCAACCTCCGGCTGTTAGAATTCTGATCTGTACTACATACATATGCATGTCGCCTCAAAGCCTCGACTTCGGATATCTACCGTAGGGCCAGCGCAACGGTTGTTATAATTATAGGTACATATGAGCCCGGATGTTAGAGATGGCCGTCGAGCCTTCACGACCAAAAAGAGGAGAGTAATTTGATTCCATTCACATTTCCAACCGTGATCGACATGTCATTTCTACATCCTAAGTTAGGTCTTTACTAACCCACGTACATAATATGACTGAATCCTGTTGCATCCTCTTTAACCGGTATATATAGGCATTTTACGCCCCCAGATTCGCCGCAATCCAGAATTACATGTAGAGGTTGATGGATCCATATGCCTTGTACCTATACCTACCAACACTTTCATCTCCGCCTTTGCTACGCCTGTCAGTTCTACCCTACATGTACTTGCACACGATGTATCCACAACATTGCCATAGATCTCTAAGAAAATGACTAGGAGCCGACAGCGAGATGTATGAACCTTCCATGCCTTGGTACTATCCCTAGTTGACGACGCGCAAGCATTCCACCTCAGTTACCACTCTAGCATATCACGTCCAAAACAAAACGAGTAAAAAAGGGCGTGTTGATTCCCTCATTACGGTATAACCGTTTTGTAGGTACATACCTACCTACTCGGCCACATTGTAGGTTGTTTACTCCAGCATGTCTCTAAGTGACGGCATTTCCTATGAGCTATTTCATTGCATCGAACCATTTCTAGGTACATATGGGGCGATATCTGATGACACCTGGGCACTCAATTGTTTTCGAGCTTGTGGATTGTGCTGTACATTATAGGTAGGTAGTGTCGAAGAGTGAATGAGCAACGAGCTTACCCGGCGAAATTCCCAGCAGATCCTGCATTCCCGCCCTTGATTCGAGCTACGGGCGAGAGCTACAGGTTGAGGCGTTGAAATCTCTTTATTGCTCTGGAGCCTCAACTCGTATTTCTATTCTTAGGGGCCTGACTTCGTGGGCTACTATCGGCATTATCCTTGCCAACGGCTTAAGCAAAGGGAGCTATTTGATGCTAATGCTGCACGCTTATGGATTGTCCACCAAACACAGAGCTAGACTGGCCTTATTAAAAGATGCCGTGTAACAATCACGCCTCCCAGGACTGAGTTTCCTTGCTGGCTTCGCCACCAATGTAAGCCGTGTGTATTGGTTCAACGCAGGATCTATCAAGTCGCATGCTGCCTACAATACATCCATGGATACTTGTTTGTATGTTTACTCGCTAAAAGAAGCTTCCGAAGCATCCGGTACATTACATGTACATTGAGCATTATTATGTACATATATGTAGTCTCCATCGGAGTCCAGACACGGAAAGGCAGGACATCACGAAGCCCGCAGGAAGAGTGCTACATTGGTTCTCTGCTGCATATGTTTAGGTAGGTAGGGCTAGTTAGGGGTGGCGTTGGAGTTGTTCCTGCTTGGTTCGATATGCATCCATACCTCACTTCCAGGCGCAAAATGAACCAAAGCTGTTAATGGCTTTCCATTAATATCGGTGGCCACTGCTGTTTTTGGGGGGGTTCTTCTAAGCCGGGATCTTCCAAGCCAATGGGTAATCCGGAGCCGTAGCTCACTGGGTATTCGGAGACGAGAAGCTACCCACTTTTCATTAGGCCGATATTTCCGTGGTAGCTCGTCTGCAGTAACCACACCTGTATTCAGAATCCCTTCATCAATCCAACAGTTTCTAACTGCTACCTTGGCAGGCAAGACTCGGTTCAAAAACTCCAAGCATGAATTCACCGTCAGGTATACCGCTCGTCGTGGATTTACCATTGTTTTCATAAAAAATGACATCCAGTGTGGATACAATATGGCGAAATCAGTTTGGGATAAATGTGTCGAGCCTTTGATGGTCAACATCCAACAGAGAGCCCCTGCATCTTTTGCCTCTCCTATGAAGTCACTCAGCCTCTTGAAGTTTTCAGGCCAATGCATGAACGCTTCAGAATTGACAGCTAGGAGAGGCTTGTTAAGGGGTTGATGGGCTACCGATTCCACCTCCGGTATTGCCTGACCCCACGCATCGAGCAATATGCCTTGGCCAATGTACGAAAAACGTTCTTTTTCACGAATGATCTGGGCCGTCGCCGCTCCACCAAAAGAATGGCCCATTGCTGTGACATTTTGCAAGAAAATCCCACCCTCCCAGTCTGACCAATTTATATCCTCTAACCCCTTAGAGCTCGATCCTGCGTTGCCTTTTTTTCTGAGATTATTCTTATAGACCAACTCCCCTTGGCCGTTATTTAGGAGCTCCAGGACATAATAAGCCTCTTCGATCTCTGCCATGCGCATTTCAATCTGTGCGTGCCTTAATTCAATATCCACGCCCTGGGCATTGTTGGGTGATGTGTCATAATCATTACCTCGAGGGAAGATGTAATCGACTTCATAATGGCGCATAGGTTTTGAGTTGCCAGCATTCTGATCATATGCTATATTGTGACCTTGTGGTATGTTGACATAAGAGCGCGCACCGCTACCATCTCGGTGCTCCATTGCAATAACTACGAAACCATTGCTGGCCAGTTCCCCACATACTGCACTATAACAAGTCCGAGATCCTCCTAGCCCATGGCTGAAGAAAATGACAGGAAACCTGGACCTCCCGTGCCTACTTTCCGTCAAAGTATCTTGACTTGGAGTGCTTAGAGATGCGCGAGGTGTAGCGTCAGGGCAGTGGTCGGCAAGCTTGGCATTTCGGAAAGCTGGAAGCTTGGTGAACATAGTGGTGGCCGCGATATACGCGGTAATTGGCAAATGTGGTATACTGAAAAACTGCGCGTATCCTTTGCTAGTCAAAGCCCGGGGTCTCGGTAACCACGTGGCTTTAGATGGCTTCCTCCCCTTTTCCGTGGAATGGGACGGAGCATCGCAGGGGTAGTATATTGCACAAAGGACTGTGTCCATTCGCAATGCATGCATATGGTTGCGTTTAATGTGCGAAAACGTTCGGGGCTTGCGTACCGGCACTTCTATTTCCATCATGCCCACGCTGTACGGGCCAGCATAGTCTGGTAGGGCGTGAAACAGGCGCTCTCTGAAGGTTCGTGGTGGGCTACGACCTGGCGTTTGTCTCCTGGGACTTTGCTGTTTCTTGGGCTCTGGTTCGGGCTCCATTTCTTCGTGTAAATAGACGTCGGTGATTGATATCTTAGTTATGCTCTACTCATCGTTGGTGTTTGTTTGGTGTGTTTTTTATAGCAATAAAAAATAATGACAAAGCCTAGCTTCCTAAGATGCAGGTCTAGAGTAGATACCTACCCTGTTTACGAACAGATATACAGGATGAAACACGTAAGTGTGGACGTAAGTCATATACTATGTATATAAAATAATGGTGATTTTAAGTTGCTTAATATCTGGTGATGAATGTAGCTGGTAAACTCTGATGTCTGTTAAAAAAAAAAAAAAAAAGAAAGAAAAGGAAACAAAACAAATGACGTCATATATCTTTGGATATGCTCAGGGAAAGGCTAGCTAGTAACGTATTTAAATCTTTTGACATACATATTACACTTTAAAATTTACTATTGTCTTACATACATGTATGTAGGTTAGATATCTGCCATCCTATCATCTAAGTAGAATAGCCATGTCCTACAGCTCATGACGCTTCAACATCCCAACCGTCGTCTTCGGCCACTTCCTCACAATGATTACCCCTGACTACGGGATTGTAGACCGCACTAAAAACTTAAGTCTTTTCGCGATGTGCCCGTTCCTGCATTACTTTATTCCTTAGAAAACCTTATTTGCATTGACACTGCTCGTCTCATCTGCTAATATTTCACTTTCTAGGTACCTACCTCTCTTCCAAATACACTAACCTTAGGGTAGATGGACTTGGGGTGCCCCTCACGAAAATAAAATAAAAAAGGGGAAAAAAAGAAGAAAAAGAAAAAGAAAATTTCCAATGTCCCCAGCTGCCTTCATTACACGCCAGACCCAATACGCAGCTGGCTAAAGTCAACGCATACTAAGTTAGGTAGGTGATGCAACGCTTGTTCCCACATTCCTTTCCCCAGATCCACCTGGGCTGAAGGACTGGTCATCAGACCCCAGATCTGCGTTAGGATCTTGGGAAGTATCCTTACCTTTCGCACGCCATATTCGGCGCACGAAATAGGACGAGTCATTTCGTCAATCGGCAGGTAGATGTCGCTAATAATCGTGTAACCTACCAACCAGAAAATGGTGGCGTCGCCTTCGAACGTCCAGACATTCTCTTTGCACGTGGGATTCCCCAGCAATCGCCCGATGCCAAGAAGAAGACGGCCTAGCATTATCTTGATGATATTTATATGTCTGGGGGCCGAATGCGCGCGTATGGAACCGCGGGCCAGCTCGAATAATGATCGGGCACATGTCGGCGCGCCCTTGAGCATTTAGCCGGCATAGTATCGAATTTCGGTGGAAGGCTAGCTGTAAGTTGATGTAGGTCTGCTGTAAGTATGTGCTAATGGGAAAGGGGGCGCTTTTCGGTTTTCTTACTCGAAATTGCATTTCTATATGAGAGGCGCTTAGGAAGCAAACAAACAAGCAGGGTACTTCAGCAGCCCTGTTTCACAGCATATATTGCCTCCGCCTAGCTAGGAGACACGCCCGACCTACCAACGTTCAAGTTGATGCCCTGCGACGGTGCGTGCAGCTTCTCCGGGGGTGATCAGGTACCTATGGCCAGTCTCCTACGGACGAAACCGGGAAATGGTTGATGAAGAATTTACACAACATTCATAAGCCTTATGTCCCTGTCATCTAGAGATCTCATAGATAGCCCGACGGGTGTTCAGCTCGGAATCGTAGTGCCGATTCTAGACCATAATTGCATACATACTATTGATCAGCCATGCCCGCTCTGCGTTCAATCCAGTACGTAACAGAAATGAAGTGATTTCTACGTAAGCATTAGCATCATGCAGAATAGGGACTCTTATGATCTAGGGAATGAAATTGCGCTGACGCGTGCAGAGCCTATTGCTACTATTAACGTAGTTGAATCCCTCAAGATTTGAAGTCTAGACGCCTCTACGCCTTAATACTACACCATAAATTGAGTATTGACGTGCGGAGAACAAGGCAAAAATACCTAGCCAAGTGTTGGTCGTCGTAATCCCTGATCGTACTGGGACTCGCAAGCAATATTGGCGAATGTCTAGTACTTACTTATCCAGTGGATAGGGTAGGTAAGTCGTGGTCACCAGGACGCCCCTTTGCGAGTTCGTTACTGGCTTCAGACATGCCACCGAGACGAATCTATTCTGGTAACCCTACATGCATGAGGAGGATCCTGGCTGAGACCTCAAGTCAACTTTCGGCGATGTTCAGGTGAAGAGCCGGCGAAGCGATGGTGATAAATCATGGTGTAATTTGGTTCCAGACTATTTCGCAAATGTGTTTCTGGATCACGTCTTATTCTGCCACCTGGAAAAGTTCAGTAAGAGACATCTAACCGAACGGCGAGAGTGGTGCAGCGAATGGCATCTTTGGGCAGAGGGGCGTGCTGAACTGACTTGATCGGAGAAGAAAGAGAAAGAAAAGAGAGGGTATACGGTGGAACACAGTTGACACAGAGTGAACTAGGTTAGAAGAATCAATTATTTACGTGACCGAACCTACCCCTTAGGTAGGCCGCATATAGAACTAAGCTACAAGGTATAGGCAAAAGAAAAGTCATGTCTAGAGAACACAGCAAGCGCGTATCCTTTCCATTCCGCAGCATAGTCCCTTTCATACCATACCAACCCAATTCATCACATGAAGCGATGAGGAGGGAATGAATGCGGCACTAAGCCGTCACCTCCTAGAATCAACAGTCAAGTCTATTTATGTGTAGGTATCAGGATGCTCAAGCACATATGCATTCGCTCGCTCGCTCACAACTTAAAACTTGTAAACTTGGTCCTTGGAGTAGCCCAGCTCCTTCAGGATACCCGACAGCTCGCCCTGATCGCTGGGACTGACTTTGTTCCCGGAGATGGCCTTGTAGAGGCCAGGGGGGCCGCAGACGAATACCTTGACATTCTCACTCTTGGGTTCGGGGAGAACAGTCTTTAGGAGTTCCTTGGTAATGAAGCCCTTGTTGCCAGTCCATTCCTTGGGTGGGTTGTCGAGGACGTAGAAGGCGCGGAAACGGTTGGGGTACGTGTTCTCGAGCTCGGCGAATTGTTGCTTCAACAAAATGTCCTCCTCGGATACGTTGCCAAACACAAGGGTCACCTTGGTCTTGTCCTCTGGGTTCTTGAAGATAGCACGGCATAACTGGTACATGGGCGTGATACCTGTGCCACCTGCGATCAGTGCGATGTGTTCGTGCTTGTTGGGTGACCACGGGTACTTGGGAAGTGGCCCCTTGATGTCTAGTCGCTGGCCAGGCACCATGTCGTGTAGATGTGTCGACATGGGACCATTAGGGTACTTCTTGATCAGAAGTTCCATAGTGCCCTTGGTATCTGTGAAATTGCGCATTAGCTTCTCTACTTTTCATAGTATTGGAAGCATAGTAGTGATGGACTTACCTTCGTCGCTAACGGGCGTGTAAGGTCGAACCACTGGTTTCTGGCCTTCATATTGATACTTGGTAAGCAGCGCGCTGGTGACAGCCATGCCTGACACCATGTCCTCCTCAGGCAGCGCGAAGATGAGCTTCTTGGTGTTGTGGTTAACAGGTTGGACATCCTTAAGTAATAGCGAGATGAAACCCTGGTCGCCGCCAGTAAACGCTGGCTTGGGCGGTCCGCTCACAGCTTCCTTTGCCTTGGCCGCAGCCGCACCGGCACTACTTGTCGATGTGAAGTAGTAGTAGCCTGCACCCGCAGCTCCGACAGCTCCGACGGCATAGAGGATGGTATTGGACGAGCCGCTTTTAGCAGGCTCGGTGGCGTAAGCACGCGAAAGAAGGTTCTAAGGTAGTGATTGACAGCAGTTAGTTTGCAATTGATGCACAATTGGAATGATTCATGTAATTGGGTGTATATGTTTCTATGCTTCCACTTTCCCACGTGCAAAAAGTGTTGCTATTTGCTCAAGCTTGAGCTCGAGCTCGGAGCTATTGTACCAGTGGCGTGTGGGGAGGGGTGTGGATGATCAGAACTTACTCGCTTCAACGGCTGGGCCGCGCGGAACGCTGATCTGGAAAACATTCTTGTGCAATCTAGAGGGTCTATGTCTAGAAAAATAAAATAAAAATGAGAGGGGGAGAAAGGGGAAGGGGAACGAGGTTTGTCGTCTTAGGCCAATTTAGTAAAAGATGCAAAACTTCAAGACCTATGTAGGTTAGTTATTTGGATAGCGGGCTTTTTGGTTGTGGTTTTAAAGAAGGGAACAAGCTTGTAAACCGCCGATGGGATGATCCTGGGAGGTGACGTCATCACGTGATATGATGTGAGTTGCTCCGTCTCGGTACACGAGGGTTTTCACTGTTATGTCCGCCAGCCGACAGGCAACAGCAAAGGATGCGGAGTTACGGGAAGCGAAAGTCGCGTTTCAAATGATTATGTAATTGTTTGGCTTTTTCACTCACCTTTTGTTGTTCCGTTGGATATTTAACTAAGGTATCATTGATGGGATCTGAATACGAACTGCATACATGGGTAGGTAGTCAAGATCTCATGGGTAGTCAGGATCTCGTTCTTCGTGATTGCTTTTGCGGCCAGCATTGGCTTCTTTAACTACCACTGCAGGTGGTATACCTATGGTCCTATGTATTTGCCGTTACTTCGTATTGCTACCCAGGCATATGTGCTAGACAGGGCCAACGGAGCAGAAACGACCTTGGAAATGTTGAACTAGGTATGTTCTTTGACCCCTCCTTGCCAACACTAGCGCCGTGGTTGCTGTTTTCGCATCCAGCCATTCTATATAGTATCAGGGTATTCTTCGATGATATTCAGCAAACTCTCTCAGCTTTGCCTTGGAATTTGTACTTTGCGTACACACTCACGCTGTGTCTAATTATGGTGTTGGCAAAGGCTTGCCCTATCCTGGGCTTCTCCTGGGCATTACAACTCATTGTTATTTCTTGTTGCTTGATTGCGACGGGATATGCCCAAGCTCCGCCTACCACCTACTTGCAAACACCTTCCACTCATCAACTTGATTGGCATCAACTGGAATACTATGCATTCGTTCACTTTGGGCCCAATACATTCACAGATGAGGAATGGGGACGTAGTCAAAGTACTCCTGACGTCTTTGCGCCGACGGACCTAGATACCGATCAATGGGCCAAATCGTTTGCGGATTCTGGGATGGCCGGTATGATTCTAACGGCCAAGCATCACGATGGCATGGCATTGTGGGATACTAACACCACCACATATAAGATTGGTAATGGGAAATGGGCAAAAGACCGGGTTGCCAATGGTCTTAACCCTGATGTTGTCCAACTTGCTGCCGCTTCAGCCAAAAAGTACGGCATCAAGTTCGGCATCTACTTGTCACCTTGGGATATACACCGTGACCCTGCAATGCCGAAGCCGCAGCTGGCCGGGACGATATATGACGAGCCACAGATCTTCGGGGATACGACCCCAGGAGACTACAACGAATTTTACGCTCAGCAGTTGACGGAGTTAGTAACGATGAAACTCAGCGATGGCTCTCTTATTGAAGTCTCCGAGTTATGGCTCGACGGAAATAGCGGGTCCGACACTGTACAGACATTCAACTGGACCGATTTCCGCAATATCATTCGGGACCATCAGCCAGGGGCAATCATGTGGGGGCACCAAGGCGTGGACGCGCGCTGGGTAGGCAATGAAGATGGGGTGACTGTGGCTACAAATTGGCACACTATCAGCCGGACGCAGGACGATCCTCACTACGATGGTGAGCAGTTGCAGACAGGGGTCCGCGACGGTACTTATTGGACGCCGTCGGAAGCTGATGCCCGTCTACGGGACGGCTGGTTCTACCATTCTAATGAGAACCCTAAGACGGCTGAGGCACTAATGGACATGTATCTACAGTCGGTGGGGAGGAGCGTGAATCTCCTACTCGATGTCCCTCCCGACACAACTGGACAGATTGTTCAAGGTGATGTGGACATCTTGTCGCAGTTCAAAGAGCAGCGTGACACTTTCCTCGGCCGCACCCTGCCTAGTCCTGGGTTGTCCGTAAATGCGAGCAGTGTCCGCGGCGGCAATATTACGCTCTATGGACCAGCCAACGTACTAGATGGCAACATTAACACTTATTGGGCGATTAATGATGAGGAGACCACTGGGTGGCTAGAAATCGAGCTGGGCGGCAGCTATGCCGTGGATGCTTTTATTACACAGGAACATATTGCTTTAGGACAGCGTATCGGCGGATATATGATTGAGGCATCCATAAATGGCTCGTATAAGGCACTTGTCAATGGGACTTCACTGGGATATAAGCGTATTGATAGACTAAGCACACCAGTGGAGACAAGCCGGATACGTCTGCACATCACACAGGCAAATGCCACGCCCCTGGTTAATAGCTTTCAGGTTCTTGGAGCATCAAACTGAGTAATGCGAGTCTGTTATTGAGGAAAGAATGAAGATATAGTAAGCGTACCTACCTAGGTACGCAATCATGATATTACATACCATTAAACAACCAGCCCATGAACCCCTAGCCTAGGTACCAATCCTGGTCGTCACTCTGTAAAGACCACCAACCTAATATAACCACACCATTGAATTCCATCGGTGCGCTTCCGTCATCCTCGTCTTCGTCTTCGGAATCAACAACCCTTAAAGCTAAGGTAACTCTGCAGATAGTTATATACCTAGTAAAAAGATCAGTGAGGTTGTGTTGAAGAAAGTTCCAAGGTTTGGTAGTACTACATACCTAGTACCTACCTAGCTAGCTAGCTCAAACCTCCACAAATGTTTAAGCCAATCAGAACGTCCACATAGCAACACCCCTAACACGTTAATGTCAGCTACCTAAACTTGAACTACAACTAACTAACTATTGTATTGTACATAACTTAAATCATCAATCCCGAAAAAAAAAAAAAACCCCTCCAAGTCCACCAAGGAGCATAGCATGTTCACCAGCTAAACTACCAACAATCCAAAGCTCTTCACGAGCACCACTCACTCGACACCATGCTCTACGATCTAAACATCGCATGGTCTCCCTCGACCACCACCGCCGAACTCGAGCGCACACTACGCTTTAGTTCTCAATTAGGCTATAACGTCGTCGCCCTCAACCACACCCTCGACGCCCCTCTACCCTCCAAACTCGCCAACCCCTTACCCAGATTCCCAACTCCTCCCTCCCCGCCGCAACCGCAAAATACAACCACAACAACAACAACCACCGGCCGCCTCCCCACCATCCTCTACCGCATCACCATCGCCTTCACCGACCCGTCGCAAAACCCACAACTCGCCAAAGCCGCGCAGGCCTACGACCTCGTCGCCGTGCGCCCACAGTCTGAGAAGGCCTTCCAGGCCGCCTGCCTCACCGTACAGGACGCCTCCCTCATCTCCCTCGACCTCAGCACGCGCCAGCCCTTCTACTTCCGCCCGAAGCCGTGCATGGCCGCCGTGTCGCGGGGCCTGCGCTTCGAGATCTGCTACTCCCGCGCCATCTTGGCTTCCCCCGGCAGCGGTGGCGGTGGTGTCGATGCGCGCGCGAGGGCGAACTTTGCGGGGAATGTGGCGCAGCTTGTGCGCGCGACGAGGGGTCGCGGGATTGTGATCAGTAGTGAGGCGGGCGCGGCGATGGGCTTGCGGGCTCCGGCCGATGTCGTGAATCTGCTCGCGGTGTGGGGCTTGTCGCCCGAGAGAGGGATGGAAGGATTGCGTGCGAATCCGCGCGGGGTGGTGGTGAATGAGGGGATCAAGAGGAGTGGGTTTCGAGGGGTGGTGGATATTGTTGGGGTTGCGGAACGGAGCGCGGAGGAAGAGAAGAAGAAGGGGGGAGCGGTGGGGGTTGGCGAAGGGAGGGGGGTAGTGCCAGTGAATAAGGACAGTAAGAAGAGGAAGAATGGCGATGCGGAGGGTGGTGATGCTCAACCCGTGAGCAAGAGGCAGGCGAAGAAACTAAAAGCTGCACTAAGGAGAAAGGAGGTTGAGGGAAAGGAACCCCAGTCATAAGAGTGATGAGAGGAGAAGAGAAAGAAAAGAGCAGTCCGTCCTTTGTTAAGATATGCATATGACAACGGCGTTTGGAAAATAGGTGCCTAGGTAGATTATCTAGGCAGAATGGCTGGTCATCTGAAGATACCCTGATAATAAAATCATTCATTTTTAGCACTGGTGCTTACAGTCACACATATGCCGTTACTTAAACGTATGAATTGTCTTTGAATCTAAACATGCTAAAATACTTGGGTACCTAGATTACTCATATTTGCCCACGTAACAGCGAAATTACATCAGATAAGGGTTGCGATTTGCTCCTGGCAAAGCTCATATACCGGTATCCTAACACCCTCAGCCCGTCAATAAAGGAAAACAAAAGTCTTGATAGTAGGAATCCATAGGTACTCATACTCGTACACCTAAAACCTGACTAACGCCGTCATGGGTGACAATAAAGGGGGAAATATTTCAAGGCTTTTTTTTTACTTCCTCGTATAGGCACATCTCATGGATAGCGTACCTATGTTGACATGGCTAAATTATGCCCCTATCCATCCTATCCCCTCGTCCTCTATTCCATCCACACTCCACGAACACCTAGTCGACCAAATTAAATCAAATTAACTTTCCCAAATTTCCAAGCGACAACACACTCGTCAACGATATACCGTTAAAATCGATTGACGGTCCCTCGTTCACGCCATCCAATGATGTGGCCGTGACTGCCGGTTGCGGGATGTTTCCGCCGGCATTATTCAGAGCGGGCACTGTGGGCGCGGGAGTCTCAACGGGGAGCTGTAGCGTGGACTGAGCCGCGAGGGGTGTGGTGACTGCCTGGGCCGCCGAAGTCGGTGGTGACGGAGCGAGTTCGAGGGAGGATTCGGGTGTGGCAGTCGTGACGGCGGCGGCAGGCGTAGATGTCTCTGCCACCGGTGTTGGGGTTGTCTCTACTACCGGTGTTGGGGTTGTCTCTACTACCGGTGTTGAGGTTGTTTCTACCACTGGCGTTGACGTTGTCTCCACCACTGGCGTTGGAGTAGAGGCTACAGGAGTCTCTGTTGCTGATGTCGGTGTATCAACTGCAGCCGGGGAAGAAGCGATAGCAGATTCGACCGCCGAAGAACTAACTAAAACGGCTTTCGAAGAACTCGGTGTTGCTACTGCTGCGGAGCTCGTGGCTATTGCGGCTGGAGGGGTAGCTACGGCCGCTGACGAAGTCGGTACAACTGCTGCTGAAGAGGTAACTACTGCGGCTGACGACGTCGGTATAACTGCGGCTGCCGAAGACTCAATCGCCGCGATCGAAGAAGCTGCCTGAGCAGCAGATGAAGCGATGATGGAAGCTTCGCTGGCTTGAACGGGCGTGCCAACGGGGGAGCCACAAGCAATCATCTGCATCATTGTCGAGGTTATCGTTGATATCTGCATAACGGTAGAGACCTGAGTTACTGTCGAGGCGAGAGCTGTCTCCGTCACGGTGGGCGCTGCTCCGGTTTGGTACACGGTGGTCGTAACGAATGACAGTTGGGCGCCTCTGTTTAACGTTAGCTAATGTTCTCATACTCCTGCCATCAAGATTATTCAATATTACGTACGATCCATTCCCACCACCAACGGCAGCAGCAGCCTCCGTCACAGTTACCGTCTGAGTAGCAGCAGCAGTAGCATTGAAGCCTACATTTGCGGCGGCGCCGACGGTAATCGTCTGCCTAAGCGTTTCGGTAACAGTGGCGCGGCCATCCTGTCCCTTGCCTTTCTTTTCACCATCTCCATTTTGATCTCCACCGCCGCCGCCAAGGCCATTCAACAACTGATCCAGCAACCCTCTCTTTATAGGTTGATCATAGTAGCGATATGTGCCGGCCTAAAAATTGTTAACCTAGCTCCTCACAACGAATACACAATGCGATATATGAGTGTGTAAGTGTGAAAGTACGCACCTGGACGAGCGCGAGGGAGCTCAGCGCAGATAGGAGAACCGTAGCGCAAGACACCTTCATCCTTAAGACGTGTGAATGACAAGCGATGACCGCTCACACACACGGTTTATATCCCTTCTCGCGACGCACTGGTCCTGTTGAATACGATCCGAGTAGATATATAGTATATATAAATGAATGAGATAAATGAACAGACCAGCCGTTTCCAATTATGCGGGATCAACCCTGAATTGTGATATGTAGAGACTGTGGTAAGATCTGCTTTCCTTTTCCTTTGCCTAAGTGGGCTGATGATATCATGAGAAGAAAAAAAGAGAGAACTATACCGGACGACACCGGAAAAGCATTCAGGAAATAATTAAGCGCGTAGCGCAAATATTAGGTGAAGAAACGAAAGGAAGGGGGACCGACAGCAAAGTCAAGCGAAGCGAAGCTAATCAGAGCATCACGGAGAAAGCTGGGTAAGGTGGCGCTTAGAAGGTGAGAGTGAAGCCATCAAGAAAGAAAACGGATGTCCAGGAGACGAAAATGGATAGAAGACGGGGGGGTGGGTTAGGTAGTCTAGAAAGTCAACGATCCGTGGTTGAACTACTAACCTAGGTAGTTTAGTCAGGTACGGGATCCGATGGAGCCATTCTTGGCCTAGATCTTGCATATGAATATTATGGATGTCAAGGACTTGATGGAAATTACCCTAGGTACCCTACCAGGGCCTACCTAAGGGTAGTACATAGTAGGGTATTAGTGTACAGTAGTAAAAAGAAGCATTTGACAGTTTTGAAGCTTGTTTCGACCAGGGTTGTTAGCCGAGTCCAGTGTCTTCCTGTGTTACGATAATGGTTATTGATTTATGCAGTCGGATGCCATCTGATGCAGGTTGAAGCTTAAAAAGTGAGATTAGACGTTTTTACGTGCGTTCGCGAAGGTCGAATAGTCACGTTCGGGAAAGATGGCCGGGACCAGGGCCAAGACTAGGACCGGGGGGTATGGGGAAACAGGGGTTGAGACAATGTCCTGACAAAGGAGTTGTTTGAGGCTACTATCTACTACACTACTACTGGTAACTAATGTTGATAATTGACCCCCTAACGAACTCGCTTCCGCTTCTGATATGTAATTCTCTTCTTTAATAACGCGAAACAATAATTTCCAATTTCCAATTTCTTCCAATGTTCTTACGTATTGTTAGGAGAGGATAGTTACGAATTCAACAATTATGCTACTGTACGCTGTACACCTAAAACTTCCAACTTTTGAGCCTCAACCCAACATTTGAATGTTCAAACCCCCCAAAAGGGTTAAAAGAGAGACAATCAAAACTTCGCATCACGACAAAAGCGGAAACGTCCACACCTATCCCCTACTAACTACTATGTACACTACTATGTACATATTCAAGGTTATCATGGGTTACGCGGGCGCAATCTCAAATGAAGTGTCATCTTGGCAGTCGTTTCAAATAGTCAGATCATGTGGAAACCTATTCAGTCCACCTTGGTTTGATAATTGACGCCCTTGTATCGTCAACCGCCATAAACTCGGTAGCGATGGTAACAAAATACATGATTGATCGGAAGAAAGCTAGCGTCATAATCATACCTCCGATATCTCATATAACGCTTGTACATACATGGCGTCGAAATGTATGTACAATGAAGCGATGGAAGATCTAGGTTACATACCTAGTACCTTACCAAGATCCAAGACTTGACGTTATACGGAATCCGGCAATTCATGCATGTCGTCGATCTAATGTCAAAGCACCAAAGTCTTCCCGGAGAGGTATGTGGTAAATAAAAAGTCGGATGCGACTCATCTTCACGGTTGGCAGATATTGCAAACCCGTCGATTATTTGCCGTGGGATCAATGCCTTGCTGCTCGATGTAGATGTAGAATACCGGATGTTGATGTTAAGCGCATCCAAATGAAGGGTGGGAAAACTCTACACAATCCACATCTGACGGCACTCGTCCTCGCGATAAGCCTCGCCTTGCATTACTCCCTTCAGGAAGCAGTCGCCTTGTACGGTCCACTGTGATCCTGCCGTCCTCAGTACCATAGGAACTTTAGCTCCCTTCACAACTGCAACCTCATCACCAACTTCCGCCAAAGCAGATCCTAAGCCAATATACCCTTTTTCAGTTCGGAATACTCGACGGTCTGCAAGTGACGATAGGTGGATTCTGAAGTCTAGTGTCATTTGATCAGATCGATTGTAGAAAAGCACGGCGTGGACTAGATAAATGAGCCTGTCGGTTATCCAGTCGGGGAGACATCTAGGCAAGCGCATAAGCCATCTGGCTATGGTGGCATTCCTTAGGAGGATATCAAGTTGCCGACGAAGTATTTCGATGGCTTCGTGGCTTGATTCGGCTACCAACGTTTGCACAAAGACATCACGGATGGACTCGCCGGTAATATAGGGCTGTGGTTCCCAGAGTCGAGCAACACGAGACCAATCATCTAGGACGAATGCACATTTCGGAAGACGGATGCCATGATAGTTCGTCCGTGGCAGATGCTCCAGCCTCAAGATAGCACCAACAGCCGCAACACGATCTATACAAGAACCCTGGATTCCGAGAGAAGCGGAGTCGACGCCATTGAACTCGATTTGGGGCATCGATGATCCACTGGCGGCAAAGTCAAGTTCGTTGATATCATTATAATTCGCCAAGCCCAGAGGTGCCGTGATTCGAGTATTACTCCAATCAGGTACCCAGGTCGGGAGATTGGTAGGCCCAACACCAGAGATCCGTCGAGGGACAGAAAGTAGGTTTAAATTTGACGATTGCCGTATAATCTCCTTGGCTACAGCAATATACAACTCCGTGGTATTTACGTTGTAGTCGGGCTGCAGGGCCTGGACGTCAGTAAGCTCACTCTTGGTTAAAGCGCTTAAGCCGAATATCTTATCGCGGGGATCAGTAGCATCGAGGATGCGGTGTCGAAAGAGAACGCTGAGGAGGCTTCGTCGGATTCCAGAACACCATTCCTTCCGGGCTCGTTCCAAAACAAAAACATAGGCATTGCGTTCATGGTCCGAGAGCCATAGGTTGAGGTGATCCTGAACCGTGATGGCGGCCAAGAGATCGTCCCAGTCGATAAACGAATCCCCACAGAATACAGTCGCCCGTGTCGCTAACGTAAGTTCCTGAACGACCCATACCCTCGTGAACCACAATCTTTCAATAATCTTAGCAAAAGCCACTAGTCGTGGAAACTCAGACCGGTCCCTAAACTTTCCAAAGAGCTGTCGTGTAAACTCGTCCTCAAAGGTCATGTCCAGAAGAGAATCGCCATTGGAGGTATATTGACGGTAAGCACGAGCAATGTCCGAAGCTATTGCAATGCCTGCGTCGCTTTCTTCTCTTTCTTCACCCAGCCATATCAAAACCCGATTTGCTCTAGAGTAGATATCCTTCATACGGCGAACCTGTCTTCCCCGTTCTTCATCGTCATCTTGGTTTATGCAGATAGCGTCTGCCCACAAGCTTTTCCTCTCCGACGGCGAGCGGAATTGATGGAGAACCTTGCTGAGAGCGGCGTTGATAGCCAAAATCTTTCCGTTGCATATAATATCGACCTTATCTCGGGGATCGCCCCAGACGTAGGAAATCGCGTCGTAAGATGGTGATGTGCTAATATCGCCGTGCTCTAGAATGCATTCCAAGACATGTTCTCCTGAGCCGGGCAAAAGCGTAAGGATACGGAACTGGCTACATTCGGGTTCGATACCGAACGGCACATAGCAGTAGGAATTCATTATCAAAGTAGTAAAGCCTCCCCTTTACGATAACTTACTCCTTCTGGATCAGGTATCATCACATTTTACCCAGTAGCTGGTGATATAGATATCTGGGCTGCCAAAGGGTCTGTACCCAGCATACATAGCGTGGCAGTACTGCGAGCATTTTGTCAGGACTACTGGCGGCCAAGCCACGCATTCGTTCAAGAATTTTCACTGAAGTTTGCTATGATGAGGGGCTCTTTTGAAGCAAGGGGGCTAATGCTATAGGTATATGAAATTATCAATGAGCTCCAGCCTCCAGGGCTATGTCTGGCGGGTCTGAATAGCCTCTAGGTCGAGGCGAAAACTCAACACCGAACATCTGCAGGGAACGTAACACAGCATGATGCACAATGCGTGACATGATTACCTTTGCATGACCTGCAAATACCCCACAGTCGGATGAGGGCCACGATTTCAATGACGTTGAAGTATAACAGACTGGGAGACTTCATCAGAAGTTCATCTATCCTATATAAGTGAAAATGGATGTAGACCAGACATTTACATGTCGGGACATTGCGAAGCACTAATACTATGGTTTGAGGTAGGGTCTACTTATTACTTAAGTATGATGTTGTACTACTTGAAGATATAGGTTATCATTGTTATATACGTGAAAAACTATTATGGCCTAGACACAAAATAAGATGATAGTTAGTTGAAGTTGGTGATCGTGAAGGTTTTCATAAAAGGAGAAAGCATTTATTGTCATGATTAGGTAACTACCAGATTCAATGTTGATTGCTCAATTGACAGGCGTTAACTAAACCACTTTAGGATTGGTCACTGCCATCATTGATCACTGTCATGTGCCCACTGCACTGTTCAATATGCACAGTGTACTTAAGGATAGTTATGATTAAGCCTCTATGAACTAAAGTCACGGTGATTTAATTCAACTTTAGGTATTGCATTAGGCTTAATTCTTAGACTAATTGAACAATCAGTGTACCTACACTAGTCTTTACAGTATGTAAGTATTTTATCGGGCCTGTCGGCGGGCCAACTAGTGGGGCAGACAGTAGAAGCTATGACCCAATAAATATAAACAAGGAAAATATTCTACCGCGCAAGACCGTGGACCTTTCCTGATCTGACCTGAATCCACATGTTAATCCTTTAACCCATTTTCTGTCCATCCATCACCCACCATTCGACCAACAACCCTCCATCACCACCGTCACGTAAATTTCCCTTGAACAACAAAATTTTCAACATCATCATTAATTTGGTCAACCACTGATCAATTTTGTCCTCGAACACTTAATGTTCTCTTAGACAGTAGGACATTTGTGTTTTCTGTTTTTATTCAGTTCATATTAGCATCCTGGTTGTGCACCATGGAAGCTACGAGTCCTCCCAAGCGCATGACGCGTGCGCGAGCAGCTGCGAAAGATGCTGCATTCACTCCCAAAGACGCCACTGCCTCTACCGCGACCGGTCCTACTCTTGCCACCAAAGCCAAAGCCACTACTACTAAGGCAGCCTCTGCATCAAAAACCTCGACTTCAACTACCACAAAAAAGCCTGTGACCACGACGCGTTCTACTAAACGAAAGACGCGCCCTGATGAGGAAGAAGATGAGGGCAATCAAACAGATGCAGGACAACAGGACGCAATGATCAAACCTGCCAAGACTCGAGGCAGGCCGAAGAAGGTTATCGAATCCGAAGCAGAATCTGAAGGAGAGGCATTAACTGAGACTTCATCGACTGCCACTCGAGCGACGCGTGGTAGAGCCAAGAAGGCTACTCCTGCTCCTTCTAGCGCTACCGCGGTAGCCACCACAGCCAGTAAACAAGGGCCAGCGAAGTCTACACGCACCAGCACCCGAGCCCGAAAGACGTCTGCTGAAGATACCAATGCTGAGGCGTCAATGTCGTCTGAGCCAGTCAAGAAGACTCGCCCACGCGCTACGGCCAAGGCTAGGAAACCAACTGGGGTTATTACCACTACTGTCTCGACTGAGCCGACCCCAGGTTTGAAGTCTGCTGTCTCCAGACCTGCCTCTAGAATCGGCGGTCCGGTGAAGAAGACGGTTACCTTCCAAGAGCCGACCGAGAAAGAGAACTTGATGCCACCTGCGGCAAAGAAAATCAAGTCAAATGCTACTGAGACTGCCACTGGCATGCGAGCTAGGCCTGTTCGCAAGCCCGCCGCTGGTGGAAGAACTACTCGAGCAAGTGCAAGAACGGAGACAGTTAGCGAGAAAAGAGACAAGTCCCCTCTGAGCCCTAAGAAGGATGCCCAGAACAAGTCATTGTCTCGAGATCTCGAATCAGATGACGAGCTTGCAACATTGGAGAAGACTCCCCTCAAGGCCCTAATGAAGAGTCCAGTGAAGCCGCCTGCTGCTAGTAAATTGCTCGATCTGCCCCCAGTCAAGGAAACAGATGAACATGTGCCTGAGACTTCAGAGCCGGCTGGTGCATCAGCACTTGGTAGCCCAGCTCGCAGACCTCCTTCTTCTCCCTGGAAAGATTCATTGAAGTCGCCGGCAAAGAAGGTAGACGCTGTTCCGTCTTTGCTCTTTCCACCAAAGAACGAAGAGCAGCACATGACATCTCCCGGCAAGACGGCGATTCTTCAGTCGCCTGCTAAGCGACCGCAAATTCCTATCAAGTCACTTCAACCATCTTCTCATGAGTCTAGTGATACTTTCCGCTCGCCAATTAAGATTTCTCTATTCCAATCTCCGGCAAAACGTCCCACTTCTCCATTCAAGTTCCACGGACTTTCGGGGCAGCCCCTTGGCCATGATTCTGATAAGCTATTCACACCCAAGACTTCGTCAACCGAGGTCCAAGACACGCCAAAAGAGCTTACACCTGAGGAGCCAGTTGCAGCCGAGACTCAGGCTGAGTTCTCACTTAGTGAGCAGCCTGAGGAACCTCAAGTTGAGAACAATTCAACCCCTTTACTTGAATTCCCTGGTCGGTTGTCTGCGGTTTTGCCTCGATTCGCCGACCCAGCTCTGAAACAGAACCCGCTTCCCGCTATGGAAGCTCAGCCCGCACAACTAGAGTCGGCCCAAGCTGTTGAGATCCAGCAAGAGCCAACTGTAGACGCCAATAATGACGAAATCAATGATGACCCTATGGATCTTGATGAGCCTGAAATAGAGAAGGAGGAGATTCCCAAGGAAGTTCCGACCACCCCACCTACGCCAGTTGTCAACTCTGCCTTCAGTCTACGTGAGAAGGAATTGGATGATGACATGTCAGACTCGGAGGATGAACTTGCATCAAGCGGGAAGACGTTAAGTTTCGCCGGCGTTCCCGCAACGCCTACACCAAGTACATCTAAGACCCTACGCGGAGTGCCTTCCAGCGCAGCCAAAGCTGCAAGTCGCGCCATCCGATCCGTTTCTAAGGGAACCAGACTTGGATTCCCCACGCCTAGTGGCCAGCTTACATCGAGTCCTTCGAAGCAGGACAAACTAGAAGAACGCCTCTCTCCAGAGTTCAAAGATGAAGGTTTTTCATTGCTTAAGGAGAATGATACCGCACCTGCAGAATCTACGCCGTCAAAGAGCTATTTTGATGAGGAGATGAGAATTCGTGCCGAGATGGAGAATCAGGCTGCCATGGAGGCTGCTCTGGAGGCAGATATTGCTGCTAAATATGATAATGATGATGATCCCGACTTCAGCATCATGCCCATTACTCAAGAAGATGTTCAACTTGCTGCCGAAGCAAATGAGATGTCGCTGATGGAAGTCGATGAGGTCAAGGACGTCCATGGTCATGATGACTCGGTGTCGGATGCTAGCCAGGAGTATGGTGATGAAAATGCCGTCCCTATCGACCCGGCTCTCCTAGGCACCAATGCTAGTGCACGTCGTCTTGAGCCAGCAACGCCTATTCGACCATCTGCCGCAAAGGCTTTTCACACGGTCTCTAAGGTGCCATTGAAGGCAGCAGATAATTCCACCCCTAGTTTTATGAAGAACCTGAGTGCAAGCGTGTCACGACTTACTTCCAATCGTCCAGCCGGTCTCTTCAAAAATGCGTCTGCCCTTTTATATCCGTCCACTAAGGGCTCTTCATCAACGGCCGTTGTAGAAGAGGAGGAGGAGGAGGAGCAGAAGTATCCTCCCGTTACCCCCGTCAAGTCTGATATCTGGTCAGCTATGGGCACACCAGGTCGTACTCCCCGTCGCGATCTTAACGACTCGATGCTTCGAGGTGCAGTTGTCTTCGTGGACGTGCACACTAGCGATGGTGCAGACGCCAGCACCATCTTTGTTGACCTCCTAACGCAAATGGGTGCACGTTGCGTAAAGAGCTGGCCTTGGAACCCAACCAACGCCAACAACGATGGATCCATGGCCAAGATTGGCATCACCCATGTGGTCTTTAAGGATGGAGGCAAGCGAACGTTGGAGAAGGTCAAAGAGACCGGTGGTGTTGTCCAGTGTGTTGGGGTTTCCTGGGTCTTGGAGTAAGTCTGTTATTGTCTTGAATGTTATGACTACAATACTAATATCCTTTCTTCTAGCTGTGAACGTGAAAACCGATGGGTTCATGAAGCACCTTATTTTATCGACACTTCCCTGGTCCCACGTGGCGGACGCAATCGCCGTAAGAGCATGGAGCCTAAAGCCCTGGCCAATTTCAATGGCACTCTGGTCACACCGATGAAGACCAACACTGGACCACCCCGAGACTGTATGACAGTCCCTAACAATCACGTGAGCCGTCGTGACAGCACTGTCTGGATGCGCACCCCGTCGGACCATGATGAAGATGAGGATGCACCTAGTGAGCACGACTGGGACAGGGCGGTCAACATGCTAACCCCTGTACCCAAGACTCCCGCCCCAGAAGCCGTGGCCAGGTTTGCGATGGACGTCACCCCGGATAGCCCAAGCACTCTATCGTATGACGATGATGACGGAGAGCGAGAGCAGTTGCTTATGCGAACCTGTCCCCCCAAGAAGAGCTCCAACACCTTTACCGACCTTGGCGAGGACTTTATGGGACAAAACAAGAACCCAACTTTTATCATGCGTCTAATGGAGGCGCGACGCAAGAGTATGCAATTCGCGCCCAAGGTAGCAAGCCCGCTCTCCAAGGCTTGGAACTAAGTTGGGCCTGAAAGCATTCCGGCAAATATCTTATTAATAATGAGGAGGGCACAAGCATGGCATAGGCGTTTAGGTGGCGCAAGACGGTTGATCATAAAAGAAAAACCTGGAGGGGCAGAACTGTTTTGTTTCTTTTCCCCTCAAAGGGACATTTGGTCTTGTTCGTTTCGGTCACTCGTTATTGGTGTCTCGGGATAGAGACGACCATTTTCCAAAAGCATAAGCCTGTCTAGGAAAAGACAGGTACCGGTCATGTTAGCGGCGTTGAGTATTGAGATGGATAGTAGGGTGCATACCTTGTTGTTTTTCCGTTTCTCCTGTCTCACTAAGACTCAAAGGTCTTGACTTGGAACTAGGCTTAGGCCGTGCTCACCTACGTCCTGATTAGGTCGTCGTCACCTACTAAGGTAGTTGTTGATGTACCCAGACATGGATCGTGAAGAGTTTAATGGATTCACTAAAGACACAGGCTGTGGCTACCTAGGTAGATGTGAATACTATTGAAAAGAAAGGATTGATCTCTATATTGCTCGCTGACTCATCCGTCTGTATATTGACTCTCTGATTATGCCCCAGCTGTCATTGGTGATCGTTCTGTAACTGTCTAGCAGAAAGGGCTACGAGGCCCCTCTGAGCATAGCCCTGGGGGTGGTTGATTTATAGGTCCCAGGTAAATGAGCATACTATGTAGGTCATATAAGACGGCAGTGTAGTGTATTATGCCTAGGTAAGTAAGGCATAATAGGGCTGATTAATCTGTCCTCATCTCGGATCCTATAGGTAGGTCCTGCACATGTGTTTTTGGCCAGGTTACACATGGACTTCACTTACATGTAGGTTAGTATATATAGATATAGGTATATATGTATTATACAAATGTACAATGTACGTTATGTATCTAGAAGCCTAGATACTACGGTTAGGATGCACCCCTGTCTTTTGCCACATGTTGCGTGCTTTTTGATGTCCTTGCCGGGCTTGCCCTACATATACCTTCTAGGTACCTGCCTACTTGAGCCTAACCCTAGGCGCATATATGTGGAAATACGTACGTGCCGCGATTTCTAGCGGGACCGGGGATCGGGCTTCGGGAAGAGGAGGGGAAGGGGAAGGGGAAGGGGAAGGGAAGGGGTCGGGCCTTGCCGAAGGTTTGTTGGTATTGGTATAATTATTCAATGTATTGTATTGTATTGTATTGTATTGTATTACATGTATACTAGGTAGTTATCGTTGGGAGCAGGTGGGTTCGAGGCACATCCGAGACGTGCATTCATGTGGGATTCAATGTTGTTATATACATACTTACATATGTAGGTATTGCCCATACATAATGACTATGTAGTACGCACTGAAGTTATCCCGCGGTCATGGGTATCGGTGTTGTTAGTGATGCATACTGTACATAAGCACCTGGGCAATCACATGTTACCTTACATACCTAGGTATATAGAATATGTACTACTTATGTAGGTACATGTAGGTAAGGATTTCTGGGCATCTGGAGATTATGCATAGTCCTTTAGTGCATGTGGTTAAGGGTTCGATGTCGGGATTTGTAGCGTACTTTACGTACATAGGTGCATACCTACATCCTACATGTGTATGTATCTCCCTACATACCCGTGGACATGTATGTAGGTACTAGGTACTACTAGTACTTCAATGTTGTTACAGGGTTAGATACAGTAGTCTGGTTATGGGTTATGGAGGTTGCACTACCTATCGCATCCATAATAGCCGCACCACTTGCACGTACGATTCTGCCTGTGACCTACATACATACATGCTTATTATGTATCACCAAGAGTTCACCAAGTCGGCGTTTCTTTGTTGGTGTACATACTACATGTAGGTCTGTATGTACCTTAAGTACCTAGTGCATGTATGTAGGTGCGGTAACGAGGATCTGACATGCATGACACAGAGCCAAGAGGGATTGTATGTACATGAACATGATGGATGGGGGTTCAGCCGCTTCTACGGGCGCATCTAAGCCCAGTAAAGGGAAATATTTGCATAATAGGGGTTTCCATATCTAGCTATACTAGGTATGTAGGTAAGTAGGTATGTATGTAGGCTTATGAGTGAGGCCCGTATAGCCTTGAAAGTTCTACAGCTGTTACCTACATGTCCAGGTGTGTTACAGACGGTAAACGTCACCTACTTACATACCCCTTGCTTGGTATCTATTATGCACCTACCTACCTAACCTTAGTACTGTCCTATCTATCTACCTAGGTAATGTTTAAAAACATTGTAGGTTGATGGCTTATTAGCTACCTACTCCTAGCTTGACTCGTGACGGGTAGTAGCTTTAGGCAATTAACTAGATGCATATCACGAGTCAGCTACTGGCCCACCTACTTGACGTGCATACTCACTTAGATCTTATATATGCATCTGTAACCGCTTTCTACCTGCCGTAGGCGGACAGGCATTCGACAGCTGTGAATCTTATCGGGCTCACAAGTCAGCTAGCCACGCATATATTTATAAGATTGGGTAGGTACCTGTATGATGTACATTAGTGTTGTTCATGGCCATCATATCAAGTAGATCCCCCTTACAGCGCGTAAAAACGGGAATCCCAACTTTAAACGACATCCAAATATTAGCTCAGAACGGAACTAGATCATGAGGCGGCGTGGCATATATCTATCTATCACGGTCCACTACTTCAACCAAGGTACCCCCTATTTGTCAAGATGCCGTAGGTAACTAGGTAAATAGTAGGTAGTATATAATTCCCAATGACAACAGAAATAGCCAGGGGTAATGGGAATATATCAACCAGCGAAGCTCCACGACTTGATTACCATCCAAGCAGGTAGGCTCTCTTGGTCAGGAATAATTTGCTTACAATACACTACACCTGACCCATGCCTGATATATTCGTCATACAACATATATAGTGCCTCCACCGCATTCCTCAGTCTCGGCAACACACATACACACACATATATACGAAGGCCTTCACTTTCCCAAACGGTCAAAAGTGGGCATATCATTCAGCCCCCAATAGTAAGAGCTTCATAATTTAACTTCTCATTGTGTACTCAGCGTACTATAACAGTAGTACAGTATACTAATATAGGTAGGTATATATATATAGGTATGTATGTATGTATGTATGTATATTTATCAGTCAGTTAGATGTAGGCGTGGGTGTCTCTATCCCACACAGTAAACGTAAGATGCCGTGGTATCATGTATACGTACACCGATGAGATAAAAGGAAAGAAAGGGGGACAAAAAAGAAAAAGCAAGGACCAACCCGCCATCGCCATGCAGATCTTATTGTACAAAGAGGCAACTCGTGTGAAAAGATAATAAAAAGTCCCCCAAATAGTGTAGACAATGACAACAATGATAAGCCTTATCTTTTGCCTCGTGGGTTACGGTCCCAGATGCCACCTCGAAACGCCTTGCCAAGCTTTTGAAGAACTGCCCTTTTTCCTCTTTTCCAATAGAAGATCCAATAGAAGTCTGCCTGCCACGAATCGGCCAGTAGTCCATATAACCCCTGTCGTACTTCACTTGTCATACTTATCTCAAAAATGCTTCTTGTATAGCCCTGACATCAATCGCTTTACGCGTTGCGGCTAGATTCGCTTCCTTGGGTAGCAAACAATACTTCTCTGTATTAGCCCCCTCCCACCTCCCCCCCCCTTTTTTTCCCTTCATTTTCCCTCCCTTCTTATCCCTGTCGTCGTATTTGTGCCTGCCAATACAGGCTTATACCCTCTTTTTATACATGCGATGGATAAGATAGATGGAATATATATATGGTAAATAATATATGAGTAAGCTGGTGGAAATGTAGGCGACATATTGCTGTAGGGCGTATGACATCGCCGATCTGTTTCTTCATCCAAATGTCGCTAGTTATGAGATCCTTTTACTCATGCTGGCCAATAAGAGAGACTGTGGATCTAAATCAATGCTCATCAGTAAAGCATAGCTACATATGTAGTCTAACGACGCTTATGCATCGTATCGATCGAGGTACCGTTGTCGTAATCCCAATGCCGCTTCAAGCCGCCCTCGTACACGCTAGCAACAGACTCTTGCCACATAGCAGGCGTCACAAATGTTTGGACAGGAGGAGTTGAGTATTGATGCGCTAACGGTTGTGTCACGGCTGGCATCGACCCAGTTGCGATTTGGATCTCCTGAGCCGTTGGGACTTCGGGGGCACCTGAAGATGAAGGAATACTTAGAGGACTGGACTGTGAAGCCACCGAAGTTGGCTGATTTGGGAGCTGTTGCGTACCGAAAGTCGTATTCCATTGACTACAATGGTCGCATCGTTAGTAAAGGTCTAGCTTGCCAAGAAGGCCAAGGGAAAAGGAGGTGTCAAATATACTTACTCAAATAACCGTGTGGGATTCCAGGTGGAATGGTCTCCCAATGTCATCCCGCTTGAAAGGGTTGATGCCTGCGCACTTTGGCCAGGAGTCATCAAGGAGAGCGACTGCGCAGAAGGAGAGTCACTCTTGGTGTCCGCGGAACCAACAGAGATAGGTGTTATAGGATGGTTGGCATAACTAACTTGCGAATGGTGACCAGTGTGTGGGTCCATGCTAGGGTCCATCGGGCTCGACTGGAGCTTGTAGGTGTTGGCGGTAGGTGGGCTCGAATGGCTGCTAGGATGGGGACTCCCGTATGGGAAGCTTGGTTTTAATACGAACGGTTTCCTAGTATCAGCAGAGAAAGCCTCTCGCAGAGCATTGATTTGTTTCACCATCTCCGGCAACGGCCAAGAGTGCATTGTTTTCTCCAAAATTCTCATATGTCGTGTGAAGTAATCTCGGGCATCGCTATTGAGTTCCGGGTCAGGGGAAGTTAACGCCACCTGCAGATCGTGGTTAGTCTTTTCCCTTTTTTCAAATTTTATGAGATCTAAAAGGGAGCCGATAGCAACGCACAAGGTAAAGGACGATGCAAGACAGAATAGCATAAATGGTGAAACTGATGCCTCGTTGCATGCATTGAAGTCCACTCAGGCCGTAGGACTGTAGCATCGACTCTTCGATTCGGCACAGGGACTTTGCTGCCGAATAGCATAGAACCATGTGTGATTTCCACTGCCCGTCTACACCCATCGGTTCGAGGAAAGACAACTGTGGTCGGTGAAGGATGATTATGCTCAAGTAATAGTACGAATGCATATTCCCAATAAAATGCGACGGGAGCCAAGGCGGTGATCCATCCGCCGGGAAACTTATACGCAGATCAGCTGGTAGATCATTCACCCAGCCCGAAATCGTCGGGTTAAGCTGCACTAATTCAGGGTCAATTCCCCAATCCTTCTTCTTCTTTATCCTCGCATATACCGCGTTCATCCGGTTGAGGTTCCGAGCGATGCGGGCCAGGTACGTGAAATTCCGACTGGCATGGTACTCGCTCTCATCGCAACCAGGTAAAGGTCTCGGGACGTTGAAGTCCACCGACTCGGGATCCGCGGAAAGATCTTGCCGCCCTGCATTATATTTAGAATGTGAAGAAGCCACCGAGTAAAGTTTTGAGTTGGTTTACCTTGAGGTGCGGCTATCATTGTCTCGCATGTAAAAATCGTTTGCCATATTCGACTCTTAGTAAAACACTCCATGGGAGAAGAGCCGCAAGATTTTCCGGCCCTATGATCTTCAAGATGCTCATCAAGCCCTAGGTCTTTGGCCATGGCAACACAATGCACAATTGACATCCAGGATCGGTAATAGTAGCCACGCTTTGGTGAAGCCTCCCTCGCCTTCAGGATAATTAGAAGCGCTTGCAAGGTGCTCAACCGTGGCACATCCATAAAAGAATCAGCATGTTCTGCATCATGTTAGCTCAAAAAAGAACAGGTCCAGCTTTTATTCATTCAGGGGGTCTTTACTCGACGCCAGAGCAATCCATTGCTGTCCTTGAGCCGGGTCGTCGTCGAGTCGGCCGGCCACGGCGAAAATTGCTTCCAGTAACAAAGGCGAGATCGATTCCCTATTTGTGTGCCACTGCTGGTATAGTTGACTTTTATTTAACACAGGAACGTAGGGGTGGACGTTGGTGAAGTAGAGATCAAAGTAATGGAGGATAGTTCCATCATCTGGCATTAGTTCTGGTGGTATTCGTATCTTTAATCCGGGCCCTGAAGGAATAGGCGGTAGAATGGCCTTGTAATCGTCCGCGTCCTCAACTGCAGGTTCCTCTTCCTCGTCCCCAAACGCCATTTTCTTGTTTAAGTATGGGGCTTGAAATAGTTAGCAGTTATAGATACTAGGAATATAGCAAGATCCCAATCGGAACTGACCTGTTCCCGCTTCGTCAACTTTGAGAGAGCCCAAGATGTCAGCAAGGTCCGGTTGCCCGTACTGATCCTGGCTGTAAGACTCAGGAGAAGACTCAGAATGCGCTGAGTGGTGGTGCATCGGCGGAGTCGGGAACACACTGGCGGGAGCATACGACTGATCCATGGCCCCCACTTGCGGCATTGCGGAATATTGGAGTTGATGCGGCGGCGCTGGCGGATCTCCATATGTCATAGATGAGTATACATTCTGGTGGTCAGGATATGGACCAGGCGTCGGGTACAGGTTTGCCTTGGGTTGGCTAGACATCATGGACTGAGACGGTTGTTGTTGCATGGGCATGTGTCTGAAGGTATTTTGGCTGGATGCGACTTCATAATCGGACGGTGTAGCTTCGTAAGATTGCGAGTCGGATTGCGATCCCTCGTATTGGCCATTGGGCCGTACGCAATGAAGCTTAAGTCGGATACAAGCTGAACAGGGCCAAGTATTCGTCGTCGCAGCATCGCATTTAATTTTCCTTCTTCTACAACCCTCGCATGCCCTCATCACTAACACCGAATAATCCCATTAGTTGCCATTTTTCTGACGTGAGAATCTCAAGGTGAAGATTTCCATACCCTTCAGCCGCTTATGCCGGTTGTGCTCGTCTACGAATACATAGTCTATAAGTTAAATAAGGCAAGTTAGAATCATACGGTCGCACTAGACGATGGGAAGCATGTTCGTGAGTCGCACTTTTTTGAGTCTCTCTAGGAGGTTGATAGGTTTGCGGCCCAAATGAAAACGAGCTCAATGATGAGTTAGAATTCTGAGGCAACAGCCTCCGAACAGACTGATCGTTATTCGACATGGTTGCTTCGTATCTCGTGCGTCTCGTATGTCTCGTCGCTCGGTGAGTTCAGGGCCCCTCGAAGACTCGAGTTCAACTATGATTCCTCCCACCCGCGATTAATAATTGACCATTGGTATTTATTTATCGATTACCGACAGTAAACCAAGGTAGCTGGCTCAACTGGGGCGGGTTAGTAGTTCAACGTTGCGGTATATAAGGCTGATATATAGTTGCAGCATATGAATAGTAGCTAAATCGAGAGGGCGCAAAGTTGGAAAAAGGTGTGTAATAGGTAATAGTGAAGTATTAAAGGTAAAAGCGAAAATCAAAAGCAAAAGGGTGGAAGTTAAAAAGCTTAAAGCGGGCGCGCGCTACAAGCTTAAACAAGGTTAACAACGACCATCAAGGAAATATCCGCACCTGCACATCTGCACATCTGCAACTGCAACTGCAACTGCACCTACAACTGTAACTGTAAAGTTAGATTGTTTAAGGTTAAGCAGCTAACCGTACATACATACTATTCTCAACTAGTACCTATTAGTACCTAGGGTAGGTACTAGGTAACCTACGTAGTACATTTAATATGTATTCGATGTTAAGTATACATAGTTACAACTTGTATGAAGTTGTATCTACATAGTTATGTATTAGTGTACATATTAATATTTATTTCATGGATTGTACTGCGCTACTGGCTGATACAGTTAGAGCTAGGGCTGGAGCTGGTAGAGAGGGGGGGAAGGAGGCGGGATGGGGTGGACGTCAGTCAGGCAGGCAGGCAAGCAATTCCACCCCTACCGGTGTATCTAAAATGTTAGGTAGGTATTCAATACATTTGATGGTAGAGTAATGCAAGGTGGGCAAGTGGACTAACCTAGGTGGACTAGGTGGGCTGGATATGGATCTTTTGCTTTTTGCCCAGGAGAAGACCCGATGTTCAGGTTAATGAGGGGGGGTTAACCATGCCCCCCAGGCCCCCCCTGCCATGAGCACGGTACAATACATAGTACCATTGTTGTATATGTAAGTAAGAAGGAATAACATTAAATACATAACAAAGAGTGTACTTAGGCATGTCCCAACTATTGTAGATACATGCAATACGATGTATATAATAAAACATTCAATGTTGAAGGCAATACATACATAGAGCCATTAATGTACTACTAGTAGTATGTATTCAATGTTGTTAGTAGATATTATATGCACTACAGTACCTACTAACTGATTCTAATGTTGCTAGTTGCCACTACATCTACACTACCTATAACATAGTATGTAATTAGTAGTCTAGCCCCCCCAATTGCATATTAGCCCCTGTCTCTCACTTTTCTGTCTTGCTTTCAAAGTTCCTTGCCATCGCGTGGTTCCTGCTAACAAATTACGTACGTAACCCCTACATAATACATGTAAGGTTAAGCAGGTGCTTGTTGTTATTTTTCAGCCTACATAATGTACCCTAGGTACCTAGTATATCTACATACCCACTAACCTACATGTAGCTATATACATACATTCTATTGCCTGCCCTAAGCAGTATTAGGTAGTAGTATGGCTATTACTATGTAGTTAGTAATTCACTTCATCCAATGTTCACTAACCTAGTCTTCTACCACTATTCTACATGTTTAATATTCTACATAACATCAAACGCCGTCAATATCAATATCCTTACTATTACAACCTGGAACTTGAACCTCAACTGTCAATCAAATTATAGTATAAAGTATGTATGTAGCACGACCTCAAGGTACTATACTGTGTAAGTACATACATATCAATGGCATATTAATGGATGTGTCCGCGTCTGTACGCATGGATATCGGACGGGTAATTACGTACTATGATTCGTAGTAAAATTGTCCTCTTTGGCAAGAGATCCGAATATTTCTATGTAGGTAGATCTTATAACTGTTAAAAATAGACTTGATATAATATTAAGAATTATGCCGTGGCGATAGCTACACACATAGCCTCTATACCGGAGATACACACATTACTTTCCAGGTTTTATACGAGAGTTATTTCGGTGTTGAGTGTTTTCAGAGTCATATCTCCATGATACATGATGTTAGGTGTTAGGTATGTTGTTTGTCCATACATACCAACATTCGCGTCTGCTCAGACGAGTATACGATGGGGTATACGATGGGATTGGCAGGCATATCATGCGTGGTATCATGGTTTACATATCAATAATATGCAATACATACTTACCAGGTAGGTACCCAACCTTGCCAACCTTGCCAGCCTACCTACCTACCTAGATACCTACCTAGAATCCTAGATACCTACCTAGATACCTAAAGATCGATCGCTACACGATAAAGTAAGTTAGTTATTATGACTTGGTTCGTAGGATTCCAAGTCGCTGGGCTTTGCGGGCCAGTACCGCACTATAATACAAGTACCGTATCATCTATTGTTCGGTCCCATTCTCGCGCAAACCCCTAGATAGTCTATCCATCTAGGTACATTAGCGCAGCGAACCAGTAGTCTAAGTGGGAATCGAACGAAGCCATTCTGCCGGGAGTTGTAGGAAGAGTTACCACACACAGTAGTAACTAGTAGTAACAAGGTGAAGAGATCAAATAAAATACCGAATCCGAGCAGAACCTCGATTGATCCATTGAATTAGTCAATTGGGCCCCTACGTACATAGTTAGATGGATAGTTTTAATATGCAGCAGCTGGTCGCGCTTTGTGTGCCCAGCCCAAATATCGAGGACCGATTACGTATCGAGTATTGTAATAATGGCAAGGCTACATACATGTACACATTCGGTAGGTATATTCGGTGTGAATATTCCCTTTCCCGACTATCATCGTCTCGCAACAATAATACATACCTATGTACCAGAGTATGTACCAGAGAATGCAATGCAGCCCCTATTGGGATAGAAGAAATTAGCAAAAGCCTGGAAGCGTCGCGGAATATGCCGCCTCAGCACAAGATGCATCTGAAGACGTCGTACCTCGGCAATCCCTAAACATTAAGAGACCCGATATAGGATGAAACGTCTGAGGGGGCAACCAAGCGCCTCAGGTGGGAAGCCCACGTCCAGCTTATCCCACCCGAGTACTCGAGTACATACATACAATAGTGGTATGTAGGTAGTAGTAGTCTACAATACCTACCTACATATTTGAAGTAGAACGGCTCAAGTGAGATGAGGTGGCAAGTCGATAGCCGCCGAAGCGGCAATAATAGAGGTAATAATGATGATAGTAAGTGACTTTGGTAACATTGGCATTTTGGGACCATACGCATGCGTTCCAAGGGGAATAGGGCTGCAAGGTGCATACATCCATACGTACCTACATAACATGCTTACCTAGGTACCTCAGCAATGGTATTCAACGTTGTCAGTCATGTCCAAATCCATGTCCATACATATCTACACATGTATGTAGTTCGCACCAGCGAGAGATCAGGGGCAGGCAATGCATGGGTATGTATGTACATACTATACCTAGATGATTAGTTACTAGCCAGAACAACAACCCAGCAGCACCTCTCGGGGTCTTTTCTAGAGCCTACCTTCCATGTGTATGTGACTCGAACCCAATCATCAAACACAGGTACCTTACTGAATTGAATTCATCCCCCTTTTGCATGATTTCGATCATTTACTAGTTCGCAACTAGGACCCTGTGGGCTGCCTTGTTTGCATGTTGATGGCCCTGGCCCTATTACCTGAGTAGCAGCAGCCAGGTTAGAGGATTAGCGGTCAAGCCTGCAAGCGCCAGAAGACAACTGGGAAGTTCCTCACGCGCTCTTGATTACGACGAGTAGTTTGGCCAGGAGGTTGAAGCGGCCTGACTGAGCACTTGCATTTGCATTGCAGGAGGCAATAGAGAGGCGGTTGCGTGAAAAGTGACAGCGTGACAAACGTACTCTTCATAAAGTAATGATTGGTCGCTGTCAGCAACCCTCGCTTACCGAGTATTCTCCCGCTGCCCCTTCTAGATACATAGTTGGTAGTTGCCAACGAAGAACCCTCCACTCAGAAGAGATCAGTAGCCACCCCCCCTTTTTTGTTTTTCTGCGAACTTCTGTGATTTCTGTGATTTCTGTGATTTCTGCTTACATAGACAAAAAGCGATCTCGCTAGACCTATCCTTTAAACTAGCCCTTAGCCCACCTTGTAGATACTAGGACCTAGGTAGGTTGGAAGGATAGTACATACTTGTCCAATACCTGCAGCCTTCGTGTAGTGTGCATGTAGATGTAATAGACTATAACGGGGTTGATTAGTGATTTACCTACTACCTATGATAATAGCAAGTATGTATGTAGGTATGTAGGGATTCAACTCTTCCGAAGTCCCGAGGTATCCTAGTTGCTACTAGGTACAACGGCAGGATGCTCCCCCACGGAAACATATCCAATCATTGAAGATTTGTAGTCTTTACATAGTACTCAAGTCTCTACTTGCCGAAGAGGGACTAAACCCATCGGATCAGGTTGATTGGTGAGAAAATTGTCATCAATAAGCCATACATCCCACCCATCGCTACAAATTCTGGGAAGCACCCAAGGTTGTATTGCGGTAGCAAATCGATAGATGCGCAAGCCAGCCGCTTCCCACACTGCTTAGAAGGGATTAGCTTCATGAACAGCTTTGGTAATAACTTTGCCGTCGAGTAGATATCTTAACATGTATGTTCAACTTAACAAACGTGTGCTACTAGGTCATCGGATTGACGAAAATAGTGCACCTTGACAAAGTGCATAGACAGGAGTGATAAAGATCTATTCTTAGACTTTCTCGTACCAAGAAATTGTCACTCCTCACGCATGAGAGGGTACCGGATTCTTGGGAACGGCTGTGTCCGCATTCTAATCGATTTCCCCGATCAGGCCTGGAAAATACTGTATCGTTATCCCTTTCCGGTAAACACGGCCGGAGCATGGGAGACGTATTCGGCTTGTGCCTGGCAAGCCTGTCGATCATAAGGCGCGTGGTTCGGAGCCGAAGGCGGGAGGGTAAACCAGACCAGAAGCATGGGAAATTCCATGTATGCTAGCGGTACATATGTATTACCATACGTACCACAGGTGCACCAAGCCACTACATACATAATGTAGGTAACTAGGTTAGGTGCTTGACGGTCTTGACCTCTCGTTGAGTATATCATTCATTGGTGTAGGTACATAGTTATGTAGGTACCTGATACGTACCCTCTAATAAAAAAAGGGGGGGGGAGGGTTAACCAAAGCTGGTAAGCATTAAAAAAGGGCAAGCTTTCGAAGCAAGCTTTCGTCGTACGAGTCATGCGTGGAGAAGAGATCCAAGACGGTCCAATGATATCCCCTACTAGTCCAGATTCGATACCGTAAAGGGGTCTCGCTAGGTCTCTCTCTCTAGGTGGGTTTCTCTCACTACACCATACATAGTGTACCTAGGGTAGGTTTCTCTCGCCAGGTATTGCGCTGCCGCACAAGTCAGAGGTTGTCGCGCATGAAATTTGCATCAGTGAAACAGCCGCAGCTGGTTGTAACGGTTGTATCACATTTCGGTACTGTACTCTCGTCGATACACATACACATACACATCGATACCCATCAAATCGGCCATCCCCTGCATCAGATGGTTGCATCTGCTCACGTCAAATATGTCGAAAGGCGACCTAGCTATCGGGCCTTGATTTCAAGGGCCTTTGCTGATCGGTCGATCATCTGGAGAAGGTGAATGCGTAGGTAGGACCTGGTAGGTACTGTGGTAGGTGTAGTACATCATGGGTGCCAGCTGTAGTTGCACCGAGTGTGTTCTAGCTCCAAGATGGAAGAACTTTGATCTCAATCTTGGGAAAATTCCAAGACTACAGTCTACCCCACTGGACTAGGGGGGCAGTGTAGTGGTTACTTCCATGTTTGATACATAAAATGTAGATATGAGGATGATGTACTATTACATAGTACTGTGTACTAGCATAGGTAGGTACTATGTATGATTTACATACATAGTTAGTACTAGTATCTCATTCAATGTTGTAAGAAACTTGAACAATTATATCAAATTATCAATTATTATATGAATGCAAAGAATAGTAAATGATAAAGTTAAGTGCAGGATATAGAATTTGTTAGCTTCAAGGGTCCCGATGTCTCTACACATGGCATAATACCTAGTACATACATGTACCTACATAGGAACATTGAAGGCTACATGTAGATTAGATGGATAAGATAAAGAAAGAACCCTGGGAAAACAATAGCCCGAATAGCCCCTCCTAAGTACCTAATCATCCCGCCGAGGCAATGAATGACATCGGTTTTACAACACGCTTAACTTTAAAGACTTTCAACTTACTAATAACTCTTAACTTACTTACTCCCAATGTCACTAACTCACTTACACACCTACTTCAACATTTTCACCCTTCCCGCAAATTATCTTAGATACATCGACCCTCATCTGAATAATTCTTCAACTCACACCGAATCTCAAAGGGAACAGAAGGGAAAGTGAAACGAAAGAAAAAAAGAGAAAAGGAAAACGAAACCAACCTAGCCTTACACTACGACTCACGATAACCAAGATGGAAAAAGACAATGCTAATCCCACTATTCTCAACACTTCTCAGCTTCCAACAAGACAGCGCAAGAAGGGACGCAGGGTTCAAAGGAACGCTGAATCCAAAATTAGCAGTATCATTCCCAGACCACAATATCTTTCAGATGTCTTCAATGATGTCTCTGGCTCCGACGAGACCGAAAGCGACGGCGAATTTACGGCAGAACCCATTGATGAACAAGAAGTATATGGTAAGAATAGCCCAGTTCGTATTAGCCTAAGCATTATTGGTGTACCCATAAGTGTGTCCATGGATGATGGCATGGAATACTTCTGGTTCAGGGGTGCATTGGTGACGCGGATCTCTTAGAAGTCCAGGGCATCGTTCTGATCATCGTCAATGCGACACATCCCGGATACCCATGTGGTCTCACCATCCCAGGCCCAGAACCCAGAACCCAGAACCCAGAACCTAGAACCCCCACACTTTATGATCGCTGCTGAAAGTCCGATACCTAGTATCGTACAAGACATCATTACTCTATATTTAGCATTCGGGAGAATAATGGCTGATGTTTTGCAGATCTTATCTCGACCATCTCTGATCCGGAGCATCCACTATCGCTTGGTCAACTAGCCGTCGTCAATCTTCCTGATATTGATATTACTCCATCCCCTTCGGTGGTTGCCGATCCCAACACCTTAACAAGAGTCTTAGTTAAAATTACACCTACCATCACCCATTGTTCACTAGCCACTGTCATCGGTCTTGGAATACGAGTACGTCTAGAGCAAGCTCTTCCACCAAACTACCGAGTAGACGTCGTAATCAAGGAGGGAACCCATAGCCAAGATGACCAAGTCAACAAACAGCTGGCCGATAAGGAAAGGGTTGCCGCGGCTCTAGAAAATGACACATTGAGAGGTGTTTTGGACAAGATGTTGGAGACCTGCGTATGAGATCTATCAATGCCAATATAAATCCGAATAGCCAATGAAATAAGAACGAGTCTGGGTGGGTTAAGTGGTTCTAATCTGCATTACATTCATCACAAAACCAACAACTCATATATGCTCTACCCAATGTTCTCTTTACTTCAGTTAAGATTTGGAAAACTCATGCCAGCTTCGAGGAGGACAGACACTGCATGGAACCTAACCTTTCAGTTGATTAGAGCATCAAGAAATAGCATTTCCCCATCGTTGATAGGCCCATAAACAGCAGCCCACGGCAGATGATCTACACCAGGCTAAAACCGGTTTGGGTCGTTCAAAGACTATTGGTCAAACGCGGGATACAACGAAGCAAAGAATATGTAGAGGAATCTCATGGCATGCACGGCTTATAAGGGCAGTGTATTCTTCTTCACATCTGAGGCTTTTGCTCTTAGTTGGCCATGGTTAAACCCCATATTAAACATCATGTCAAGTTAACATGTAGACTTTCCCTTTGCTGAGCTCTCGTCGGCGGACTTTAAAGCTATGCTTGTCCTCTATTAGGGAGGCGAGCCTTACTTAGTACGTACGTATGTTAGATCAGCTACCTAGACCTAGGCTCTAGGTAGATGCATACATAATATGCCTACATTGGTCTCGACGACGAAGGCTTAAAGTATTTATTCCCCCCATTGCCCCAACCAAATACGACATAACCCATGTCTCTAAGAGCTCATTATTAGTCGATCTTCATAGGCATATAGGTAATCTGGAAGTTTTTTTATATTTCAATAAGTATACTTCTACGTATTTGATCGCCCTTCTATCATGTTTCAAAACTACGATGCTGGACCGAGTAGAAAGCTAACACACATATATCTAAAACCAATTGTTATCCCCTTTGCCTCTTGTCGCCCAAGCATTAAGTGAATCATGTATGATCAGCAACCCCTTTTCATAGCTTTCGGGACTGTCGGGAGTTTTACTGTGGGACCCGTTGCTCCGGCTCGGCGCATCGTGGTAAGTACTTAACGCCGTGTCGATCGGGGGGCTAGAGAAAGGAGCCATAAACTGATGTAGACTACACATTATCATAGATCATCTACCTCATAGGTTCTACTTTAAGCCTTCCTCCTTTTACAGACGTGATAAATAAGAGCATTAGGTATATCTCCTAATATAAGAGGTTGCGGCTACGGTATTCCCTCGTGAATAGAAATGCAATTCCAAATACGAAGTAAGAAACGGAGTTTCCCATCGGAGTACACCAAGCTGACAACATCATATCGACTTTAGCTTGATTGAATTCTATAGCCAGTCCCCCCCTGAGGGGTGCCACCTAGTTACTCCTTCTCCTTGTAAGTATCCCCTCCCGTTCGCCCCCCCAACTTCTTTCTAGGCCCCCCCTTCTCACTTTACGAAACTCTCGTCACTATTACCACCTGATCTCTTAATCTCTTGGTGTAGTTACACGAACATGATAGGTCCAGAAACACACCTTCTGACTACAGAGAAGAAAGGCGAAGAGGGATCTTCCCGGTCTTTCCCTAGCCACTCACTAGCAGCGACGGCTAAGACCCGAGGGTACCAGCCCTTTCAGTGCTTCACCAACTTGAGTATCTGGTAGTAAGCTTCATTAGTGACCCCGCATACCTATCTCGAAGTGTGTAGGAGCTAAACAGTAAAATGACCTGTATCTTGGACGTCAAATCCCCGGCCCAGGGGTGGGAGCCATGGTACTCGAGTGTCTCCATGTATGCCACATGCGGATGGCAGCCACAGAATGTTCTGCCGAGCGTTCCATGCCGGTACAGATCCGGTCCTTTCAACCCGTCCTTTACCAAGTTAGGTACTTAGACATAGAGAAATCCAACCTTATCCCCCCGATATCTTACCCTGGACATCTACTAACTTAACTAGATGACAGAAAAATCAGGGGGTCCTAATACTTATGACCGAAGACTCGACACCATGGGTATTTACCCCAGGGAGGGTAGGTAGGGGAATCATGATGATTGCTGTTTGCCAAGTTTCTCGACGACGACAAGTCCTCCAACCTTACTGAACTCGCTCCTAACTTGTCTATCACTTACGCACCTACCCACGGAAAGTTCCATCATAGTCATCTTGGTTTTCTATATTCGTTTCTTTTTCATCGGTAATATCGGCCTCTGAAAAAAAAGAAAAGTGCCTAGGACTTGCCCCTTATATTCTCTATTATAGACATACCTACTTTTCCTATTTGGAGCTGGTCCGGATCGGCCCTTCTGGGTAAGCAGGTTTAATCCCGCTCTAAGCACACCCAACCCCAGAGTTAACTGCAAGACATATATGATAAATCAAGATGGCTATCAAGCAGCGACGTTCCATATATTTTCTAGAAGCCAACACGATAATCAGATGAACCCCACTGATTACGTCCACATAGGGAGTTGTCTAGGTACATTTAAAGAAAGCTAGCTCTAACAGGACCCTCGCCCATCCCCCTCGGAGGGAAATGCCCAATACATGCACACCTTCTCACTAGATCTGGTATCTGGCTGTTCAGCGAGAGCCTACCTAATACATATGCATTTCACCATTGCTACCGGTATCCAGTTTATGCCGACAGCCGCGCGCCTTCTTAGAGGGATGGTTATATGGTTGACATGCCAGGCATACGTATACCTACCTGCTCATTTACCTAACTGGTATATACCTACTTAGGGACTTATATATACCCAGATATTCAGATAAATATAGAATACCTAATCTTATACCTACCCACTGGTCTCGGTAACTACCAACATAACTTATGCACCTACCAATATACCTGGGTCTTGTATACGTAGTGAAAGACAACCCCCTAACCCACTAGGTACCTGGGCACCTCTAGAAGACGCGCTACATATTCCGCGGTTATGTCACATCTGGGGCCGTTACCGTTACTAGCCGCCGGCCATAATATTACCCCGTATAATAACACGTATAATATCTTTCTTTTTTTACTAACCTACATACATACCAACCTATCTAACTATGTGCCTACCCTCATACTCCAGGCAGTTAGGTGCCTAGTGACTGACATATAGGCAAGGGAATGTATAACTTATATCGATACAATATAGGTCTGTCTAACCAGCCCAGGTTCAACGCAGGCATTCACACGAGTTAGAAACAAGGATGGGGTCACAAGCCGAGCCGTCAGTTCGGGGGAGGGATCGGATAACCGGCCAATCAGTCCCTTGCGTTTTTATTCTGCTGGAAGAAGGGAGAGGCTCTACGTAGTACATATAACATACATATTAACATGCACACCTGGGCACCTGAGCATACACACATAGTAGGTAGGTACGGAATAAATAAATGTATGGGTGTCCCTATTGCGTACATTGCGTAAGCTTCTATTGTAGGTTACGGGGTCTAATAAGCAGATGCTTGGTATAAACACAAAAATGTGACCTTGATTTTCTCCAAGTCCTACCGGACTATTCCAGCCCGAAAACCACGAGATACGGTACCGATCTATGGCATTACGAAGTATCTACTGGGCACGTACCTAGGTCCTAGGTACCCCCTTCTGTCAAAGAAGCATGATTTCAACAGAGACGTAAGTACTGAAGAATAGGTCGTATTAGGCCTGTCTAGGTATTGTACATACCTACAGTAAGTAGACATTTAAGCACTAGGTATAACTACCTATACATAGGTAATAGGTATAGCAACTGTTGCTAATATATGAAGGCATGTACTGTAGATCTTCGTGTCCACCAAACTGCTCCCCTCCCTTGATAACTTAAGCCCTATACACCACGCCAATGCAAATCTTGTTACAGACCCTACCTGACAGTTCCACCATTTCCCCCATCTATCAACCGAATACATAATACAAGAAGAAACTGAGGCCAATAAGACAGTTACCAAAAATCTACATCCCCCCCAAAGATCTACCTACCTAGCAATGCCTTACATACTTCTATAACATACTTCTATACAACCCCAGCACTTCCCAACGAAACACGATCTGTTCCGTGCTCTGACGACCAAGAGAAGTCCACCCTTGCAACCATACCAACTCGGCATGGATTCAAAGCTGAGGATCAGCAACCAACTAAACCGCTAAAACGATCGACGACTGGGTAGGTTATAGCGGCAGCTGGCCAAGTGCACTAGTCACCTCCAGGGCTAGCTAACTAAGCCTGCCCTGCTTACCGAGCGAATACGAGACATGTACGAGGGACCAGGGTACCTCACGATGAATCTTGGCTACATTGTACCTATCTCAATAAACCTAGTTAGGTACCGTATTTACTGTAGGTTACATGGTACTCTGCCTACCTGGGTAAGGTATTTACATAGTAAATTAATACGGCATATCCCATTATTTTTGCTTTCCTCTACGGGCCCTCCCCCACTCTCTCTTCTGTAAACAGGGTAAGGTCTCTCTACTAAGCTATGTATATACTACCGGATACTTGAAGGCGTGTAGATCCCTCATGGACTTCCCAGCGTCCCACTTTCCATAAGACTCTGGTAGAACTCGGGCTCCAGGAACTTAGCGACGCTCACGTCCTCGCTCAAGCCCTTGCGCCTGCGGGTCTTCAGCACGAAGTCCCTGGCCGTGGCCTGTGCATCGGCGGGCTGTAGTGGTCTCAGCACCACTTCCTTATCGAGAGGATCACCAGGCACCTTCTGCCATTTGTCGAAGACAAGGCTGACCATAGCCTGACCCTGGGTCTGGATGCGTACATCCGTCTCGAACCCAAACGAGTCAACGACTGGGATGAGACCGTTGACGCGGTATAGCGGCGTGCCTGCGATGGGACCGTCCGCTAACACATGACCACGGCGCCGTGCCAACACATTGTACAGTACCGGCACTGCGTCTTGGGGACCTGTCATCGAGCACGCGTAAAGCGGCTCCATCAGCCGCGGCGACGCCATCAGGAACGAACTATAGCACGTGCGACGCGCCGTGGGGATGATCTGACCGCCACCTCTGAAGATAGCTTCTTGCGCCAGTGAGACATCCATGATGCGGAACTTAGTATTGCGAATCGCTGTACACATGGGTTAGCATTCTATTGATGATTTAAAACATGAGAACATGAAAAGATTGTTTAAAAAAAGCCAAAAACAAAAAAAAAACATGTCGTCCATATGCGTCTGCTCGTCTTTGCGAAACCATGGCATAGAGGGAAACGGCGTGCACACGAATGTATCGATGACACTTCGCGATAGGACACGATAACTCTTGTTCCTTAGTAAGAGAAGCTTGAGCGAGGCATTGGGGATTGGGGACGGGTAAATTGGCGGACCCTGTAATATCAGTGCCGTGAACCCCTGACTACGAGGCCATGGTACAAGTAGACAGGTACGCGCAAGCTTGCCTTATGGGTTCGATAGACGAATCGATAGACGAAGTCAAGCCGGATCGAATCTGCACAAACTCATTGTGCAGGGACCCCTAGTCCCGCAGCTTACTTCTTGGCAAGGTACTGAACATGGATAGTGGCCATGCTTTTTGGAGCTTTTTTAAGCTACCGCATGGTGATAAGTTTATCTCCACGTTCGACGCAACACTGTCTTGCATGGATGACACTTTGGCACCTAGTTCTCACGGAGTTCATGGGGTTCATGGGGTCTCGGTCAAGCGACAGGAGTAAGACGGTGACAATCAGTTGCAGCAACTTCATCTTTAGCCGTATCCGTTACTGACTCTTGGGCAAGAGGGAAAAGGGGGGCTTTCTTTTTATGTGTGGGTGTGGGTGTTTGTTTGTTGGTTTGTTTTGGAATGACTTGGGGATAGTAATTTCGGGAGAGCGGATATCGTGAGTAAAAAAAAAAAAAAAAACAAGAAACAAAAGAAGGAAAACTTGGGCTAAGAAATTCGAGTTCGAGATAGATGGGGCGTAGTGGAAACCGTGGGGTTTGACACAAGGCTGGGTGGGAATAGCAATATCAAACAATGCAACGAGATGTAGGTACTCACGTTCTTCACATAGGGGACCTTCTCGAGTCGCCCAACTAAAGCCTTGGCGAATCGTCTCTCGCACGCTTCTTAGAAGTGTCTTATCCACCTGCCGAAAATATTAGAAGTCATCCAACCATTACAAAATTCTAGAATTCTGAGGCTGAAACCGCGAGAGTATTGCCGCATGCGGACCCGTATGGTAACCCTCCGAGCGTTCTGGGACTAGCCCGTGTAGTAAGACGCCGAGCTTTCGGGGTCGCAATGGGTGGGGGAAAACACAAAACTAGTCGACGTACCTCTAATGTGTCGTCCTGCAATATGTTAGGTCCTTTCTCATCCGGCCCGAATGCCCAAATGCTCCTCGCGGCGAGCAAGTCCCATCCGTACTTTTCTTGGAAGAATTTGCCCACTTTTCGGGCACCGTCCTGCATCTTGACGCGGCCGCTCTCGATGTCCTCCGCGATCCCGTCGTCGAGCGGCTCGGCGACCATAGTAATCTTATTCTTCTTGTTTGGCGTAATAGCGTAACATTTAGTAGCGGACATCTCGTCCACAGTCTCACAGAAGCGCGTGACGGGATCTGAAACCTTGATCTCCATGTCTGCATACAACCTTCGAAGGTCATGAAGAACACAGTCCATGTATAGCTCACCAGTGCCTAGAATGATGTGCTCACCGGATTCCTCAACCTTGGTAGTGATTAGGGGGTAGCTCTTGTTGATCTTCCTCAGGCCGTCAAGCATTTTGGGCAGCTCGGACGGGTTTATGGGTTCGACCGCCACCTTTAGGACCGACTCGGTGAAATGAGTTACTGGCCTGAAGATGTACGCTTCCTCGTCATCCTCAAACTTCGGTGGTACTATTGTCGCCGACTTGACAATTGAATTGTCAACACCACCCAGTAACACCCAGTTGCCAGCAGGTACCCCGTCAGTTTCAACATTGTATCGAGTCTCAGCAATGTAAACGTTCGAGATAGTAGCCATAGTCATGTCTTCTTCGTCGTCGATGGAATAGCCTTCTCCAAGAACCCGAACCTGCATTCCAGGCCGAGCGATACCACTCATTACTCGGCCAAAAGAGGAGAAACTCTTCGCATCAGAAGAGTTGAACAATTTGGTGATATGAATGATTAAGGGGCCATCCTGGTCGCATTTCTTCATAGACTCGGCCACCTTTGTGTCTAAGGGGCCGGTGTAGTATTGTTCCAACTTGTGCTCGGCAGCCTCTAACGGAGAAGGGATGTTCTTTACAATCATGTCCACAAAACCAGTTGATGGTCCGAAGAATTGTTCACAGACGAGCTTAAGAAGCACCTTAGCATCCGTCTTGTATTGTGACGGCTTGAGCGTTATACCGAGGGTTGCTAGTATGCCTTTGAGCTCGCTAGGGCTTTGACTGATGGTGTGAGAGAAAACCTTGTAGATGGGCTCCAGCACAAAATGGATGAATGATCTCTTTGCCCGTTCCTCGCCAGGCAGAGGTTTTCTGCTGAAAGTTCTCTTTTTGGGGTTGAAGTAGATATCACCCCAGAGGCGTTTCGCGAATTCTTCCGTATTCACCCCCGGGAAGCTGTCTGCATACATCTTGGAGAAAGACTGGATTGTAAAGCACCAGCCCATCTCGCTACACGCAAATAAGACGTTCCCTTTCTCTGGACTTAATCGCTTCTGCTCTCCGGAACCTGGTCGCGTGTTCTCGATGATGGTATTCACTTCTTCGACAACGTGTTTGAGCTTGAAGTAGGCGTCACTTGGGGGTAGCCTTAGTTCCAATATCAGTCTATCCACCTTGTTGATTATTAGAGTCATCGGTATGTCTTCGAGAACAGCATGTTTGATGATTTGCTCGGTGTTAACTTGCACACCCTCCACTGCGTCCACGACCAGGGCCACACCGTCTACTAGCCGCAATGCGGCTGCAACCTCATCAACAAAGTTGACATGTCCCGGGGTATCTATTATGTTGAACAAATGGGACTTGCCCTTGGTGCTTTGCAATACCAGGCTCATCGGTGCCGCCTTTACCGAAAGGCCTCGTTCCCTCTCGACAATGTGAGTGTCGGTATACCGTAGCTGTTCGTCTCTCTTCCTCCCCGTTCGTTTCTCTAACCTATCGGAGATGTCGTGGGTTTCGAGGACGAGCATGTCCATGAAGGAAGTCTTGCCATGATGTAGATCTCCAGCAAGGGCTATATTTCGTATTTGATCGGGGAAGTTCATGAGGTCTGTCATGAAACTGCGGTCGAACCGGACGGGGGGAAGATCAGTTTCTTCAATAGAGAACTTCTTGACCTCGACAGGGGCAACAATGGGTTGGGAGAGTGGTTGCGCATCTTCCTCTTGTACCATAGTCTCAACATCGGCTCCATATACTTGTTGCGCCGTCGGATAGTATTGTTTGTCTTCGTGTAATATAACAGCATTGGATGGACCTTCGTCGTCTAATTCCATCAATTCCTGCCCCGTAACTTCGGGAGCCTCTTCGGGGTATTCATCATCGAGATAAGCGCCTGCATCCACGCCATGCTGGGAGTCTTCCTCTGATGCTTCGGCATCCTCCCCAATGAAATTGCCGAACCTATTCAAGATAGTTAGTTCATGGGCAAAGAATATATCAGTTTAGAGGTATATGCATACTCATCGTAGAGGTCATCCATGGCGTAAAAGAATGATGTAAGTAATTAGGTCAATGAGGTTCCGTAGTGACGCGGTAAGAAGTTAAAAGTCGCGATAAAAAAAAGGTTAATAGTGGTTAGTTTACATATATTGATTGAGTTGAAATGCAAGGCTGAATAAATTATTCAAAGTTTCTGGTTATGAAGCTGAACGCACGCTAGTTAGTACCTACATAGTTAACTAGCAGCCAATCATAACATTGAAACTAGCAGGCTATGTGCCTTCAAGGATAAAGTAGCTTTATCTTATCGATGACTCTGGATTTTGGTGTGTGGCTAGAGATGAGGCTGGAGATGAGGCTGGACTCTGGAGCATAACTACTAGTTATGTACATAACGTAGTTACCTAGTAGTTGCCCAACCTGGCGTGCTCCGACACCGTCCACGAAACTTCAGTTGACAGGTACGATTTTCTTGTGATAGTGTGATTATCTTACCTAAGCCAGGGCCAACAATTCATATTCATCCAATCCTAACTCTTCATTCACTGCCCCGCTACCCGGTTATGGTAAGACCCTCAACTCAAGCTCGGTACCTACTGCAATAGGTAAACACCTAAAAGTCACAAGTAAATCTTTTAATCATTTTCTCTTTTTTTTATCGGAGGGGCGGTGAACTTTTCATATCTTTTGGTACATATTGACAGAAAGGGATTCATAATAACCCAACAAAAAGTTGATCGTTGTCATAAGTATTTGGTATATTATCCCATGCACATGTGAACATTTATACTTTCTTTTTCCTCTAAACCCACCTTCTTTAAGCATCTCCATAACGCTATACATACATACATTATCTACCCCTCCTCCCTTGTTCATCTTTTGACTTCTTCACCATGTCCGGCCTTCCTCCAGTTTATATCGTCTCAGCTGCGAGAACCCCCGTGGGATCATTCTTGGGGTGAGTTTACTATTCAACGCGGCGGCGGCTCATTTACGGGACCTCTTCTCCCTTGTGTCGCTCGTGGCTCGTGGCATTGACATTGACATTGACATTGACACTGACATTTGGAGTTTCTAGAACCCTGTCGAGCCTGAGTGCCACACAGTTGGGCTCCATTGCCATCAAAGGTAAGCTCCCATCTATACCTATAGTACCTCCACAGACTTCTCCGTGCTAATACCACATCTTGTAGCTGCTGTTGAGCGTGTTCCCCAGATCAAGCCTGAAGATGTAGAGGAAGTCTTCTTTGGCAATGTTCTCTCTGCAGGGTATGTTCTAGCCTTCCTACTTTTACCCCGCCATAGAGAAGCAGGAAAAGGGGTTGAGAACTTGAGAAGTTAAATACAAGCTAATACCCAATCCCCCAGGCTCGGTCAAGCACCTGCCCGCCAGTGTGCTATCGGCGCTGGTCTCCCCCAATCTGTCGTCTGCACTGGCGTCAACAAAGTCTGCGCCTCGGCCCTGAAAGCCATTATCCTTGGCGCCCAAACCGTCATAACAGGCACTGCCTCCATTGTCGTTGTCGGCGGCACCGAGTCCATGTCCAACACTCCTCACTACCTGCCTACTCTACGCAACGGCGCCAAGTTTGGCGACCAAAGTCTAATTGACGGCATGCTCAAGGACGGTCTGACTGATGCCTACGCGAATGAGCACATGGGTCTATCCGCTGAGCTATGTGCTGATGACCACGGCTTTGACCGCAAGGCACAGGACGACTATGCCATTGAGACCTATACCCGTGCCCAGAAAGCCACTGCTGCTGGCATTTTCTCCAAGGAGATCGTCCCTGTCGAGGTCAGCGGCGGCCGCGGCAAGCCCGCAGTACAAATCACCACCGACGAGGAAGTTAAGAACCTCAACCCCGATAAATTGAGGACAGTCCGCCCTGTCTTCAAGCCCAAGGATGGCAGCGTCACCGCCGCCAACGCCGCCCCCCTCAACGATGGTGCCTCCGCACTAGTCCTCATGTCTGAGGCTAAGGTCAAGGAGCTAGGCGTGACACCCATTGCTAAGATCCTCGGCTGGGGTGATGCGGCCCGTGAGCCGCAACGCTTCACCACCGCCCCCGCACTAGCCATCCCCAAGGCTATTAAGCATGCGGGCCTAACCGACAAGGACGTCGAGTACTACGAGATCAACGAGGCCTTTTCCGTCGTTGCTCTAGCCAACATGAAGCTCCTAGGCCTGACCCCCGACCAGGTCAACGTATACGGTGGTTCCGTCGCCATCGGCCACCCGCTCGGCTGCTCGGGCGCTCGCATCGTCACCACACTAACGACGGTGCTGCGTGAGAAGAAGGCCAAGATAGGATGTGCGGGTATCTGCAATGGTGGTGGTGGTGCCAGTGCTATTGTCATCGAGAGTCTACAGTGACTAGATGACGCTGATACCAGCACTGAAACCGAGACACAAGGGCTCCCTGGGAGAGGAAGAAGGGATTCACGGATATGACGATACATGGGTTGAGTACGAATCAGTATTGTGACGATGCCGATGACGAACTCCATCCGGACATAGATAGAGTTAAGTGGAAAGGGTGAAACCCTCCACTTAACTACCTAGGCGCCTACTTAGGTAGGTATCCTATCTGTAGAAGTGTAAATATCCTTACCTATATATTCCGTGGAAAGAGGGAATAAATGAAATAAGAAATATAATATAACCAAATCCAACTGTCCCACGCGTAACTTTCGTGTTTACCTAGGTACCTATATGTCTAGAGCCTCCCTTCTACTTCCACTCCCGAGTCCCTACCAGGTACCAGGTAGGCAGGTGCGTCTCGTTTACCTACCTAGATACAATTACAATCACGTTTCTATGCAGAATAGAATAGCACTGAACCGGTTTTTTTTTTCTTGCCAGTATTTCCTTACGAGTATTCAGATATATATGCATTCACATCAGAACCAGCAATACTACCGTTGAAAGTTAAAGAGACATAACGTAAGTGATATTTCTACCTCCCCATCACAACTACAACTGCATGTAGTAAAAAACGTGACTTTATAGTACAATAAGCAAGGAGAGACAAGGTAAAAACAGATATCGAGTTACATAACGTACCTCCGCAAGCACCATCACTTTCTAAGAGCCAGGAGGAAAGAGCCAGTATGGATTGTTGTGTATGTGATTTTGACAAGGAGAAAACAATTGAAAGAAGAACAGGGGGGGATACACAGGTGACTCCCTTGCTTAGGTGGTAAAGGTTGTGCTCGGCAAGGCCCTGCTTGCATGAAGGTGTTAAGCCACTCCACAAACGCCAACCATGATATTTTCGCTTAAATCATGAAATCTTTCACCAACCGCCAACTCTCTAATCACTCCCCGGGGTGTTACCTCAACTGAATAGACGAACCCAAAGAGATGTCACTCCATCCATGGATGGAGAAAGTGTTGGATCCCGTGTCTCCTTATTCAATCCCTTCCATGTTCTCCGCATCATCACGACCGTTGATGCTTGGAGATACACCATCCCTAAACCACTTCTGAAAGTTCTCATTCACTTTCTGAACCTCATCTTGGCTCATACCTCGCATCCAAGCGTTATTCATGACCATCTTCTCGCGGAATCGCTGCTCACGATGCTCCGTGATGGCCCGCCGGTGATCCTCGACAGCAATCTTTTCCTTTTCATCTTCAGGTTCTATCGCATAGATGAAAGATTCAGACGTGTCTTTTTCCCAAACTATCTTGTTTGAGTTGAGACAAATGCGCAGAACCAGGCCTTCGTTAAACTCGAGGGGTTTGGGCACTTCGCCATCGTCGGAGTCTCCTTCGGCTGACGGCAAGTTGCGACTAAGAACCGTTTTCTGAAGGCGGAACCTAGGTACACCTTCAGTGGGTTCGACGCGCATGTACGAGGAAATATAGTATTGCCATTTTTCACGAAGCTCCATCTCGTCTATGTAAAAGGTGGTCTCGTCGCGTTGCAGCCAGCGGACTGTGGCCTCATGTTTCTGAGGAGACTAAGAAGTGATTATTAGCAACGGAACATAAAGGTAGAAGAGTGAACACAAGAAAACTTACCCAACAAATGACGAACATGTCCCCATCCTTGATACACTTCTCTGCATACTTTCGAGCGCTGATCTCTGTCTGATAGCTCGTCTCTTCATTCTGTCGGCTGCTCAAGAAATGGTGGATAAGGTCAGGCGTTTTTTCTTTCGAGTCAGGGCTGGTGCAGGTTATGGAAAGACGGCAGAGTGTCTTGAGAAGATCCTGGATAGAATAAAGAGTCCACCCCTTCTTCAGGTAATAATGACGGAGAACTTCTTGGTAGCGGTTCTCGTCAATCTCTCCAGTGATGAAGTCCTCAATAAGTTCGACCGTTTTCGGCCAGAATGATGCAGGGTCATTCTCGTCAAAGTAACTGATCTCATTAACAGAGATACCGAGCTCCTTCGCTGGCTTCTTGTTTTTGATTCGGTTAATCTCCTCCGAGACGCTCTCCATGCTGTCTCTGACATCTTTTAGTCGCTTGTACAGAGCCTGGAAGACCGTGAAAAAGACGTAGATCGTCTGATTACAGAAGAAGTTATACCAAGGACGAGGGAAAAATCCATCAGCCTTTAGCTCTCCATCGATATCCAGCAGAGGGTTGTCGCCCTTTACGACTGTCGCCTTGGGCACGATGGGCAGCCATCGCTCGTTTGACTGCTCAATAGGCACGGGCTCCTCTGGGGCATCTCCCATTTCTTCTTCGTTGGCAGACCCAGTGTCTGGTGTCGTCTCTTTGCTGCCCGATGCGGCGCTATCTTCCTTTTGGTTTCTGGATCTAGCACCGTTACGGCTAGGATCCAACACACCACGAAGTAAATCAGACTTCTTCCCGTTGCGTCGGGAGGAGCGACCATTAGTCAGCTCTGCCGGCAGTTGTTCCTCGGCATCTTCCTCGCCAGACTCCCGGTCAATGTCATGGAGTCGGTCCTGAACCTTCTCCTCGGGCAATTCGAAGAAACGAGGGATAAAGTACTCGAAAAAGTCGACAATACGTTCCTTCTCGGTGGTGCTGTGGTGCGTATTGTTCGTGCCATAGAGGACCATGAAACGCAACAGGTCCAAGATAACTTCTTGATCGCTGAGCTCATACGCAAACTGATACCGCGGAACCCTGTTCTTAGAACTGCGCATCCGTCGTTGCTCCTCGTGCTTCGTCTTGATAACATCAACTAGGTGCTTGGCAGAAAGATTTCGCTTGTCGTTCTGTTTGACGTGAATACCCATGTGGTCAAGACTCTTGAGGTGCATGATCTCGGTCTGAGCTTGCCAAACCTTTTCCCATTCACGTTGTGTAAATCGCCACTCTTCGTCCTTTTGCTTAAGTCGTGCTAGTACAACGGGAACAACAGCAAAGGGTTCCGTAAACATTTCGGACACAACGTCAAGACCCTTTTCGACGCCATAAATCTTCTTCAGAACACGCTTGAAGATAGACGTACTTGATCCTCCAAGTCCTGCGGGCATTTGAAACGTCTCTCTTTCTTGATTGGACATGTTGAGCATCTGCTGGGCAATAGGCTCCAGAAGTTGTATGCACTTGACGTTAGCTTCGATATTGAAGTCGTAGTCGTGTCGCTCCTCTTCAATACGATGGAGGCCCTCTTCAAATCCATTCTTGCGGTGGGCGACGAAACCCGAATCTTCCGAAGCCCAAGTTGGATGAGATGCCCATTCATCGTTGAGCACAGCATTGCACATCTCATCTCGACCGCCACAAGGCTTAAGTTTCTCCCTGCGAGGGAGAAGTCGGTAGCTAGGTCCAATAGCTCGGCAATTGCTCAAGGAAACCTTCTCCGTCGGTGGTCGAGGTCTATTCTCGATGATTTCATCAAGACCTTCATATCCGACGAATCCCTTAAACCAGGTCATCAATTCGGCATTACCACCAATAAATTGGCTAGCTTTGTGAACCAGATCATTGGTGTCGATCAGGCTCTGAGAGTACATGTTGCAGAGTTTCAGGAACTCATTCATGGTAGATCGATTGCCGATGTACTTCTTGACCTTATCGAAGAAGCCTAATTCATCGGCAGTGGCGTTGGCCGAAGACGTCGGAGGGAGTGGCTCAGGGAGAACTGGGGTGAGTGTGGGTTCAATAGAGGGAGCTTCTGTGTTAAGCGGCTTGTGATTGAGCTTCGGGCGCTTGCTCGCGGGGCCAACACCTGGAATGGATCGTGATCCAGGAGCAGGGCTGTCAGCCACTGCGGACGTAGGCAGAGGAGGTTGCTTTTCATTTCGAGGGCGCTTTTTATTGTCCTTGCTAGCGCTTGCGGGAGGTGCGAAGTTGCCAACTGGAGGCATTTTTTGTCCATCTCGGACGTTGTGGCCAGGCTGCGGAGTAGTTTGAGTAAGGCCAGTCATGGCGAACATATCCTCGGGTTTAGCACCGTTGCTTTTATTAGATGCGGCAGACTCTGGCAAGAACTGCTTGAAATCTTCCAAAAGATCAGGCGCGGTATTGAAAAGTGTCGTGACTTGCGCATAGACGTCTTGAATTGGCTTCTGTTCTCTTTGATAGGTCTGAAGAATTTCCAGGAATTGCTTGTAGATTTCAGGCTTGTCCTGAAAACGATTCTGCACGGACAAGTTAGATTGGGTCGATGGGGGGACAGTAAAAGAAAAAGAAAAAAAGTAAAATGAAGTAAACAGTGTTATTAGAATGGTTCTAATAATCAATTTTTTTGTGGGGAGGGGAGGTAGAAATAGAGAGGGAGAGGGGGGGAGATGAGATGAAATAAGGAGGTTTAACTGTCCATCGAGACGCAACCTCGATTTCTCTTTCACACCAAGAAAAAAGAACTCACCTTAATTTTGTTCACATAACTGATCGCATGATTGAATTCAACTGGTCCACGCTTTTCCATGTTTGCCTGAGGATTACTACTATTAGCACCCCCCGCTTGAGAACCGCTCGGAGTTGGCGTAAGCGCGTTGCGTGTTGTAGGTGCATTAGGTGTAGTTGAGTTATTCTGGATCTGCGGTGTGCTACGAGGCTGTGGTTGAGGGCCTGTCGCCGGCCCTTCGAAACCGGCATTCTGACCCTGATTAGCCCCGAACAAGCCTCCAGGGCCATTTGATACAGGTACGCTGAAAGAGGCTTCTGGGCTTTCGATACTATGTTGTGGTTGTGAATGCGGCGGCGGCTGCTGCGGCTGCTGCTGCCAATTGCTTGAACGGTGATTGAAGAAAGGACCATTCGAGCCAGGCTGGCTGTGCGCGCCATCGCCTTGAACTGCTCTGCCGGTTATCGATTGAACAGTTGTGCCCATGGGAGTGGTCACACGAATGGTATTGGGATCATTTCCCGCACCACACTCGATTCTGTATCCTGGGGGTAGGAAGGTGTTGAATCCTTGGATGAGGTTTGGATGGCCGGCGAAAAGCTCAGATACGCGGTTAATAACCCCTGGCGTATCGATTCTAACCATGAAGTTAGCTGATTTAGTCCCCTAGTCTTGAATCTCTATACATATACTCACGTTTGACTTTTGAAATCCTTCATAATATCAAGAAACTTATTATATACGTCCGGTTGGTCGGCAAACTGCACCTTAACTTGATCCAAGTAGCTAAGAGCATCCTAAAAGAACCATAGGTTAGCCAACGGATCAAACAGGTATACACCTATCAATGTTGTATGCACCCAATGATTGTCCGATAGCCTCATTTCAGGCGGGAATGCCTCCCGAAGCTGGGTTAGAAAAGCGCGTGCGCCAAACATTGCAAAGAGTGGTAAAACCCATGCAAGCAGGATGGATACAATACGATGAAACTCCAAGGGGCTGCCTGAGCCGAAAGCGAGTTCTGATTTATGATACAGGAATGTACAAGAGAATACAAAAGATCATAAAAGCAATGCTAGCGAATATGTAGACAATAAAATGCAACGATGTCTAAAGAGGGAGCAAAGCAAACATGAAGTTCTGGATAGCTCGCAGACTGGGGAATGTGCGATACATGAGCAATGGCGAGAGCGGCTGAAGTGGGAGGAAAGGGAGTCGTGACTCGTTTACAGAAAGGGAGGACAGGACATGAAGTAAGTGAGGGTGGGCAAGAGCAACGAGCTGTCCCCAAGGCCGTAACTAACAGATGGGGGACCAACTTGATCTACCTGGTAGGTGGTAGGGGGAAGCGTAGAAGGCTGATATAGATGTAGGACGTAAAACGTAGAATGTCTGTCACTTACATTCAGTATAGGTTGTTGCCCTTGTGGCATGGTACCGGCACCAGCGCCAGCACCACCAGGTATTGTGTGGCTTCCTCCAGATATTCCACTACCACTACCGAATGGTATATTCTGCGAAGTTCGATTGCCCTCCTGTTGTTGTAAGGGTCCGCCGAATAGGTGTGCTGCGGCTCCTGGGGGGTTGGACGTTCCGGCATTATTACCACCTAGAGCTCCGAACATTTGGTTCGATGCATTCTGGGCGTTGTGTGGAATAGGTCGATTCGACTCAGGTTGCAGTGAACCTCCAAATGAGTTGACAGGACCCGAGGGGGCACCAAGAGGTATAGGGGGGCCAGATCCTCCATGAGTTGCGAGGAGACCTCCTGGACTATGAATGGCGCCAGGGAGTCGCGAGGCGACGGGTTGGTGGATTTGTAACGACGCAGTATTGCTCTGGCGGGGGGTGCCAGAAGGAAACTGATCTCTCTGGTGTCGCTCGGCGGACTCGCGGTCGCGGTGCGAGATATCCTCAGTATGCGAGTTCATGGCTGAGACGAGGCGCGGATCTAGCGAAAAGAAGGGTTAGTGAAAATGTAAGTCGAGATAATGTTCTGTGTATTGAAGATTGTGTTGCGCGCGTGGAGACAAGAAACGAGACCCATAAAGCAAAGTAGGTCCGGCCAGGTCAGGTCAGGAGAGGAGAGCGACAATCGGATCCAGAAACCACCTGGCAGAACTCCGACACTAGACAACCAACAATACAACAACACAGCAAGTAATGAAGAATGAAGCTTGCAAAATTCAACGAGGAGGATAAACATACCTTCTACATGGAATTAGTGGATGTATAGAATCAAGGAGAATGGTCGGTAGGTAGAAAAAGACGAAATGGACAAGAATCTAAATGAAGAGTAAAAAGCTTGGATGAGATCAAGCTGTCGCGGCTTGGAGACTTTCTGCCGTGCGATCAGCGCAGCGCGATAACAATCCGAAGAAGAAAGCAGACCCACTGTATTTTATTAGCACATAAAGTCACGTGGAGATAAGACAGGATTATTTGTTGCCGACAGAAAGCCGTAAGTATATGGTCCGTGCATAGGCTCCTTTGCTGCTAATACAATGTACTAACCTAGTGATTCTATCACCAATCTTAGTACGCCAAACTACGCCAATCAAGCTGCTTGATTATTAGGTAGTGTATGTAGTTATGTAGATGCTCAAGTGCTTGGTATAACTCTTAAGAGTTTCATTTTCAAGTTATTTTCATACTTTGTCATATATACTATCAGCAGATTATGATCTATTAAACCAAAGCAACAGCTACCTACCCAAGGTAGTTTCATTCTAACAACCCATGATCCTCCCAAAACGCCATACTCTCATCTGTTTACATAAACAGATGCCAGACCACTTAAACGACAGGAATATGTGTGCCCTGTCCGCAAATCCGGGCTTCCAGCAGGCCAAATGATGTGCCTAGCTAGACCTCTATGCGCCGTGCGAACCTTTGAAATCTAATACGTATTACGTAGCATAACAAACTACATTAGGTTGAAGTTGTATCTATAGCCAAATACCTTTTGACGTGAGTACGATGAACTAGTCAATAATACGGGATTGACATAGTATTCGATGACTAGACGTAGTTCCGGACGCCTTTCAAAATCCAAAGTTCGCCATTCCCGACACGACCAGCAACGCTGTCTACTTCGATCTCGTCGGGCATAATCTGGATATGGTCAGTTTAGATACCCGAACATTACCCATCAGTGAGGCTTAGTGATAACCTACTGTTTTGACGCCATCCTTCATCTCCCACCATATCTCTCTATCGCTGTCGAGCAACGTCTTCGCCTTTTGCTTCTCAGGCCAGGGGCTCACTGGGACAACATGCGCTTCGACAAATTTCCGCAGATTCTTTTGCGCCCTGTCCTGTCCATCTCCACCTTCGTAGGCGTTTGATCCAAGCACTTCGTAATCTTTTGGGTCTTCCCAGGGCTTACGAGGTAGCCCCTCGACAGCAGAGTTGCGCGGGGCAAGCACGGTGCTATTCCGCGAGAAGTCGTCCAGGCGTGATGAGATAGGGGCGACGTCCCGAGTAAACCCGGCGAAAATATTGATACTGCGATCGCGACCCATCACATCCGAAATAAGCACTTCGCCTTGAGGGGGAGGTTGTGGTTGTGCCGGGTCGGCGGGCTCTTGGGATGGTGGCATGACGGGACCAACGCCGTCCATGATGGGCTTCTGATTGTTGGATTTAAGGCGTATACCGTAGGGCAAGGCGGTAGAACGGGCAGATACAGTTGCTACGATTATTGGAAGGCAGTATAATGTGAGAAGTTTCATCTTGGACGTTGAGTGTTACAAACGTTCTTTAAGCGTTCAAGATCAAGATGGTATTCAAGATGTTAAACTTGATGAATAGGGAATAATTGGGCCGAGTCGCAAGTTCCCGACTTGTATTGAGTGGGGGAGTCGAGTCGGCATGACATCACTGGTGATTAGATTGTAGCACCTGACCTGCTGACCTCGCGTTGGGTGACGGGCCACTAACTATTTAACAGGTCGCACAACTGATTATGCTATGCACCATGCATATCTCTCTCTCCGTATAACTAGATTCATTAATTTATGTTGTGATAACAACAACATTCAACATTGGAACTTCAAGTTGGAACCTAGAACTTACAACTTGCATTGACGTTCGTTACTTTTAATGTTACCTCACGAATTATTCTCGAATCATTGGTATATATCGTAAGATACATATCTACAGTACCGGGAAAACCCTTCATGAACACTACCTCACCTGCAAAGATGCCCAATTCGATTTCTGTCCTGCAGGTTGAATAGCTATCACATCAATGAAGACTTGGATATCTTTCTGTAGTCGGCACTTGGCCATCAGTGGAAATTCTCCGATTCGTACCCCCTCTCAGGAATGTCATTCCTAGCACATCACGATGTTGAGGGGATGATATCCGCGCTACAACTTGGCAACACAGGCTTCCTTGTCACACACTTGGCCAATAGCTACCTAGGATGACGAAGTCCCACGCTCATAGGCTTAACTCTGTTACTACTATCACTTTTGCCTTCCCAATGAGCACCATACTGCTTCCTTCATTCGATATTTCAACATTTCTATCAAGGTATTTCAGCTCACTTAGAGTAAGGGAGTTTAGTCGCCTACCTACCTACCTACCTACCTACCTACCTAGGGTGGTACAATTACAAACTACAGCAGCCAAAAGAAAAGCAGAACATACTAACCCGCCAAGTAATTTAGAAGGTACCCAGTCATTTCAAGCATCATCGGCCGATTGGCTAGGGCGTCAATAAGAATATGCAGCTGAAAAGTGACACCTCTTTCTTCGTTGAGCCGTGTGGATCCGGTCCGCCCTTCACGAGGTTACAGTCAGCCCAATTGCTTACAGCAGAGTCGCCAAATCCTTCCATTCACAATCTCAATAGACTTTACTTCTAATATATATAATATAAATAAGATGGGAGCTCCCGTTTACCAGATCTGTGTCAAGATTTCTAAGAAAACAACAAGAGACAGGGACGAGATAACTCAATGCCGAAACATTACTTCTCGAGTCTGTCTCTAGGGTTTATACGTCATCTAGCCAGACGCTCGAGAAGCTGACAAGAAGCATATTTTAATCGTTTACTAGTCTTGCATCAGCTGAGAAGATGCTGAACTTCGGCGAGGTTGAGGGGACTTGGCAAATAGCGGCTTGTAAGAACTTGCGATGTATGTGGACACTTACTAGGACACTTACTCTATTGACAGGGCATAAGACAAGCAGCGCCCGGTTATCCGAGACGATTAATTCCATGTTTGATGGATATGAAACAACAAGTGTATTTTTCTTTCTACTAGGTAACTAATATGCCGAGTCCTTTAGGGTGCATATCTGTGGGACAGTTGAGATATTACAGATGTTGTAGACAAGGCTGAACTCTTTGAGAGCCGCTTACCTCTTCACCCATCGATTTTTAGGCAACTATGACACATAACTAGCATGGCATATTCGTGTTTCTAAGCTCTTTTGATGCTTAACACACTCGAGTCGCTCACCCTGAAAGACCCCTATTCCTTGCTTGATGGTTTTGACATCAGTATTGACCTACCTATTATCCTTACAGAACGATATGAGACTAGATAGCTCTCGTCAACTACAAAAATGAATCGGTAAACGAACCGATTGTGTAATTCAACTCATATATTCAACACAATGGGACCCTTTCTTCTTAGAGGTGACTTTAGTGGCGTCTTCGTTACCAGGTTTCCCATCGATGTGGGTTTTGACCTGTCAAAGAACGGGGTATTCAGGGCAGCTGAGATAACCAACAATGATCCCAGCATCCAGCATCAATTATGTTTAGTTCTGAGATCTAAAGACGGGCCGTTCTTACCGCTAGGTAGATCGTGGTATGAGCCCCCCCTTTATTAGTATGAATAGCAACTCGCCTTGTCTGCGGATGGCGCTTTGACACGTTTTGCTATTTCAAAGACGCCCCACGAGATTTTAATTTTTTTTGTAACTCGAAGTTCATACCAAAGTACAAAGCTTTAAACTAGACTTTCGGAATAGTACTAGCCAACGCGATTCCGAATTGCCACTCGGGCTACATCTACATCGCGAAGATCGATCTCGAAGATGGCTAGATTATCCAATCCAGGATACGTACCTCATACGTACCTCCCTAGGTTAGGTAGGTACCGATGCTCCAATTTCTGAGTTTAACATGGAAAAGGGATGTTGCGAAACTCGTTCAACTTAGGATGCCTTCAGTTATTTATGTTTCCGAACAGAAAAGATAGCGATGAGAGCATTCTTTTGGTAAATTCCACAACGGACCGCTTAACTGCAAGGTTACAGATATACAGTCTTGGTGTGGTTTTCAACAATGACTGTGATAAGTCACAAATGTGGCGTCTCAGGGCCAAATTGAGAAACGTGCGTGCCGGCCGTAGAATATTCGTCGCACTTGCTATTCTCGTTCCCCTTTATTGGTAAGCCTCTTTGTCAGTCTAGCATCGATTTTATTACCCATACCAATCTCCCAATCAGGGTTCCGGGTTTGTCTTCGGGCAGAACGAGGAGCGATCTTCTCGTATGGCCTCGAAGTCAATGTTCCAAGCCAGAACTGCAGGTGCTAGTACATCGCTTTACGTAGGCCTAGTATTACCCTCAAAGCAACCACGATAACATTAGACAAAAGAAAGATCACATCGGAGCTGGATCTGATTGGATGGATCGGGTGATAATGCTAGTGCTGGCCTCAATAGACTGAACTCTGCGGTGCTTTTCACACACACACGAGGGTGCATAACAACATGGCGGCCACCTATTCGTTACTTTCCAGCCACCCAATGGAGTATATAACCTTTCATCGGAGCTTTTTATCTCGTGTGGTATAACGTCCAGGCCGTTATATACTACTCATATTTCCTCCGATTCCCTAATATATCTGTCCCTGCCCTGTCATTGTCCATATCCACTATCATTCCATCGACATGCCTGCCTCAGTTTCAGACCTGGTTGCAACCATAAGGAGTTGTGTTGAGTGCGTCAACAATAAGAGATGGGACGGTCTGCTTCAGTATATACATTCCACATACAACCAGAACGGATCGGATTACACACATGAGTCATTGGTGACCCTTGTTAAGCACCACTTAGCCTCTGGGGATATCCACATCAACGAGGACAGTCTCCTCGTCGACGAGAGAGCTCAATGCGTTTCGTTTTCTATTTGGACCAAACTGACGCCGGAGAAACCTTTCCTGGGCCAGCAACCTGTGCGCCGAGAAGTCTTGCTCATAGGCCATAGTTTCGTTTGGTTTACCGAGGGCAAGATATCAAAGTCGCTGTTCTTGACGAACAACGACGACATGCGTAAACAGCTAGCCAGTCTCAATAATGACTACGCACCTGATCTGATCCGCAACTATCCCGTCCCCGAGATGGAGGCGCCGGTATCTCGTGAAACATTGGAAGAGGCGTACAGGGGATACGTCGATATGGTCAACTCTCGCCGAACGGAGACGGACTACGCCAAGTATGTTCACAAGCCAGATCGGCTGCGCAACAACAAGGCCATAGCGCGCCGCGTGGTGGAGGATACTTTGGCAGCCATGCCGGATCTATATGTGGAGATCCACACCATAATAGCCGACGAGGAGACGCAGCGGGTGGCAGTGTGGCTGGACTTCACCGGGACGCCAGTCAAGGACTTCGCCGGACTAGTGGCTGACGGCCGTGCCGTCCACTTCAACGAGCACGCTACTTATCAGTTCGTGGACGGCAAAATTCAGAAGATATGGGGTATTATGGACCTAGATGAGGCTAGACAGCAGCAAAGATCTTCCAGGTTCTAAAAACGTGGTGATGGTGATGGTTGGATAAAGGCGTTCTGAGCATCGTTTTCTGTCCTCTACTAATAGTACCTATATTTGGTGTATGTATATGTATACTAAGCACATACCGATACTTTACACACCTACCTACAGCGAGGTATAATCTATTAATTCCCAAAAGCCAAATAGGAATGTTATCATCGTGAGGTCCATAGATTATATAATGTGAAGCAAGCTACTACTAGTAGTAATGATGCGGCGACTCCTTAGTAGGTGGCCATCCCGCATTTTCACATGCAAATTGGTAGTCGAGGTAGACAGACTTAAGGTTAGTTTGGCATCACAACTCCCAACTATGTAACGGGAGGAGGCAAGGGAAGGAATCGACTACCGACGGCTTCAAGCAGCCAGAGGATCAAATCAGCAATCAGCTGCCTGGTAATGGCGTATGCATGTATTGTGATTTGATGGGATCAATCATCTGACAGGCGAGATCCCTTTTTTGTGGAGAGATGCAACCAGTTTTGTCTTTGCCGTCAGATAATTATAATTATATTTTTCTGGGGATAAGAATCACATGCAATGTAAGTAGTTATGTGTTAGAATAGTATGTACTTGGTTCCGTGTGCCAGACTTGGTTATTTAGCATGTACTACATACATGTTGTATGGTATGTACATGTATGTGTGAAGGTTCATTGTTTCTTTTGCTCGTCCAGATGTCAAGTCTCTTCACACTGCATACATGCCTAGGTTAGGTACATATATGCTTGTACCCTGTAGTAGTACGTACTACCTACGGTCGCTGATAGTTCCTGACGGTTCGCAACCCCATGGGATCATCCTGCAGCTTTAAATCTTTTAGCTCGTGACTGTGGGGAAGAAGGTTCAGGACCATTGAGCTGTCTCCATTTTTGTGTGTGGAGAGAAAAACATTGAACATTGAAAGCGAGAGCGCTTTGAACGGACTGCCAGATGGAACCTCGGCATTTTAGTCAGAATTCAACCGGGTAATGCGTAGTACCTAGGTACATATTTGTAGGGGCGCCCAAATGACATCACGTCCTCGGCCGAAGATGATACGAGCTTCTTGATGTTTTCAATGCTCTTTTTTGTTCCTCCTCAACAACAATCGGATTGATTTACTTAATTGCCCTTTGCGATATAGGAGATGAATATGAATTTATTAAATACTCTTACATCATTCGTCAATGCTTAAACTCTTGTAACATTGAAACTCTTAGATTATTTTATTGCTAAGCAAGGCAAATGACAACATTGAATGTTCAAATGTTCAAATGTTCCTAGTAGCACACATGTAATATTTCTTGAGTTGGTACAAAATACATTGTACCAAAGTATCCACCCCCTGATCCGCTGAAAGTCGACCTCGGCTCAAAACCTGTGCACGAATCAGCGTGTCAACAATTCTAAGTAAGTGCGAAGCTCAAGTCGGCCTAGAAGGCGCAGCTAGTTAGGGAGACCATAGCGACGAATACCTCCAGCGCTATCTTCCAGGGCTTTAATCCCCTGCATTCCTTTTTGGCATTTCTCCGTTTTAAGACACCCGAGCTGCTTCATAACTTGACTTAAACTTTTTATTATTCCTTATCCTTTTTCTTCTTCTTCCTCTTCTTCTCCCTATTCTCAATACCCTATACATCATATTCGCCAGTAACACAGCAGTTCTGTACATAATATAATCGCATCAATCAGAGATGGCACCTCGTGTAATTGTTGTCGGCGGTGGTCGTAAGTTCACTCCCCCTCTTCTCGTCATGTCCGACATCACTGTTGCTTTAATCACGAGCTGACAACATTTCAATACAGTATCCGGCCTGAGTGCTGCGCATACAATCTATCTTGCCGGTGGCAATGTCGTAGTGCTTGACAAGCAAGGTAAGACAATTGATCTCTTGCGATTCAGTGAATCATAAGACTAATACATCTGTTAAAGGCTTCTTTGGTGGAAACTCTACCAAAGCCACATCTGGCATCAACGGTGCCTTGACGCAGACACAAGTTGAGCACAAGATTCAAGACAGTGTAAAGCAATTTTATGATGATACTCTCAAGTCCGCACGAGACAAGGCGAGACCCGACCTCATTAAAGTCTTAACTTACAAATCCGCCGCCGCCGTCGAATGGCTACAAGATGTATTCAACTTAGATCTTACTCTAGTTTCCCGGCTTGGGTGAGTGCAAACGAAACCCCCGTTTATCCAGCCACAGTTTCACTAATCATTTCCATAGTGGTCACTCTCAGCCCAGAACTCACAGAGGCCATGACGCAAAGTTCCCTGGTATGGCTATTACTTATGCCTTGATGCAAAGACTAGAAGAGCTCGCCGAGACCGAACCCGAACGAGTCCAAATAATCAAGAAGGCCCGCGTGACGAGCTTGAATAAAGATGGCAACAAGGTCACTGGTGTTACGTATGAGTCTAATGGCGAGAAGGACACTGTCGAAGGCCCAGTCGTTTTGGCTACAGGTGGTTACGCTGCAGACTTTGGCGAGAACTCGCTGCTGCAAAAACACAGACCGGATACTATCGGTCTTGCCACCACAAACGGTGTCCACGCTACGGGTGATGGCCAGAAGATGGTCATGGCTATTGGAGGAAACGGAATCGATATGGACAAGGTTCAGGTTCACCCTACAGGTCTTGTCGACCCCAAGGATCCTGGATCGAAGTGGAAGTTCTTGGCTGCCGAGGCCCTTCGTGGTGAGGGTGGTCTCCTGCTTAACGCCGATGGTGACAGGTTCTGCGATGAGCTGGGCCACCGAGATTACGTTTCAGGAATGATGTGGAAGGAGAAGGATAAGGGCAAGTTCCCTATCCGTCTTATCCTCAACTCCAAGGCTTCCAACACCTTGGACTTCCACACTCGCCACTACTCTGGTCGTGGTTTGATGAAGAAGATGACAGGAAAGCAGCTTGCCAAGGAAATTGGTTGCTCTCCTGAACACCTTCAGAAGACCTTCACTACTTACAACGCCATCGCTGATGGCAAACAGAAGGACCCGTGGGGCAAGAAGTTCTTCCACAACGGACCCTTGGACATCAATGATGACTTCCACGTCTCTTTGATGGAACCTGTCCTTCACTTTACCATGGGTGGTATCGAGATTAACGACAAGGCTCAGGTCTTGAACCAAGAGCAGAAGCCTTTCGAGGGTCTCTACGCATGTGGTGAATTGGCTGGTGGTGTCCACGGTGCCAACCGCCTTGGAGGCTCCTCGCTCTTGGGCTGTGTTGTTTACGGTCGTGTTGCCGGTGACTCGGCAAGCAGCTACTTGTTCCAGCAGGCACTTTCAGGCTCCGCCGGAGCCGCCCAGCGTCTGGGTCAAATCTCTCTTCATATCGACCCATCCCAGCCGGGTAAGGTTTCCATCGAGTGGGCAAACGGTGCTAGCTCATCGGCACCATCCGCGGGCCAGCACACTAGTGCTGCCGGACCTACCCCCACTGGCGACAGCGGAAAGTCGTCCCAACCGGCCGGCAAGGCTCAAAGCCCGAAGAAATTCGAGGTGCCTGAGAAGGAGTTTACGATGGAAGAGGTTGCCAAGCACAACACGAAGGAAGACTTATGGGTAGTCGTCAAGGGCGTTGTCATGGATGTGACAAACTGGCTCGACGAACACCCGGGCGGTCCCCAAGCCATCATGAACTTCATGGGTCGTGATGCGACGGAAGAGTTTGAAATGTTGCACGACGACGAAGTTATCCCCAAGTACGCCCCACAACAGGTGATAGGGCGTGTCAAGGGACAAGAGGTTACGCTCGAGATATAAAGCCTTAGTAAAATAAGCTTGTAATGGACGGCGCTTCGGGATGAATGGGTTTGCTGTTATTAGCGAAAAATATTCTGCTATCTTTCTATATCTACTAGGTATATCTCCCTCTCCCTTGCGCCTCTTTGTATGATATGCAGAGGCGCGGGTGCCCCCAGTTTGGGCGGGCAGCAATATCAAGAAGCTGGGAGAGGTGCATCTTATTGTGATATTATCGCAGATGGTCGGTCTTGTATTGATAAGTCAAAGCAAAGTAATTGATTTTATTACCTTAGATGCAATGAGTTTTTTTATTATAAATGTCATTAGGACTTATGTCGCTTTAATTATCATATTGTCTTCTGTTATAAGTTATCTTCGTGAAACCAACTCCGAGTTGAATGCCTAGTATGTGTAAGGTGGCTTCAATATTGGACGATGTTCTCTTCAACTAGTTGCCATCTTCATTGAGCTTGCTATATACTCAGTATGCCGTTACTTTGTCATAAATAGAGTACTGGTGATGAAGTTGCTTGAGCCTCTATCTCCTATCACCCTCGGGGCTCCACTGCGTGGTGTTTTTGCGATTAGAGCTCCTCCTAAGGTATTACATAAAAGGGGTTACATGCGTAGCCTGAGTGCCCCTATTTCCCACAGTAAATGCAGTACCAGTAGCTGCCCCTCCCAGCTTTACGTCTAACATCGTCGGCTACTAGGACCTGGCCCATCGAGGTGCTCGCCTAGGTACTTATTCCCAGCCCATCGACGTACTTATGAACAATTGAGACATTATTAGAGTTAGCAATCATTTGATATGCCGTTCATCTTATAAAGTTAGGCCAGGTCGTAGGGGAGCAGAATTATGGGTTTGCTCGAGTAGGGCTAATAGATATTTTCTGATTTTCTCCCATTTGCCCCCTATCCTCCTCGTTGTGGATCAAAGATCATCGTACTCCCGGAGATGGTCACTACCAATGGCATCATTACCATTGCGGTATAGTACCTAGATACCTGCTAGGTATGTCAACAAAGAGGGACTCGTCAGCACTCTTGACGACGAAACCTACCCTAGTATGGTGTTATAGCATGCTCCCACAGGCTTGTACTTGGGAGCGACGGAGCGTACTTAGGTAGGTAGATAGGGGTAAGATGCAGGGCTCCACATTTCCACTATAGATATTCTAGATGTATATCTGAGTCCATCTTCGTGTGCTAAAATTAGTTTCCCTACATCTCGCTACCTAGGTACCTATCTAGTAATGTACAGGCTCATGATATCCCAATGTCTATCCAAGACACCTCCCGTAGACATCTATCCAAATAAGGGAAATGTGTTTCGCAACGTGATACTCTTCCAATGCCAGACAAACGGATCGAATATCTAATACCGCTACCTAAAAGCCGCGGGAAACCATGAGCAAGTATTGCTATCGCCAGGGAATATCTCCTATCAACGATCGTAGCTGTGGTCGCGGAAAAAGCCTCCTACCACTCTTTGCCGTAATTAGGTAGCCAATGCGATAACGTCCTTCACAGATGTATCCTACTACTCCAGGCGATCTAACACCAACACCTCCATTATTAACCTTGAGGAGGAGGAGGAGATGGTGGTATCCCAGATTTCGGGTTTGCGCCCGGCTGTTGATTAACTGCCGTCAGTAGGTACGTTGCGTTTGGAAAGGAAAGGGGGACCCATCCCGAAAGGTCATCGCCATTGCACGTACCGTTGCGCTCTGCTTCGCGATCCCGCGATCCACCCGTCCAAGGTTAGGGGAGACGGACGGTTGGTACACCAAAGTAGATGGAATTCCAGATCGGCCATTTGCATTCTTCGGTGGGTGGGAGATCGCCTCGACGAAGTCCCAGCTGAACCCTAGGAAGTCGGGGAGGAAGGAGTCGCTCATGGTGGCTCTCTCACGCTGGAACTGGGTACTAGGTAGTAGTAGAGTGCTGTACTGGTTTGTGGAGGGATTTTCGAGCACCCCTTCTACTCCCAAATACTTACTGCCATGGCGAAGAGCAGGTGTTTTTAAACGGCCCGTTCAACTTACCTTGACTTGATCGGCGTGGTGGGAGTAGCTACGCTTACTGGTGTTAATCTGGGCACTCTACGAAGCACACTCCCCGATACACATACACACACATATGGGCAGTTCATCGTCGCTCAAAGTCTCGTTCAGGAGAAGATGGACCAGCCGGTTGGGACGAGCAATCATCAAATGTACGACGACAACGACGGCCCCGTCATCACTGCGTAAGAGCCGCCATATATTGGAATGGATACTGGGTACCTATATAGATATTGGAGGTATGATATTGAAAGTACAGTAACACAGCACAGCAATTAGCACACAACCGCTCCCGGGAGGAGACAAGTACCAGATTGGGTAGCTTGATGCGTTCAACGGTCTGGCAGCGCGGGCGTAGTAAGCTTAACCTATGTATCTGCCGACCTACCTACCTACCTACCTACCTACCTACACCTATTGCCAGCTTCCTCCCCCGGGGCTGAGCTGTCTTCTTGGCTCGCTTGGCTGCTGGCCATATATAGGTAGGTACATTAGGTAAGTATCTACGCATCTGTGTTGCGGGCTTTTTTGCTTCTGTTGTGAAGGACTCTTGTGCCTGCTACATACATAAGGATTAGGTAAGTACCTACCTACTGAGGTAATTCGTTTCTTTTCTTTATGTAAATCATGTGCCTACACACTGATAACGTGAACGAGGGAATAAAAGAGGGGGGGCTGGATTGGGCTTGACTGTATTTCCATCTTTATGGAGGTAGATACCTATGCAAGGAGGCGTCTTTTATTGAAAAAAAGCTTGAAGATGTTTGTTGCACCAAAAGGGTCCTGTTCTTTACTTGCCATTGAAGACGGGATTGTGGAACGTATATTCCATCAAGGGATAGCTATTAGGTAGAAAGAGATATCCGTACTGCCATTTACGGCCATCCCAATCCCATATGATAGTGCGATGAAGTCACGTACGACTTTCTTGCTCCCCTTACCTACATTGGCGCCCAGCTTGATGGTTACACACAATTCGGAACCCGCCCTTCGATGGCCGAAGCATATCTCATCTCATCATGGAGATCCCATGCACGGAGAGCCCGTTCATGCGATGACTTCGTGTTACCGCTGAGAAGTCCTACCTGCTATGTATATGTTAATGACCCGAAGTTTTACGGCCGTGAAGTTACCTCACTGCTTCTGAGTAGGCGGCCCAATCATGTTTGTCGTCACCTCGTGCCGTGGTACATGGTACAGTTCCGGCCATTCGACGCTCACATCAGGGGTAGTACCTCTTAACTATTCGTGGCATTAGCAAAACAACCTTGAAGACGTTACGCGAAGTAGCCTATAGCAGCAGGAGCCTCTTTCACGAACACATTTTTAATATGAACGTCTTTCCTTTCCTTTCCAATCACCTGAGTTAGCCTAGCCTTACAAACATATGCCTAGTTTTAATAGAGTTACCAAGGCCAAACTAGTCTTACGAAACAGGGAAGTGTATCGAGGAATATATAGAGATGTCCCCCCTTTTCCACATCGTTAGGTCGTTGCTGATCCTATAGGTAGGTAGGTAGGTATTAGGTATGCCGTCAACCTCAACGGTTAAACATGGCACGCTGACAAAGACCTATCACCCACCTTAGCCAAACGCCCAGTAGTGCTAATTACCCTGTGATATCTGCGGCGAAGAGGGTTTATACCATGTCGCTATTGGCTGCATAGGGACAGGCATGAGGAGCCGAGTGGCAACTGACTTCTTGATCTCCAACTTAACCCAGTGTTAAAGTGTATTGATGATAGGTACCCACTACACACCTATCACTTTACCTGGCCACTGGCCTTAGGCTAGTGAGTACCCAGGTATGCACAGCATATCTTCGGGGCTCCACGTTCCCGGGTTTGAGGGAATTGTACTTGGGTTGTACGACTTGCAATAGATTCAGCCCCGTGACGTGAGAATGAAGCATACCTAATATAACTATTAGCTGCTAGATAGAATGTAGGTACCTACTGGGTATTGTACCTACGTAAGTTACCCAGGTGTAGGTAGGTAGGGTGTGTAGGGTATGTAGGTATGCCCCCAGAATCCTTCAGGTGTAACGGCGTGCTGCCTAGGCGGACGCCGCGGAAGTAATGTGGTCAGCAAGCCACGGGCTCGGTTGCCATGTTAGCAATACCCAGCCAGCCAGCCAGTTTCCTAGACTATTAAGTATAGTATATGTGGGCTTAACGGCTACCGACAGAATATATGAAGGATATGGAAGAGCAAAATAAAAGTCTCCATCTTATAGGCATGTATGTGATAGGATACTTGGTACATACTCCATAGAGATAGACACATGCATAGGTACTCCCACGCCCAGGTGGCTATTTCAACGTTGCCTTGCAGACGTTATATTCCAAATCTCGACTATGTACATGTGGGATGTATTGTGTGTACATACTACATACTACAGTACATACATGTATACGATGTACTTAAGTCTTACATACATTCCTTTGTTAAGTCCTGAACAGCGTTTTACTATGTAATTGGAACATTGAAGCTATCGTTAGATGCCCAGGTGCTAAAATAGTCCACATACTATTTCCACGATATCCCTAACCTAGGTAAATACCTATATATCTATGAAGACTTAACATATAATTAGTATCTACTTCAATATTACCATATTCAATTTCTACCTAATACCTACCCACTACATCAGGAAATCCCCGGACCCCGAATATTATTCTTCAAAATGGACATGCGTACCTACAATATACCAGGTACACATCCCATGTAATAGGATAAGACGAATACGATACCGTAATACCCCCCCAAAAGTACATACTACATAGTGTATTCGACTTGGCGCCGGGTTCGCGTGGAGACCCCATGCTTGCCACGCTATTTGATCCTCGATGCAAATGCAATCATGGGGCGTAAATCGCATCGTGGAGGGTCGAGCCCATCTCATTCATCATTCGACCATCTTTCCCCGCAAAATTGACCATTTCTTTATTTCTGGTTCCGGCTGAAAAAAATAAAATAAAACCAAGCTTTTTAGCTCCGTTGAATAGTGTTCATAGCTTCTACGCTACAGTTGATTTACCATGCTACCATGTGTATAGTAAGTCGATAATTACAGAGTATAACAAGACTTGAAGCTCACCGCGTTAGAGTATACTAAGACAAACTTCACCCCCTACTACATATTACATAGTAAAACCCTCAATCCCTGGAACAAACCTGGATGAATAGTCAAGCATCGAATCCTCAACTAACCCCGGGTAACCGGGGAAGCACTTCATCACCGCCATTTCTTACCCAAGTTGCCTACTGTCGTTCGTCAACCTAGCCACTTACATATAATAGTAGCTCATCTTCGTCTCGTGCATCACCATGCTGTGTTACACCAGACCAAGACAAATTCTGCAGCCCAAAATATGGATCAGGGAGTTTCCGGGCTGGGTGAGAGTGTTGTGGCTAGAGCTAACGCAGATCTTGCTACTCGGGTTACTCGGTATAATGATTGATATTTTGAGATGCTACCGTCGTTGCGTTCTTCTCAACGTGGTCTAGAGTATCGAGATAGGTAGGAGAAGATCATCAACTGCTGTGCTGGGCAAGATAACAAACTCCCTAGGTAGGGGAAAAGAAGAAGTGCAGACGAAGTTTTCTTGAAAGAAAGAATGATAACAATACTATACCTACGTCCTGTACTATGTAGTGGTCATTCTTCTTCTCGCCTTGCTTATTAGTCAGTTAGTCGGAACTTGGCGAGAGAAACTGGTGATAAAAAAGACTATTGCCAAGTTCGATAATTGCTTGGAAACTAGGCGGCTATAGGAAGCCTAACAGACATGTGTCATGAACAAGAAATGTTTCAAGGGATAATGATCTTGTCCTCCATCAACTTGGAGCTTACGAGGTATGTACTGGCTGTTGGTACATGGATAAACTGCAGTTCGGAGTTCCTTTGTCGTTGCTTGTAGTGGGAGAATCTGACGATATTAGATAACATTACTTGGCCTCTATGCAAGGCTTCAGCTCTCCCATGTTTGTTCCCAAGTTGTTTGATATTATTACATACCTACTAGGTAGGTACCTAATAGTATTAGCATATTAATACATACAAACCCAGGTGGGTGGTCACACTTTTTATTTGCCATGCTGCTGCTAAGAAAGGATGTATGGGTTATGTAGCTTACCTACTTACCCTCTGCGTGTGTGTGTTCTCTCGTGAGAGAAATTCGGGGATGTCCTTCTGACGTTGGATTTTAAAAAAAGAAGAGACGAGCGGCTGGGAACGCCACCAACACCTTTTTCTTTTTCTTGTTCTTTTTGAATGAATCAAATTAGTTTTGATGTTCAAGTTCAATAACTACTCTTGAAGTTCATTGGTATATATGTATGCATGTAATGTATGTACGAAGTTACATAATAGTATAGTCGACTGTACCCCAATCCTAATACCAACTATGAACCTTTCTTCCTTTAGCTGCTTGGTTTGTTAATTCTAGCGCCCCTTCTCATACGATGAACATTGAAGCTCCGCAGAACCAAAGCAGCCATCCTAACTACCTAAGGTTAGATACCTAGGGTAAGTTGAGCATGTTATAAAACTGTTAGAACTAACTAAGTTATGTAGTGTGAATGTATTACATACTCTAGGTACATAGTAGAACGGCTTCAGCTCAAGAAAGAGCCCAGCAATTGGCAAGGATCCGCCCAGCTATACACTAACTTCAATTGGCTGAACCGGGTTCAGGCTGCAGTAGGAGTCTGCAGGACGAAGAAAGCAGGACCAGTCTGCTAGGATAAGAAATCCAAATTCAGCATTGGATGTACCTATTGTATTGTACCCTAGGTATTCAGAATCAGTATCCCTAAGATCCCTAAGTGCCTAGGAGGGGTGTTTAAATGTGTTAAATGGGCAAACCCCTACCGCTGGACTCGCTTAAATAACACCCACTTTTGATTATAGACCAATCACATGAATCCATTCCTTGGCCCCTTGCACGCCGATTCTTGTACTCCATTGCAGCAAGCCATCCATTTACTATGTAGTATGTATGTAGATACATACATCCAATACTAGTAGTAACTACATCAATCAAATACATACAGTAGCAGGCATTGACTTTACTTTCCCCCCAAATGTTCATGTCCCTCTTCTCTCTTTCCCCCCCAACCAAGTTCGTTTTTGATAATCCCTGGACCCTCTCTGGTTCTTTCTCTCCCTTCTCCCCCATCCCGCCTTTCCCTGCTTTTCTCTCGCTGCCCTTTTTTTATTTTTATTTTTAATTCTCCACCCTGCAACTCACCACTCCACTATCCTATCGATTTCCACACCACACTATTACACTATTACACTACTACACTACTACACTACTACTACTACTACTACTACTACCACAGTCTTCCCGAGCGAGTCCTTATCCCTAAAAGGCCTACAGATATTGGTATCTCATTCAATGGGATACCACAACTTTCCTCATCATCGATCCCTTCCATCAAACAGATATCCGCGAATCCTTAATTAATAGCGCTGGTTTGACGGCGAGACACCTTCACCATGGCTATCGCCATGGGCTGGCATAAACCCGATAATGTCGCCGGTTCTTCCGCCCCGGCCATTATGGTCGGCCTGTTCGTGGCAACTGGTGGTCTTCTATTTGGATACGATACTGGGTAAGAATGCGACGACGACACCCTCATTTTTTTTCTATTTGACTTTGACTTTGACTTTGACGTCTCATCCTATCTCTTGATTCGTGCGAATTTTAATATTTCATCCTATCATCCGACGAAACTCAAACTATGGTCTTTGCTAACATTCACATTGTTTGATTTTTTGAAGGACGATAAATGGCATCCTCGCTATGGGTTCGTTTAAGGATCAATTCAATACCGGCTACGAGTCCAGTAGCGGCAACAAGACCCTTTCTCCTTCGCAGATTTCTATTATCGTCGCCATATTAAGTGCCGGAACTGTCGTTGGCGCACTCTTTGCCGCCCCTCTAGGTGACTGGTTAGGTCGTCGGATATCGATTATTGGTTCGGTCTGTGTCTTTTGTTTCGGTGTCATATTTCAGGTCTGCGCCGATGCCATTCCGATGTTATTAGCTGGCAGGTATGACTACACCCCTACTTCGTTGGAAGACTGATGGTTGTTGATAATATCGCGTAGATTCTTTGCCGGTGTTGGTGTAGGTTCCGTCTCCGTTCTCGTCCCGTTATATCAATCCGAGATGGCCCCAAAATGGATTCGCGGCACATTGGTATGCGCATATCAACTTTCGATTACCTTTGGACTCTTGGCGGCGTCCATTGTCAACCTCATAACCCAGAGCATGGAAGGCCCGGCTGCTTATCGAATTCCCATGGGCTTACAGCTTACCTGGGCCTGCGTGCTTTGTCTTGGTCTCCTCGTCTTACCCGAAACTCCTCGATTCCTCATTAAGCAAGGCAATAAGGATGCCGCTGGTCTAGCCCTTAGCCGTCTTCGCCGTCTCGATGTCACCCATCCCGCCCTGATGGAAGAACTCGCCGAAATCGAAGCGAATCACGAATACGAACTTGCCCTCGGCACCGCATCGTATCGCGACCTTTTTGTTGGGACACCTCACCTCGGCCGACGTACGTTGACTGGTTGCGGTCTTCAAATGCTGCAACAACTAACAGGAATCAACTTCATCATGTACTACGGAACCACCTTCTTCACCACCGCCGGTGTCTCGGATCCTTTCCTGATCTCCCTCGTCATGAATGTGATCAATGTAGTCTCCACGATTCCCGGATTATTCGTAGTGGAAACCTGGGGCCGCCGGAAATTACTGATGGTGGGCGCGATCGGCATGGCAGCATGCCAACTAGTTATCGCAGTGTTCTCTACGATTGCAAATGATGCTCCGAGCTCCCTAGTGGCCAAACTTCTTATCGTTTTTGTTTCCCTATTCGTCTTCTTTTACGCAGCTTCGTGGGGCCCGGTCGCCTGGGTTGTTACCTCGGAAATATATCCTCTCAAGATTCGCGCGAAGTCGATGTCAGTCTCGACGGCATCCAATTGGTTACTGAATTTTGGAATCGCCTACGGTACTCCTTTTATGGTAGAGGAAGGAACGGGTTATGCTGCTATGGGGGCCAAGGTCTTTTATGTCTGGGGTGCTTTCTGTGTCCTTGCCGCCATATTTGTGTATGGCATGATTTACGAGACTAGCAAGATCAGTCTGGAGCAGATTGATGAGATGTACGAGCGCGTTGCTTTTGCGTGGAAGAGCAAGAACTTCGAACCGAGTTGGAGTTTCCAACAATTACGCGACGACGGATTTGCCGATAGTGGAATACCACCACCCGAACACGAATTGTCAGCCTCCCGAACCACCACGACGACTACCGAAAGTATACAAACGATACATACAGACTCGAACACCAACGAGAGCCAATCCGAAGAGGATAAGATAATACACCAAATGGGCATGGGAAATGTTGATTTTAGTTACTAAACCCTGTTCCATTCTTATCCACCTTTTCACGATACGACTACATATCACGACTGTCTACTACCTCTTGCCGGAAGAAGAGAGAAAAAAAGAGGTGCCAGGGTTTTGCTGTTTATTCTTTTGGAGTCATCTTGGATATATATCAGCGTAGGAGTTCAATGCGGCGACGGAGTTTTACGGCAATTGGAAATTATTCGGGAACTAGCAGTGGGAATGCTCTTCGCAATTGGAATTGTTATATTTGGGGAACATAGGCGGGGTTTCAAGGTCTCGGCGGCAACAACCACGGACGGCTTTATCTTGAGATTTAAGGCATGTGTGTGAAATGGCTTGGAGGGAACAATCTACCGGTTCAAGGAAATATTACTGGATGAGAGATTTACCATGATGTTCCCCTTTCGAGAAAAAGGGGCTACGAAGCATCGCTATTACCACGGGACCTACCTACTATATACTAGGTCGTCCTTATTAACCCATCAGTTCTGCTATCTACCTAGTATTGTGGGCTCGGTTCGCGCTGACTGCCTACACTGGTGTTGTAGACTCGGCTGTCTGCAGGTTTACACTAGACTACGCATCATTAGCCTACATATGTAGCTCTCCATGTGTACCATGATTTTGGAATATATAGGTATCGAGCGAGCGAGGAAGCGAGAAAGAAGCAAGCAGGCAAGCGGGCGAATTGATCTGTTGCTGCCTAGCGAAATGAAAAAAAAGTCAAATGTTCAAATCAAGATCTCTTAAATGACCTATGTGCTTAAGATTCTCACCGCCGCCTACATGTAGGTAGGAGGTGTGTAGACCATATGCCACATACCTAGTCAGTAGCTGACTGCTTAGTATCATCTATGTGTCTGGCGGGAGGTAAGACGAGATGTGCACATTGGTGTTCATGTGTTTATAAATCCAAGTCTCGTGAGCCACATAAATGAAAAACCCCCCTCTCGTAAGCAATGGGTCTGTAGTTGGCTGGCTAGGTAGGTTCCTAAGGTACTAGGTTAGGTACCTAGGTATGTATGTCAGGGCTTGGCGAGTTGTGTAAATCGGGGGGGCAGGGGTTGGTTCATGATATGTAGGTCGCTTCATCGGGAACTCGAAGAAGCTACATGAACGATCTGTGTTGATGGTGTTTTGGTAGGCAGGCAGGCACCTATAGGTATGTATGTAGGTACATAGATGGATTATTGATGACTTAAGTTCCACTTCTTCTGGCGTAGATAGGTTAGGTAGGTGTGTACTACACATGTAGGTAACGAAGACACCGACTACCTATATTAATGCCGGGTGATTGGTTGTCTAAGCTGATATTAGTTATGTAGGTATGTATGAGAATATTTTGGATTGTCTCTTGCATGTTGTATCTACAACTGTGTACTAGGTAGGTAGGTAGGTAAGTACATACATAGTACTATACCTAGTATAATCGTTATGTTTACCTACATGGTACGTTCATGTTCAAACGACTCAAGTCATTGTTGACTCTTCTCAATCTTGAATTCTTGGATTGGAACCTGCCCTAAGTACCTGTGTAGGTAGGCTACTCTACTAAGGCACCCTAGGCAGGCTGATATCTATCTCAGCTGTAATCACAACCGCCCATGTGTACTAGGCAGTAGGTACCTAGGTAGGCTACCTAATAGAGCAGTTATTCTCTCGCTCCTCTCTCTTTCTCGCTGTCCCTGTTCTCTACATCTCTGCCCCTCTCTGAGCCCGCTTGTAAGCTCTACCTTCCATCATTTCTTTTCTTCGTCTCCATCCCCACCCTCATCTCCACCTCCACCTCTACTACCCCTTCTCCTTCCTCTTCCCCCATCCATTAACCCTTCTCCTGGTTCCAGTGGTAGAAAGGGGGGATATGAATGTAAATTCATGCGTACTGGTCCTTTTCACGCCTGGTCAAACAGACAGCCCAGATAAGCGCCTGCTTCCCCACCCTCTGGAGGGGTAAGGCATATATCTTTCTCTAATACCTGGGTAGGTACTGAGCAGGTCAATTACCTACCTAGATAGGTAGGTAGGCAATAACCGGGAATTCGCCAAGTACCTAGGGTAGGTAGGTACTTTAATCAAGCAAACTGAGTCGAAAAAAAGCAGAATAGAGGATAGGCGGACGATAGGGGATAAGTCGATATCAACATCAACCCCTCCAGGTAAGCCAAGCAAAGAACCCTAGCACCAACCACACAACCCTCCAGACTGTAGTCCAGATCTCGCGTAGTATAATCTCGATCCTACTCCCCACGGCTCTAGCCCTCGATCGCGCCGCCGCCGGCTTCCACGTCTCATCGAAGTACGCGTCGCGGCGGATCTCAATCCGCGGGCCCCTGCCTTGCTGACCCCATCCCCACTTCCCCTTCGTCTTTTCGTTCGGCGAGGCGCCTCGGGCCTGGGTTCCGAGCGCGTTGGAGATAGACTGCCCGCGCGTTCGCGTCGAAGACATGCGCGCGGAGGGGAACTTGGACGATGAGGTGTTGGAGGTGGGTTTGACGTCGAACGCACCGCCATCCTCGCCTTCGGATTTCGCCTTGAAGATAGGGAGGAGAGCGGATGGTGGGTGCTGTATAGGATCCAGGGCAAACGGTTGGAGGTTCAGGACAGGCACGAGAAAGGCCCGTGCTATGAGTATTAGGACGGTCAGGGCCCCCAATACGGCGTACGTTACGTAAGTAGAGAGCTGTTGGGGGAGTAGACAAAGGTGCGTTTGCAGCGTCGTCTTCGGTGCGCCAGGCATCGGATTCCCCTGACCGTCTATGGGATTGTATAAGGAAACCATCTGGAACCCCGGTATCTGGACACCCATGGCCATGCTTATACTCTTGACCGTGATTTCACGCACATTCCCCCGCTCAGGCGGGTGTACAACCTCACAGTAGTCATGATCGTCGCCGGAAAACGCATGTATCACATTGCCGACACTCTTTACCAGATTAACCGAGTCCTCTGGGTTAAGCACGTTCTGGTACTGATATCCGCCCGAGACACTGATGGCATTTCGGTGATCCGGAATCACGGGACTTGTCTGGCCCTTTGGTGGTTTTGCCGGAGGCCAGTGCTCGCGTAAGGGACCGCAAGGTGTGCCTGGGTCTCGATACAATGGCACATGTGTCAAGAGGATAGTTGGAAAATCCGGAGCGCTTTCTCCTTTATCCATCGTCGGTAGGTTGGTGTAATCGGCCGTGTCGACATCCTCAACCTTCTGCTGAAAGGTCAAATCTTCCACCTCGCCCCTCCAGAATCGCACCTCTTTCTGCACCGCTCTCCGCTTTGTCGCTTTGACCCCCTTTAAAAACTCTAGAACTGGTCCATATATCGGCTGTAATTCTACCTGGCCCTTCATGCTAGATGAATCGGCACTCAGAGACAGCGTGTCAACAGACACGAAAGTATGGTTTCCGATCACGTCAACTCTGTTGGTCTCCCCGAAATATGCATTGAACCGATGCCGTGCAGGAACCTTGACCTCAGCGCCGAAACCTAAATCGTGGTTTCCAGGCAGACTCGAGATGATCTTGCGTCCTCGTTGTCCTGCGCCTGGGAATACGCCACCTAATCCCCAATTATCGTAGAATATGTTCCCGAATCGGCCATACTCCTCTAGCCAATACTCCTCGCCATACTTTCTGCGCCACTCCTTCAGGTACTTTTGTTCTAATGCTGGTCGATGGTCTTTTGCCCAGTCGGGATCCTCAAAGTCTCCTCGTGCCGTTTTCCATTCTCTCCCGCCGTCGAACAGGTCACCCAAAAAGAAAACTGTGTCTGGATGAAGTACTTTTTGTAGTTGTTTATATGATCGTCGCATATAGTTATCTGTTATAGCTATGGTTAAGGGGTTAAGGGGCCATGGGCGGCCAGGATAAGAATGAGGATCGATGATTTGAGGGTCGGCGACGAATATTAATCGATGTGGTGTTGTTCCTGCTGGCTATAGTGGTTATGATATGTTGTTAATATCTCGATCAACGGGGGTTTCCCTCAGAACCCGCAAGCTTACCCAATTTTCCCAATGGTCCCAATCGCAACTATTCACTCGACTTGCGAATATCCATCTTTCTCCCCAGAGCAGGACGAGTATCCAAAGCGCGAAAAGTGCATGGGGAAAGCTCAGAAGACGGCGGCGGGTCATATTCCTTTTAAATTGCTGCACAGCTTTGGTAGCTAGGTTCCAGGCGGCGCGTCGTCCGGGCCCGTTGGCATAGGTTGACATTCGATGTAGCATAGTTCTAGTTACGGCAAATATGTCGTCGCATATAGATTGGAAATCACCATTATTCCTAAGACTGTAGCCGTAATCGTAGGAGGATGTGGAGGATGGATAGCCGTAGTTGTAGCCGTTGCTATAAGGCGGCGCCATGGCGTTGGAGGCTGGCAGCCATATGTAAATACCTGGATATGTAAGCAGGTATAAGCAGGTATAATACTAGATTAGCATGTAACTATTGTACTGTTGTCGTTGGTAGTAGCGGCGTATTTTGTATTTGGAATAACTGGTAATACCTAGTCTTTCGCTGGACCAGTCCAAAGTAGTAAGCCCTGGAGATCTAAGAAGTAGAATTGACTTTGGGATTCAAGTCAGGTCAAGATTTGAAGATTGAAGAGGGTAACTAGGTAGGTAAGGCACATATTAAGGTAGAAGCTAAGAAAATAAAATAATCTGGAGACCCTTGGCGTTACCACCGCTTAGGTAGCCTACCAACCCACCTTAGCAGCAGCCTAGCAGCAGCCTGGTACGCTATAACCTTATTTTTATCCACCATCTCACTTGCCTTGTATTGTACCACTAATGTACTACATAACTACTACTAAGTACCTAACCTTAGTAGTATGTAGGTACGATACACTAGGTACGCTTAAATGCAACTCAGCCTTAGCTGCATAACTTTTGAATACGCTTTAATCCAAGCATACGATGACTTATATGTACCTACATATAGTATAAATACTACCTGCGTACATATCTCTTACTACTCCCACAATCCTAAATATTACTACAAGTATCCGAGAATATAATTAGTCATAAAATCAAACGACAATATCAACATTGGTAGTTCTCAAGAATGAGAAATAGATATCATGTATATATTCGTTTATGATTAGTTGCTGCCACCTTATTCCATGCATACAACTTCAGCTTCGGCTATTAAAGATTGTACCAACATCATGATCCGAAATCTCTTGCTTCAACGAGCCTAAAAACCAGCCCCCCCTCTCGGAGAGAAGAGCAACCTCCAGGCGGGAATCTCCGTATGGTCTGGGAAATATATAAATATCATCATGCTCACACCTAATCGCCGTGTTTCATATTAGGTATAATAAGAAAAGGGGGAAAAGAAAACGACCAAAAGCTCCCAAGTATGTGCAAACTTATGATACTCCCGTTGCATGCTAAATGAGTGAATCCCCAAAAGGAAAAGCAAAAAGGTATATATATATAGGTACGCTTGGAAACAACATGATATCTAGACAGAAAAATGGGGAGGTAGTGTAAGAAGAAAGGGGCAAAATGAAGAGTGCAGCTAGAATGTCCAGGTAAATGAATCTTTGACCTCGAACGGAACCGAATGCCTAGGGTGATGGTTGTCAGTCGGTATCAACAAGAATGGGCAAGTCTACTTGTAGGGGTTGTGCTAAGCGAATAAGCGAGAGGGGTAAGGGGGCGTTGCTCATGCTCACCTGATGTCAGTCGCCGATGCCCCTATCAGGACTTTAAATGTGCCCTCTTCCGCAATCCAACCCGGAAGAGAGTCATCATAATATCCCACCGCATATTTGTCTAGTGGCACGATTATGTGTTTGGTCTCTTCCGGTCCTAACAACACTTTTTCGAATGCCACCAACTCCTTTTCAGGACGGGGCAGACGAGACTTGTCGTCCCTAACGTATATCTGAACCGTCTCTGATCCGGCTACGCTACCGGTGTTCGTTACCGCCATAATGAGGTGGATCGGTGCTGATCCTGTCATCAATTTGCGGCTAAGCGAAGGGCGCCCGTACTCAAATGTCGTATAGGAGAGACCGTGACCGAAGGGGAATAAAGGAGGGATGCTCTTGCGGTCGTAATGTCTATATCCGATATACAAGCCTTCACCATACATGACACGAAGGTTTTCACCCGGCCAGTTATGATAGGCAGGAGTATCTTCCAGCCGGCGTGGGAAGGTGGCCTATAACGTATACGTGGTCAGCCGATGCTAATCTGGTATTAATTAGATGCTTGGTCTTGCACTTACCGGAAGCTTTCCACTCGGATTTCGCAACCCAAATAAAACATCGGCCAGCGCATTGCCAGCTTCTTGACCTTGGTACCAAGCTTGAACGATAGCAGGCACTTTATCAGCCCAAGGCATCGTCACCGGTGAGCCGGACTGGTTAACCACGATCGTTCGTGAATTGGCCTTCACGATAGCTTCGATTAGCCTATCTTGACTTCCATCAGAGGGAAGATCCATCGTCTTTCGGTCATAACCCTCAGATTCCCATTCAGCATCGAGACCGACAATAACGACAGCAACGTCGGCTTCTCTGGCAGCGTCCACAGCTTGCTGGAGATAATCGACCTGGTCTTCCTCTTTGAAGCCAATGCGACAGCCACCGTACTTGTGCGTCATGTTGAACACCTTCTGCTTGGCGACCGGCCGAAGCTCGTTCGTCATCTCTATTCTCAGCTCCACAGGCTTTCCAGCCTGCATCTCTATATCGACCATATAATCGATCGATCCGTCGAACATCGCTTCACCTTCTTCAGTCCAATCCCAAAGATCGAGCGCCAACTTTCCATTCACGTAAAGCTTCCCTGGACCAACGCTCATGAAACTGACGGTGTGTTTTCCTGTGGCTGTGGGCGTGACATATGTAGTCGCGATAGCCGACCATTCAGGGCCGAGTTGTGCTAGCGGCGCCGAATCCCACAGGAAGAGGTCCGTATTTATCCTCCTCTGCGTGACCACGACATCGCCATGGAATTTATCCCCACTAAACCACTCAATAGTAACTCCCTGTGCGCCAGATTTGTCGGTGCAGAAAGGTGATGCGACCGGTAGCCACTTGTGAATATGGCATCCTTGGGCATACAAGACCTCCTGCTTCGCAGTTACCCTGATGCTATCGAGCGGGAGAGTGTTGTAGTAAGGGTTCAAGCTAGCGCTGCCTCCACCACCAGCAATAGCTCTATTGGCATTCGGGCCAATGACTGCGACTTTGGTAGTATTTGCATTGAGCGGCAGGACCTGCCCTTCGTTTTTCAACAAAGTTATACCCTCAGCACCAACTTCCCGTATTAGCTTTCTCGTCTCCTCTCGATCATCTTCCCGCTCGGCCTCCTCAGCGGACATATCATTCCCCTTTGTTCGCTCTACGAGAGTCAAAACGTTCTCCGCCGCAATGTCTATGTCCTTTATTGTAAGCCTACCTTCTTCGATTGCCTTCAAGGCTTTCTCAAAGCGCCACTTCGAAGAATAGGGGAACTCTACATCGCATCCAGCCCTTATTGACTCGACGGTTGAGTTGACACCACCCCAATCTGACATGACGGTACTAGCACGTGGCCGTCAGTAATGCATCATGAACGCCTGAAGGAGGGTTCCATACCCATCGTAGCCCCATTCCTCTCGAAGAATGTCTTTAAGCGTGTGGGCATTCATATCAGCATGGACTCCATTGACTAAATTATACGACGACATGACGGCCCAAGGATTTGCTTCTCGTATTGCAATCTCGAAAGGCCGAAGATACAACTCTCTTAGTGGCCTCTCCATCATCACTGAGTCAATAGTAAGCCGATGGGTTTCTTGCTCGTTTGCTACGAAATCTTCGCGACTGTTAGTTGATGGTTTAGAGTATTGGCTATTGGGTGACACGAACGCTTGATAGTCGCAGCAACCCCTTTTGACTGAATCCCTTGGATGTATTTCGACGCCAATTTGCCGGTGAGAAGCGGGTCTTCTGAGAAAGACTCAAAGTTCCGGCCACCAAGTGGATGACGATGCATGCAAACTGTAGGAGCAAGGAGGACGTTTGCTGATCTAGCTTTTGTCTCCTCAGCCAAGTGCTGGCCAACTGTGTACAAGAGATCTTTGTTCCATGTTGCTGCCAACGAAATACCACATGGAAACAAGGCGGCCTACACAAGAGCGGTTATTGATAGGACTCTAAATTTAGATATCACAACAAACCTTGGTGCCTCCCACAAAAATACCGCCTCGAGCGCCGTTGGGGCCATCGCTCGTCTTGATTGCCGGTATGCCTTTGGATGGTATTGACTTTGTCCTCCAGAAATCTGCCGCTGTGAGTAGCGATACCTAGCTAATTTAGTAATTTACAACAAGCTTATTCTCTCTGGCCGCATACCTTCTCCTCGAGTGTTAAACGAGCCAACTTCTGCCTTGCAAGAGACCGACAATCTGTTGGGATAATAACTTTAGGAAATGGGCTGCTGGGTGAGGAGAATTCGGTTCTCGGCGTTGTATTACTGTCGACGCTCTGAAAGGGAGATGCGTTGGGGTCTATCCCATCAAACTGCGCGTCCTCGATATGCTCCATTGTTGATTAATGGCTCACTCTACTTGCTATAACCAGCTCTTCTGTGGACAGTAGTTGCACGTGGTCATCAACAAGCTCTGACGGCTGTAGATTACCAAGCCTAGTTTTAATAGCAAGCTAGGGGTTAGGGGTATACGATAACTAAAAGACTTCCGGTCGAAAGAGAGCCTTACAGGGCGAAGCGAAATCCACTCGAGGAACCCAGTCCCAAGGTAACCCCTTACCCCACAAAGTTAGGGGAATTTTCGAGTGTTATATGAGGCCGAGTTTAAGTCCCGTGGTGAGGTCCCTAATTTAAGCTGGCCTCACTTATGTATCAATGAGGAGGTAGTGGGTACGATGTCGCAGTCAAAGTACCTAGCTATATGTCAAATATCCAATATGGGATTCGGCACATAGGTATGGTAGAGTAGGAGGGATAGGAGTTTAAATGATAGGTACTATGCAAGATGGACTTGCATAGGAGGAGAATGCGGTACTTCCAATGGTGAACTCTTGAAGCATATGCTTCATCAGTATGTCGAAGAACCCCTCGAAGGATCAACATGCTCTCAAGACTTTATCAAGTCTTGATTATGCAAATGCCGCAAAACCGCCGAGGCGTGAGGAGTGTGGAGAGCCATTATGTCTCCATCCCCGGCTCTAAACAACACCCCTGGTACGACATTGTCACTTGACAAGCCAGTCTTTAAAGACTTATATTACTGGTCCCAACTAGGAAATTGTCACATCGGCAAGGACGGACCGGGAGAGCGCTGTTTCAGTCAGTTGCTTGGGAAAAGACGAAACAGAAACTTAGGCCTACTCTAGGTTCATACGAACAGAGTGGGGGGTCATCACTACGGGAAGTCTTATCCATTTGGACGAGGGAGGCGATTTCTGACGAGCAAGGCGGTCTGGCAGGCCAAGGCTAGATCCTAGCAGATCATGAACTCAAGAGAAGCGTGTGGAGTAGGAGCCAAGTGTAATGGGACCTGGTTACATGCTGCTGTCTCTTTGACGCGGAGTTGGCGACTGCGACACTGATCAGCTACCTAGTCCGATATCCCACGGTAGAGTGATGGTGTATTAGGGTGATGAGGTCCTAGAGAACTTATCAGTCGTAGTCCTCTTCCATCACATGATATATACCCACTGATTCGCGCGAGACCTTGTAACACCTTTCACTATCACGTCGCCATTCACCCATATTCTGAGGGAATTTGGCCGTCTATAGAATACCGACGGAAGAAGGCGCAAACTTCAGAGCGAATCAGAAAACCTCGCTGTCTCGGAGACACTAATGTGGATAAGCCCTTCCTGGACGGAACAAGTTGTTCATGGAGACAACGTTCTATCCAGGTCCGGTTCGGGTGGTGGCCAAAGTACTAGGTAGGTATCTAGGAGGTAGGTAACTAGACATAGTTGGTACTTACCTATATATTGGCAGATGGCCTGCGAGCTGCCGAGAGGCTCTACTATAGTAGGCATAGCTGGGGTTACCGAGTACTAGGTAGGTACCCACCTGGCTACACACATGCCTAGGTACAAATCCTGTAGTAAGTAGTCTGGGCATCTTGGATGTATCGTTCCAGGATGCATCTTCCGTTCTGCTACCCCGAATCTGTAGTAGGTCGGTATGCTTGATCTCGAGTATCTACTGTAGGTAGCCCAATTCATGGTATGTGAGAGTACACGTGTATGCATTTGATAGCATAGTGGGTTTCCGTGAAGTTTGAAGCAGCACTCAATCCAGGTCAGCATAGTTAGTATGAAAAGACTAATAAAAAGAAGAGTCTTCAGAACTCAGAAATCGATAGCGAGATACATTAAGATCTGTATTTGGAAAGAAAGTTTGAAAAGTATCAAAAAATATAAAATAAAGGTGCCCAGGTGATTTACCAATGATAGAACAAAGAACCCGCTAAGAGATCAATTGATGGGACCCATAAATATGGGTCTCGGATGATACAACGGCATCACGGCCCGGAAGTACCCTAATCGGGAAATGTAAGGGGGGGAAAAGTATGACGAGCCAATCGCATCTCAGCATTACATCACACTATTTGCTTAATTACAGAATTTACATCTTTTTTTTTTATTTAATTCTTTCTTTTTCTTACTTATAACAAATACATCCATCATCTTAGACACACGATACCTACGCGAATAGCTGCACCCCAACGGCGCAATATGGTATAGAACAAACATGCGGAAACCCTTCTTGGGGTAGCATGCACCCATACATAACATTAAAGGTGTCTAGTACATACTTACCTAGAATCTAGATATGAGGTCTAGTAGGAACCTGTCACCGACGCCAATGGAGAAATTTCATTCCATCAACCAAAGCACTTTCACGTTGACCTTGTCGGACCTTCTATGTGGCAAGGGTTCCGGCTATGCTTAGCTTAGGTAGCTACCTACTAACCTAGGTAGGTAGGGAGACCTGGAGGAATGAGGGTGGCCCCCATTGTTCCTAGCTCTTACAGAGGAGGTAGTGTTCGACATATGGATTGTTACCTACCTAGGTACCTAGGTAATCGACGACTTCATGAATGATCGTCTTGAAATTCAACTGATATCATACAGCTTCACCTAGGTGTGTAGAACAAGAAATCCCGGGTTCAAACGCAGTTGATCAAAGCTCTGTTTGGTAACTTGATCGAGAACGCAAGTCTTGGCTGCGTAGAAACATGCTCGACGTGCTCGACATGCATGATCAATAGTCGATCAGCAAACTCCAGGGTTGTAATACTTTTACCCGAGTTCCCGGGCGCTCACCATTGCATTGGGTCATAGTTATTCTCGCTTATCTCTGAAGAAGCCAAGGTACTCACTCTACTTACCTAACCTTAGGTAGGTACCCAAGTATGTCTGACGAAATTATTGACTTAGGTATCTACCTAGGTTAGTAGTTAGTTAGATATCTACATTAGGTATGCATCACATTAAGTGGTACGTTTCCTCCATCGTCGCCGACGGTAAAACGACTTCAGAAGATAGACCTGATAGTCACACGTACGACGATGCAAGCCACACCGAGATCTGCCTTGGAGCGACGCGCCTGGAAGCCGACTCTCCTCGGCGGCCCGTCTGACCCACCCTAGCCTTATACGGCATATCTGCCGGGTTGACCTCTGAAATTCTCACAAACGGCCCTATCGCGGCTTCAACTCATTAGAATCTATCAACAGAAGCTCTTTACAGTTCGGCGATAGCCCTATTGCCCCAAAGAATAATAATACGGGGTATGCCGCAACTCGCTCTAGAGGTTCATCCTCATTTCTATTTATTTGAATCCTGGCATACCAACCATATTTCCGTCATATATCAATTGCGTCTCTCAAAACGCAGGCGCAACTTCGGAAACATCAACACTATCGCACTTCCAACTTGGCAAAATGAAGCCAACCACTAATGAGGCTCTTTGCTTTCCACGGGGAATTAGTGACCTCGGATATATATATGGCTCGTTACTTCGCGTTAGCACCGTTGCCTTGATCGACTTGGCTTTGGCACACGTACTTAGTATGACACAATGATTCCAGGCGCATAGATGTGTTCTAGAAACATTTTTATTTCATCGCGATTATCGGCCATACCGTGGACCAACACGACCACAAACCCGGCACGACCCAACTCGGCATGCAGAAGAACATGGGGTAGAACTGATCGGCCTTCCTCCCTGTACCACAGTGTCGTCCGCTTAGGCCCGTTAAATAGGCTGACTGGAAACAACCTCCCACAATCAAATCTTATTGCAGAATGTCTAGAAGAATCAAGTAACTCACGCCGTGGGCCAAGAAGCCATTTGTGAGTATCTCGGTATGCTTGAGCAGTTTCTTATCAATCTTCGAGTTCCTGATTCTAACTCGGGGAACTATTACTATCATATCAGAGCTAGATTGGCTCGGAAGGTTTACCCGTGGCCTGTCAATTACTCTATTTTGTCTGCAGCATGCATGTCGTTGGCTGTAGGGGACATGCGGGACTCTTTTACCATGTAGGGTCTCGCTAAAGTCTTCGAAGCTTTGGGGTCGCATTCTGCTTCTGTTTGCCGGACCAGAGTTAGATGGATGGATGTCTGGGTGATGCAACGATGGCTTTCATGCAGCATCATAGGCGTCCGTAACTCGGGCACTTGTGTACCAGTTGCACCTTGACCTCTTCACGCACGTGGTGCTTATGAATCTTATCCCAACATCCTACCTATGGCTTTAATACAGGCAGAAGGGACCATAAACATGGCATGGATCTAAAAGAGTCCGTCGATGTTCCGATGAGAAGTTTCATCCAAAAAGGGGCAAGTACAAGCGGAAAATAGGCCTATATGTGATTTGAAACAGCATATCGCTATGGCTTGGCGTGCACCGGTTAACTTGGTTCGGTATCACGAGATAGTTTCTGAGTGGACGATTCTGGATTTTTTGAGAAATCTTCCGTCGCTGTCGTTCACGCGAGCTTTACTCATGCAGTTGGCCATACAAAACAAGGCCTGTTGGGTTACCTACCTACCTACAAGGTAGTCAGTACCCCTTGCCATGCGGAATAAAGCATTTGGCACAGATGTAGTGTAGCTACTGAATCATCTCGGTTCACCTTTCTTTGCCCGAGTTTTACGAGGGTTATTATATCGCTGTTTGCTGTTTTATTTGCCATATTTAAGTATCTCATTCAAGCAGTAGTGCCCTGGGAAATTTGGTCATCAGCCACTACACAGACACCTTGTTTTCTTCGCAACGACTGGAAAATCCTCATTGCTTGGGTATTTGACTGAAAGTCTACTATCATTACCTCAATGGAAGGAATTTACAAGCCTTGGTTACTTATCGTTTTGATATCATACTTCCGTTCCTCGGATTTGTGTCGTTGGGCGCGCCCAGCGCTGGCTACGCCGGGGAGAGGTTATTCTATCTCGGGCAGATACTATTGTTCTGTAGCCCCTTTTTGGCATATGTTTTGATTCGAAGTTATGGTCGACTGACAATCAGGCTCTTGCTTGGGATCGTGTTCTTTCGTGAGAGGAGACTGACAACCTCTCCCCAATCTAACAAAAGGGGACGAAATCAATTAAAGCCTATGCATTGTATCAAAGAGAACAAGCACATTGTTTTATATACCTCAAGGAAGGTTGTTCTGTCGTACGATTTATTACAATGGCTCCGTTTTCTACACGATATGTGTTGTTTTCCTTTAAGAGGGGAATACCAGTGTTGTAGATTGATATAAGAACCTTGATCACCTCGCAAGTAAAAATCACATTTCTTCTCTCACCATTCTCACCATTCTCACCATCATCATCATCATAACAATCTAAGCGGAATACTTTGAGTACCACAAGAAAAATAATCCAAAAGAATCCCCAGATCTATCAGAACCGAAGCTACCACCAAACTATCTCTCAATTCACTAACAACATGGCGCCTTTCACCATGAAGAGAACCGCATCTGCTGAGACTGCGCAACCTTTTGCGCCGAAACAGTTCAAGGAGAACCAACCTCCATGGAAGTGCTGCAGATGCGACACTGTCACCGCTCAGGAGCATGTGCGGTGTCGCAAATGCAGCCACGCCTGCTGCCCAAGCTGCGACGACCATTATACTGGAAAACAGGTGTCCTCTCTTCCGTTCGATGACTAACTAACGCCTTGTGAAGAAACAGGGGCAAGAAACAGTATGGTATGTACGCAACTATGACAAAGCAAGCCCTTTGGACCAGTAATCCAAAGCTAGGTCAAAGGGGCTCTTGTCAATGCCACAATGTAGATGTCAACATCCCCCTTTTCTTCCCCTGCAGCCCTCTAAATAGACTAGGTTAGAAAATAATACAAAGATAACCCTGTTCATTCATTAATGCCAGACTTACTTATATAATTGCCTATGTGACTAATCTGAAAATAATGTGCATGATAAGATGTAGTTATGTAATTGATTCATCTCGACTACAACCCCGGCCAGTGAGGTCTCTTCAGGGGCCGAAGCGTAAAAGATGGCCGAGCAGACAACCGGACAAGTCGGCGGCGCGATGTCCAATATCCCGGAACAGATCTTGTTAGGCCAGTAAGTGTATACCACGCGATGTCCACCGTTACTTAATACAAGGAAGTGGGAATGTATCCATATAAGCAAACTGGCGACTCTCGCTTCCCAGCTGCAGCTCTTGGCCATCTCCTTCGACATCGACACCAATGATGACGAGCTAAAAAGTTTATCGCGTAATGTTTGGGTAGTACTGGTCCCTGTCACACTTCTACTCAAAACCCCCACGGCAAGTCGGCAAGCCAAGGGACGTTGCACTACTTTAGATGCTCGTGGTGTATCTATCTATCAGCATTACGAGATCAACACTTCTCCTGAACTCCCGAGGATGGAATACACATCATACGTTGAGATAGTTTCGCAATCAGGGACGTCTGGCCGATGGTTGCGATACCTTCCGCTACTCTGGATGAGCGCTCCACGAACCAGACCACCCCGGCACCCTCTGGCGTACATGAGTCTCTGAATACACACTTGGACAGAAACCTTCCCACTGGGGTTTGCAACCCCTCTTTCACGATCAACTCGGACTGCTCTGTTCTCGCTTAGACGCTTAGCACCCAACTACATAACCTTACTCTACAATAGCCGACAGCTGATAATTACCCCCCGCATGAGTAACTTATCCGTGGCTCGATAGGTACCTATATAAAACCAACCCAAAAAGCTCATTTATATTTGTCCTTGTATGGCTACAAGCCCACAGGCTTTCCTATATAAACAAAATCCACGGAGTCAACCAAAGAGACATGCGTATACTACACACCCTCTTCTTGGTATGCAACGGCATTCTCTGTTTCACATTACCTATAGAAGCGGGCAGATCGACACTCACTTTACGGCCATCGATGGATACTTAGATCGCCCACCCCCCGACGTTACTTTCCCTGGACAGGAACACCGCAAGAACTAATATGGACTACCGACATGCATCAAATTGCTTGGCAGCAGACGACACTTTTGCGAAGACAAGGTGGGTTGTTACGTCCCGTATCTTCCGCGGTCAGGGGCCTCAGGTGATACCTACCTACACATTCCGCATGATAGACTGCCCTCTCGGACAGAATGCCGTTCTTCGTCCACTTGTATGGAGGCCGGTGAGAATAGTTACCTACTATATGAGCTACGCTATTTTGCCCGCCTTGGGAAGGAGAATGAGGGCGAGATAGCCTTGCAGGCCCTTGCTTTTAAGACTACCCCTGACTTTGACTTAGTTGACAAAACTGCTTGAGTGTATTATAGGCAGTAGTAAATTTTCTTCATCGAACCTCTGCCTACTTGGCATAATAGCTTGAAGGATATCACACAATAGGTACGGTTCTATCAGTTAATTAGCAGGTAGGTATGCCTATACTATATAAACTAATGTTACTTACACCTGCCTATTCAACATATCATCGGGAATAGCTACAGCATACCGGTAGTTTATATACCTATGAATGCGCTAAAGCACCAGCCTAATAGTTTCAAAAATAACAGAAGCCTTACCTATGACTGGAAAGGATATAACACCAAGTGAGCAGATGTAGGCCATGTTCGGGTCAAAGTCCGGAGAGAACAAAGAAGCTAGAGGACAAGCGTGAGGTTTAGTAAGCATGGTAAGGGCTCCTAACAAAGCCATATCGGGATACTATTCAAGATCTTCTGTCAGTGAAGATAGTTATCGTGCTAGTGCGGTGCTTTGCCTCACCTAACTCACACTAGGTATACGTATATGGAATTTGGTATACATCTAAAGCCAAGCTAATCCCGTCTTGAATCGTATGCGTTATTCCAATATCAAGGGTACCTGGTCCAGGTATAGCTTCATCATCTTATCTATCATAAGTAGTATTTATCATAACTAGTTAGGAACCTCATGTTTTCGTCTACTATACATCCAAACTTCAAAGGGAGAATGGTGTATTGAAGCCTATCTCCTTTATCACATGCCAATTGCTTGATATATGAATCTCTTGATATGTCTATTAGATATTAAGGTTATACAAAACAACAGAAGATTGTGTAACAACAGTTCTATTATAGAAAAAGACTCTAATTGGTCAGAAGACAAATACGATATGAACGTATGTAGTAAGGAGAAGTGGCATGAATATGGCACATTTGAATTTCTGTATAAGGGGGTTGAATAGATATGTTGTGATACAAGGCTGCCCTTTCAAGGATCGGCAGCGCAAGTGATAATGAGAGGCTGGCAGGCAATGATGGGCAAGAATGTGGCGGATATATTGAGCTGAGATATACCTATGCACCTGATGAATTCTAAGTTATCATCAAAATCTGACAATAAGAGGCGTGAATGACAAGTGATAAACGCGTAAAGATGGGATATCAGTATCATATCACGCTGACATGTCAACTAAAAATAAAACAAGTGCTACTTTTAGGGTACATTGTAGTTAACTAGTTAACTAGGTTAGTTAACTATGTGTATTTCCGATGGTTCGGCATTACGTTAGCGTGAGCGAGGATGTACCCCGGCATATGTAATTCGATATTGCATACATCCATGTGATCCATGATAATCAAGATAACTAGGTCCCATATTTCCTGTTTCTTAGACCAGATAGGAATGGTCCAATGGAGATTGATACTTGCGGTTAGGAAAGAACAAGCGACGAACTTCTATGACATAATAGCGTCATTCGACAAGAAATGGGGATAAACGTTATCAATCCATCATTACATAACTATGTAGTACTTACTAAGTTACCAGTGACCAGTCTTACCTAGGGTACAACTACATAAGGATTTGGATCCACTATTTGACAAAACCCTACCTCAAGTTATTACCTGTGCGTGCATCTGTAGGTGAAGCAGATGGCCTGTCAAACTTCATCTTTTTCACCATTTGTTTCAATCATCTAACTTAAACTCATCAGATGAGAAACGCATGGCAATGAACAGCTGAGTTTTGACTAACCTTACAGCCTTCTCGGCAACTATCAATCTTACTATCCATTTTTAATTACTCCATTTTTCTTTTCTTTTTTTGCCTTTTCTTTTTTTTCCTTTTTTTAAGTCGTCACTACTCGCCTCTCACAACTCAAGCACCGCTCGTCCCGGTCTGGATTCCTAGCTGAACTGAACTAGGTTAAAGTAGTTACCTGCTACTGTACTGCATAGTAGTCCAACTGCACGAAATTGTTTACTTGCAGCCTTAGGCTGTCGCCACTAATTTCCTCCCTTTTTCTTTTCCCCTTCCCTTTTCTAACAACCTCCGCCAACTTAACATACTTCTTCTTTTTCAACAACTTCATATCATTCCTTTCAACAAAAGAATAGACATCTTGCGACTTGGCCTAGTGCCAACATACCGTCGCGATGGCCTGGTCTAAAACTACTAGGATCAGCATCATGCTGGCCATTGATATCGTCTTTTTTCTCATTGAATTGATTACAGGCTTTCTGGTACACTCATTGGCTCTCACTGCAGATGCGTTTCATATGCTGAACGACATCATCTCTCTGATTATTGGTCTTTGGGCTGTACTTGTCGCCAAGAGAGCAACTACCAACAAATTTTCCTATGGATGGGTCCGCGCTGAGATTCTCGGAGCTGCTTTCAACGCCGTCTTTTTAATCGCTCTTTGCATCTCTATTATCCTCGAAGCTATTACTCGGTTTATCGAGCCCCAGGAAGTCTCGAACCCGAAACTCATCTTGATTGTTGGTTGCTGTGGATTGACGTCTAATCTTGTTGGGTTCTTGGTTTTGGGTGGACACGGACACGATCACGGTCACGGTGACCAGTCCCACGAGCACGAACACGACCACGGACACGATCACGTTCATTCGCATGACGACATCGCTGCAGCTGAGGAGGGTAGAGTAACCGCGACCCAAGCATTGTTAGACGAGAGTGGTTCAGTAGGAGATGTCCTTCCCGAAGCAGCGATCGCTCGAGCTCGCGCCGCAAATGCATCCCCCGAAACTGTTCGTCGTATTCAGTTCGGCCGATCCGATAGCGGCCGAAAATCAGGCCTTCACGAGCGAGGTGGCAGCCGCAGCTCTCTTCGGGGAAGAGAACGTCTACGTGCAGGCAGCCTTAAGCACAGCCGCCTAGCTAGCATTGACGACTTCAGCATCCACCCCGCCAGCTTCCGACAAGACATTATCGACCATAGTAGATCGAGTCGCAACGAGGAAGATGCCGACGACAGCTCCAACGACGATTCGACTACCGATTCCTCCCGTGACGACTCAGCCGCGGATGTGACTACACCCCTACTTGGGAATGAGCGTGGTGTTGCGACTGACAAGGGAACTATACAAAAGGACAAGCACGTCAGCCGATCTCGGAGCTCTCATCATCATCACGCTAGACGTGATTCTGGAGTTCATAGAGAGCATCATCATAGTAGACCGAAATCCAAGTCGACAGCCAAGAGTCACGGCCACAGCCATGCTGATATGGGAATGAATGCTATGGTCCTCCACGTATTGGGAGATGCCCTTGGCAACGTTGGTGTCATCGTTTCGGCTTTAATTATCTGGCTCACCAACTGGTCCGGCCGGTTCTACGCTGACCCGGCTGTCTCCTTGTTCATTACCCTCATTATTCTCAAATCTGCTATTCCCCTTACCAAAGCCACTGCGCAAGTACTCCTCCAAGCCACACCCGATCATATCAACCTCCAAGACATCAAGGAAGACATACAGGCTCTCCCCGGAGTAGTCAGCTGCCATCACGTTCATATCTGGCAGCTTTCCGACACCAAGGTTGTTGCGTCCTTACACGTGCAGGTTGCCTTTGCCATCACGGACGAAGGGGGAGAGAAATACATGAAGCTTGCCAAGCAAGCGCGGAAGTGTCTCCATGCTTATGGTATCCACAGTGCCACAATCCAACCCGAATTTTGTATGGACCAGGACTGCATCCCCATCGATGATGGCTCAATGACTCTCGATGGCCAGGCATCACCGCGCCTAGGAGGTGATGTCTGTCTTTTGGAATGCGTGGACGACTGCGTGGGTCAGGGATGCTGTTCGCTACCAGGACATGGGCATCCCGATTCCAAGCCTGGATCAACTCATGGATCAACTCACGGATCAAGCCACTCGGCCCACGACAATCACGGCCAAGGCGGTGAGCATGACCATGACCACGCTCATGACCACGACCATGGCCATGATCATGGGCATACTCAGTGAGAACGTGTATTTATACTTTTGGTCATGCATGTGGCACTTTCAACATCGGTTGGTTGCATCAGGTATCTGGGATTGGCGTGCGGGATAGATACAATTACTTGCATGCCTGTCTCTGGGCTGATAGGATTTCTTTTTGTCATTTATTTTAGGGGCTTGTAACAGTGCATGGTGGCGTTATGGCAAAATGGAACTGAGTGAACTAGGCTTAGAAGTGTATGCTTATTTGCAATACATTGCATATTTGGCTGCGGGCTAGAATAGGTCTTCCTAGTAGGTGTGTAGGAGGTAGCGTAGTAAAATGGTTAAAAAATATCAAATGTGTAGGTATGAATCCAAATGAAGACTCCATTAGTTATTGTTCAAGTATATGTTAGTGCTATGATCGATGTTGTTATGCTGCATGTATAAGTAGGCGCATATTCGTACAATGTTGTGCATATGTAACTGATGTTGCATCTCACGTGGCATTCGAAACTGCATTTTGTGATCGTTGCCCCTTTGTATTTTAAGCTCATCGCACAGACCGTTTTATTACCGCGGTACCTGCTTTAGGTACTTGCTTTAGGTACCTAACCTTTCTAAGCATAGAAGTCCGGTTTGGCATCCTTGCATTTCTTTTTTACTCCAGCATTTTAACTTGATCAACTTCCTACCTACGTAAATCATACTCATGGAAAAAGAAGAAGAAGAAGAAGAAGAAAACGCGATCTTATCAACTGCCAGATGGAACTCGAAAGCTTTCCAATTCGTCCCAAATCATGCTAGCTTGGGTTTGATTTCCCCCTCAACAGGGCTCAACATGGCAAATGCCGCAGCCAAATTTCACAGCGTAGCATGAATGATCGCCTCTAGGCCCATACAACGCGGGAGAAGAAGGCCGTGAAAAAGCTTATCTGTAACAAGCTCCCTTGGTTCTTGCGATCCCGTCATATCAATATCCTAGGCATTGCTTGGGAGTCCTCCTGCAACTTTGAGCTCGAGATGGACAAAGGGCATTGGAAGCGCTCGGATGGGCCATTCCGGCGGGTTGGCGATGAAACGGTTGGTAAGTTGGTTCAACTGGAGGTAATTATAGGTAGGTTGTTGGCTTAGATATGTAAGTATGTTGGCCGCCGCTGTATCTATCTATAGTACCAACCGCGTTTTCTCTCTCTCGGCCCTTCTCTTCCTCTTATTCGATTCTTGTGTTGTCGCTCCTTTGATAGTGCTTGCGTTCACTTTTCTTCCATTCTAATTTATATACTTCTTCTGGCTTGCTGGTTCCGGCTTCCTGCAGTCTGTTGTTACGTTCAATTTGCTCTAGTTGAGTGGTTGTATTTGAATTGATTAGAGCTGGCTTTCACTTGATATTTTATGATATTCTTTCTTGGTTATTAGCTTGTTGGTTGGTTAATTTGCCAATTTCGCCATTATGAAGTTTACAAACACCGCCGCTGCAATGGCAGCGTACGCTTTTTGTTGCCAGGACTTGGCCTCGGCTAGTCCCGTGAAGAAGCGCGGGGTGCTAGATGAGATATTCCAGATTACGACACTCGGTGGGATGACGTTCAAGATCCAACAAGTTCCGAATAAGAAGTTTTACGGCCAACGGAAAGGGAGAGGATCAATGGCTATTGCGAGAGCATATTCGAAATACGGGGCTGCCATCCCCGATGACTTGCTCTCCACCATACAGCAAATTCTGGAGGAACTTGGTCTGTTGGGAAATAATGGAGCGGGGAATAGTACGGCCAATGATCCTCAAGGTATGGCTCTTTTCCTTGATATCTGCTTTCCGTTACGTTGGCTGATCTATTCCTAGGCGAGGTGGCAGCAACACCCCAGATGTTCGATTCCGAATACTTATGCCCGGTAGAAATTGGTACTCCGCCACAAACCTTGAACTTAGACTTTGATACGGGTTCGTCCGATTTGTGGGTGTTTAGCTCTGAGACGCCGGCAAATCAAGTAATGGGCCAAGATGCCTGGGACATTGACCAGAGCTCAACCGCTCAATTGCTGACGGGGGAATCATGGTCTATTAGTTATGGTGACGGGAGTAGCTCCAGTGGTAATGTATACTCGGATGTTGTGTCAGTTGGTGGAGTGACGGTTAAAAGCCAAGCGGTCGAATCTGCCCGCAACGTCTCTCTGTCGTTTACGCAACGACCTGATACAGATGGGCTTCTTGGGTTGGCATTTGGGTCGATAAATACGGTCACGCCTAACCAGCAGAAGACATTCTTCGAGAATGCAGCGTTAGACCTCGCATCTCCTTTATTCACGGCTAATCTTAAGAAAGCCGAACGTACGTTGATTGCTTCACCCCTATCACGTGTATTTTCCAATGTGTGGCTGACAAGGCTTTAGCGGGCAACTACAACTTCGGCTTCGTGGACTCGACTGAGTATACCGGTCAGATCTCGTTTGTGCCCGTCAATTCGTCATCCGGATTTTGGCAGTTTACTGCGGGCGGCTACTCGATCGCCAACTCAGCCGCCGTCTCCGCACCCCACGAAGCTATTGCCGATACAGGCACCACGCTTCTTCTCCTACCCCAGGCAATCACAGACGCGTACTATGCGCAAGTACAAGGTGCCGTCAATGATGTGAATGGTGCAGGGGGTTACACATTCCCGTGCACAACAACACTACCCGACTACACGGCCATAATCGGAACCCACCAGGCCGTGATTCCCGGGGATTTTATCAACTTTTCACCTGTGGATGGTGATACGTTTGAGACCGCAACGATATGCTTCGGCGGTATACAGGCTACGCCGGCGAATTTCCCGTTTGCGATTTACGGGGACATATTTCTGAAGGCGCAGTTTGTGGTGTTCCATGGCGGAAACGTCGAGTTGGGATTCGCGAACAAACCACTATGAACTAGTTAGGTCCTTCCCTACCTGCATATGTATATGTATGTAAGAAGTCGGAGATATTTGTTGTGTGTTAAGTGTACCTACCTACCTATGCATTATATTTCGCTATTACCTACGTGATACGAAGAGAGATAGAAAAAGGGGGGGGGGCAGTGAGATCGGAAGAGACTAGGCAAACCTCGGACTTACGATACCATCGTCGGCTCGCTCGGCCGGCCGTATGTTCTCGGGCTTATAATATTGCATTGCATTGTCGGACTAACACTGTAATGCAGCTTTCTTTAGAATCCGCATCCCTTAGACAGGATGTTACCATTATCTGATTGGTCGGATGAAAAAATCCTACTCGTTCCTTTTCCTGGTCTGGTCTGGCCTGACTTCAATCACACCACTCACATAGTACTTATTCGACTTGGTCGCCTGCTGCCGCCGTGTCGTAAATGCGCAAGGGTTGACTAACCTTGCTGTGATTTTGGTGTGCTTGAACTACCTATTGTTTATAGTTCTGCGTTGTATCTTTCTTGACTTGACGATTGATTAGACTTTATTTTATCCTTTGGCTGAGCCCAGCTACGGATGCCAAGTCAAAGTCCGTGGGTAACTTTGTAACCGCCAACTGTATGTACATACATACATACATACATGCATACGACTCCGAACATCTATCGGAATAATAACGTACAAAAATTAAGCACATATTGACCTACCTACCTAATCTAAGCACCACAACACCTCCCCACCTTCCCATCTACCTCACAACACCACCACAAAAACCACCACCACCACAACAATGAATCGCCTCTTCTTCCTGCGCACCAAACCCCTCCCACCCCCCCTCCGATCCGCCACCCTACCCCTCCGCCGCCCCCGCCGCCCCCTCCTCCTCCTCACCACCACCACCATCGTCTCCGTCCCCCTCGCCGCCTACACCTACAGCACCTACAGCGACTGGCTGACCCTCGGGCGCGGCGGCGTGCCCCACAACTTCCTCGGGTGGCTCGCGCAAGCCTCCCTGCACGCCGTCTCGCGCAGCGACACCCGCGCACCGCTCCCCCGCCCCTACGCCTCCGTGTCCGAGCTCGCGGCCCTGTACGGGCCCGAGGGCGCCTCCACCTTCCTCCCCGCCGCGTCGTTCCCGGAGAGGAAGGGGGGCGAGAGGGAGAGGCCGGTGGTGCCGGGGTACGTGGCGCCGCAGCGGCAGCGGACGGGCGGGGCGTCGGGCGCCATGATCGCGCGGCAGAACGCGTTCCTGCGGGCGCTGGCGGACGCGAACCCGGCGGTCTTCGAGATGCGCACGAGCACCCTGGAGGGCCCCCTGCACGAAGGGTTATATCTGCGGGCTCCCCCCTCCCCTACCTCGCCGTCTGCTTCTTCTTCTTCTTCTTCTTCTTCCTCCTCGGAAGACCCCCAGGACCCCCAAGCGCTGGAGGCGAAACTCCGAGCCCGTCTCGGCCGCGGCACCGGCGGCGGCGAGTTCGCGCACGTCCACGGCGAGGGGAGCGCTCACGTGACGCTTTCCCCGGGGGACGCCGCGACCGCGATACGCGCCGGGTGGGCGGAGCGACACCAGATGAGCGGCGTGGGGGGGCCTAAGCTGGCGATGGTGCCGTGGGGGTATGTGATGGTGTATGCGCCGCGCGAAGGGGAGGAAGGGGAGTGGCAGGCTTGGAAGGATGTGGTGATGGCGGGGGCGCGGTATGTGGCGCAGGGGAGGGGGGTGGAGGTTGTGGTGCCTTCTTGATGGGCTATGTTCAGTTGAATTAGATTATGTTTGGCTGGGCTGGGCTGGGTTTGGGTATGAGACGGCAAAGGGAGAGGAAATAGTGTCGCGTTATTGAGAAAGAAAGGGCGCTATCATGGGAGTTTTTCCCTTGGAGTTGAACGGCATAACTGAGTACTGGCCTGGTAATTGATACGCCATATTTAGGAGGGTTTTTCTTTTGGCATTGGTGAAAAAAGGGGGAAGGGGTCAATGATACTTGTGTACTTAGGTACACATTTTGTATCGGGGATAATTAGAAGTAATTAGTATCAATGATTATTCATATTGTTGCTATAACTTATAGCGCTCGTGCCAATAAGTTATCACTTCAATTGTCACTCATTACTTATCCAAGATTTAACTATATCGCTATTGAGAAGCGTCTTGTCTAAGCGACCAACCATATTAGACAGTATCCCGTTGAGACAATCCCCCTATTCACTCATTCGACCACATTGCATACTAAATAGTGTCCCACTCTAAATACCAAATCACGTAGGCATAGGTACTTTAGTCGAGGATTCATTTGGCCTTATTGCACCTTCGAGGTATAATATTCATGGTAAATGTCCAAGGTTGCGGTCTGATTTGTCCGCAGCACAATACAAAGTAAAAATCTATCCAACGCTAAAGCCGTATCCGTGACTACGGCCTCTTACACCCCCTACCACTATGCCATCCCAAAACAATGATATTGATGCCAAGAAAATGGGTATGAATATTGTATGCAAAATAAATCAATGGTTACGCCTCTAACCCCCCCCATATGATTTGCCGTAAGCGTGAAAGAAAATGTTGGAATAAGAAGGGAGATTTCCAGTGAATCAAATATGCTTATAGACAACTCTTCGTCGTCTTCAACGTTGCGAGCAAGGCTATTGCTCTTTCCTGTATCTTCTAAGCATATCGCTTATCGTAGTCTCGTGGCATATTTGGCGCATTAAACAAAGGAAAGTAAAAACGTATTGTACTGGAGACAAAATTCGTCACCTAAACGTAGGTAGTGTATGGACCCTCGACCTTGACCTCTTTGATCCCATCTGGCATCATCCGAAGCCATTCGGCCCAGCTTTCGAGGTTAATAGCTTCTTCAGCTAAACGCATCGACAGTGTTAACTGGGGGCCGTGCTGGCTCTCAGGACTATAAGGGGTCCGTGGTGGTTGGGGTGGGGATAGCGTTATCGAGGGTAATCTGGAGTTATTGGAAATCTGTATGTGTAAAGGCGAGGGGAAACTGATCATAGCACCCTTTTCAGGGTGCTTGTCTTGGATGATCTTGGGATAGATGGATAGGAGCTTCGAGTGCAACTCGGCGGCTGACAAGGGGTTCGAAAGGCGCTGGGTGGCCCGTGTTCGGAGCTGATCGGCTAGGATCCTAGTAAAGCTATTGCGGTCCAACACATCGAAGTATTCCTCCGAGGAAGACGCTGCAACCACTTCTAACACCCCCCTTTGCCGAACCATCTTCGAAGATGGGTAGTATGCCGAGTCCATTACGATGAGCGTGTCCGAACGAGCTTCTTCTAGAATCTGTTGGATACCACTCCATCGTATGGTCGAAGCCTTTAAACGATTTCGGGAGCTACATCGGTTTAGTATCTATCATTGACAGCAACATGCTCGCTCAACGTTTGACAAACTGACCTCGCCAAAACCATCTCCCTATGTTCGTCCAAATAACTGTACCCGTTATAATACACCAGCTTTAGAACGTCTCTCGTATCGCTCTTGTCCGTAAACTCGTTCATGATTCGGGAGAGCCACCTCCACGAGTTGCTGCAGCCATCCGACGCAGACGAAGGAATCTTGAGGATCTCAAACGCATACCGGTAGTACTTGTCGAATACCATGGCCAACTCCTCCACCGCTGATGCTACCCCGGGCTCGTCATCATCCTGCCAGTAGATAAAAAGCGCACAAACGCTACTATAACGGCTACGATGAGGTGAGGCGAGAATCCTCGAAGCCACAGTCTCCAAATCTGCCTTCACTGTATCAACACTTGGCAATGCCGTGTAATGATTTGTTGTAGCAGATAAGGGGGACGCAGAGATAGGCTTTTCCAACCGTGGGCCCGACGGCAGAGGCGTCCGGATTCTCGAGTCATTGAGTGAAGTACGACGACCTGGCGTACCTTGGACATTGTTAGGAATAGCGGGAGTAGAGTCAACCTCCATCTCTTGAGGGTCATGGGTGAAGTGATGTCTAATATGGTTGGGCGCGGGGCTGATCGGTCGACCAGCCAGCGGCGCAAGATCCTGCAAAGGACTTGAAGAGCGATATTTCCGCATAGCATCTTCCCACGTCATATTATGATGGTTGGGGTGGCACTTAAATGGGTGATCATGTGAGCATTTTACTAACACGATAAAAAAAAAGGAGGCAAATTTCAGTAGTGTAACTTACAGCAACCCTCCGTCTTCTGCAGTCGGTACAAGCACCCAATTTTCGTATTAGCGCAGCCTTCTCCCTTTGCTGAGCCGATAGTGGCCCGGTCCGTCGACGGCTAGCACGACGGCTATGAGAGATCTCGGACCCATCCTTAACCGAGAAGATGGATTGTGACGACTCTACGCTGTAGGCAGTGGCGTTGGTATCAGCCGAGGCATTAGAAACAGCGGTTGCATCGGTTGTGTTTGTCGACGTCGAAGAACTTGTATCCTTCCTTGAGGGCGCCGCCGATTGCGTTGGTGATGCTGGGTGGCTCCCATGTTGCACGTGCTCGGTATGTGCAGCTTGGTGGGGTTGAAGCTGCTGGGACGACTGATGATGCCCACCAGTCTGTTGTGGTTGGGATTGCGGCTGCTGTTGCTGCTGCTGTTGGTCATGCTGATGAGATACGTGCTGACCTCTATCCTCAGTCTTGCTGTCTTTAGGAAATGCTTCCGACAGACTGGGTGCAGGATGCATGTCGTCTGGGGAAGAGGGGGGGGGGAGCTCGCACAACAATAGCAAGACTACCTCATAATGAAAGGTGGCGATGTTGGCTCGTTGACGAGCACTATACACAGGAGGCACGGGATATGGACACGGACACACACAAACACAGACACATACACAAAAAAATCGAAAAAAAAATTCGACGACGGTGGACTTTTGTTGGCTTTTAAGGTGGAGAATTCAACGAGGGTGATAATGAAATTGCCGCGAAGTGAGGAAATATGTATGTAGGTTAGTAGGTAGTAGGTAGTATGAAGTCCATAGGACGGGGACAGAAGTACAACCAGCCAGTGCCGTACGTATGTAGGTTAGTGATACTAGACCTACTAAGGTACTATATGTATGGTATGTGTGGTATGTATGTAGGCTGGGTATGTAGTAGATCTAAGAAGCTACAGGTACACACAGGTTGATCCACTTGATGCACTCACTCGATGTACTCAATGCAGTCGAGGTATGTATGAGGTATGAGGTATAAGGTATAAGGGTATGAGGGTATGAGGGCATGTGTGTGTATGTGTATGTACGATACTGAGGCACATAGGTAGATGTAAGTAGATGCAGGTAGACGTAGGTAGGGGGCTACCTAGGTAGGTAGGTAGAAGATAGGTCAAGTAGGTATTGTACATACCAGATTGACTACCCAATGCCAACCAGTAGGTGTAGGCAAGCAGGTAAACAAGGTCAACTCTGGACCTCTAAGATGTATGAAAAAGTGTTGAATGTCAATATACGCAAGGTACAATACAAGAATACAAGAATACAAGGGGGGGAGGGGACGTTGGAGTGAAGGAGGGAAGGGAAACAAGAGTAGAGTGCTCTATAGACTAACGAAGATCGTGGTAGCTTCCGAGGCGCTGTAATACAAAGCTCCAATGAGAGCTCTTCCCTCTTTTGTTATTGTTAAAGTATGTACTTGTACTATGTAGGTGGTACTTACCTACATAGTATGGATGTAAGGCTTTTTAGGTTTTTTTTTCTGACGATTTTCGAACGAATGCGGGGCTAAGCTCTTCCCTCTTTCCTCTTGGCCATCAATTTCCATTCCACCTTTACACCTATATATGTACCTACCTGATACTAGGTGGGATACATAAAGATGGAGTATTTGTGCGCTCTATTTATTAAGGGTTGTTACTTACGTCTTAAGTTTCTTTTTTTTCTTTTTTATGTACTATTTTATTACATACTATGTACATAGCTTAGAATTAGGTATTGTTGCCATGTGTATTTAGAGATGGCGGGGCCGGGCAGCATTTTGAACTTTCCACTACATAACAGCTACTATATGTACCGCAGCTACTACAGACTAAAGTTCTAGCGTCCTTTTTAACCCCCCTCATCTCTGTTTGCTACTGTTTTTAGCGCCAGTCTTATCTCCTCGATGCCCTCATTTGCTTCCTTTCTACCTAATTCTCTCACCTCACCTCACTGCATTACATACACTACACTACCTCTAATTCCAATAGCCCCATCCTCCAATTCCCAAGCCCCAATACCGAAGATCAATTTCATACATATAATATATATATATACTGGTATACGATATATATATATACAATTATATACATCTATATATTATTATGACCTTATTCCTTCATTACGAAAATCAAATGGTCATAGTACTTCCCTATTCCCCGAAATTACAACTTACCACGGTCAGACATTTCATTATGTACAATCTCGACCGTAGATTACCAACCGATAATCTATATCAATCAAATAAAAATAAACATGGGGGGCGCCCAACTGCATCTAAAAGAGAAAAAAAAGAGCCAAAATTTTTGGTCGAGAGTGTTACTTTGGATGTATCGTTTCAATCTGATTTTGGCCGTGGCTACGGCGGATCTCAGGTAAACACGTGGTAGTCCATTCCTTATCCAGTTTTCAAGTCGTCCTCCAATGAATCTTTCCGTCCACCAATCAACGTCAGCGCCAGCGCAGAGAGTCGCAGACATACAGCCCAAGAGACGTGACGCTCCGAGTGTCCACACACACAAAATACTTACATGTATGTATACCTACAAATATACCCATATACTTACACGCTTACACATTTACACACCCCCCCTTGCCCGTCGACCGTAGGCCCTTTCGGTCAAGAGGCGAGGCGATGCGATGCGAGGCGACACAAGATCAGACACGTCTACGCTGTGAGGCCACACACGTTACCTACCACCTACTATGTACCGACATTGCTGATGCACGAGAGAGAGATTGAAGGTTTAATGTTACTAACTACTACATACAGAGTAGTTGTGTGTGAGAATGTGAGAGAGTCAGTATAATTGAGTGAGTGAATGAGCGAGCAACCTGGAAGACACCACACCAGACCCAACCCAGGACCCAGACGAAGGAGGAAAATCCCAAAGAAAAAAAAAAGATTTACCTCGCCCACCTACATACATACATACATACATACTTTACCTATGGATACGTTATAATCTCGAAAGGTATTGTACATTATGTATAGGTAGGTATTTTACCAGTTTACCAGCTTTGCCCCGGACGCATCTCCACTATTCAACTACTACGTCCACGTCCTTCGCGGCGCGGGCTGCCCCCTGGTCCCGTTGAATTTCTTTGTCTTTCTTTTCTTGTTTGTGTGGCCGTTCTGCCCGCCCTCATCCGATGCTGCGAAATGCAAATCTGTCACAGGCGAATATGCATCCTTCACTCGGTCTACAACGCGAATGCCATGGATCAGCCCATGCATTCTCACCCCCCCGGATTGACTGATTTGTTCAGCCGATATGAGCTTTATGCAATTGTTTGTCATCTGATGCCGATATTCGATCGTAGATCGGCTTCAAACCCCCGTGACCTTACTCTGCTTTGTCTCTGACCCCTAATGTGTTTGTCCAATACTTTCCGCGGTACGGGCTGGGCGAACATTTGTGTCACCTTAATACCGACCCGCGTTGAGAGAGGGGTGGGAGATGTAGAGATGGGGAGATGGAGAAGATCTCCTTCACCTTTCCCGTGCCCTTCTCGGTGGCTGGGCTACGTTAAGTGGTCGCTTCGGTCAGACACGGTCCAACCCCCCCCCTTTCCCGCAGCCTCCCCTCCTTTACTGGTTTACCATTCTAGTTGAGCATCCTCTCTGGACGGGGGGGAAGGGCGTCCACGAAATTGCCGAAGATATAACTTCGGACTCTTCGACCTGCATGGCTCAAACTGTGCAGTAGCAGACGAGCAGACGCGCCTCTCCAATCTTCAGCCCTGGCATGTTCTTCGGTCACAATTGATGCAAGACTACATCGTTTTCTCTTGGGTGCTAGGTACATTACCACATCGTACACCCTTTGATCCACCACTTCTGGAAGGTCGGTAGAAGGTGACTGAGCGGAGGGACACTCGGCATTGCCTCACCGAACCCCCGAGCTGGTTTAGACGCCATTTGATAGGGTAAAAGTGTTCGCAAACATGTTCTCCGTGTGGACCGCAGGTTAGCTATGCTGGAAACTCTTGGCACACTATACCCATTGCACCATTACTAGGGACCGCGAGAAATAAAACCAAAGGAGAAGGGGAAAAAAATTTATTACCTCCCCGCGGTAAGTATACCAATCAGCAATCCCTTGATGGGGAACCAGGGCCGCTCTAGGAGCTATTTTGCTGCATGGCTTATAGCTTCGCAGTAACGCAATTTTTTATTATTGTTATCCCTTGTTAACTCTCACAGCAGGATCACAATATCAGATTATTTTGGGGGTCAAATTAACCCTTGAAACGAAGAGGATCTAATGGATGGACGTCCCTAGACTTTGTCATACGTCCCTTTCCAGCTTCCCCCGCAATGGAAGCCTTCCAAAAAAGCATTGATTCATTGGCCCTTTGCCCGGTCTAGGATGGGCTAGGATGGGCCTCGCTGAGAATTTCCTAATATACGGGTGCTCGCTTTAGGTCACTTAACCAATTTAACAAATTAGACCTTGCCATAGCTCTGCCAGCTGGTCTATTGGACCCTAGTCCTACCAGAACTGTCAAGCAGAAGTTTGAGCCATCGCGGTTTGGTCCTGGTATGTCATATGTATTGGAACATTGGAACACTGGAACATCAAAACATAGGATCAATATTCGGGGTGCAGCTCCTCATGCTAAGACGGCCAGCGACTCACCTGTTCGCAATACGTTGGGCACTCGAATCATCTGTCACCACGCCATTGGCCAGAGGTGGCCTTGCATGTTGATAGGTAATCACCCACTGCGCCAATAAAGACGCGACGAGAATTGCGAACTGGGGAGGCGAAAGGCCCGAACGACTGACCTTCAGCTTATTCCTTCCGACTCTTGCCGCATCGGAGGGGCCATTCACTCCCTTTTCTGCTGCATCAATTCGGCATACCGGCAACATCAGTACCCCAAGGATGATTTCCCTTGGTGAACTGGATATATGAGACGAGTTCATAAGTTCAGTTCTCTTCTAAACCTAACCAGGTGAGCTCTTCCAGTATTAGATGAAACTATTGCGCGTTGTAGTAGACATCGTCTTTGTCAGCGCCATCTAGACCAGTGGGGACTACCTTAGTATACCAAGGGTATATTGGTGAGAATCTAGTCCGCCCCCTTAATTTTCGACGAATTGGAGTAGAACCGGAGATTTGAAGTGAAGCTTTCCTGACACTTGCATGGTGTCAATCATCTGAGGGAAAAAAAGGGAAAGGAAAAAAAAGAAACAAAGGTCGTACCGGCGATCTATCACTGGCATCTCCAGTCCTACCCAACGTCGGCTGCTGTTTGCCTGAGGCTTAAACTCAACGAGTAGGCGCGCCACGTTACTGCAAGGGTTCTTCTCCAGGAGAGTATAGCCCATTCAAAAGTGAAGTGAGCATTTCAAGCTGGCTTTTCAGTTTTAGTTTCTCTTTCGGTGCAACATACGTATTCAGGTACCCTACCCTCCTATTCTTTCGATGAAACACTGATGACTCTATATATGCCACCGAAGAGGCGATTTAAGGGAGACTTTGTAGTTTTGAACAACGTTGGCTTCTCTCCCCCTGTTACGGTTACGGTAGTACAGGTCAAGTTCTTCCAAATGCAGAAAGCAAAGCAACGCAAAGCACAACAACACAGCACAAATCGAAGCTACTCCTTTGTAAAGTAAAGTACATAAGACCAAACAACCTTGCCAAGGGTCAAGTGAAGTGTCTAATGCGGGCAGAACCCGCTCAGTGAGCCATATTCGGCCGTATACAGGTAAGAGCTGGCCCCAGCTAGTGAATGCCGAACGCTGATCACGAAATCCTACAACTATGGGACCCTGACCGTGGCATTCGGACGTGGACTACCGAGCTTTTCGGGGGCCCTACCGTGAGCCAGTTACGCGCGATGCCGTGGCGAACTTGTCTCTTCCTCGTCTCATCCCCGTTCCCGTCCTTCATCCCCCTCTTACTCTCTTGGGCGCCTCGCTTAGCGCTTGACACGGGGCTAAGGTCCGTTTGTTTTGCTGCCTTACCATACTTGTCATACCTAGGGACGTGATTACCTTTCGATATTACACGATGTCATGAAATAATAGCACTACCTTTATTGTGTACGATAGTCTCTCCGCCCTAGACCGTACTGGTTAAGGTGTTGGTTCAACCCCCAACAAACTGAGGACTAAAGAAGACAATTAACCAATATCGAATCCTTTGAACCGAATCGTACCAAAGTAGTGAACCGAATAAGCGCGTATAGCAAAGGTTTCTCTAGCTAGATAGCTACTTACCTAGCTACCTAAGGTCCTAAGCTACCTAGCTCATACCTGATAGTCGACTCCGCGTCTCCGGCCCGCCCCTTCTCCACACCTGGGTACGTGGGCGCATCAGCTGCCTGAGGGGTACTGCGTGAGATATTGTTGTCGTCGTCGTCGGTGTTGTTGTTTCTAGGTCTGGTGGCGAGAGGTCATTGGCTCTGTTCTCCGCGGTCATGCTTACCTCTCACATCTCCACCTACCTACTTGAGCTTCTTACTTACCTACCCATGGTAATTACTTGCTCTAGCTGTTTGTGAAGGGAAATGGCCCCCCTTTTTTGGTGCCTCATTTTTGAACCCTGTCACCAACATGACGACTACTGCTCTCCATAATCTACATGTGCTCATCGAATCTAACATGTTTATTTAGCTGTTGCTTAGCTTGGTCTCCTTCTTGAGCTTAGGGTCAGACATACATACATACATACATACATGCATACATATATCCACACGAGCAACTGTCAGACAGACATACAGAGAGAACCACTCCTGCATGGATAAAAATAGCCACCTACCTAGCTAACGAGACAGATTCATCTACCTGAACCAAGCTATATCTGCATAGCAAGATCCATCCAATATAACATACATAGCATAGCCTAACATCACATACCTACATATCTACCTACCCACATACATACTTACCTACCCACTCACCTTCTTATTTACTTACTTGCATACTATACTTTACCCTACGTGCTTCAAAGAAAAGAGGAGAAAAGGTTAAAGAAAAAAAAAGCATTAAATAAGGAGAGCGAGATAAGCGAAAAAGTCGTGGCTGTGTATGTACATAGGTAGTTTTGTGGTGTCAAGGTTACGGCTACTTAGTAATAGCTTAGGTGATAGATACCTACCTAAGCTATATAGAAAGACGAGAAAGAAAGATGGCTGGATGGATGGATACTCCTTCCACATACTTGTGGCCGAGGATCAAGTTGACGAATAAGCCATCCAGACCACCATCCAGCCAACCAGCCAGCCAGCTAGTTGGGCAGGCAGGCAGTCAGCCAGCCAGCCAGCCAAGTACTAGCTACCAACCTAACCTACCTAGACAAGTACATATCTACCTCTGTAGAGTATCTAGCTAGAGGTACCTACCTACCTACCTACATACATACATACATAAACAGATATCTATACCTGCACCTATGAAACGCCGCACCGATGAATTGCTACCACTCATTGGGCCACGGATAGACAGCCAAGCTTTGACCAATAAGGGGGGGGCAAGTCTCGTAGTCAGCGTATAAATCTTGCACCTAACCTACCTACCAACCCTAGTATCCATATATGATAAGAGTTTCTTGCTTGAGTTTACTTGGGTAGATAGACAGACAGATAGATAGATAGATAGATGCAGACATACATATCTAACCTCGGGATAACTAAGTAGTGACATCACCTTACTTACTTACCTACTTTACCTATACACTTTGCTCAGATCTACAGAAAGACAGATAACTAGGTACTGTAGGCAGGCATGGTCGGCAGGTAGATAGCTACATAGAAGCAGCAGCAGCAGCAGTAGACAAGCATAGTAGCATCACATCACATGACATCATGCAGACAATCGATCGACCAAGGCACACGAAGCGAAGTACGGTAAGTGTCTTTATCTCTTAAAGCATTAAAAAAATAACCAGATGTGTAAGTAGGTGAGTCTGAATATACAAAACGTATACCACTTCTTCTTCTTCCTGGGTTGGCTCTTGGTTTTCCGTTTTTTTTTTCATACCGACGTAGCAAATGGCTTCATTCAAAAAATTGTCTGTCCAGTCATCCTGTGCGTGAACTTGATCTCTTTCTTATAATCTTCTCTTTCCCCCTTCTCATTCCTCTTTCTTTGTTTATTATAGAATGGTGCTTATCTGCCTTAAGCTTAAGAGTAGGCAGGCCCGTATCTAATCGAATCGAATCGAATCGAATCGGATTGCGTTGTATCGTATCGTATAGCCTCATAAAAAAAACTCACGTCATCCATCCAACCACCACGACAGAACTCCTAAACTTCAAAGATCTCTACTCTCCTCACTTACACCTAGAAAGACAACGCCAACACAGCAAGACCAACAACACCGTACACCACTCCCATGACAGCGCCACCACGCGCGCTAATCCCGGAACTCAGCGCGTCGATCTCTAGGATGGGCGAGGGGTCGTAGTTGACGGGTCTGCTGTCGGTGGTTCCGTTCCAGCAGTAACGGCTAAAGCAGCTGCGGCAGGTGGGACTGACGGTGGTGCCGGTGCGCTCGAGACTGCGGCTGAGGATGGCGCAGGCGACGCAGGTGCGCCAGCCGGAGTCGACGGTGCCGTTACCCATGGTGGCCGCGTTGTAGCCGTTCTTGATCATCGAGTTGCGCTCCTCGTCCGTGTACGACGGGTCAAAAGTGGACACGTTCGAGTGTGTCGTGTAGGGCGCGTTGGCGACGTACACGATTAGAGGCGGTATGTGGCTAGCGTTGGCGAACTCGGATGTATCGCACCCGAAGAAGGTCGGGCGTTGGTTTAGGCCCAGGTTGATGAAAGTCTCGGCATCAGGAACAGCTGGGAATGCCGTGCCGTTGGCAATGGGGGTAAGACTGCGCTCGTACGTGGCACGTAGCGCGGTACCGTTAGGGAAGTAAGTATCGGTGTCGGCGGAGGAATCGACGGCAAAGATGATATCCACGGCGCGCGCCGGCTGGATTAGGGGATGTAAAGGAATGTTCTGCAAGTCCATGCCACCATCCACGAGGGTCAGCTGCTCATCGTGGGCGTTGACGTTGGTTGCGCTGTTGTAACCATAGAATGGATTAGGAGTCCAAGCAGCGATATCATCATTGTCGTTGCCAAGACGAGTCAAGACGGCCTGGAGCGCGTTGGCGACTAATTGGGGTACATCGGAAGAGGATATGTTTTGTAGCAGGAAAGCGTTGAAGAGCGAACTACTAGTGCCCATGATGTAGCTGTATGAGTCGAATCCACGGACGCAGTGGCCATTCTCGATAACGCTGCCGGCGCTGAAGTTGGAGCCGACGTACCGGGTGGGCGCAAAACCGTAGATAGTTGGGTCGTAGGACCCGACTTCCCAAGGATTGAACTCCAGGACGGTGGAGTTGAGAGAAACAACTTGAGTCCCCGGCCTGCGCTCGTCGGCCACTAGGATCGGCATCGGTGTATCGGCGGATATGAAGTTAGGTGCATCGGCAATAGACGAGAACGTGTAGGCTGGCCCGCCTTCGGGCGCGTTGATTAACTGGACGGAGAGAGCCCGACCCCAGTAGTCTGTGATAGAAACATCATAGCCGGCGCTTCGTTTCGTATCGACCTGGTCGGCGATATCGTTCCAGTATTCGACGGTGTTGACGACCGAGATACCCCTACTCTTGGGACCCTGGAAGATGGAATTGGAAAACTGCCACAGGGCAGAATTGTCATAGCCATCACGGAGCTGCACGACGCTGGAAAAGTTGTTGGCGAAGATGGAGCCAACTAGCCAGCCACCACCGGATAAGCCGGCGAGGTATGTGCTACTTTGTAATAGACCACCAATACCTCCTGTGTCCGTCGTGCCGGGCACACGGCTGTCAGCAGCAGCAATAAAGCCGGCACCATTTAGTAAGGCACGATAACCACCACCCGAGACAGCGATGCCGATGTTAGGCACTATAGAAAAATTTGCCGAGTTGGAAGTGACGTAACCAGCGGCATCGAAGTCGCTTAGGCTCGAACTGCGCAGGAATTGGACCAGGGGATCAATGGTTTTGCTCCGGCGGGTTTGCAGCCAGTCGCGTTCGGATTGCGATAAGGATCCGGCACCCCGAATGGTCGGCCGTTGGCTAGGACAGTCGACGATAGCCGGGGCGTAAGTGCCGGACGGGTTGTCCGGAGTGGCACGGCCTATCAAAGCATCTCGAGCCCGAAGAGCGTCATATCCTAACGAGCCATCATTGCCACTAGTGGGAGATCCGAGAGCGGCTGAGATAAGCGAGACTAGGGACAGGGGTAAAGTTGGAAGATGCATCGTTCCTTTTTGATCTTTTGTGCTATTAGTGCCCTTATGTGTGGATGTTTGTTACCTTACTACCTGTATTCCTAGATTAGGTACCCAGTAGGTACTAGGTTAAGTAAGGTAGTAAGGTAAGTAAGATTTCCTTGTAGAGAAACAAAGAAAGACGGAGGGAAATAGTAAGAGGAGGAGGAGGAGAAGGAGGAGAAGGGGGATGAGTGAATAAAGGGAACAAAACAACCCAAGAAAAAGGAAAAGGAGTCGATATTAACTATGCAAATTAGTGCTTGTTATGGAATGTTGGTGTTCCAGTTAACTTGGTGTTCCAGTTAACTATATGTGGTAATTAGTTTGTAGCACGACTACTAGGTATTGTGCAATACCATAGTAACCATACAACACCTAAGGTGCTAGGTATTATACCTGGTAATTATAATCAGGAATTAGAACGGGAGAGTTGCGTCACCGCCTGAAACTATGCTAGCAGCAGCTAAATAAAGAAAAGGGAGGGATGAAATCAATAAAAGAAAAGACATGAATACGCCGTATAGTTATTTGTCGACATTGGACATGTGTAAATGCTGTGCCTCCTTACCCAGCCAGCCAGCATACCGTCCGTACCGGCACGTTGCTACCGTTACGGGTAATGCACCCACCTTTGGTCGATAATCTAGATTCTATCGTCAGCCGCAAGCCGGTGTATATTTGCTTGGCAATTAGATGTTTAAACCAATGGCATCGTTATTTTTGAAGCTTACAAGGCTTATAATGATTGTATGTGCTGTAATTATGGTTACCTAGGTAAGGTCCTACTGGGGCTGTGTTATCAGTTAAGGCTATTCGATTGTGTGTGGTGTTGTTAATAGATAGTTATCGAATGATGAAAGCCAAACAAGTCGGAATGGGGATTCAAGTCCCTTGGGTCCCTTGGGGCCTTTGGAGCCTTTGGAGCCTTCGGGAAGGACGGGACTGTTAGGTAATTGCCCACCAAGGAAGTAGCTACATACATAGTAACTATATCGTATTCTAGGCTTCTAGCATTGTACAAGGCGCTTCAAATGTTTTAGTACGGCATAGTACAGTATTAGTACTAACATCAATTGAATTAGGCCAATGCCACTCCCAATATGGTATAAGCTGACTTGCACTAAGTAGTACTTGTTGCCAGATCAGACGATACTTGACTCCTTTGAGCATCTCTTAGGACCCGAGGGCGGCTGAACGGCTAAGACGGAAGTACTTGTGGTGCCTTGCATAAGTACCGTGGTTTAGTTTTATTTAGTTCCGGCTAGTTTTAATGGGAAATTTATGGAACCAGCATACCTTAAGTTCCTTTAAAACATATGCTAGCAATCCACAGTCATTGTTGGAAAAGGCAGTGACGTCTAAGGCGGTGTCGATCCCCGTGTGCCGCGTGGCTGGGAAATGGAGATTCAGCACGCCGAATTATCCGGGCAACCCGGGGAATACATAGGGCATTACCTTTGGAACTTGTCTTATCTTTCATGTGGTTACACATGGATCATGGATGTAACATTGGATCGTTTGCAGGATACGTACTAACTGTACATAACTAGGTACGTACACATGTGTTGTACGAAAATAAGGTAAGCAGACAATGCAGTAAATGCACAGACCACAACGAAATCGGAGTTACAAGTTCGGCCTCAAGTACTGTACGGTACCTTGAACCCACTCCTCCCCTTAAAATCCTCATCTGCGCCGGCGACTACCACCACTACATCGTGATCATAGAGCGGTTACCTACCTTCCCTTCATTTCTGGCCATAGACACCTAACCTAGTTCGATCCCTGGGCCTAAAGCATCGCCCTGATTACGCGCGGGACAAACAGGTTGACGAGAGCCCCCGCGTGGCGTTATGGTTGAACATGCCCGCCACCAGATTCCAGGCCCATCGTTCTGGGGAATAAGAATAAACAAGTCCGGCCGGGGCGTACAGTCAGTTAGTCAGTCCCCAACCTCGGAGTTTGAGATTATGCGCGGAGACCTGCACAACAACAACGGCGGGCGACGAAGATCACGACGTCGGTGGCGGTGGCGTGGTGTATGTCTTCGGCAAGAGCGTTGGAAGCTTTGGGCAGGATGAAACATGATTCTTCGCTCGTTCATTTTTGATAAATTGATATGCTGGTCAGGGGTTTCGGGTGCGAAAAGCAATCCTACCCCCCCCCGATACGGCGTATCGGATCCGCATCGGCGATTAGGGTTACCTATGGCGTATTTGGTACATACATACCACGCGCCGTGACGGACAGATAAGTAATATCCATATCCGTAGGACGTAGGCACCTTATAGTCCCGGCGGACGCACGATATGCCGCCGACGGAGATATGGGTGTAAATTTTTTTTTTTCCATCCGGGACAATTCTCTGCAGAGCTATCCAGCATCCCGAGGGCTTCGGTAGATCGCATTGCCCGTCTCCGTTTAAGCGGAAGGGGGGCCGCCGGGCAGCCTTGTCGGCGCATTCGTTCTACCTAGCTGCCGGGAGCAGCCGGAATCCCAAGATTCTGCCCGAAGCGCTCGCTTAGCAGGACGAAAAGAAAAACTACGACCTTTCATGAACGAGATTCAAATATGAATCCGCCCCCCTTTAGCCTACATACCTGGGCATACCTAGCTATTAGCTGGGTTGGGATATCAAGATATTCCGACTTGCTCAGCAGCAGCTCACTTGCTCTAATTCCTTCGCATACCTGATCTTGTCGCGAGGGTTTTCGAAGGGGGTTAGGGAGGGAGGGAGGGTAGGTGGAGGGCTAGAAGTTTGCCAGACTCTATCTAGAACTAAAAAACTTGCTAATCATGAACAGTGACGCCACTTAGAATGCAAAACACTGAGTGAGATGCGAGACTAAACCGCTACTATGTTAAACCGACAACTTATGTAAATCATCCAGGATTTCTCATCCCGCGCAGGGACACACGATAGTGTAATGTTGGGATACCTATTGGCGGGAAGCAGGACAACTGCTTGGGCACCTACCTAAGATTAGGCACACGAAAGCCACCATACCTCAAGTCATTTATCAGATAATCCTCACTTTGATCAGACATATCTGTACTGACTTTGTGACTACTTACCATAGCGGGAACCCCCTGCTCGCGAGAACCATTCTAAACTATAGCGAATGAATCTATGCATCCCAACACAAAGAATCATTCTAATCTTGAAATGATCTCCCAATTCTTATTATTGGGATACATGGATTCATTCTTTAATGAAGGTAATTATTCTTATGACTGAAATTATTCTTGGCTACCTACCTAGGTAGGCAACTAGAACTATTCTCGATGAAGAGATTCATTCCGTCCAGCTTGGAATCATCTCCTTCGATTAAGAACCACTCCCTATCTATTAGCATCAAGTTAGAACCATTCTTCCCATGATATCCATTGCTCAGCCATCTAGGTAGGTTAGGTACCTGCCTAGGCACCTATTTTATGAGAAAACTAGGTCCAGAAGTTAGCATATAATCTCTATATAAAGTAAACGCTACCAGCACCGCCCCCTTTTCCAGACTATTACAATTATGAGCAATGCCTAGGCACCTATCGTTATTCGTTCATGTGTTCTGCTAGACTACCCAGGCTGCTTATTAGGTACTGTAATATGCTATTCCCGTTCTAATCATGTAGGAGCCTAGTATATCTCAGGTACATCACTTGGCCAAGCCAACAGAGCATCTTGGCTCGGCACTATCATATATAACATAGTTTTGCACGACAAATGACAAATGACACGGCCCCATACATCACTGCTTCGGTAGGCGCTAGTAGATTGAACATCAGCTACGGGGGGGTACTCATTCATTTCCCTTCCAAACTCCAATGGCCATGCCGATCCGACATGCACCTAAACCACGTGATATCTTACTCTCATCGACGTTTTGAGCACTCAAGCATAAAGCTCCATGACCAAGCCATATCTGTTTCCTAGCCAGTGAAGAAAACCCAACACAATTGCATTTCATAATCCGAGTCGAAAAGGCACGACCCGGCCAATGATATCCCTAACTCCGACCAACGATCCACCACCTATACGGTAGTCTGCCTGCCTATCTGCCTGTCTTCCTGTCTGATGATACACACACCGCCCTTTAGATGGGCCACGAATCACGCTTCTCCACTATGTTTTGGAATCTAAAACCGGTGTTGGTGCAACTCTTCGCTTCTTAGGTTGACTACCTGCTGATGTGTCGTCCTTGTCGATCTCGGTAGCTTCACGCTTTACGCCGCCAGTGGCAGCATTGGAGCTCCCGGGTGTCTCGGGGGGCGTTGTAATAGGCACTCCCGTTACCTTTCCAGAATTGGTAGCAGCAATACTTGGTATGCTGCCGCCAATCAGAGGCGGATTGTTCATAACCGAAACTTGAGTCGCGATTGATGAGGTAGAGTTTGATCGGGCTGGCGAAGATGGGCGTACACTCGAGAAGGATCCCATAGCGGGAGGAGAGGGGGCAGCAAAGGACGTGGCTGAGTTGCGGTGCTGATGATTAGGGAAGGGCGAGGGAGGGGCGAAAGCCGACGTTGGCGTAGGCAACGGGGTGGTGGACTGAATTGAAGGGGCCGCGCCGATAGCAGACGACATCTTAGAGCCCATGAGCTCACCCTTGTACTCTTGGCCTAGCTCCCCTGGCGCGAACGACAAAGTCGAGCAAAACCCGTCCGATGAAGATACGAGAAGGGTTAATCCATCACTCGACCTAAAAACTAGTTAGATGCTGCAAGATGTCATGGAGTTAAAGCGGGGACAACGTACCAGGCAAGGTCAGTAAACGTAGCTAGGTGCAAGTTGCTAACGATGCAGATGGGCGTTGTCTGCTGTGTGTCGTAGAGGAGGACGGAGTCTTGGGTTGCTACAGCATACACCATGCGATAGGGAAGCGCAAATGTTGGTTTTGGCCCAGGTGTCGATGGTCCGGTCTCTACATTGAGATGCTTGAATGGTGACGATATCTTTTCAGCATCTGGGCCCGAGGATGTTGGTGGGGGTGGAGGCGGATCCATCATTGCTGGTAACGGCTTCGATATGGGCTCTGGAAGAGCTGGAAAGGGGTCTTCCGCCGAAGATGTATCAATTGTGATATGCTTCGTGACAGGTGGGGATTGCCTTAATGTATAAGTTATTGGCGAGCACTTGACGGCTACTGAGGGTTTCTTGTGGCCGGGCAAGTGAGCGATAGGGGGTTTATTAATACCGCCTCGGGTATAAATGTAGACGGTATTGGTAATTTCATAGGTAGGCCTCGGGCCATCTGCTTGGTGTTGTACTTGATATTGGCCAGCGGGCGTCAGAAGCAAACTGCCGTCTGGAGTAAACGTCAAGCGCCTGAAAAAAGACGTGAGAGTCTCATTGGCGTAAAGGCTTGCGTTCTTAATACCATAGCCCAATCCATGACTGGGTTTGGGGGATGGCTCAAAGGGCATTACTGCGGGGAGAGGTAGGGATGGTGCCGGCGACACAGAACGACGGGACGAAAACGAAGAGCGTCTGCTATGACTAACTACAGACGGGGGGTTCATAGGAAGGGGCATGGACTGTGGCGTGCCAGGCGCGGATGGTACTGGCGATCCGATCGAGGCGCTAGGTGTATCCACGGCGGCGAGCTGAGATCGATAACTCAAATCGGGGGGCACGGGGCTATTAGAGGATATGCGTCTTTGGGGTAGATCAGCTCTGGCGTGACTAGCAACCTTGGGCGTCTTCTCGTTTTGGCTGGTTAGCGCATATTGACCGTCTTTCGTCTTGAGCGAATAGATATGGACTGAGCGGTCCGATGACTGGGTTGCGATATACTCGTTCAAGGGATCCCAGGCAACTCCTTGCACGTAGTGACTGTGTTCGGCAATTTGTCGTATGAGAGCACCTATATAGATGTAAGTAGGCATGCGGAGAGAACAACGGTGACGACCAGAAAAAGAAGAGGGGGATTACGAACCAGTGCCAGCATGAAAGATTCGAGCGACATTGTCCATGCTCCCGATGATAAAGTACGTAGCGTCTGGAGACCAGGCAAGGTCATATATTTCCGAACCGGTGGAACGGGACATATGTTTAGTTCGCCAAGTCTCTTTGTCCTCGAGTCCCTCGTTCCCAAAGGTGGAGGGGTTATGAGTTTCGCTGGGAATCCATAGGATCACATTACCGTCATCTCCAGCCGAAGCAAGGGTTTCGCCTTTTGGGGCCCATCGAACGACGTTGACAGCCTGCGTGTGCTTGGAAAGAGTGGATAGATACTCGACTTTTCGATTCTCTCCGTCCGAGTCAACCTTCCAGATACGCACATTGTTATCCCCTCCACCTGTAGCTAATCTTCCCTTGCCATGTTGGGGTTCGAAGTGAGCCGAGTAGATGGGAGCATTCTTGTCATGCCAATTGATGATCAAAGGAGTTGGCCGCATGGTGACGACTCTTTACAAGACATTAGATGTCTGAATTATTATCGTCGATTCACCAAAATGCGAAGAATGCAGATGGATTGAATGCTTTTTGTTCTGCTTGGGTACCTAGACAGGGAGGCAGGTAGGTACTTCGAAGGCAAGGCTATCGGAAAATAATGTTGCTGTGGCTACAATGTTGGATGTTGGATATCGAGAATTGTAAAGTTGTAAAGTTGTAAAGTGGTAAAATGGTAAAATGGTAAAATGGTCTGTTTATGGTGAATCCTAAATGAGAATGGAATTCTCGTGTCAGTGTTAGTGTTAAAGTAAGATTATTAGCTGGGCTTAAGTCAATCAATTTAGTCTGACGGAAAATAGTGTTTGCATTTGATATGAAGCAAGATGAATGACTTCTGATTTGAATATGATCGAGTCGGGATGTTTGCAGGACGTTTGCAGAGCATTAATGATTGGAGGGTTGGAAGTTGAAGAAGTTGCTTGTGTGCGAAAGATCGTGCATTGGTTGAGCCTGTGGACCTTGTATGTGACCTTGTATGTGACCTTGTATGTGACCTTGTATGTAAGGATTAACTTACCTAAGACTAGCTAGCACCACCTACATGTACTTATTGACCCTTGACTTTAAAAAGTATAATACCTCCAGGTCTCAGGCCAGGTGCTCAATGTTCCAGGTTGTTAAAAAGATTCCAATAGCGGAATTATTAGGGGTGTAATGGAGGAGTTTGTTCCTTCTGGGGAACGACTACTAATACACTTAGGGCGTTTTAAGTTGCAAAATTGGGGGAAGCTTACAAGCTACCTAGGCTACCTAGGTACCTAACGACCGATAGCTCCAGGACTATTAGGCGATTGTTGGTCAAGTTTAAGGCTAGTTGCAGTACCTATGAAACCCAATCAGCACCCACAGGGCCACAGTGCTTCCCTAACCTTGTTTAATGTTTAATCCAATTGGACAATCTTTCCCTGCTGTGGTAAAAAAGGGGCCGTGGATTTTGATGCATATGCCTGTATGGTAGGGAGAATTGGAGTTGAAGATAAAAGTTCCAATGATGTGAAATACCCTAGTGTAGATTCTGATGCCGCAAAAAAAAAAAAATAGAAAATAAAGAAAATAAACACTTTCATGTTGTCCGTTGACCTTTGCACTTCGTTTACCCTACATAACTATCTACTACTAGTACAACTTTCCTGTCTATATCTACTCTGACGTACACCTGGCATATATCCGGCGAGCAATTTACACGTCGCAGTCAAACGCGCCCAAGACGCGTTTGTTCTACCAAGCCAATCACGATATAGCTATAGCAGAATCTAGGATAGACACATCCACTTGGTTTCATACTTGCATACAAAATACGGCAACGCATCATATCATGCCCAACATAGGTATAGTATGGCACATGTGGTTGATTGTTACCCACCTGGGCTAACTGCCATCATGAACCATCCAATGATAGCCCCGCAATATGAATCTTCCATCATTAAGAACATACCTATTAATAACGTAACTGTAAGGAAGAGATACTAACTTCAATATTCCTTCCTATCTTTGTCAGTAGATGGTAATCACTTGGTAAGTAGGTATTGTACATATGTAGCCTAGGCGTAATCGAAAAGGGTCCAAGACTCTACATATGTAATCCTAACAGCTGCACTCGAATCCAATGAACGTTAGACCTTATCTATGGGCAGAGCAGAAATCATTGAGCCTCATATCCTTTGCCAAGCATAATGCATAGTAAAGCCACCTAAGACAACGTCAATAATCACCATCTTACATGAGCTATTTTAGCCAACCAATTCCATATGTGTATTCAGACAACCAGTTTTGCGATTAGGTAGTAAGAACGAACATATATCAAAAGACACCTAGCCATACTGAAGATTTCATATTCAAACCTTCAATTCCATGTAAAGCCAAGGTCTTTAACTCTCTTGGAATTCCACTTTGTCCTCCATGAGTCTTTTTGATATTGACTCTTTGCTAAAGCAACAGTGAGATTTTGGGATGAAGATGATTTTGCCCACCTTCAAACAAAGAGATGAATGAATGTATGACAATTCGTTTTGTTTCTCTGGTAAAACGTATTTGTTGCAGCTCGTTCGGTGTGATATCCTTCAAGTCAATTGTCACACTTCTCGCTAACGTAGGGAATCTCGGCCCCCCCTAGCAATAATTCGATGGTTTTGTTCAACCCAACCTCGTACTTTTCGAGATTCCAGATCACCCAATCTTGGATTTCGATTTCGAGGATACCCAGTGCCAGACGAACTGGCCAAACTGTAATATATATATATAAAATAGTAAAAAAGTAAAGAGAACAAGTCAAATGAGCTGTCTCGTCAGCACTAAGTTATATAAGTCTCAAGATATGCGATGTCATGGTTGTTAGTGGCCTTCTTAGGTCGCAGGATCGACTAGTGGAATAAACTCATGGCGAACGGCCCGTCACCCATGGATACCCAACCGCATATGGCGGTGTGATGAAGTCTCGTGTTCTTTCCCCATGCTCATAGGTATAGGTAATATGCGTCGTAGGTGTGCCGCAAGAACCTCCGGCAAAATCCTTCGTTGGTTATTCACCTTTCTCAGCTAGATATCAGCTACGCCATCTCCTATCATCACCAGCCTGGGGAAATCACTTGATCGAGTGAAGTTGTGCAACGAACTCAAAGCAGGTAGGTATGCATTCAGGTAGGCATCGGGAACTGGACGACCACGCCAGGTGTTATTGCCATCATGAAAATTCGAAAGCAGATGCCGACTCTTAGCTGACGTGATGACCTTAGCCTCCCTCTGACATTGTATGTAGTGCTGGGAATATGTATGAATCATACCTAATAGTAGTAGAAAATCCACCGAAAAAAAAACGAAAGGATTTGGCCCCTTTTATTTGCGCTATTAGTTTGCTGGGGAGTCGAGTCTGAAGCTTTTAATGTATTAAGAGGTATCAAAGGATGTCCGAAGGCGGAGAGTTCTTGCCCATTCAGAGCAGACAGCCAGCCATATCCATCACATCTATGGTACGGTACGGGTTCCGTATAGACCGTGGTGCATATCGAATCGCATACCTTGCACATTCATGCATACATAGGTAGCTATTGGGTTCACGAAATGCCCGGTTCGATCGAATTTTACCAAGTGCCGTAGAGAAGCATTTCAAAGGATCAATAGTAGTTGCTACCTAATAGTTAGTAATTCAATGATATTTCGGTTTCGGTGTCAGTGGAATATTAGCTGACGCAGATCCGATGAGTATAGGTTAGAATGATTCAAGTATGCATCATTTGCTACCAAGTAGGTACCTAGGTAGGTAGGTAGGTATTGTAGTTGTACAGTACAGGGCAAGGTATGGAGGTAACTAAGGTTAACTATATCCTATTAAGTTCAATGTTACCGACTGGAACCTACCAAGTAACCCAGAAAATTTGACAGGTAAGGAGCGAGGCACCCAAGCGCATGCATGTGCATGCTACATGCCCTACTAATAGTAAATACATCCATACCTAGTATAGTGGCATACAGTACTACAAAAGTTACCTAAGGTTAGTGGGAATCTGATGTGGTGTAACCAAATTAAGAGACCCCGCATATGTTCCAATGTCCAATGTCCAATGTCCAATGTCCATTATTTCAAGTTGCCTTTCTTGCCTTCTTTCTACCTTCTACATGTAGCTACAATACCCTAGGTATAATACATTACTGGCCCAACATAAACTAGTATGCATACTACCTGGCAGCAGTAGGTATGTCGTGCTTCACTAAACTTGAATGGATGAAGAACTGGGCAGTTAATAATTCCAAGGTTCGTATTATATCACCAACTATCTCGGTATCCCTACAACTCCCTCGAAATCGGATGTTGTTAGTCCTCAAAACGACAAGCTTGAACCCTTCGTATGATCAGGTTTCGCTTGGCTAGTTGATGAGTCCTGCTAGTTGATCAATATGCCTCATTATCTTCGCACACCATCCTAACCGTATTACTGCCAGCCAACACGTTCTGGATAGCCAGTACCTACAGTACTATGTATGTGTTCATACCTACATGTAGTATTTCCATCGTCAAGTGGGGTTCCCATGTGGGTGATACATAACATTGAATATAAGGCATGTATGTATAGTAACATGTACCTACCTATAACTATACCATGTAGGTAAGTAGTTACAATACGTAGCCAATATGTAGCCCTTCCCGGCGAATCGGGATCGGTGTCGAGTCTACCTAGGTAGGTATATATCTACCTTACACTAGTATCGTACCGAACCCACCGCTAACAAGAAAGCAGGCCTAGGACTTTAGTGCCGGGGGGGACGGGGGATGAGTGTAGCTAAGCTTATAATAGCTGTTATGAGTCCCCTCTTCCCGGGTCGCCTCCGTCATGAAAAGCCACCGTCCAGGAAAAATGAGTCAACCGGCCAGCCGAGAGAGACTAAATTTCTCAATCTTTACAGTCACGGTTGGTGCTGTCTTCTAAGCTATATTGCTAGCCAATGACGTGCAATTCATACGAAACGTTCTTCTTTTGCTCTTTATTTGTCGATGGGGCTTTGAAGTCTTTGAAATATTCGAAATTATAGCCACTGTTGGAGTCAGAGTCCATTTGTCATGGCCTACGCATTGAATTGAAGCACATTTAAAAGCTGTGACGGACAGGTTTCGTTATCGTGCTTCTCTTCGCGTCATCTATCGCGTTTATCTATGAGCATCTGAGAACCACTGACCCTTGGGGCCTTTGGCAAATCTTCAGCTCTAGAATTCCAAGATTCCAAAATTCCAGAATTCCAGAATTCCGAGCTTATCTCCAAAAGCTTTCAAATCATCAATATGTCTAACAACACAGCAGTGCTAGTGACTTCGGCCGCTGGCTTAGGAGCCGTCGCGCTGCTATCCGTCCCTGCCGTTCTGAATCTTGGCAGTCTCCGTAACCGTGGTCCAAAACTCACAATCGAGGGTTATGAAGATAAGGATGGGAAGAGCACACCGGAGGCCGTCAAAGCCTTCAGTAACAAGCTTTCCAAATCTGTCTTGCTTTTCTTTTCAGTAGCTGGTCTCGGCGTGTCGCTTGCGCTTGCTATTATTTCGACGTTAGATGCCCGAGGCATACAAGAAGGCGTCTTGTTCCTGGAAAACTGGTTGGATGTAATGATCTGGGTAAGCTTACCGTTACACATATAAGAAATCTGGAACATCGCATTACTGACACATGCTGTTTCACGTGGACGCAGGCTTTCTTATCCTTACAAGCTATTTCTGTTGCCTCTACCCAAAACCCGGTAGTCGCTTATGACCTCGGCATCTGGTCTTTCCTTTCGTGCATTGCCCTGGTTGCCGTTCTCGCAACCCAGGACGACAACGTAGCCGTATTCTTACTTAAGCAGAATGCTGCAGGTATTTTCTCCATTCGGGTAGTGGAATTAGTTGCTGCCGTTTGTCTAGCCCTCGCTAGTTTATCGATACCTAGGCGACCTGAAGTATTTCACAACGGCCAGCCCGTCGATGGGCTGTATACCGGGTCGGCATGGAGTCGTTACAACTGGAGTTGGCCAGCTTACATACTCAGCAAGGCTTCCCAGAAGAACAATCTCGATTTGGAAGACCTCCCTAGGCCTGACCATTACACGAGAGCCAAAGAAACGAGTGCTGATTGGGAAAGCCGCGGCTTCACCGGCCCGCTTTGGATCTCTATAATAGCTTCCCACAAGTGGGAGTTCGCTCTCCAATGGATACTGACTGTTGTGACTGCCTTTTTGAACTTAGCACCTCAGTGGGCTGTCTTGCAATTACTTCACCTCTTAGAGCGACGACAAAACCACGAGCCCCTTGGATATGAGGCTTGGGTCTGGGTCATATTGATCGCCGTGACCAGTCTTGTTCTGTCGTGGGTTGAAGCCTACTCATTCTGGTTATCATGGGCGCATATCTCCATCCCCATCCGCGCCCAGCTATCGGCGCTCATCTTCGAGAAATCTATGAGGCGTAAAGATGTCAAAGAAGCAAGCAAAAAGAAAACTGCTTCATCTGAGTCAACGGAACCAAATTTTGCTGGACCGATAGGAGAAACATCCGCCGCCAACAGACCGGATATTGAGGAGGTCGAGGGGGAGGATCTAGCCGAGCAAATTAAGAAGAGCAAGCAGAGTACTGTCAACCTCATAGGTGTTGATGCGAAGCGATTGTCGGATTTTGCTGCATTCAATAACTTCTTTATCGGAAGTGTTTGTAGGTTGATTGTGTCACTGCTCTTCTTAATAGACCTCCTCGGGTGGAAGTCTCTTCTTGCGGGCTTTTCGACGATGGTGGCTGTTACTCCCATAAATATTTACTTCTCGAAGCGGTACTCTGATGCGCAAGACCGCCTAATGAAAGTCAGGGACGAAAAGATGGAAGTGGTTTCTGAAGCTCTTCAGGGGATTCGTCAGATTAAATTCTCCGCCCTCGAACCACAGTGGGAAGAAAAGATTGGCAGCGTCCGAGAGCGTGAACTAGGATGCGTCTGGAGTGCCTTCATCAACGATGTTATGCTCATCGGATGCTGGATTACTAGTCCGATTATGCTAGCTGCCGTCTCCCTCGCCGTTTACGCGTCTTTACACGGCACGCTTTCTCCTTCTGTCGCCTTCGTCAGTCTCGGTGTTTTTAAAGCGCTCGAAGTCACCCTATCTGTAGTTCCCGAGTTGACAACTGACCTTCTTGACGCTTGGGTTTCTGTGAAGCGGGTGGATGCCTACCTAAAAGGAGCGGAGATTTCGAAAATTACCAAGGAGGCGGATGAAGTCACGTTCGACAACGCATCCATCGCTTGGCCTTCGGATAGCCAGGAAGAGGATCCCGATCGATTTGTTTTGCGCAAGGTCCAAATTACATTCCCAAAGGGTGAACTATCAATTATATCGGGAAAGACAGGAAGTGGGAAAAGCTTGATGCTAGCAGCTATTTTGGGTGAAGTAGACATATTGGACGGGTCCGTCAGCGTGCCTCGAGCACCATCTCAACGATATGACAGTAAAGCGAATCGGGATAATTGGATCATCCCCGGTGCCATAGCCTTCGTTGCGCAAATACCATGGATCGAAAATGCAACCGTCAAGGAAAACATCTTATTTGGGCTGCCGTTCGACGCGTATCGATACAATAAAACCATCGAGGTCTGCGCGCTGACGAAGGATATGGAGATATTCAGCGATGGAGAGAACACGGAAATCGGTGCCAACGGCATTAATCTAAGTGGTGGACAAAAATGGCGAATCACGTAAGTCAAATGCTGTCCTCGATCCGTGACTGGACACTAAATTCCTTGATACAGACTTGCACGCGCCATCTATTCCCGTGCGGGCATCCTCATTCTTGATGACATTTTTAGCGCTGTTGATGCTCATGTTGGCCGTCACATATTCGAACAGTGCCTCACTGGGGAACTTGGCGTTGGGCGAACTCGCATCTTAGTGACACATCACGTTGCCTTGTGTGAGCCAAAAACCAAGTATCTGGTAGAGCTAGGAGACGGTTGTGTATTGCACGCTGGATTAGTCTCCGAGCTAGAAGAAACTGGCACCCTGGAACAGATTAAAAGCCACGAGCTCGTGGACCAGCATATTCATGACGAAGAAGGATCTACAGCTATCAATTCCGAAGAGGCATCCCAGCTTGATACTGAGCCCGATGGAGAACCTCTTGCAAAAGTATCCTCCAAGGCGCAAAGGCGCAAGTTCGTCGAGGACGAGGGGCGTGAGCAAGGAGCTGTCAAGGCAAAAGTCTATGCGGTATATCTGAAGTATAGTGGCTCGTGGTGGTTCTGGTCTACTGTCCTCTTCCTCTTCCTTTTCGTGCAAGCTTTAACCCTAGGACGTTCGTGGTGGTTACGAATATGGACGGGATCGTATGACGAACAACGGCAACAAGAGATGGGAACCCAAATGACGAAACATCCTTACTCGTTTGCATTTACCGTACAACAAATTACAGTGGACAGCATGGTTCAGCCGACGGCTGCGTCGAACAACAACCTAGTCTTTTACCTCAGCATCTACGTATTCCTCTCGGTATTCGCCTCAGTCGTCTCGACGTTTCGCTATTATTATATATTCCTTGGCTCGATACGTGCCTCTAGAGAACTATTCGCTAAACTCAACTTCGTCGTACTTCGAGCACCACTTCGATGGCTTGATACGGTTCCTCTGGGCAGAATCTTAAACCGGTTTACAGCTGATTTCCACTCCGTTGATACCCATATGGCATATTCGTTAGCATTCGCTGCGAGTGCATTCCTAAACCTTGTGGGGGTCGTAGTCGCTGGTTTGTTCGTCTCGCCCTACACAATCATTTTGGCACTGTTCCTTCTCCTTGTCTGCGCATTCTACGCAATCCGCTACCTGGACGGCGCAAGGCCGGTGAAACGTCTTGAGTCGGTTACCAAGTCCCCGGTATTCGAGCAGTTCGGGTCTGCCTTGACCGGTGTCCAGACGATCAGATCTTTCGACAAGAGCAGTACCTACATCGAGCGCATGTATACGAAACTAGACGACTGGACCGTGGCGACTTGGCACCTTTGGCTCTTCATCCGCTGGATGGGTTGGCGAATGGCCGTAGTGGGAAGCTTCTTCGCCTCCTTTGTTGCTATTCTCATTCTCATTGCCCCAAACATCGATGCGTCCCTTGCCGGATTTGGATTGGCATTTGCTCTCGAGTTTTCTGGTCATGTCATGTGGACGATTCGCCATTATGCAAACGTGGAGCTAGAGATGAATGCGGCGGAGCGGATCGTCGAGTACACAGAATTGTCAACGGAGAGTTTAGAAGGGAAGAGTCCGCCAGCAGCCTGGCCAACAGAAGGTCGTGTCGAAGTAAATGATCTCGTCGTAAGCTATGCCGAGGACCTACCACCCATTCTCAAAGGTCTTACTTTTACCATCCAACGAAACGAGCGTGTTGGTGTAGTCGGACGCACCGGTGCGGGCAAGTCATCCCTCACACTGGCATTCTTCCGCTTCCTCGAGGCCCGGTCAGGGAGCATCTTTATCGATGGGTTAGACATCTCTAAGATTAAGCTGCATGACTTACGTAGCCGGCTAGCCATCATACCACAGGACCCAGTTCTATTCAGCGGTACCGTGCGCTCAAACATCGACCCCTTCGACAATCACACCGACGCCGAACTTTTCGACTCACTCGCGCGTGTGCATCTCATCTCCGAAGCCGAGCACGAAATCGCGACAACCAAAGTTCATAGCGCCTTTCCGAGCACGCCTGCCTCCGCTACAGGCGCATCCACCCCGTCCTCCACCACCGGCAGCACGAAGAAGAACACCAACATATTCCGCAACCTCCTCTCTCCCATATCCGAAGGCGGACTCAACCTGTCCCAAGGACAGCGGCAATTGCTGTGTCTGGCGCGAGCCATCGTTTCCCGGCCCAAGGTAATGGTGCTGGACGAGGCCACGAGCGCCGTGGACATGAAGACAGACGCGCTGATCCAGCGCAGCATCCGCGAGGAGTTCGGCGACAGCACGCTCATCGTCATTGCGCACCGCCTCAGCACCATCGCCGACTTCGACCGCATCCTCGTGCTCAGCGACGGGAAAGTGGCCGAATACGGGTCGCCCCGCGAGCTGTGGGAGTTGAAGAAGAACGAGGCTGGAGGCGAGGGTGGCGAGGAGATGGGCATGTTCCGCGCCATGTGCGAGCAGAGTGGCGAGAAGGAGCACTTGAGGAAGATTGTGTACGGGGAGGATTGAGATACGCACCTGGGGTTATTAACATAGAGAGCCCAAGGGGGGCGCTTAGGTATAGAGTATAACGAGACGGCAGTATACGACAAGCAGGGCTGCGATGATCTAATGGCAGGGATGATGATGATGATGATGAGGGTACCTAGGCGGATAAAAGGGGGTAGGCAATGGGTAATGAACGCGGGGGGGAGGTTACAGAAGACGAAACGAAAGGATTAGACGAACTTGCTTGCAGGCGTTTAAAAGAAGCCGGGTAGGGCCTGTTTACTTACCTAGGGTACCAACCTATAGATAGAGAGGGGTGCTTTGATGTTGCTTTATATTTCTAGCCTGCTTATATACTCATACTTACCTTCTTAATATATACTTGAGTGTCATCTACCTACCTACCTACCTACCTACGGCGTAGATGCCCCTGATCATGCTGTGCGAACGAAGCAACTGCTTGGAAATCAATGGCAAACCCGGCGTTGCAAAAGAAGTACCTAACTGCCTAACCTACCTACTTAGGGTGCCCAAGAACTAACTTGAGCAAACACTACCTATCACTATATATACCTACGCTTACCATTACCATTACCATTACCTCCAGCTAGCAGCAGTAGCAGCAGCAGTAGCAGTAGCATTGATTAAAGCTCTTCAGGGCTTAGTAACTACTTTAAGAACATTTAGGTAAGCACCCAACCTACCTACTATAGCACCTAGGTATCGTATCCTCAACCCTACGAATTTCCACGGCACAAAAAATTAACTAGATACGAACGAATGATTATTATCAGCAAAGAAAAGAAAGAAAAAAAAGTCCTAAATACAAAAGAACAACGGCGGTATTGGTTTGGTACGGTATTAAGCCCACCGATGTTATTGCACAAGGCAAACAGAGAAGAGAAATTACAAAAGGAAAAGTACAAAAGAAAAAGTCAACCCCTCTCTCTCCAGGGCGAAATAAACGAGTGAACAGCCGGTGCTGGCTACTGCGGGTACATGAATCACCTCCCTCCATAAAGGGGCACATTGACAGCATACATAGGATCACGCATCGGTCAGTCACACCCAGCCCATTACATTGCATATAGCACAAGCAATCATTCATTGCCTTTCGAACTGAGGTAAGTATCCTTGGCCCATATAGCACAACGCACATCAACATCAGAGTCTCTTGTTAGCTCTGGCCCAAATATCCTTTCCTTAGCATGAAAAAGACGACCAAGAGCATATCACAAGATGTCTCTCTCCCTATCTCTGGTTTCTTCACCCCATATAGCAAGGGGAGTAGACCATCCAAGAGACAACCCATCGAACTGTCCAACTAGCTAGTCGTTAAACAGATCCATGCCATTGAATATCAGCCCTCCCACCACACTGCCCTTAAATTCCATCTGAAATCGTAAGCGTGATGGTTAGGAGCTCTTCCTTTATGCACCCATTAAGGGTTCAACCTAGTGATGTCATAACATCGTTCGTCGTCTCGTCGTCTCGTCGTCTCGTCGTCTCGTCGTCAAGTTTCAGCAATTCTATGAGGAATGCTATAAGCGGGGTATCGTATGAAGTTAAAATGATGAGGGGAAAAGGAAATATGAATTGGGATGGGAAAACAATATTGTGGAGTGAACCTATAACCACTCCAAGCCCCTGCTTTTTATCGAGGGGGGCCTTTTAGACTCTTAGCATGCTTTGCCTTGGACTTAGGGCATTCAAATCTAGACAGCCCTTGTGTATACGGCAACGACTGATGCGATGAGGACTATGTATAGGCAAGCCTCAGCCAGGAACACATGGCGGATGAAGTGCCTCTGTTTGATCTTTAGCCGGCGCACTTCACCCTGGGTCCACCAAATCAGAGCCTTATTCATTGTGCCTGCAAGGACAAGTATGGCAAAGAATGGGAAGATGGCCGAGAGCGTTGCCATTATATAGAAGAATTGTTGGCGCCGCTGTCGAGCGTTCCGGGTAATGGTGCTTTCGACAAAGGCTTCCATAGCTTCTTCGTCACTCATTCCACTCCCAGCAACCGGTTGAGGGTGCCGGATGACTGTCTGGTTCGAGTAATATCGATGGCCCGCCATGTCGATGGTGTCGGTGCCACAAGCCATAGGTGCACGTCCAGAGCGTAAAAGAGGTCTGCCCGGACGAATCGATGTTGGCGTATCCTCGTTGGGGTTCGTGGCCGAGAATGGAGACGGCGTATCTGCTACGAGTTAGGAAACGAGGAATATAACGGGAAAACACTTTTTGAAACTTACCAAGGAAGGCCTCTTTAAAAGATCCACAGCTTGAGGGGCTAAAGTCAAAAGAAAGATGGGGGGCTACACCCACAGGGCGGCGTCGGTCATAGACAGGTCGAGGGACTTCGATTGGGCTCGAGAGGGCTTGGCCCCTGGACGACGAATGGCTCATGGCGCGCTGGTATCGAATATGTGCGGGCTCAGTCTCGTCCGTCTCTCCGCTCTCACGTTGCTCCTTGTTCTTCCTTTGGGCGTCGGTAAGAGACAAAAGCTGAAATTGGAACTTTGCGTCTGATGTGATCGGTTCTCCATTGAAGGAAGCCAGGGTAGGACTAGGGAGTTGTCCAGCGTAGTCTCTCTCGGCTTCCCACCAACGGCCATTTCGGATGGGATACGCCTGATCTACTAGACGCGGCTTCCACAGCTTCTTCGAATTAGCCTTAGCAGTCTTAGATGAGCTAGTTGTGACTTGACTGCAATTGCTGGATGTAGAGTTGGGAGTCTTGGACGCCAAGTCCTCTCGTAGACGCTTCGAAGGTCTTCTCAACTCCAGGCCAGCACCTACCAGTGATCCGTGACTTCCTGATGGTTGCAGACCAGGACTTTCAGCTTGAGTAGTTGGGTACTCAGATATAGATTCTCGGAACTCATATTTCGTACCATCGCGGTTAGCTCTTGTAGTGAAGTTTCCTTCGAAGTCAGCCCGGCGGTAACTGCTTCTTTGGCCAAACGGGTTTGTGAGCTTTCCGGTCAAGTTGCGTGGCATCTTATTAGCGTCCTGGTTAGTCTTCACATTGTCAGAAAAGAAGCGAGTCGAATTGTTTGGATACCCTCCGGTACCCTGGAATCGAGTCTTGGGTAGCATTACCGACTGCTTCGTGCCCTTGAGGTCGTGTAGCTCATACGACTCTGGCCCAGCAGGATGCTGCAGAGTGCGGAATCGTGAAGCGAAAGTACCGGGCCGCTTCTCTCTGTCATCTTCAGAGCAGCAGACAACACTGCTTCCAGCTTGCTTAATTCCAATTGGATTATCCAGAATGTCGCTAATATCATCCAGTTCACTATCTGCTTCGGTCACCCAAGCAGAGTCTCGTTGCGTATCAAGACTATTTTCATGAGCTATTCCACTATCCTTGTTGCTGATATTGGTTTCTCGACTTGGAAGCTGATGAGGTCTCTGAATGGCAATTCTAATATTGTGCGAAGGATTCTTTCCAGCCGGACTACCTTCAGGGGTCACGAAGGTGGCCTCACTTAGCCCCCCTATCTTGCTCATGCGCTTTAGAGCTCGACTGACCTCTCTCTCCTTCGTATTCTGGAAAGTTGTCTTGTAATTACCAGTGTCATATTTGAAAGGATCGTCACTCGATTCATTGGTGACATCTCCATGTGATGATCCGACTTCACTGTAGAAATCATCGCGTGTTTCCCATTTCTTCAAACCGTGCTTAGGTGGGAGACGGAGAGGCGATGGGGAGAATTCTTGGCGGGACTCATGAGGCTGGCCTGCCTGTGTATCAGTACGGAGTAGTTGCTGGGAGTCTGATACTGTCGAAGCATTTGGAATAGATGAGCTGCCGTAATCTATCATAGATCTTGAGCGACGACGACTCAGGGGTAAAGCTGGAAGGGGGCTTTGAGGGGGTTTGGACGATAATAGGCCAGTACGAAGCCGGCGACCCTTCTGACGATTCCATTCCTCCTCCTCCTCCTCGGGGTGTTCTTTGACCTGAAAGTCTGTAGTATGCTTAGTGTAGTTCTGCGTAGTAATAGCCGAGTCGCCGCCAACACTGGGCATGTTGAATGATGAGATAGCGGGAAGGGTGGGCAATCGTGGAGCGTTCATCAACGATCTTCCATAGATGGAAGTGGGAGAGTTGACTGGGCCAACATTCTCGGATTGGCTGCTCTCTGTCTGGTTATCTCTGGAACGGGGAATACCTAAAATCTCTAGCGAGCCCTTGCGATTTTGCTTTGGCTTTGATTTACTTTCCGAAGCGTTGCTCGCTGGGGTCTGTCGTCCAGCAATTCTCCGATGGGCTTCGCCTAGGTCTGAATAAATATGGCCGCGACCTGGGGTCGACGGTTGCTGTGTGCCGTAGCTGCCCTCGGGAGACTGCGGACGACTCTGGTCGTTGCTCTGGCTCGAAGCCATGGCGAATAAGTTCGTAATCTGAGATAGAATGTCAATTGATAAGACATAGAGTGATGATGTAGATGAGAAGTAGGAAAGAGGAGTGGATGAAAAGCAAGAATAGGAGATAGCATTCTACGAGTAGAAGCTGGAGTAGAGTAGGGTCGCGAAGGAGAAAGCGGCGACAACAAACAGGAGAGGATGACTTACATACCTAATCAAATAGAGTAAAGATACGAGCATAAGTGACAGTGGTAGGGCAGATACAGAACGCCGGTAGACCTTTCTTGCGAGATAGAGAAGCTTATAATAATAAAGCAACGATCAAGGTAACAAGGTAAGGAATGATTGAGGTCAGGTGTCGATGGCCAAGCAGCACTAGAATGTGTGTATTTACTTGGGGTGGACAATGAAGAGAGATTGAGTTAAGGTGCGAAATAATAACGCGGGAGCGGGTACAATGACTAGGATTGATTGTCAGAGAAATGGCGTTGAAGGAGGTACTGTGCAAAATAGACGCAATTGCAAGATGAACAGAAGTACAATGATGTAAAAAGGTCAGGCTTTTGGATTGGGGTGGGGTGCGTATGGATGAGAAAGGGAAGGCGGAAGGGGTGAAGAGATCAGGTGAAGTAGAAAAGTACAAGTACAATTGACAGGTGCAGTTGTAGATGGAAACGTGAGAAGGTGCGGGTGGTCAGTCACATTAAAAATGAGAAGGAAAGATCGATTGTTGTGTTCGGTTAATATGTTGAAATTAAAAAAAGAATAAAAAAGAATAAAACTCACAATTGATGAGATCAAACCAAATACCAGAAGAAAGCTGCGGTTGATATCTTGTTAAAGCCCTTCTGATGAACACTAGTTGAAGGTCACTAGTATGGTAGAATGTTACGGTGCTTTCGAAAAGAAGTTACGAATTGAGAAGGAACAGCGTTGTGTACAGGATCTATGAAAGCAGTTGATGAGAGGAAGAGAGATCACCAGACGGAACCGTTTCGTCAAGAATTATATAATGCCACCCTCAAGATCAGTGATCCTAAGGATCAAAACCCACTTCTTACAGTGCAGGTTTTCCAAGTTGGTCTCAACGGCAACCAGTACTAGATTGGGGTGTAGTTCGAATAGCAAACACCTGCCAACCGGTCGTTAACCTGTATAAACGATGGCGGGCCAATCAAGAGTCTAATCAGCCTGAAAATATCAAGGCTCGATCCTTAAATCATTATTCTGATTCGCCGAATAATATGTGCTCTTTTAGATCAATGACCACAACCCCGGCGAATATTGTAGTTAAGTGCCAAAAATGGCTTGGCCGATTTTGAGGTTTCCCTTGTGCTCTTATTATTATTATTATTACTTATCAATTGACCATCACTAGATTGTACTGCGTCTATAACTTCCTCGTAATTCTTTTCAATATCTTACATATGAAATGCCATCACAGTAGGCATGATCAAACACACGATTCGTTCCTTACACAGCACTACTACCACAACCACCACAATGGCAATAATAACACAAGATACGTATGATCGATAAACCAAACCGCTAGCACCTTTCTAGAGAATAGGGAGATATGAATTGGAGATTAAGATATCCTTTCAATACGTGTCAAATGCCTGGAATCATTAGCCACACAAGATCGCCTGAATACGCCTTGATAATCAATGATCTGGGACAGGAAAATGATATAGCTTGACAAAGTATGGAACCTACTACTGTGGGAGTGATATATTATTCACCCAGGACATACGAACATCACATAGCATGACGAAGTGCATAGCATGACGAAGTGGACAATATTTCTACTTATATAATCCTAGCGGGTACATTGGTTAACGTCCCTAGATGATGACTAGCACAATGCCATCCTACTTAATACCATGAGCTCCTACACCTTGATGGATTGAGTACAGGTGCTATTGAAGGCATCGAATGCTTGGTACTGTCCGTCTTATGTTCTTATTGACCGGAGAGGTTAGGGGGTAGGTACTGTATTAGAGTCCTTTGCCATATCAAAATGATTGAGGCCTATTAGATACCTAGGTAGGCAAAAAATATCATTTTCATTAATTTCATACTGTACTTGTGAGATTTTATTACTTTCAATAAATGCTGATTTATTTTTAATTTTTTTCTTGATTCCAAGCTGTAAGGTTGATGAGGTTGACAATGTCTGATTAAGGTGTCCAATGTTGTGCCGTTGAAGTCGTTGAAAATACGCTACGCCACATGTGGCGTTATATCCCCTGCACTCGTGATTTAGAAGATTGTTTCAGCCTCAATATAACCCCGCCTTGGCTTGGAACTGCACGGGCCATTATCCGAACATTCGGGCCTAGCTCTTGCTGGGGTGGTAAGATCGTTGGGGATAAAATCCATTGGTGCTAACGGGTGCCAAGGAAGAGAAACCCCGCGAAACCTGCTAGGGTGTTGGCCTGGTAGGCAGTAATTACCTACATAAGCGTTATCTTAGCGCCATGTTAGCGTTTCTTCTAGTACTTTCTTGTTTATCTTATTTATCAAGCAAACTGGCGGAGCTGCAGAGTTCCAAAGGTGAAACGTTCGTCATTGAAACCGGTTACCCGAAGGGGGGGTGTTTCTATTTGTTGCATGTTGTTGCATATGTTTCTTACTTCTTACATACTTTTACTACTAGTACATACCCTCTACCGTACTTCTTACTCCCATTTCGAACACGAGAGCCTCGAATCCAATTCCCACCTTTTGTTAGATCTTGATTTTCATCTTTAGGGCTACTACTTTGCTCATCCATGGATGTGATGTTCATCTATGAATATCATTAACCTATCTAGTATTTACCTATTCTATCCCCTAATTGCCTAATCACAATCAAGAATCCTGCCTCGTCTCCTAAGCGTCCCCCAACCTTTCCCTGCAAGAAATCCAGGTAATGACCAATGGCTGGCCTTTGCCTTCTTGAAACCCTTCCCGATGAGATCTTTCTTCATATTCTTTCTTGTAAGTTTCGTTGTTTCGTATCCGCTTCAGTCTCTAGAAGCCGAACCTTGCGCTAATAAGGGTGACTCGCAACTAGTCCTAGATTCGCACGATGTCGTTAACCTCCAAATCCTCTCGAAACACTTTCTAGGTTTATGCCGAGATGGTAACTTGTGGCGAAATCGATGTCTATCTGCCTCCGCTGTCCGTGAACGTATCCGACTCTATCGATGGGGATCAGACTGGATTGACGAGGATGGTACTACACTAAGTGGTGCGCTTACGGCGCTTGGAGAAGGAAACCAAATTGAAAATCAAAATGAAATGCACTGGAGCCTGGCTGAAAGTCTATCCCAATTGGCTTCGAAGAAGAGGGAGCGGGAACAAATTCGCATCGCTGCCAATTGGGACCCGACGTTTCCCAACGAGAACACAAATTGGTATAACGAGTATATCCAGAGATATGGTCCAATAGCGACTAACTGGTTCGAGCAACCCCAAGTCCGAGACGGTTCCCTGAGAGACTCAATTGATATTAGTGGTGCTGCTGTATACAGGCCGACCTTGAGCGCGAATGAACTCTTCGCTGTCTCGCCCCTAGATGATGGTTCAGTATGCTTGTGGGATGTGAAGGGTACTCGAGCTAAGAAGGGCGCAATACTATCCCAATCAAGCTCGGGTCTCTTGTGCGCTGACGGCCCAGGCGCCGACCTTTCAAAACGCTCAAAGATGATTAATACCGGGGTGACTGAATGCGTGAGCGTTGATCACCAAAGACATATGGCTTACTTCGCCGTCCAGAGCCGTAGGTTTCCTCTCCTTTGGTAAGCATGGTGAAGAATTTTACTGACTTCTGTCAAGACCTGATCGAAGTTGATTTAAACACGTTACAAGTAGTGGGGAATCACCCATTTGAATGGTCGATCACTACGCTTTCGGCAGCTGAATCTACAGTTCCTCTAACGGTTGGTACACTCCACGGTTTACACTTGCACGATCGTAGAGCTCGGTCCGAATGTCGAGGAGATTATCAAATACGATTAGATGGGATTAGTCGGAAAAGAGGTTTAGACTTCTCCCATGTTTTGGATCCGAAGCCTCTCGCGCCGTACGCTTCGCTTGCTCAGTCTGGACCCCAGAGCATTCTCCATCTTGAACACCCTGGCGATAAAAGCCAACTATCGGACGACATATTTGTAGCCGGTCGGTTTTCAAACATATTACATTATGATCGGCGCATGTTCCCAGCAATCCGAGGGTCTATTCACTCAGGCGCGAAGCTTTGTAGCCTTGCTTCGTTGCCCTATCCTTTCTCTAGTCTTGATACCGATCTGCGTAGGCGCTTCCTGCTTTCGGAAGAGCAGGTTGAAAGGGCTAAGAGCGCCACGGGCGGGAGAACCTTGATAGCATGTGGCGAATATAACACTAAAGGATCGTTAGAGCTGTATGGCCTCTCTTCTAGCATCGGCAATCTCCCACAATCTCGGGTCATTCATAATTCCACGATGAAGAATAGGCAGACGGCCTCACAGTCCAAGCTCCTGTCCGTTATGAACCATGGCACCCGGATTGTTTTCTCCGATGGACAAGGCTATCTGAAGTGGGCTGAGAGGGACGGCTTCACGGAAGTACGCCGTCACAAAATCGGCAAATCTGAACGGGTGGGCCATCGGTCACTATTCGGGTCGATGCCCGGATCAGACGACATCGCAAGAAAGATTATGTCCACTCGAACAGCCGGACAGGATGGCGATGTTCAGGTCAACGATGACGATATAGTCTTCTGGACGGGGGAAAAGCTGGGACTTCTCAGCTTCTCGTCGCAGCCTGGGTTCTCCGCAGAGGATTTTGAGGAGAACACTAAGACGCCTGAGGAGATTTCGGCAGAGGAGCAAGAGCAGATGTACAGCGAGAGGATGAGGCTAGCCTTAGAACGACAAGCGAGAGACGTTCGGTTCGTGCAGAACCTCGGGGCTGGCAGCATCCACAACGGGATCTAAGCAAGCTTAGCTTCTAATTTGATCCGTTTTCGATAGCATGTCTCTTCGGCATCTGTTCACGCGTACTGGGCAAGGGATACTTAACCACGTCATCCCCTCGAAGGGCAATTACAAAACACGCGGACTGGTTGCTAGAATGTGATAGAGTAGTAGATCCGAGCCCATTTTATGCCCACGTACAAGATCAGAAGGGAGGGGGGGTTTGAGTCATGATCTCACTACGTCGTCTGAATAAGTTAGGGATCGGCAGGCTCGGAGGTTTGAAATTACCTAGTAATGAAACAGCATAAAGTTGAGGCGGGATGCGTTATCTTATCACTATATTTATGTAATAGACCATTGGCTACGTTTTACTGTTCATGTTGGCCTCGGAGGCGAAAAAGACAAGAAAGAGTGCCCGTGTAATGCAGGTGGACCATCTGACACTGGGCAGAATGTTAGTGAGTGAGATATTAGGGTGTTGAGGGGTCACGAAAAATAGTAATTTGTTGTTAAGTGGTTTTGACTGCACATGTGGTTTAACCTGTAGGTAACCTTGATAGCTACTAGGTATTACTGTCTACCAGTGTTATATTTGTATTTGATATATATTATATATATATATTATGTTTGATTATTATATTCTTATGAGATATTATTACCATGATTATCGTTGTAATTTGTCGAGCTTTCCTTTCTCTTCCGAGTATTGCATGAGACTTTGCCTCAATAAGGGGTGGTGCCTCTTTGCTACTGTACATACACCTACATACATACATACGTACATAGTTACTGCGTAGATAGTGGAAAATAGTAAGAAAAGGGAAAACGAGAATGGAAAGTTGCTGTGTTGTTAGCCTTATGCAGAAAAAGAAGTGGGTATCTGGAGGCAGTTGATTGACGAGTCCAGTTAACTGGAAAAGATGAGGCAACCAATCAAGGGTTAGGCGCCACGGTAAGAGCCCCATCGTGACCAATGGTAATTAATCTAGATCGACAACTAGGACAGGGGTAGATCCAGTTTTGGTCAAGACTTTTTGAAGTACATCACTGGGCAGGTAGCAGGTATGTACCTATATTAAGCTTTTCCAAACAAATAACTAACATTAATGCCAACATTTTGTTGCACCACGAAGAACCAATCATTATATTTTCGCCTCCCCATTATCTCATCTTTTTCATCATTTTTTACTACTATGTCTTTTTTACTACTATGTCAACGGTAGTTATGTACATAGTAGAATCATTCAGTGTCATTCTACCACTCTTTTTTTGATCAACTGTCTGACTGTCTGACTGTCTGAGAGCTCTGGGATCTTTACTAGGTTAGTTCCGTTCATCGTTTCCCGCTCCCGGCGTCGCTCAGCATTGACGCACAATTGCCACCTGCACTACTGCATTGCACCGCACTACGCTATTTTGTGGTGCATCACTGCATTGCGCTAGGAGGACAACTTTGATGCAGCAGATTTGCAAATTCTAGACTGATCGAGTTCCCGCTATTGTAAGCTGTCTCAAGCGGGTTTTATGCTGTTGTATCGATCGGTATTTGCTAAAAGGTCTAGCTTGTTGAAGTTGTTTTTTATCCAACATTTTGAACATTCCCCAAGCCTCCAAGCCTCCAAGCATCCAAGCAACATCGAATGAAGCTAGCTACAATCTACCCGAGCTATCATCCATACCATTCAGACCATACTAACGATACTAATCATAGTTACTAACCATTATCATAACATACCATGCCTTACCTGACCTTACCTTACCTTACCTCCAACTAATTGACTACTGCTACTGTACATACTATCACTACTTCGTACTAGTAGTAGCCTACCAGCCTACCAGCCTACCTACTTTTCCAAGGACACGGTACGGTACGGTTGGTAGGTATATCCGTCCAGATGCCGACAAAATCACGGGTCGTACGTATCGCCAGGTCAGGTCTGCTTACTTTTTGCTCTGCTGTGTTGCTGTGTTGTCCACATTTGAGACGAGACGAGCTTATCCATTGATTACTTTTACCTACGTACCTACTTATTTACTTACTTACCTACCTAACCTAGGTACTTGTCCGTTGACTCCCCTTTCTCTCTATCTATCTCTTTATGCTCTAGTAAGTAGGTACTGTACTGTTGCACTGCCGTTATCCAATATGCCACCGTGCTGAACCACGACTTTACTCCCTTCTGCATCTGGAATTGGCGTACCAAACTTGACCAGACTTGACTCGGCCAACCCCCAAAAAAAGCCCACGAACCGGTGTCGACGATATGTAAAAAAAAGGTAATATTAGGCAAGTAGGAAAGACGACCGGTTACGCCACTTCACAACTTGCACTACTGCAAATCCGTTTCTGTCTCGAAGCTGGCATTTCCATGCCATGTACTGTAAGCTTTGCATCCTGCAGATGGGTTCTCCCGGATCTCCGTCTTTGCGTGTGTCGTATTTTCCTTTCACCGCTATCTCTTCTTCTCCCCTCTTCGTCCCCAAGTCCAAGGGAAATGGGATCCTTTCTGTTCTATCCATGCACCAGCCATCTATGATCTACTGAACTGGAATTTCCCTGTCCAGTCTTTTTTTTTTTTTTTTTTTTTTCCTTTCTTGTCCGACCTATCTCACCATTTGACTAACTCGGACAAGCAATGCTCACTCATCCCTTGCTTTCTCCACTATTACCTACTCTTACATGCTTGTGGGGGTTTTACAGATTGTGAGGGGGGAGGGAAAGAAGAAGTAGAAAAGAAAGGAAGAGGGAATAATAAAATAAAAGAAGAAAATAACGAAAAGAAATAAAAAAAGAAAAAAGAAAAAAAAAAACAATCAAATCAAAAAAAAAGAAGAAAAAAAAAGGAATTAAAAAGAGAGGGAACGTTGTTGCGTATACCTAATATTGTGGCACCGGAAACGCTTCAATATTCAAATTCGTCAGCCAAGCTCATCCCATCTTCCATACAGGCCAGTCCTTGGCTGCCAGGAAGTGGGTTCTTTCAACGTTGCCTCGTCCAAGGCCTGCAGCAACCTTATAGACCTCCACATATCATTGTTGTCCTTCTGCCACGAACCAACCAGCCTGCTCAGAGAGTGAGGCTAACGCCAGCTTAGCTGCTGCACCGTATGCGTCTGCTCCTGCGCCTGCGTGTGTTAATCAATACCAATCCCACGCCTGATTTCTAAAAAAGAGTTCCTGCGTGTCTACTGATTGTCGTGGCGTGCCTGCGGTCGAGTTCAGCTCCTCCATTGTATGGGCTTTTGGTGCGAGGAATCCGAGCAAACCCTCCGTGGTGATTCGCATGTCCTCTCTCTGACAACAAATTTCGACAAATCTCGAGTTACATCTCACTCATACAAACCCGCTGGGTGGTACCACGTCCGACTTGTCTCAATATAGATCAAGAAACCTGTTCAAGCATGTCAAATGGCCACCTGGTACGTCGGCGGGACGGAGATGTCGCGCTCCTCGAGCGATTCATCTCTTCCTGGCGGCTCATATCGACAACCTCGTCGATACTTTGACAGTAATTCATACCGCCGCACTAGTCATTCTGGACTCTCCCAACTGCCGGACGACTTCGAAATGCTTCAACCATTCAAACGCCATCGTCACACCAATCATTCTGAAGCCCTCGACACTATGGATTTTGAGCAAACTTTGACTCCCCCGTTTTTCATCATCAAGGAAGCGACCATTGGACCTCGTGCCTCTGGCTTCGACCAGGTTGTCGCCGGATCCGTTGCGAATTCTCGCCATCTGAAAACCACGACTTGGCGTGGAATGCCTTGTGAGGATTACAGGCGAAGAACGTTGGATTCAACCGAGATGAAGCATTCGTCGCACACAAAAGATAAAAACCACGATGAAGCGGCCAAGCTTGTGGAAGCCGGCCTTGTGGGTTCTCGTCGTCGAGGCAGGCTCGCCCAGCACGAGAGGATCTTGCGGAGCCTCATCTGCCCCAAGTCACCGGAGGCGGAGTTTGACATTGACGACGTAGCTCTACAAGGCATCTTCTACTCGGTGAATGAGCTATTCTTTCAAGGAAGACTGAAGGGTCGCGTCTCTTGGACATGGAGGGATCTTCCGAGCTACCTCATCGGCACGACGGCGCTGAGGAAATCGCCTCTTACGGACAGCTACGAAACACTAATCTTTTTGTCACGGCGGATCCTCAAGGACAGGAAATACAACCGGCGACTGCTCATATCGACCTTCATTCACGAGCTTATTCACAGCTATCTCTTCGTTCTCTGCGGATTCCAGTCCAGAGAATGTGGCGGCCACACCAACGGATTCAAGCGTATCGCCGAACTGATCGACGAATGGGCCGGACCGGACCTTCTGTTTCTCTGCAACATGGAAGCAGAGCTGAGCGATTTCGAGACGAAGGTCGGGGCAATGCCGAGAGAACCGGCTTTCGACGGCTGGGGGATGCCTTGGTCGCACGACGCGGTAGCAGGGGATTACATTGTGCTGAATCGTCCGCAATGCAGGTTGAGGCCTGCTGCACGTTTACTGGATCGGGGATTACGATGACATGACCTGACCTGACCTGACTCGACCTGGCATGTAGGGCGCCCCAAGGCCCCGGTTCCTCCCAACAACTCTGCGGCCCGGAGGCTGCCCAACGTTACCCCGCATAGGGCTAGACTCTTTGTCTTGTCCATGTATTCCTCTCCTTTACTCCCTACGTATGTATGTATCCATGATGGATGGATTGGATACTACACTACATTACCTACCTACCTACATACCTACCTCTTCCCTCATTACTCGATAGGCTACTTGCCATTTATTATCATTTTTTTTTCCTTTGTCACATACAGGCATAGCGACGGCGTATCACACACATTATATACCCCCACATTAGAATTTCGGAATGGGATTTTATATATATATATATATATTTATATATCCGGGCTGGCATTTTTTTCGTCACAACGTTCATGAGAAAAACTTATTTGTCTTGTCTTGTCTTACTATAGAAGAATATCCGTCTTGCATGAAATTCGGTGTTGGGAAAGCGAAAGGCGGGCAAATATGTTTTGGTTGTTTGTTGTTGTTGGAGATTCCCCCCCCCCCCCCCCCCTTTGGTGGTTTCTTACCATGATTATTATTATTACCTACCTACCTACCTAGGGTATATTGGTATCATGGTATGTCAACCACCCCCCCTTTTACGCGTTACGGCCGTTGCATTTTTTCTTCTTTTCTTTCTGAAGAGGTGGATGGATGTATCTGATGGATGAATGACTGGATGGATGGATGGATGGATGAATGGATGGATGGATGGGTTGGATTGGATTGGATTGGATTGGATTGGATGGATTTGGATATATGAATACGAAGAAAGAGAAATATGTAACTCCTTCTCATGTCGATATTATTCATATGTATACCTACGGTACTTACTGCACACATACATACGTACATAGCTTTATTTCATTTTGAGTCTACATACACACATACATACATACCTACTTGCTCTGTCTACCTAACCAGATCTACATGTATGTATCTTCGATTCTCCCTAGGTTAGATACTTCCTACATAGGTAGGTACCTAATAGGTACTAGGCATCGAATCTGTATGGTCTGGGTTATGTATGTATGTATGTATGTATGTATGTATGTATGTATGTGAGTGACATGCAGCTGCAAGCAAGCAAGCAAGCAAGCAGCACATACAGTAGGTATGTAACAGCACGATTTTTTTCAAAAAGCACGTAAGCACATTGATGCCCTATTTGGCACTTCCACGTGCTGCGCAAGCGCCTAACCCTTTATTACTCGCTTTTGTGCACATCTATTGCCTACCCTAGGTATGTATGTATGTATGTATGTATGTATGTATGTATGTATGTATGTATGTATGTATGTATGTATGTATTGTTCAGCTCTCTGCTTCGCCCAAGTCAACCTTGGAAATATCTAGATCTAGGCACCTAGGCAGATAGGTAACCTATGTAGATTGGTTTGTACATACCTAGGTAGGCGGGCTACTGGGCAGATTGATAGATACATAGTTAGATTGCCTACTAACTACATAGTTACTTGATGCCCGATCTCTCTACGCCACTACACTAGTAGTAGCATCAATAGTTGGTTGCAAATGTAGTAGTAATACCGAGATTACAGAATTCGTCAAGATTACATTACATGCAACATGCAATTATGTAGGGCTGGCTGGCTGGCTGGCTAACATTGCATACATAACCTGTAACTACCTGTATTGTACCTGGCCTAGTAGTTAATGCTGGGTCACACCAGATTAGCGATCGCTGATTTTTATTTTTATGGCTTTTTTGACCTTTTTCTGGGTTTTAGGGGGGGGGGGGGGGGGGGCTTGTAAGTTGATGGTCTTCGGCCCGCCGCCCACCCGTCCGCCTTACCTGCTTCTGTGCTGGGGTAGGACACCCAGCATGCTTTTATTAACTACTGGGGCTGGCTTTGGCTTTTGCTGTGTATTTAGCGAGAGGTGGCAGGGAAGGTCCTTGGTGTGGTGTGCTTGCGTGAGAGGTTTTAATGTAGTTACATTGTAGGGTACACACGTAGTACATAACTAATAGGACATCGGAAACCAAGGATCCCCTGTTCCCTTTTTTATTATCACTTTTAATATCCCGTTGTTGCATTTGCGGTTTAGTTACTGGGTATGTATGTACGCCAAGCCTTGTGATTATTATTAATGATAATTGTATCGTTAATGATATCTAACTCATCAGAGCGCGTGCGGCGGAACGACGGGGGATTTCGGCACTTGGTGCATTTTGCATGTGTAGGTATGCGAGGTACCTAGTTACATTGAGGCATTCTTGAAATTGATGACATGAGGGTTACGCGATAACTAAACAATCACATGACTAGGTGTGTAACCGTAGCCCCCTTTTAATGTGTGGCCTGAGGCATTCCAATCCCGAGTCACTCTGACACATGCCTTCTGCGTCATGCAGCAGCAGAGCACACACCAAACCACCGGTTTAAATGAGAGCCTGTCGCACTGGCTGCGCGGAACCTGGGGTCCAGAGCTGACTCCTAGCGTAGCTGACTCATGGCAACTCGCTGCCTCGGAGCTGGGACGTTCTACGCTTCAGTTCAGACAAGAGCGTATTGATGAAGGGGTGGTTATGAGATCTCCCGGAGATGCAATCTATCACCCGCGACTGCCCTGCCAAGTTGCTCATACCACGTCACTTTGGCAGATGCTTTGGCAGATGCGGAGGGAAGCGTACGAATTAACGCAGTGATGAAACATGTCGGGCTACCAAAGGTAGACGCGAGAGGCACGATGTGGCACATACCCGGCTTCGACTTCTACCTACCATTCGCTCATGACCGTTACCGACAAATTTATAAAAAAGACACTGCTAACCCCCGGCCATTCCACCTACGGCGCGGAGGAATGGGCGATTGTACTGCACAGAATGCTGATAGCAGTAGATCGGGGGCTTCCAGCCATCATGTTCATGTCGTTTCGACTTGCTGATAATGAAACGCGATTCCCAGCCGCAGATCGTGAAATGTTGGGGGTTGTCAGGCCTCTCGCAGAGTGTCGCTGGAATGTGTCGCCGTCACCTCACCCAGGGTTGCTGTATTGTGACCGCTCAAAAGTTCTCCCAAATGCTGCGTGGCCACAGGCTTCACTTGGGACCCATCGAAGGCCTCGAGTTCGAACGCCTCAAAAAAGCGTCTGGATTGTGCCAAAGGGTGGCGCACAGCTGCGCGTCGGCTCTAAGGAGTGAACCACATCGCATCAGAACACAATGGTTCGCGAGGAAAGCTTATTTTTGGTTGTGATAGTGTATGTCGTTTGAGGTGTTTTGTGGGTGAGATGAGAAATGCTACCTACAGCATAGATAGACCGACAAGGGCCAACAAGCTGTAAGACAATACAGCAAGTCACTGGCGACGGCGACAGCGTAAAGAGGGGCGGAGAGGGGCCAACCGCGTCACCGGTACAAGCACCAGCTCCAACATCGCAATCATCGCTGGCACTGCTGAGGATGGTTACAACTTTTCCTGGCCCTGTGCTAACCTATTAGATAACCCGGGTAAATGGGAAATATCGCTGATGGCCACATTGAACAACCTGAGGACGACTTTCGGGGGAGCCTGAAGAGCAAGCTTGAGACCTCTGAGAAGAAAGCCCAACTTGACGGATGGAAAGTCACCGATATCGGCTATTTCTGCATGTTCGATATTGAGACAACTAACTGGTTGTATCGGACATGCTGATATAAACTGGAGACAATTAATGAGAGATGACCTCCTACTACCGAACCTAACACCGGTCCAGCCACCGCAACCGTTAACGAGACGGGCGATCGACCACACGCCAATTGACAAGACCAACGTGCTGGTGGTCATCGAATACGCGACAGGCTGGATCGAAGCAGAGGTAATAGAATCAACAGCGTTCAAAAACGCTATACCATGGTTGACAACTTGAAGGATTGGGAATACCTTTCGGGTATCCCAAAGAGTTCATATTAGATAAAGCGGGAGCATCCACCGAGCGACGAAACCAAGAAATGGCACGGGAGTCACGGCTCAGTGGTAAAACCAACCACGCCACTGAGGCCTAGGGGAAACGGAAAGGTGCAAAGGGCGAACGGGGACAATCATTTCACCTTTGGCGCAGCGCTATGTTCTGATAGGTTGTTACTCATAGACTGTATTCTTCTTTCTCGGCATCCGCAATTTCTATGCAAGAACGGCTCTTACCCCTGATATCGAACTAGTACTTAAACAACAGCACGTTTACTGTTATGCAAGAAAAAAGTCATGCTTGACAGTAATAGGCGGCATTATTCTTCCCGCGTTTCTATCATCCAGTATCTAGAAGAGGCAGTTCGTGACACTCACACACACACACATACAGCAGACGCTTCACCCGTTCCGTTTTGAAGTTTGACAAAACAGTTTCCAAAAGACGACTGACTACCTTTGCTTTATCATACCCCCAACGCCAACAATTACGTTGCTCAGGGACACGGCGCACGTAGACATGTACGACACGCGCTTCGCCTGACACATAACCACCTACCCACCCACCTACCTACCTACTCGTAGACGAAACAAAACGGCGAGCCCCCCACCGTGTCGAGCAACTGACCAAACCTGTAGGACTCGCCCACAGGAGCGATGTCGAGGACGTCCTCCAGCGTCCCGTTGCGGCTCGCGGGCCTGTCCATCATCGTGATAGTTCCTGCCATGGTCTTTTTTTTCGCGTTTGCGTAAAAAGCCCCAAACGTTAGTCACGATTGTTGCCTAGGTAGGTACCTATGTAGTGTAGTATATATCCACACGGTACCTAATCGAAATCAAAAAAGGGGGGTACTTTTTTTTTTTTTTGTGGGGGGGGGGGGGGGGGTTTCGCTTACCTGTCGCTGTTCCCAGTCGAGGTTCTGCCAGATAAAGTACATGCGGTCGATCTGTCCGTGGTGCAGGTAGAAGGCGGGCTCCAGGGGCGAGAAGTAGAAGTCTCCGCCTGGGTCGCCGGCTTTTAGGGGGGGGGGAGGGAGATGTTAGCAAAAAAGAGTTATATATATATATATATATATGCCGCCTAACCTAGTCGTTTATCTATCTAATCTAGCTAGCTAACCTAGTAGCTTAAGAAACGGACTCACCAATGGCGAAGTGGCCGCCCCCGTGCACGGCGAACCCCCACTTGCGCGCGTCGGGCCAGCGGAAGTCCCCCTGCAGGTTGGCCTGGAAGAGGGCGATGTCGGGGCTCTGGGTGATGGTCTCGGTCGTGTTCCGGAGGGAGGCCCACTGCGCGCAGATCTGCGTGTTGAGGTCGCGCTTGAGGCACCGCGGGTTGTACGCCAGGGGGTCGCGGGCCGTGTTGGGGCCGAAGTTCACCGTGTAGTTTACAAAGGGGCCCTTGGTCACGCACCCGCCCCCGCTGCCGCCCGGGAACATGGGGTTGCCGCCGCCGCCACCGCCGGAAACCTTTTCGCCGTTGGATCCCATGGAGGTTTCGGAGCCGTCGAATACGGGCGAGTTTTCGACGCCGGTGGTGGCGTCGAGGCCCCACTTATGAAGCTGGATGTCAGTTTTTTTTTTCGTTTCTAGGATCTAATAGATGGGGGGGGGGGGTAATAAGGGGATTGGAGTGTATGTATGTACTGACCTCCCAGTAGGGGAAGGACCCCGTGTAGCCACACATGGTTCTCAGCTTGTCCTCGAAGGTCCAGACGTAGAGTCGGTGGAAGAGGAGAAAGTATGCCTAGGCGGGGGCAGAAAAAGCAGGTGGTTAGATGTGATCGTTGTCCGCACACAAAAAAAAAACAAACTTGGAAAACTTACTGAGTTATGGACGTACGGCGTCAGCTTGTAGTGCAGCACACCGAAGCTATCGTACATCGTCCTGGGGCCCGTCACGTTCTCGTACACGTTCGGCTTCTCCATGAGGCAGTTTACGGCCTTGACGTATTCTATTCTCTCCGCGGCGGGGATTCTTCTCCTGTTAACCGCACAAAAAACGAGCAGTCAGTCAGTCAGCCAATTCCATAACGCCCCCCCTCCCCCCCTCTGCCTTCATGCCTTCAAGAAAAGTAATAACCTACCATTCTTTGCGCACCCTCACGTTATCCTTCGTGCACTTGGCCGTAGGGTGGGCCTCGAGCCGCGCTATGGCGGTGTCGTACGCCGTCCTGCCGATCTCCTGCAGCGCCTTGCCCGAGTCGATGTCCTCCTGGGGGAAGTCGAGAGGGGCGAGGGCGGTCGCCAGCGCGCCCAGGAGAGCCAACGAGAGGAGGTTCTTGATGAAACCCATTGCGATAAGAAGTTCGCGCGTTCTGGTTCCTACTGTTTAATCCTAGAACGCCTCGCTCTTGGAGGGGAAGGGTAGGGAAGGAGGGATGGAGGGGGATGGGTACTCCTATATCCTGTCCTTTCAACCCTTGTACGAAAGCAGATATATGTCTAATATCCGCCGCTAACACGCCAAGGCTCACCAGATGGTCCTGCGAGTATGGCAGAATGGTGATATTGTGGGGAACCCATGCTTTCGGCATGAAAAGCTACGGACGGTATCATTCAGGTCAGTCAAGGGGGGGAGGGTTGCAATACGTATAATGTAAGTAGGCAGGGTAAGGTAGTATGTGAAGCTCAGAAGAAAGGAAAGAGGTACACGTTTGACCCAAGACAAACGCAATATACAGCGAGATAATATTTTCTTTTTCCCCAATCATTCTCTCTCATCGTGTATATTAACTTCCCAGGGCATGTCGTTGGCCCACCACCCACAGGAAGCGACGATCATCACCTTAGCGATGGGAAAGGGTAGTCGACCAAAGTGCCGGACGGTTATACAAGCCAGAGAGGCAAAAGCCAAACCAAAAATTCCTAATTCGTGGTTGGCCTTTTTTTCCTAAAAGGGGGAGACGGCGTGTGGTAAAAGCATCCACGGTGATTGGTTCCCTACTCTTTGCCGAGTTTGGGTGTTTTTTTTTTCGCTTGATTTGAAAATGGTCACTGGTCGGTCAGTTGGGTGAACGGTCACTTGATTTCTGCCGCGAAAAAAAAAAGAGTAGGTAGAGTAGGAAAGGGGGAGAGGGGGGGATGTAGAATGCGAATGCTTGAGGAATGAGGAATGAGTACCTAAGGTACCTAACCTAGTAAGTTGTGTTAATATAATAAACACAAATACTTAGGTTAGAAACAGAAATGACTTCACTCCTTCCTTGTAAGCACAGCCAACGGCAAGCAAACACATCCATTCAACGACTCGTCCTAAGGTAGGTAGGTAAGTTATTGGGTATTGGGCTTTCAAATTTCTAGGCACAGTTGCCTACCTTGGTAGTCTAGGGGTCGGCATGTATTTTACCACGCCCAATACACCGTTGCCATATCTTGAGGCAAAAACTTTTGTAACGTTTTGAATTTACCCAGTCCGCTCAGGGGGGGGGGGGGCAGGGGTTGGGATATTCACTCGTGGTAGGTAGTACGTCCCTAACATATATACAACTTGGCGCGCAGACACGCGTTCCGTCTGGTAAGCTTGCTACTATAATCTGTCTAGGTTATATAATTACGGAACCAGGGGCGCTTTTTTTTCACGGCACTTGTGTTTTTTTCTTTGATTTCTTTTTTTGGTATTCTTTTCTTCATTCGCTGGCTTGAGTTATCATGATGTATTGTTCTACCCACTCCTTACTCCTTAACTTACTTGGACGCCTAGGTACCGTAATGGCACTGTAATAAAGGAGTAGGTAGGTAGTCCAGCAAGAGAAGTATGCACCGCTGTCTACATTGCCGATTGCCCGAGTACCTACGCAGTTCCAAAGTATGTATGTCAGGTAGGTCTCATCATAATACCCTTGCCATGTGCACGCCGACATAGACTCTTTCGTAACGATGCGTCTCCTATGTATACCTACTCATGTACACCGATCGCAAAAATGAGATACCTACCACTCGAAAACATAGTGCTCGCAACGTAGCACGGGGCCAAGGAGGTCACAGGAGGCAGGTAGTTGTTACCTATTGTCATGACGACGATGACTGAAAGCCTTGCTCGCTCAATTAGAAACCTACCTTAGATACCTGTACCTACGCACGTCTTAATCTAATGTTTCACCAGCGAATCAGGCTATCCACGGCAGATCCGTCAACTTGGAACTGTAGGCGAGGTGTGTGTGTGTGTGTGTGTCTGTATACTTGCTTTCTCGTGCATGCGTGTGCGTGTTCGTCGTCCCCTACTTAGGCATGTAAGTACTTATTAACCTATGGTTTTGGTTCGCCAATAAATTGACCTAGGATATATGACAAATAAGTCGACCTTGACTTGGACTGGAAGACCCCAGGGTGAGAAGAAGAAGATGATGAAGAAGAATCGACACCTCACCGCTCTATCGATAGATACCTACCTAGGGTAAGTAGGGAGGCGGTGCGGCGATTGCATTTCCGTCATATGTGAGTACACCCGACACTTGCAAACGCGACAGGAGAAGCAGAATCGGACACACCAGACTAGAAGAGAAGGGGAGTCATTTCAACGGCACTCATGGATACCTATGATACGATGTTGCAGCAATGAGTCCGGCTATCCATAGATACTCACGTATGTACCGTACTAAGGCCAGACAGGTCTTCAAGCATTTACAGTAAACCACGATTTGCAAGTGAACTTTTAACATTCCGATTCCACGCGCAGCACAGCACAGTACACCATGGTATACATAAAGCATAAACGGTATAGCAACATCAGTCATAAAACCTTGCTTTTTCACATTTTCAAATCCCCCTCCATGGATATCAGAATAACAACAATCACCACTCAGCAACCTCACCCGGCTTGGGCCTTTGCACCCGGATAACTTTGTCAGCGTTTAGTAGGCAAAGCGGGTCGAGGGCTAACTTGATCTAATCGGAGACAGACAATAGTTAGCATAAAATAATATCCTGTCAGGGGCTCAAAGGTTGAATTGGGAGAGGAGAGGGGACATACCTTTCTCATAGTATCGACAGTGCTCTCGCCGAGTTCGTGGGGCAGATAATCTCTCTTCACTAGACCGACTCCATGTTCACCCTGTGCACAAGTTAGCCAGGATCACGATATAGGGGAACACGTTTGCCAAGGAAAACTCACTGTCACGGTCCCTTCTAACTCAACAGCCCTCTTCACCATACGATGCACAAGCTCCTCGGCGGCGGGCCTCTGCTCTTCATTAGAGAGCAAAATGACTATAATATCGTTAGCCTATGTACTCCCTAAAGGTGAACGTAGCGCCATGGCTTTATAAGTTTACTCACTGTGGAAGTTTCCGTCGCCAACATGTCCGACAATAGTGCCATACATGCCACTCTTCTTCATGTCATCCTTGGTCTCCTCAATAAGTAGCGGCAACTGGCTCATCGGTACAGCCACATCACCGGTCCATACCCTGTCGCCAGGCTTGGCCACCGACATGGTACTCCACAAGGCCTCTTTACGCGCACTCCATAGTTCGGCCTTCTCCGTCTCGGATCGGGCGAACTCGAAGCTCTTGCTACCAGCTAGTTTAGCCATCCCCTGGACAAGTGAAATCTGTTCTTTTACACCTCGTTCCGTGCCGGAAAACTTGAAGAATAGTGTGGGAACCTCCTTCCATTGTTTCGAAGTCATGCCAGCTTGGTTTATGCACTTCATTTGCTCCTCGTCGAGAATTTCGACCGCAGCGACGGGGATGCCTTCGCCGACGACTCTAGCAACACAGTCTGCAGCTTGTCGGATAGTGCCGAAGCCGCAGACTGCCACGCTTGTGCTAACAGGTTTCGTGGTAAGCTTTAAAGTGGCCTCGGTGATGAGTCCAAGGGTGCCTTCGCTACCAATGAAGAGCTTTGTCAAATCGTAACCAGCAGAGCTCTTCCGCGGACGTTGTCGAGTCTTGATAACGGTACCATCGGCAAGAACGACTGTCAGAGAGAGAACCCATTCTCTCATTGTGCCATAGCGATATGCGTTGGTACCACTGCATCCAGTGCCGATCATGCCTCCTATTTGCGCACCTGGGCCTGGGTCAGGCGGGAAGAAAAGATTTTGGTGGCCAATTTCTTCGTTAAGCCGCTCCCATCCAACAGCCGGTTGTACAACCACGTCCAAGTCATCCTTATGTAGTGCGATGATCTTGTCCATTCTCCTGAAATCGACGCAGATGCCTCCCCGGGTTGGCGTGAAGTGTCCTTCTAAGCTGGTACCACCGCTGTAGCCAACCACGGGTATACGTCGTCTGTGGCAGACCTTCATAATCTCGCTCACTTCTTCCGTCGAGCCTGGATAGACGACCATGAAAGATTTCTCCAACTCATTGCTGCGGTAGCTCGACCAGTCGGAGTTGGCATGCGTGTTAAGATCCTCCTCGACGGTGCTGACATTTTCTCTTCCGACAATGGCAGCGAAGTCGGCCCAAGCAGCTTCAAGGTTGGGCTTGTCGTTCTTATACTTGGGATCCCGTACGAGGCCCAGTGGGCTGGTTGAAGATGGGTCAGGGTCGCGAGCGGATTTTGTGCCTATAAAGTACGAGACGCCAGCGGAAGCAAGCACGACTAACAATTGACGAGTATTAATTTTCTAGCCTTCTCTGTAACATCATAGGAGCAATATGAAAAGTCATACTAAATGTCGTAGCCCACCGTCTTGACCCTAAAGACACTTGTTGTTGATCTGCAAATTTTTGACGCTCTGCCCTTTCTCTTGCTATTCGCGACGTTACGCTCTCCAGCATCTGGCCTTGAAATGAACGCTCCATACTTTTCTTAGTCTTTTCCGTGGCGTACAATCGTGTATTCCCCGAGAATGCGACCCATGGTGAAGCTGTCTGGATGGGCCGAGGAGCTCTAATGCTCCGTAATCCGGCGCAGGCCGATCGAGACGGGAGACGGGACATGTTGGAAACTGGGTATGCTTAAGTGTGATAGAAACTGGAAAGAAAGGTCATGACATCTTTAGGACCTTATAGGTTCGTGACCATTTTCAAAGTTCAACGAGGGAACCGCAGAAATATAATTGCAACTAGAATTGGAAGGTTGAAGTTAGTGGCCGGCGGGCTTGCCCACCTCACCTAGGTACCTACTACCAAGTAGCAATGCGCTTATCGACAAGGTGCAAGCTCGGTATCGGAAGCCCCACCACCACACTATAGTCCACTATAGTAGTCCACTACAGTACTCTTTTCCCGGGCCTTTTCACCTTCGCCATTTCATGAATTACTTGCGTGCTACTATCTGCTTAATAATGATTTATATCTTCAATAATTACATGCCTGCCTATATACCTCACCTAGATATATCTAACCTAGATATATCTATACCCTTCATGTTTCTCACTTTAAGGCGTTCTCCTACGAAGATTAAAGATATTCAATGTTCGTATTTGCCGCATGTATTGTCCAATAAATACCTCGGTTATATGAGTGTACTACTAGTAGTATATCCCTTCAACCGCCACCAGCGGCACAGTCTGGCCCATTCCCGATATAATGATAGAGCCAATTATGGGTTTGATGTATGAGTGATTGTCGTGACGGTACCAATACTACTCGGCTCAAACATAGTTCAAACATCGTATGTACTACCGACTTCTACTTACAAAAACTTGACTAGACTAGAGTTAATTGATTAAGGCGGCGGTAGAAGGAGTACTAGGTAGTATTAACAATGCTCAATGTTTGGTAGAGTTTGATAATTATCACAACTACTACAGATATGTATCCAGGTTTGTTAAAAAAAATTAGGCACTCAACCGTCAATGCCACCCCATTCGCCGTCGTCTCCTCCCTGGGTATCACTATTAACCTCCTGCATCTTCCTGTTTTTGCTTCCAGCGATAGCACCACGCCTATTATTCTCCTTTCGTCTCTCCCAAGCACTCTGCGTCGTGATCTTGGTCTTGTTTCCACGCCGGGACTCAACCCCGTGCTTTTTCAACTGCTTCTTTTCCTCCTTCCCCATCTTCGGGAGCGAATCCATCAACCACTTCGGTACCCCTTCTTCGCTCTTCTTCCCCGCCTGCTTCTCACTCAGAGAAATCACATTGGCTATGCTCTTGAGATGTGCTACATCCTCCGTAGTGTAAAAGGTCACGGCCACGCCACCTTCGTGGCCAGCTCGTCCCGTTCGACCAACCCGGTGAATGTAGGCCGCCGCCGAGGTTGGAACATCGTAGTTAATCACCCCGTTCACTCCGCGGAAGTCGATGCCTCGCATAAGAAGGTCGGTAGTAATCAATACCCAGATCTCGCCTGCTCGGAAACGAGCCACAATACTCGAGCGTGCTGAGTCTGAGAGTGATGAATGGAGAGCTGCGATACGGGTCGAGCCACCGGCCTCGGCAGGTATATCAAATTTCAACTCGTCGTGAAGTGCCGTGGCGCGTTCAATTGTTTGCGCAAACACCAAAAAGGGAAGTCGCATTTCCGGCATTGAGTCGCTGGATGATTTTGGGTGCAAGAGCTGGCGAAGCGCAAACAACTTGCCTTGTTCAGTGGCGGTATAGATGAGTTTGTGGTTAATGCTTGGAACAGCCGTGTCTTTGAGACCAACTACAAGACGAATGAGAGGGACAGACGACGACCCCCGAGATTTTAACTGTTCCAACATTAAGCCCTCTATGTTTGATCCCATAGTCGCAGACCAACATGTAAGTCGTAGGGATTTATTGCTGCAGGCGGACCAGATCCCGAGGGTTTGCTCGCGGAAGAGCGGATCGAGCAAAACGTCCGCTTCGTCTAGGATCAGAGACTTCACAGTCGGTAATGTCCTAGACTTTAAGAAGTTCCGTAGAATTTGGGGTGTGGTGACTAAGATGTCTGCTTTAGTAGTCGTAGTCTCTTTTTGCGGCTTGTCATCCTCTTCATCTTCGGAACTGCCTGTCTCTGAATCACTCTTAGAGCTAGCTTCGTCATGGCTCAAATCATCATCAATTTCCCCTTCAGCAGGTATGCGCATGTCCTTTTTCATTCCTACAATCTTAACACCTGTGCCTTGTGCTAGTTTCCTGCCTTCGTTGACAATTTGGTGCGCCAATTCTCGCGTGGGGGCGACCACAACTACTTCGAGAATATGCTCCTTTTGCCCCGTTTCACCAGCTCTCCTGCGCAAGATGCTGTTAATGGCTGGAATCAAGAAAGCCAGTGTCTTGCCACTACCAGTGGGAGCAACAGCCAAGAAATCAACGCCTCTTTTAGTCTTGAAGTGAAGTTCCTCTGCAACGGATGACGAGATTGCGCGATCAGGCTGTAGTAATAGCGGCAGGCTGCCCAATTGTACTTCAGTGGGTATTCGATATCCCTGCTTCGCGAGGTTTTCACTTAGCCTAGCCGAGATATTATACGTCGACCGGAATTCGGAGAAAGAGGTCAATGGCTGCGGGAATAGTGGCTTCTTTCCATCTTTAACCTTGGTCTTGGCTTCCTCCTTCTTCGACTTCTTTACTTTGGTCCTCTTGGCATCATGCGAAGAGAGAAGGGTGAATTTTAAGCGATGCGACTTTAAGACCTGTCGGACCTCTTCTTCATCAAGCAGCGACTTCGAAGCATCCTCAATTTGATCTTCCTTGGCTGTAGGCTCGACAATTGGCTTTTTCGTCGTTCGGGGCGCAAAAAAGTTAATCTCATCAGGGTCATCATCGACGTTTAAACTCGAGGCCGATTGGTCCTCCTTTCTCTTGCGCTTCACTCCCCGAGTTGGATCATTGTATAATTGCGGAGTGGAAGGTTGGTTTAAGGGTTTTTGTATTTCGAACTGAGAAGCGGACTTCTTCGTCCCTCGGGACAGGATTTTTAAAATATCCATGGCATGCGACAGGTTTAACTTGGATTGATGAAAGTATAAGAATTCACTTGTCAAATTATGCCGAAGGCTTAGGCGGTGTAGAAAATTGTTGGCGGTGAATGTTTCTGCCGGATTAAAGCTCGGAAAGTTTTGAAGCTTACATAACCTGGCAGCTTTGACACGACCCCGCTACCCCGCTTACCTCTAGTCTGCAAGTTCAGCTTAATCCACGATGCTTCTCTCCACTACATACGATGTACATGTACCTGTGTAGGTAGGGACATCGTATGTAAATATGCCGATGGATGAATGTACTAGAAGAGCTGTCACCATCTATCAAGGTCTCTATCAAAACATTGAAGGGAAAATTAATTTCAATCCGCTTATCCATACCTACCTACCTCTACGTTGTACAACTCCGCGATACCGATTATCCGATGGCCATCCGTATATATAGTAAGTAACCGTCGCTTCGCCGCAACACACCCAGTTACCATACCTTACATACACTTCCCCTAGGTACCTATGCATAGCATAGGCGAACTGCACGTCCTAATGAAATGACATGAAAATCGCCAAATGTGGATAATACTGTCAAGGTGATTGGTGCGGCTAAATTATCTAGCTGTCTACCTACGCTGCCTAGTACTAAGGTAGTAGGTATGTAAAAGCAGAAAGACCAAAAAAAGAATATTAGCTTTAACGCTGCTAACGACTATAAGTGCCAACAAGCTTGAGGTAAGTATCCTATCAACAAGAACCGGGCACGGAACCGGGGATGATCCCCCCACCATTACCTTGACCTGGTGGGCGGGTTGCAGCTCTGGGAGCAGTGGGAGGATGTCCATTACGACATCTTTTGAGCTACATACCATACTTACTCACATACTACGCCGTACATACCCCTGCCCCGCTATCTTTTGTTATGTTATGCGCACCTGTGTGTGTGTAATGTGTTGTAGTATAACTCTCACGAGACTACTTTACTTTAGCTAGAGCTAATACATGTATCTCCGAAGTACGGGCACATACATACCAGAAGAGTGATTTTTTTTGCCTCCTTCTTCTTTCTCGTGTCTATGCTTGCTTTGTTTGGATTTTATATCTCACTCACCTCCTGAGCACCTATCATTCGGTATCATTATAATATGTTGCAACATCAAAGCTGTTGACATATAATATCTCGTCTATCTTGATCTTATAAGTTGATCACCAAATCTGTCTTCATCTTCCCCCTTCTCTATCTTATTTATACTCTATCTAGACAAGCATTTTTTTTATTTTTTGTATTTGCTTATACAGAATCCCAATAAGAAATGGATCCAAAAACATCAAGCGTGTGTTACCTCCCTCCCCGAAACCCCCCCCTAACTACACCACCTTCTAACACCCAACCCCCCAGAACCTCTCCTTCATCCTCAACAAGCCCCATGATGTGCACTTCGCCTCCCGCCCCCTCCCCACCCTGCAAACCCCCCACGACGTCCTCGTCGCCGTGAACTACACCGGCATCTGCGGCTCCGACGTGCACTACTGGGAGCACGGCGCCATCGGGCACTTCGTCGTCAAGGACCCCATGGTCCTCGGCCACGAGTCCTCCGGCACCGTCGTCGAGGTCGGCTCCGCCGTCACCTCCCTCAGCCCCGGCGACCGCGTCGCCCTCGAGCCCGGCTACCCCTGCCGCCGCTGCGCCCCCTGCCTCAGCGGCCACTACAACCTCTGCCCGGAGATGCGGTTCGCCGCGACGCCCCCCTATGACGGAACACTGACCGGCTTCTGGGCCGCCCCCGCCGACTTCTGCTACAAGCTCCCCGAGTCCGTCTCCCTGCAGGAGGGCGCGCTGATCGAGCCCCTCGCCGTCGCCGTGCACATCGTCCGGCAAGCCTCCGTTTCCCCGGGGCAATCCGTGATCGTGATGGGCGCCGGGCCCGTCGGCCTGCTCTGCGCCGCCGTGTCGGCCGCCTTCGGCGCCTCGACCGTCGTCTCCGTCGACATCGTGCAGTCCAAGCTCGACTTCGCGCGCTCCTTCAGCTCCACGCACACCTACCTCAGCCAACGCATCTCCGCGGAAGCCAACGCCGCCAACATCAAAGAGCACGCCGCGCTCCCCGGCGGCGCCGACGTCGTCATCGACGCCAGCGGCGCCGAGCCCAGCATCCAGACCTCGCTGCACGCCGTGCGCGTCGGCGGCACCTACGTGCAGGGCGGCATGGGCAAGTCCGACATCACCTTCCCCATCATGGCCATGTGCCTGAAAGAGGTGACGGCGAAGGGGAGCTTCCGCTACGGCAGCGGTGACTACGCCCTCGCCGTCGAGCTGGTGCGCTCCGGCAAGGTCGACGTCAAGAGGCTTGTCAGCGAGACCGTCGACTTCGCGCAGGCGGAGCAGGCGTTCCAGAAGGTTAAGCTGGGGGAGGTCATCAAGATTCTGATCAGGGGGCCGAATGAGAAGGGGGTTGTTGTTGCTGGTAAGTAGGTAGGTAGGTAGGTAAACTAGGAAAAAAAAAGAAGTACCTAAAAGGAGAAAGAATTGGGAGAAAGGACGGGAGTGTTGAGGCGTCTTGCGGTTGGTGGTGATTAGATACCTACCTAGGTAACCTACCCTACCTAGGTATATATTATATCTGGGTACTGGCCTTCGAGAGGAACAGAAAAAGTCAACTATAGAGTGGGTAGAGTAGAAGAATCCATTGATATCTCTATATTCTATATAGGTATGTAGATAGGTACCAGGTCGGTTACCTACCTAGGTAGTTAGTGTTTACGTCTGTATGTGGCCGAGTATGGTGAGTAGGTAGATAGGAAGATACCTATATAAAAGTTGGAAATAAAGATTTCAAAGTACTTGGTTACATACCTAAGTTGATCCTACATAGGTATGAAATAAGTGTATAAGTGAAGTAAGTCGGCGACGATATTGGCGATACTAACTTTAAAATCGACACTTAAACAAACCTTGAAGATGCGAAGGTAAATTTCACGAGAAAGCCGGACTGCTAGGTGGTAATAATAAGGGGGCAGTGTGAAGACAGTTATAGGTAGGTATGCACCTAGGTTAACTCATTCTACGATCTCTATATAACGCAGTCATCTCATCTCATCTACCTACCTGCCTGCCTACCTGCCTCCCTAGAAAATCACCCCCCCTCACCAACTAGGCACATAGCAGAAAACATATAACAGCTACACCCCCCAAAAATCTAAACCATCCCCAGATACCTCGTCCCAACCACACTCCCCTCCCTCGCGCCCCTCACCCCAACATCCACCACCTCGCCCGGCACGATGTCCACCAGATTATCCTCGAACTTAATCCCATCATCCTCGCTTTCCAGCGCCACGCCCTTGATGGGGACCTCGGCCGAGACATGGACCGTCGCATGATCCTCGCTCAGTTTAGCTTGCAACTGCCTCGGCTTCGCCAGATGAAGATACTTCAGGGGCTCGGGCCAGTTGACGTAGCGCGCGAGTTGGACGCCATCGGACCGGCGAACGAGGTACGCCGCCACGACGGTCCGGGAGGCGTCGATACCTTCGTCTTTATATGGCTCTGGGACTTCGAACGCTGCGATCTCAGTGGACTGGTTTTGGGGGAGGATGAGGGCCTCCTTGTTGACGGTCTCACTATACGTCTCCTTTCCCGTTTCGACGTCCCATGCTTTGACGACACAGTCGGCCGTCAGATCTTCTAGAGTGAGATTGCTGCCCCAGATTTCGATTTGTATCTTCGTTTCGATGTCTACCCGAGTGTACTTGTTTTTAGGTCGCTTATGCTCCTGTCGTGTTATGCCTACCGACAGTGGCGCCATCTCGCGCTTGACGGTAAAATAGGCGTGTTTAGGCCGCAAGTAATAATCGCAGATGGCCCAACTAGTCACTGGCCAGCAGTCGTTTATCTGCCAGACGAGCGCGCCGGCACAGTACTCACGCCCGGGCCCCTTCCATTGCCGCTTCCAGAGACGGTATGCTGATGCTAGACATTCAGCTTGCATCAACTGTGTGCAGTACACAAACTGCTCTAGAGGATCCGGCGCATAGCGCATATTCTCGACTAGGTATAGCGCGATGCGCCGTTCGTGACCCTCCGCTTTATTATGAAAGTCTATCGTCGACGATTGAGGGTATCGGTCCGGGTCATCTTTGCCAAGCGGTAAGAATGCGTCAATAGTCTTAACCGACGGGAAGGCCTCCATGCCGAATTCCGAAACAAAACGGCCAACCAGCTTATCAAAGTTCTGGTACTTCTCCTGAGTGCCATGCCACACATTCCATTGGTGGATATCCCCCACGGTTGGATCTCGTGTGTCGACTCCTCCCCAGGGACTTCCGGGGTGGTAGTAGATCGACGGGCACAACTTTTCGCAGGCGTCGGGCAGAACCTTCTCGTAGATGTAGCGCGCCGGAAAATCTGTTTTTAGCCAACTCTCGGCGTCTTGGTTACTCTGATCCCAGGTAAGATTGACGCTCTCAGCATATTGATAATCTTCATTGTTGCCCGCGAAGATCACGATGCTCGGGTGATGCCTTAACAACTTGATATTCTCCTCTGCCTCACGCTTAATCGAGTCCAAGAGTTCCGGCCAGGCAGGATAGTTGCCGCAGCCAAACATGAAGTCTTGCCATACCATGACACCCAGTTCGTCGCAAGCATCGTAAAAGGCCTGCTCTTCGTAAATACCTCCTCCCCACACCCGAATCATGAATTGGTTACCATCTGCTACCAACTTGACCCAATCATGATATCTCTCTTTGCTGATTCGCGGAATAAAGTTATCCGCCGGAATCCAGTCGCTACCGCCGCAAAATATGGGAATACCGTTGACCTGGAAGAAGAACGACGTCCCGGGCTCACCTTTTAGGGGTCTTTGAATAAGCTCAGCCTTTCGTAGGCCTATCTTCTTGAATATTTCGTCAATATCTTTTCCATCTTCCCCTAAGGTAGCCGTGACTGTATATAAAGGCTGCTTTCCATACCGAACCGGATACCATAACTCAGGGTCAGATATGGTGAAGGTGGCGCTCGAGCCAGAATCTACTACTTGGCTGGCAACTGAGGTACCGGCGAGTGATATTTCAACCCGAACCTTAGAGGCTTTACCTTCTGTAGACACATGAGTGGTTACAGTAGCACTTTTAAGAGACTTATCAACATCAACGTCGCACCAGAGGTCAGTAATCCGGGACTCGTAGATCTCGAGGTTGATAGGTCTCCAGGGGCCACAGGTCAGTAACGTTGGACCCCAATCCCACCCCTGTTCATATCATTAGTATTGCTTTATGTTGTCATCATCAACTTCTTGCCAGACGTACCCAGTGGTATTGTGACTTTCGCACAGCTAGCCTAGAGTTATCACCATTCCAGCAGCCCCATTTATGTTCCGGATACTTCTCAACCAACTTCCAGCCTCGCAAGTAGGCACTATCAAAGGTAATAGTTAATTCGTTATCCTCTCCATTGCTCTTCAAGACCTTGGTAACATCGACGCGTTCGGGTATGAACATGTTCTCGGTCTCGAGGATTGTTTTCCCATTGAGCACCACCGTTGCAAATGTATCTAGCCCGTCAAAGGCCAGGACCGCTTTTGTAGAGTTTCCGACTGCCGGCGACGGGAAGTTGGTCTTGTAGACCCAGACAGCTTCGCCGATCCATTGGACATCGAGCTCGTTCTTGCCGATATAAGGATCGGGGATGAGCTTATGGGCAAGTAGGTCCAGGTGAACATTGGTAGGGAATTGGCCGACGGGCAGGTACTTGCTATCCTCCTTGTCGGCCTGTTTGAACTCCCAGTTCTTGTCGATGGGGATCACGGTGCGGGGCTCCATCTTGCGAGGGTGGAGGGGAAGATGGTTACGAGAATGAGGGATAGTGGTGTGAGGAGTAGAAGAAGAAGACGAGGATATAGCTAAATTTATATTAAGATTCCTAGCCTTGCTTAAATCAACAGCTTTAGGGCAAGCTTGGCCTGGTGGTTTAGAATGCTGGGCGGGTTCCATGGGGGTAGATGGGAAGGAGTATCAATATGTGATTTAGCGAGAAGAAGTAATTAAAGAACTAGGGAGGGAGGGGAAAATGAAGGATGTGGGCAGTGGAAGGAACAAATCCGATAGGATCTCGAGGTCTGCTATTGACGATGTCTATATTACAACACGATACCAGGTCAATAGCAACCGAAGGGACGGTATAACACTTGCCGATACCGCCTTGGTAGAAGATCTCATCGTGGGTGCTGAACGTCCCTACGAGATCCAATATGTACTACGCTCACCGTTTTTATTGGTTACCTAGTTAAATGTGTGGGCGAGCTGCATCTACCACTCGTTGCCGAAACCCCAACTTGATGCAGGTACTCGCACCTATTTAGAGGGGGCGGGGAGGAGAAGTTTGTAGGTTAGGAGAAATGGTGTAACTCGGCATGATGAAAAGACTTTTGATGTGGAAGATCCGAGAATTTGACGAGACTTGAAAGTACCAGTACTTATTATGTACCTAGCAATATCAAGGATTCAATCTTGTATTGAACTTCAATGTTGAGTATAGCACACACAAGATATACATAACTTCAATGTTGAGATATCTAAGAAAAGGCCATGATTTGTTTCAAGATTGTACATATAAAGTATTAACATGTAACAGTTAAACCCACACGTGCATGCATCAGCCTTTCTCAACCCACACTAATGCTTCCATATCGCCCAAACCGCGGAGGGTACCACCCCGTAACCTTATCGGCTAACCTAGTGTACTAGCGTACCAGGGTAGCTTATCGAGAGTTGATACGACAGGCGGTTTTAAAACCTCCGATTGGAATGGCCTCCTTAACATGATGCATATCATTATCATATCATTATCACAAGTAGCTCACAAGGGATCCAAACTAGGTACCAAGACCTTACCATACGAATGATAAGAATTTATTGAAAAAGAGTAACAACAATGATACTAACGATCCTTTGGAGCAAACGACTTGCCACATTGTAACGGGTGGAAGACTCTCCGCCGAAAAAGACGGAGTCTCACCTCCCACTTACACCCCGTCCATCGGGATCGTGGGATCCCCAACTAGTCACAAAAACAAAACATCAAGAATTCCCCCAAGCGTGCAATTCTAATATCCCACCAACGCATTAGGGACAAAAAGAAAATCTCTCGCATTCATTACTCTATCTCAAGTCTTCTGGACTCTTTCTGGGGTACATATTGTCTCGCCACCAACGCCGGGAAAAATGACAGTAAACGAACGCTCTTGCAAAGTACCTAAGGTTAGGCACCTGTACCCATGTAGGTATCGAACTGCAGTACCTAGTAGTCAGACCAATCCCTTCCAGCCCATATTCGTTTCGCTGTAGTCGCTGCTCATCAATATTTCTTTCTTCGCCTCGTTCCCATCTCAACAGCAGGTACTCCTGCCGCGTCCACGGTTTAGTGTGAAGACCTCTTCCCATTCGCGCATGCCCCAATTCTGTGTCCGACTCTTTCCTTTATGCCTCCTTCTTATACCTCCAAGTCCGACCTCATCCGCCGTCATGGAGCTCTTAATACTGCCGCCATCACTAGCCCCAGCGTTCCACATACCTCCGTCGCCGTACTGAATCCCGCTCATCGGATCATCCGGATCAATCTCACCGAGCTCGATCTTGGTCAGGATCATCCGTGCTAGGCGTCCAAAGATCTCATCCACGCCCTCTCCTGAGAAGGCGGATACTTCTACCGTGACCGGCACGTTGACGCTACTTGCCCATCGAGATGCCTCTGTGTTCGATACTTCTCGCCCTTCCGGCGCAACTGTTGCCTTTAACTGGGTACCGAAGCCAGCGCCGGATGCGCTTGTTGTACCTGCAGACGTGCTATAAGGGGCTGAAAGCGTGCTTGATGGTGTCGGGGGCGGGAGACTTGTATCGACGAGGGTGTCATTCGCAAGATCGAGCTTGTTCCCCACCAGAATCATTGTTAAGTTGGGAGAGGCGAGAGCCCGGGCATCGTTGAGGAATGGTTGTAAAGCTCGAAACGAGTTATGCGACGTGATATCGTAACATAAAATAGCGCCAGCAGCGCCGCGGTAGTATGATCGCGAGACGGAGCGGAATCGTTCGGTACCTGCCGTATCCCATAGCTTGCATTCAGGTCAGCCTACACTGTCGGGCTTCATATTACAAGCATGAAGAATACCTGTAGCTTTATCCGTTTTCGACGAGCGCCCGTTCCAATCTTGATAATCTTGCTGGCGAACTCGACCCCAATGGTTTGCGAAGATAAGACTCGCCATTCGCTCTTGACGAAGCGGTGCAGAAGACATGACCTATCGGAATCGCACCGTGGTTAGCCGGCTATTCATAGCCTATCAAAAACCCATAGCTGTATCCGAGGCCCATCTCTGAACGCTTAATCTTTCTTGTGACGTCTGCGACATTTTGTTTGTAATACCCTCCACCAACTACAACTATAAGGAATTGCCCGCACTCACTTTCCGGTTCCGCTCGGCCCTAGTAGAATGATCTTTGCGAGGTAATCGTACATGCTCCCGAGCTCCTGGTAACGTATCAGCTTCGCACACATTTTTATTTTTTACGCTTTATCAATCGTCCGAGGGGTTCTTATCGCATACCTGGTCGCCCGCAGTGCCAGAGCTCTCCTCACTGGCGGCGGAGGACCGTCGCGGACGCGTCATCTTGGCCGACGTCTTTTGTAAGAATTATCGATTAAACCGTAGGTAAGTAAACCCTCGAACTAAACTTCCAAAATAGACAGAAATGAAAATCAAAAAGAACTGTGATTCATCAACAAGAAACCAACAAGACGAGACGAGAGAGAGACAGAGAAAAGTTATCCCAAAAAATGGTTGTTCTGGAATAAAGTTTGAAGTTGAAGAATGGGATGAAAGTTCTAGATTAGGTTCGCCTTACTGTATCATGTGTTATCAACAGGGACAGGGCTTAAAATAGGCGATACCATACCTGAAATGTATGCGATACTGCGTAGTTTCAGCAATCCTTATCAGTACCGTGATCAACCTGGTGACGAAACGGTTAGTAAGAAGCGTAGGGAGGAACCACCTAAGGTGTGATACCTTGGTAGGACTTACCTTACAGGGATAGGCCCGCTATCTGATCTGGTTGTGATGATGCACGATGTTAGTCAGCTTTATTGGATGGATCTACATACATACATTGTGTACCCAGGTACCTAAATAGGTACCTAGTACCTAGTACTGTGCCGAGGCTCATACATCATATATCACGGGCTTCCAGTTCCGGACTTCCTTCATTCTCAACTCCCTCGCGATAAATCAGCTCGATAGCTCTTCAGCTTACGGCCTGTGACAATCAATCATGTACATATAGTTAATTCCTATTAAAGGCCTACGTAAATTCTAATTCTAATTGCCACCATTTCTTGCAATTTCTATATACTATTGCCGTCGTATCATCCACCCAGTTAAACCAACATGAAGATCGCAGGCAGAACCTTCGTAGTATCAGGCGGGTAAGCACACACATAGGCCACAAACCGCCCTCTCAAGCCACCCTTACTCTCCCTCGAAACCCCCAGCCCCAGCTAACCCCCTAAACAGCGCATCCGGACTAGGCCAAGCATGCGTAGAAGAAATCTGCCGTAACGGCGGCAACGCCGCAGTCTTCGACCTAAACGAGGAGAAGGGCGCCGCGGTAATCGCCAAGCTCCCGAGCGGGGCGGGCAAATTCTTCGTCTGCGACGTCGTCGAGACGGACAGCATCGCGGCAGCCGTCAAGCAGACGATGGAGTGGGTGCAGGAGACGGGCAAACCGCTGGGCGGTGTCATTCCCGCGGCTGGCGTGGGGAATCCCACGACGGTAAGGGGGTTCTATTGCCAAACTAGCAAAAAGAGGGAGAAAGGAAAAAAAAAAAAAAGAAGAAACTAACAAGCCCACCAGATCCTCGACCGCAATGGCGACGCCTTCAGCATGGACACCTTCGACTTCGTCGTCAACATCAACCTGCGGGGGACCATCGACCTCGTGCGCCAGTGCCTCGTGCACCTCGCCAAGACCGAGCCCGTAGGAGCCGACCAGGAGCGAGGCGTGGTTATCATGGTAGCCTCCGTCGCCGCGTTCGACGGGCAGAAAGGCCAGATCTCGTACGCGGCTAGCAAGGGCGCAGTCGCGTCCATGACTCTCCCGATGACGAGAGACTTAGCACGCTACGGCATCCGCTGTGTGACTATCGCGCCGGGGATATTCGAGTCGGGGATGACGGCTGTGATGCCTGAGAAACTGTTTAAAGGTCTCGCGGCGGTCATGGAGTTTCCGCGACGAGCGGGGCAGCCGCAAGAATTTGCGCAATTGGTCCGGCAGGTTATCGAGAACGGCATGTTAAATGGTACCGTAATTAGATTGGATGGAGGTTTAAGGATGCCCAGCAAAATATAGGAAGAGTACAGAGTACGACAAAAGAAATTCCATACGTATTCACTCGGCAACTAGACGCACTTCCCATCATGTTACAGTTCATTTATTTACACAATCATTACCCGGATAACTCAAGGTAAAAGCCCAGATGCTATGAAGAAACAAAAGAAACAAATCAACTCTTGGATGCTATTATGATGCTCATCCAAACCCCTCTTCTTCCCAAGCACTATCCTATCCTCCATCCTTCACTCATCGCCCAAAGAAATCCTTAAAGACCTCTTGTATTATAGCAGTTGGGCTAGTTAACAGCTTGGTACCTAGGAAGCCACTCATTTTGCTTCAGAGTTGCGGCGGCGAAGTGGAGAGCGATCTCGCTTGAAGCCACGGAATGGTACAGGGGATCGCTCTCGGCTGCGGTCACTATCAATCAATAAGCTTTATGCTCTCGCTATCATGAGGTAAGGACACTTACTGGGCAGAGCGATGAGATGAGAGGTTATGTAGCTGGCTGCCGAAGGCCAAGCCCTGCAAGTAGGCCTGAGATGCCAAGGGGTCTGCCATTATCGCCTCGCTAGGGCCGTTCAAGTTACCATACAAAGACTTGGCATGTCTCATAAGAGAACGCTGGTCATTGTAGCGAGAACGTTCATCGTCGTATTGAGAACGTTTGTCGTCTTGCTGGGGACGCTCCGCCTCGACATAATGACGGCGGGTGGGCGGATTGTAGGTCTGAGGTTCCGGCACAGAGCGGGGCGTCCAATAGGCCTTTTCTGGAGCCTGGGGGGCACGTCCACGATCTCCCGACTCGATCAGGAGTGGAGTAGCCATAGGCGGTTGGCTAGGGAATTCCGGAGAGGTATGGGCAGGATGACCAGAATAATACTCGCGATGGTCATCACGGCGGCTATCGCGATAGCCATATGATGGTGATGAGGCGCGCTGGCCATAACGGTCCAAAGACTTGTGACGATAAGAATTGGCCCTCTTAATTGAGGCAGGACTAGGTACATCAGCATGTGGACGACGGCTGCGAGTGCGACCTGGACCAGTCTTTGCACCAAACTCGGCAGGCTTGTTAGTACGACGCATGTTGCGTACTATTGGAAGGGCTATACTAGCTACTGCCTGCTTGGCAGCCTCTGCAGTCGAGTATTCAAGACGATCACGAATAATTCTGCCATGGAGGTTGACAGTGCACTTGAAAGTTCCTTCATAGGTGGTCCAGATCTGAAACTTTGGATTGAAACCACGCTCTTGGCATGCTCGAGACAACTTTTCTAACACTTTTTCACTATCATGGTGCTTAGTCTCGCGATGCTTAGTGGTGTAGTCAGGCTGATATTTGGCATATCCCGTGTCTTTGTTGCCTTTCTGGTCTTCGGCAGGAACGCTGGTAGCGTCAGTCCTTCCCTTGGTGTTAACAAGCCCTTCAGTGCCACCAGGTCCTTGGCGGTCAACAGACTTCGCGGGCAAGCTTGGCGGGGCATTCGAAGACATAGCTAAAGAGAAATTGTCAGCATAAGAATTCTCAACGGAGAGGAGAATTCTCACAGTAGTGGCTCTTGCCGGTGGGCTTGGTCTGCAAACGTGAGCCGTCAATAAGTACAGATCGCCCTCCCTCTGTAGCGCTGTCAAATTGGCCCATTTCCGTCATCGGGCGGGAGAAGATAAGACCTGGTCCTGGAATTACATGATGGTGATCTAGAACCGAACCATCATGATCTTCTCTGGCAAAGCCATTGCGTGGCTTGGCGATGGAACTGGATGCCATCTGTGCCTGTGTCGTTACGACCGGAGGAAGGTCGGGGGCAGTGGGAGGCGGAAGGTTGACTAGATCTCCTACAAATAAGACCACAAGTTAGATATTAGTTTGCGAGAAGGGATAAGTCTAAAGCTCGCAAAAATGACATGGAAACAAATCAAATCGGCAGTCAACCTTGCACAGGACAGTCTTACCTTTTCCTGCAGGCTCTTTGTTTTGAGCGGCGGCGCTCGGCGATGCCATGGTTTCTGAAGAAGTCGCGAGACGGGCAGAAATTGAAAGGAAAGATGGTGAAGTGTAAATAGGAAACGATTAAAAAGAAGAGTTTAACTGAAGACAGGAAAACTCTCAAGGAAATATTACGTTCAAATGATGGTGATGTCGTCGTAATATATTTAGTTGTGAGTGATTGAATGTCTGGTGCCGGATTTTTTTAAATGAAATGTGTAGAATCAAGAGGCGTGAAAAAGAAGAAATGAAAAACAATTGCGATTAAAGAATTAGAATACCTATCAATCAAGTGCCCTAGGGAGGTAGGTAAGTAGGTAGGTAGGTAGGTAGGTAGGTGCTTCCTCAGGAATCAACTATTGCTGCAGGTATGGAGGTATCCATCTATCCTCGTGCCTACCTAAAGTGACTGAGCTCTTGTGCTTTCCGCCTGATCAACCAGGTTCACATCCTCTCACCCCTCTTAACCTTCTCACCCTTTTTACCCTTTTCGCCTTTCTAAGGTTATCATCCTTCTCATCAGCCTCCCCCCTCTTTTTCTTACTTGTCTCCAAGCAGCTCATCAATATCCAGTATCACTAAAGATAGTCGCCATAGCCTCCCCCTTTTGCCATCGTAGTATGTTCTCAACTTGCTTTGCGTACATGTTAACAATGTTGTCTTCTTGGACATATCCTGTATGCGGTGTCAACACGACCTGACTTCTGCCGTCCTCCCCCCATCTTGTAGTCCTCCACTCACTGCTTGTCGGCAATGGCTCGATCTCATACACATCTAATCCCACGCCACGTATTGACCCTTTTTTAGCTACTTCGAGTAGGTCATTCTCCACCACAATTGGCCCTCGAGCAGTGTTCACAAATAGAGCCGACTTTTTCAATTTCCCTAAATCGTTCGCCGTGATCAATCCCCTCGATCGGTCTGACAGCACAAGCTGAACACTCACAACGTCTGCAGAGGCGAACAGTTCATCTCGGCTGACGACCTTGAAAGTCTTCACTCCATTCTCGTCCTCGATAGGCAAGCCAGCCGCTTTGGCTTTCTCGTCGGCTGCTTCCTGGGTAAGGTTTGTACTCCAAGCCACCACCTTCATTCCAAAGGCTAGGTTCATGATCCTAGAGACCGTAACACCCAATCTGCCAAGCCCTACTGTGCCAAATACTTTCCCTGCCAGTCCTGTAGCGAAGTTAGGTTGCCAACCTCCTGTCTTCATGGAGGCGTCATCTTGTGGAATATTCCTCGCAAGGGCAAGTATCAGAGCAACGCAGTGCTGTGTAGTACTATCTGGATTCTTCTTCTCTCCGGTAGTGCCAGCTACTGGTATGTTGCGAGCCAAACATGCCTTTACATCAATAGATGCGTTACGTTCTCCAGTTGTGAGGAGAAGCTTTAAATTAGGAAGGCGATTGACTAGTTCGGCGGGGAACGGCGTACGCTCTCTCATGGAAGCTGAAGCTATTAGTCAATTTTCGTGGTTTTCATGAAACGAACTTACAAATAATATCGAATGACTCAAGGCGCTTTACTAAGGCATCCTTTGCTTCCTGGGGTGTGTTTGGGTGGTTGTAAGGAAGTAGTGTATCGGTGAAAACGGTGACGGTGAACCCGGAAGGCCGCAGTTTGTCAAAGAGACTGACAGAAAGCTTTTGGTAGTCATCCAGCACGGCAATTTTGAGCTGAGACATGGTACAGAGTTAAAGGCGTGATTTTTACAATGAATTTTGATCGTTTTCTTTTCCAATTGCAGAATAAACTGTAAGTAAGAATTGCCGTTTGTATTATGAGAAGAGTTAAAGACACCGAAGACGTCCGCGAGCGGAGAAAGATGACGCCTTCTCACCAATGTGCAATCTCCACTTTACGCCGTGCACTACTCTCGGCACTTCCCCGATAGTACCCGATTATTGCTTCCATACCCGGTCTTTTGAGTATTTTCCCGGATGTGGTGAATCGCAAGTAAATGCTGAATTGGTAGTGTACGATTAAGAATGAGCGAGGGCGATTCTCTTGATGATTTTCTATAAAGTACTAGTAATAGGGTAGGGAAAAGGGGGAAGCAAAGAATTCCTAGTCTACCCCTAACACATTACAGAAAATCCGATAAATAGGCGCCTCAATTCAACTCCTCCCAAATCACCGCAAAACCGTAACCGTATGCACATACTTGACCGCCCCCCCCTCAACCCTCACCTCATGCGAATCCGGCATGTCCCCCAGCGCATCAAACGAGCACAGCACGTCCACCGACCCGACCGTCTCGTCAATCACGTACCTGCGATTCCCATTCCTCTTCTGGCTTCCCCCCCGCGGCAGCGTCGCCCCGCACGGCCTCGTCAGTGCCGACCCCTCCACCCGCTCGCAGTCCGTGCCCCATGGTATCGAGTCCGCCGCCGACGCGTCCGTCCACATGTCGAGGTACGCGTCGCCGATCCGCTTGAGCTCGTCGCGGCTCGCGCGCGAGTCGGGGGGGACGGGCCCCCAGTTCTCTTGAGAGATGTAGCTGAGGGTTTTTGAGGCGTCGAAGAAGAGGGAGCCGGCTGTGGCGGCGATGGTGTCGATGAGCGCGATGCTGCTGCTGCTGTCGTCGTCGGCTGGGTGCCGCATCTGCGTCGAGATCACGTACGGCTTCGCCCCCGACGCGGAGATCAGCATCGTGTAGCTCGCGCACGCCGTCGTGTCGGCCGTTGAGCGGTTCAGGTCGATGGTCAGTGGCTGGCTTAGCACGCCGGAGGCGATGTCGACCACTTTGTTGTTCTCCTGGTACGTGAAGTTCGTACCCGAGAGGTTGAGGCCGGAGGTGCTGCCGGATGTCTGCGCGGCGATGTAACTGTTGGCTGCGGCGAGTAGGCCCTCACGTGTGCACGCTGCGCTGGCGGTTGGGGTGAAGTGGGTGGACAGGAGGGCGGCGGCCGTTGGTAGGAGGTGGAGTAGTCGAGGCATGATTGGTGGCTGGTTTAGTTTTAGTAGGACCAGGTATAACGGAAATAATATTTAGTGTAGACTGGCAACACTTGTTCCCCTGAAGTAAGTTGAGTTAACGTAACAAGTCCAGATTATGGTGGGCTGGCCCCTATAAATATAGCCAAGCCTTAATGGGGAAGAAGTTTGGGAGGTATCCTTATAGAAGAGTACCCTTGGTAGGTCTGCCGTTTTTTAATGCGGAGGTTGTGCTTCATGCTATATTGACTACCCCTCTGCGCCGAATATATATAAAATGCTATGCTGGCAGGTAGGTAGGTCGAGTGGGTATGTTAGAGGCATCGAGTCCACGAGCTACCTTAGTACCTACCTGAGTCTTCCAGGACGTTGGTACTTATACTCACCGAGGATATCTTAATACCGACGAGTCCTCGGTCAGGGCTTTTATATAATGAATCAACTGTACGAACTGAAATAGGGCAGGTTTAACACATCTAGATTTATAGCAAGATAATTCTTCATGCTGATATAGGTAGGTGAACTGTATTATCTAGGTAGCCCGGTAAGTCGATACTTTAGGCTAGATGGCATATGCGTGATCGGGACGATTGGAGAGGTGCAACTGTACCTGCAGGTAGGTGAAGCTCGTCGATGCTGTGGCTAGTTGCTCATCTTCACATATAGGTCAAGTATACAATCACCTGAGCGGATAATGGCCCAGAGGAAGAAGCGCTTGGTTTACGAAGTGTCACTTCATCTGATGAAGTGCATCAATACTTCCCTAGAGTACCTGCCTGCCTAGGAACTCTTCTTGTTGATACATGCCCAGGTGTACCATAAATATATTCAACTTACAACCAAATGTTGCAAGTCGGCCTACATAGATCCCACGCGACCTGCCAGCCGGCTAAATGCTACGGGGTCTGGGCTATGTAGCTCACCATAGTAGATCATCATATCTACCCAGAGATTCAGCCGATCTCATGTAAGTAGGGTAGGTTGGATAATATCATCCAGCGCAAAGGTAGGCATGTACTTACCTTGAACCTCAAGGTATAGACGATAGATGGCGTGGTGTCGGTAGGGCGGGTAATTCCGATCTAGACAAAGGCAGATACCTACCTAGACAACCCTCACTTGGCCCAGCTACACGCGCGAGAATTAGGCATGGCTCATCCGACAGGCTATTTACCTACTAAGTGACCTCACTACTCCTCATCACCACAGTATGCTTGGCTGACTCCTTAAGCTTGGAAAGGGGTTAGGTTGGCTAGGTATTGGAATAAGCCGTGCGGTATAATAATTTTCATTTTCCTCCTCCTCCTTTTTATTCTTCTAAGTAACATACTCTGTTCCTCACCATTGCTCAACATCCCCCTTCTCGGCCCGTGGAATAGATCCTGTGAAGATGAAGGGCCTCACGAGATCAGCAGTAACATGCCTCTCGCTCCTGTGCGGGCAGGCGATGGCGCGGATGGCCTTTCCCGACTGTGTTAACGGCCCGGAGGTTTTGACGACGAATCTTGTGTGCGATACATCTGCTAGTCCAGCGGATAGGGCAGCTGCGCTTATAAGTGCTTGGAACATTACTGAGAAACTTGGGAATTTGGTCGAGTGAGCTTTCTCTACCCTTACCCTCCTCCCCCCCCCTTTTTTTTTTCCTCTCGGAATTTGGCCACCATCCAGTCGACACAAACAGCTAACACACCCCCAGCAAGAGCCTCGGCGCCCCCCGTCTCGGCCTAGGCGCCTACGACTGGTGGAACGAAGCCCTCCACGGCGTCGGCTTCTCCGTCGGCGTCGCCTTCTCCCCCTCCGGCGAGTTCTCCCACGCCACCTCCTTCGCGAGCCCAATACTTCTCTCCGCCGCCTTCGACGACACCCTCGTCCACGCCGTCGCAGACACCATCAGCACCGAGGCGCGCGCGTACGGCAACGCCGGCAACGCGGGGCTCGACTACTGGACGCCGAACATCAACCCGTACAAAGACCCGCGCTGGGGGCGCGGGTCCGAGACGCCCGGCGAGGACCCGTTCCGCATCAAGGGGTACGTGAGGGCGCTGATCGACGGGCTGCAGGGGAAGGAGGGGGTGGCGAAGGTGATCGCGACGTGCAAGCACTACGCGGCGTACGACCTCGAGGACTGGGGCGGCGTGAGGCGCTACGAGTTCGACGCCATGGTCGGCATGCAGGACCTGGTGGAGTACTACCTCCCCCCCTTCCAGCAGTGCGCGCGCGACTCCAAGGTCAAGTCGATCATGTGCTCGTACAACGCCGTCAACGGCACGCCGGCGTGCGCGTCGACGTATCTGATGGGGACCGTGCTGCGAGACTTCTGGGGGTGGAGCGACGAGAACCAGTACGTCACCAGCGACTGCAACGCGATTCTCAACTTCCACGAGGACCACAACTACACCGCCACCGCGGCGCAGTCGGCGGCGGTGTCTTTGAGGGCCGGCACGGACAGCATCTGCGAGGTCGGCAGCAACACCGACGTTATCGGCGCGTGGGATCAAGCGTTGGTCGAAGAGGAAGTCATCGACCAGGCGCTGCGCCGCATGTACGAGGGCCTCATCCGCGCAGGCTACTTCGACCCCGCGGACTCGATCCCCTACAGGTCGCTCTCCTGGAAAGACGTGAACACACCCGCAGCGCAAGCGCTAGCCGTGAGATCGGCGGCCGAGGGGATCGTGCTCAAGAAGAACGACGGGCTCCTGCCTCTGAAGGTGGACAATGCGACATCGACATTGATCGCGCTGATCGGCTTCTGGGCCGACGGCTCGAACTACGCCATGCTCGGCGGGTACGCCGGGATCCCGCCGTACCTCCAAGGTCCGCTGCAGGCGGCGCGGAAACTCGGGTTTAAGACTGTGAATGCGACGGGGCCCGTGGGACAGGATGCGGCGGCGGCGGACACCTGGACAGAGGCGGCGCTGGAGGCTGCGAATAACTCCGACGTTATCATTTATTTTGGCGGAAACGACATGAGCATCGAGGCCGAAGAGCGCGACAGAGTCTCGATTGCGTGGCCCGGCGCGCAGCTGGTGCTGATCAAGAAGCTGAGCGCGCTGGGCAAGCCGTTCGTTGTGGTGGAGCTGGGGGATCAGAACGATGATACGCCGCTGTTAACGGACGATAATGTATCTGCTATCCTATGGGCGGGATTCCCTGGCCAGGATGGGGGCACCGCTGTCTTTGATATATTGACTGGCACGACCGCGCCCGCTGGCCGCCTCCCTACTACGGTGTATCCTGCCGAGTACGTAGACCAAGTGCCGATGACGGACATGAGTCTGCGACCGAGCGAGAGCAACCCCGGGAGGACGTACAAGTGGTACGACAAGGGCGTGCAGCCGTTCGGGTTCGGCCTCCACTACACCACGTTCAAGTCCTCGTTCACGTCTAATGCGTTTGGGGGCGTGGTATATCCCATCGAGCAGCTGTTCATCACCTGCATCGAAAAGTACCTCGACCTCTGCCCCTTTGAGCGAGTCGAGATATCAGTGAAGAACACGGGCAACCTCACTTCGGACTTTGTCGCGCTGGCCTTCTTCTCCGGCGAATACGGGCCGACGCCTCGTCCGCTCAAGGAGCTGGCTGCGTACACCCGCGTAAAGGGGGTGGAGCCAGGAGAGGAAAAGAAGACGTGGTTGAGCTTGAAGGTGGGTGACTTGGCCCGGGTAGATGAGAACGGGAACACTGTGCTGTACCCGGGAACGTACAACCTGTCGCTCGACGTGCCTACACAGGAAACGATTAGTTTTCAGTTGATTGGGGATGCCAAGGTGCTGATAGAGTTCCCACAGCCCCCGGCAGACTTGGGAGAAGGGAATGGACACGAGGAGTTGTCAGGCTGATGAGTATTGGTGATTGGATTTCGGAAATGTATTTCAAAGCAGGGAAGTAAACTACCTTAGAATAGCTTCTCACTCAATATGTATCTATCCATGCTCAGATGACGATGATCACGGGTTTAGGGGTTTATGATCTTTTTTTTGCTTCCTTGAAATTAGTAGTAACTGCAATAGTGTGTGTCATGCACGGCTCCGGACATAAAGTATGGTCTCGGCGGAGACGTGCGCGCGTGCATGGCCACTATCACCGAAGCTATCTAGGTCAGCATGCTGGCGCCATGTATTTGTGGATGTATTCGTGGTGTTTTGATATATATATGAAGAAGATGATCGCAATTATATTCGTGAAAAAAATAATAAAAACATACTCTTCAGACTCAAGACTACCTACCTATTTATCCAAATCAGACAAGAAACTTTTTTTTTAAAAAAAAAAATCAAGAGAAAAAGATGTCGTCTCCTTACAACGCCAAGACAACCGCCAGTGAAGTCGTGAAAGACCTCGCGGCCGAAATCAAAGGAAAGGTCATTTTGACCACTGGGGTATCTCCTGATACTCTCGGTGCTTACTTCGTCACGACCATCGCTCAAGCTGAGCCTAGCATGTTGATACTGGCCGGTCGGAGCCCTGCGAAAGTGCAAAAGACAGCCGACGCCATTACCTCCGCGCACCCAAACGTCAAGGTGCGCGTCCTCCAGCTCGATCTGGGGTCTTTTTCTGCCGTCCGGGAGGCCGCCGCCACCGTGAATGGATGGGATGACGTCCCGCACATTGACGTGCTGGTGAACAACGCCGGCATCATGGCGGTGGACTATGGCCTGACCCCTGACGGCTTCGAGAGACAGTTCGGGACGAACCATCTCGGGCATTTCCTCTTCACCAACTTGGTCATGGGCAAAATCTTGAAGTCGAAGTCTCCGAGAGTGATCAGTGTTAGCAGCGAGGGCCATCGGCTGAGCCAGATTCGCTGGGCCGACTACAACTTTAGCGTCTGTAACCCCCTTTCCCCAACACCAACCATTCCCATGGCCCCCAGACGCGTTTGCTGATTAGAAAAATAGAACGGCGAGACTTACGATAAATGGCGGGCATATGGCCAGTCCAAGACTGCGAACATGTTGATGATACTTTCCATTGCGCAGAAACTGGGACCTCGGGTCCAGGCGTACAGCCTGCATCCCGGAGTCATCTCCACGCACCTCAATGATCACATTGACTTCGAGGCTGACGTACTAAGCCTTCGTATGCTAAACATAACCTCCCACAGCATGCATTGATGCTCGCGCTAATCATTGTCGCAGGAAACACGGACAGACAGGAAGGCAACAAAGAAGGCTGGTACGATAGTTACATTTTCAAGACGATGGAGGAGGGGACGTCCACTCATGTGTACGCGGCGTTTAGCCCACAGCTTAAAGGTAAGTAAGCAAATCATGCTCGTTGCGATGCGCGTACCCGCTGCCTACCTACCTACCTACCTATTGAACATGTTCGTTCGTTCGTCTGAAAAGGAAAAAGAAAAAAGAACAATCCAATTAATTTGATTCCGCTGCATTGTCAGACCACAACGGAGCCTACTTCGAAGATACCGGTCTCGCCAATCCCTGGGTGCACACGGTTCGGCCGTGGGCGACGAGCGCAATCGAGGCAGAGCGGTTGTGGAAGTTGAGCGAGCAACTTGTCGGTCAAGAGTTCAACTATGCATCGGAGTGAAAAAGAAAATTTGCTTCTGCAGTTCGGAACGAATTTGTGGTTCCTACTAGAGGGCTTCGGTCTGAATTTCTTGGGGGCTGCACCGGAAGATGGTGGCTAGAGGGGATAAGGAGGCCAGAGGGGGGATAGGGGGCGCCGGATATTGGGGGCTATGGGGAAAGGTGGAAGGCTGAGGTCCGGAGATGGAGGATAAAATACTACACACAGAAACATATTTAGAATAGCATAACTGTGTTGTTTACCTCTTTTCTGATTATGTCACATGTAGATGGCCAGCCTACCTGCCATGTTGTGCATACACGAAGTATGCAAGCTTCAATCTTCATGCACCGCCAGTTACCGTGTCGGCATACATATCTTTGAGCTACCTACCAAGTGCTTACATATACCAAGAGTCAGTTAATGGCTAACACATGATTGCATAGTAGTTTATAACTGGCATCAACTATTATTTGCCTATGTTAGTAGATGACCTTCAGGTCAACAACACAGGCCGCGGACAGACAATCATGACAACCACCATGAATAACCCCAATAACCCCAACAATTACCACAGTAAATCTCACGTAACTACCTTATTTTTCTTTTCGATCTTCTATGAAATACACAGCCCTTTCAAAACCTGATATCTGACCTTTTGGTGGGGGTTCAGCCTCCACTATTGCTCTGGATCAATTATTGAATCCTGTAGTTCTCAGCTGGACGTTCACATGCCATCCTGCTGTAAAGTGTAAAAACTCCACTAACTTTAGGGGCTATACTAGACTGTGAGGCCTATTACACCGTTTACACGTGTGCTAGATGTACTAACAACATTGAACTAACCGCCAGAGATATACATATCACCAACATCTTGTTAACCCGTGCCTCATAGTGATTAGTTATTTACATTTTGCTCTCTTTCTATGACAACTAATAAGTCCTCTAACTTCTAACTTCTAACTTTGCTATCTTCCAACTCATGCCACCTTCTTCTCGCCCAACACAACTAGCACAACGTTTGCCGTGATTGTTTTCAGTCATCCATCATTTGAGGCGTTAGTTATGGCTGGGCGCCTCGCCGTGACGGATGATTTGTTCTAGGCCGCGGCCCTGCTGACTGAGGCTCCTCCGCAAACGTTTGCAAAGTGCAACAACCAGCCTACCTGAAAAAGAAACTCTCCGAAAATGTCGAAAAGCTGCCTAGGTAACCCAAACGTTGATAGTAGTGGGAGGCCTTGCCGCGAAGGCATCCATCATGTCTGGTTAGATGAAGGGAGATAAAAATAAGAGGCATATGGATGTCCTGGAATATAAAATATCGGTCGTTCCCTCGCCAATCTACTTCGGATTGAGTCAAGCAAGACATTGTGACAGCAAGCCTAAGAACACATCCAAGAGAGATCCAAGATAGCAAGCACATCATCGTTTATCCTCTCATAGTTCATAAAATAAATTCTTTTACATAACTTACCTATTCTCTCTAAGATATTTGAGCTTAGCACCAGCGTTGAAACTATCATACTCTACTACCCACCTAGTTAGTACTCACCTTTATATGTTGATTAACATAGAATATCCCTTGGCTTACATGTAAACAAGATATAAAACCCTCAACACACACACAAAACATCAACATGGACATCACTCTGCGCTCCGACTACTATACCGACCTCTACGATACTAGCTATCATTACGCTCCCTACTACGACTACAGCTACGGACACGACCTTACCTGCAACTATGTCCGTAACTACAGTCACGACTACGCATGCGAGACAAGAACCCACATAAACATCCACCGCGGTTCGCGCCGCTACCACAGCTACCGTCGCCGCCGAGTTTCACCGGATATCCATATCGAGGTTACCTATTGATGGAAGCTTACTTACCTGTCTACCTGCCTGCCTGTACCTATTGAGCTTTGCTTACCTACCGGTATACATATGGAGCTTCATTAATACATGTAAAAGAAGCTTGGGTCATATCATAAAACTAGCATGTATCTCTTTTTCATATTTACCCTTTTCATATTTACTTTCTTTCTTTTACTTCTCCTTTGTATTTTTCTTTATTTATGTATTGCTAGGTTTATTACTACAGATCGATATATGGCGGGATAGCGGGCGGATCTGGAAAATTTGACACCATTGCCTACCTAGAATTTCGATGCAAAAAAAAGAACGATGAGATGGATAGACGTCGCTCCCGTGAGTTCCGGGCTCGCGGACCTGTTGCGGACTCCGAAAACGTGGGTTACCAGGTAGTTAGCCTACCTACCGTTTATAGTGCAAATAAAATCTACTGGATGTCTACTGGCCACCTGCATATAACTAAGTGGCATGATGTAATTCAACTCTCTAAGATAGGGGGTTCATGTTCATAACCTCGCGTAACCGGTAAGCTCTCACTGCAATTTCCAGCCCCCAATTGAACAAGTCTACGCGTCTTACCATAAGGTACGGGGCTGAGCAGCTATCGCACTCGCTTAACACAATGCGGCGACTGACATCTCCCTCTCTCCTTTAACTATGGGTACATATAATACATGTAGGTACCCGATTTGGTAACTATACGATGACGGCACAAGCATCTCGCAACCATTACTACTTCTGTCTGTCATCTGGGGTTCAAGCCCCCTCCTTCGAACTATCTACTGGCCTCTAATCACCTGGGTACAAAGTTATCAATAATGGGTAAACCATCATGTCGCTTCCCAGGCATAAATAGGTGGGTAAGCAGGTAGCTATTAAGGATGTGAGTGCGGAATGCGAATGCGGAATTCGAAAAAGAATGAGTGCATCCGGTACCATGGTGTCGATTAATTCGTTTCCCCCTCATCTCGCTTGGGAGAATCGTATCCTTGAGCAGCTGGACTCTCACCAGCACGGCCTCTCGCCTCGTGTATCGTAGGACTCTGGCTACCTAATGCTGCATGTATTATAAGAATGATGATATTCCCAACCCGTGGTGAAAATGGTGCAGTCCGTCTATTTACCTACGTAGGTACCTTGCTGGTATATAGACATCTAGACATCCAAAATAAACGCGCTTCACCGCGACAGCAGCGGTGAGCAACCAAACAACCATGTATCTCCCCTTCCTAGCCACCACCCTAGCCATCCTCCCAGCCGGGGCCCTCAACGTAATCGACCTCTCCTCAACCCCTTGGGCCCTCTCCAACACCGACCGGAATATCTCCGTGCCCGGCAACGTGCCCTCGTCCGTGCACCTGGACCTCTTCGCCGCGCAGGTGATACCCGACCCGTACCACGGCCTCAACGAGATCGACCTGCGCTGGGTCCCACTCTCGCGCTGGAACTACACCGCGCAACTCCCCACCACCATATCCACATCCGCGGACGAAGGTCTCAAAACCTACCTGCTCTTCAACGGCCTCGACACCTTCGCCGACGTGCGCCTGTGCGCGCAGCTCGTGGCCAGCACGGATAACCAGTTCCGGCAGTACTTCTTCGACGTCACTGACATCCTCCAGTCCCCCGCTTGCCAGCAACAGCAACAGCAATCCGGCTCTGCGGAGCTGCAGATCGAATTCGCCAGCGCCCCCACCGTCGCCGAGGCGATCCAGAACCAGCCGGGGCAGGAAACATGGCCGCCGTACGTGGGGACCGTGATGGAGTTCAGCGGGCGCCAGTTCATCCGCAAGGCGCACTCGGACTTTGGGTGGGACTGGGGCCCGGCCTTTTCTCCGGTTGGGATATGGCAGAAGGCGTGGGTCGTGCAGCTCGCCGAGGAGGAGGAGGAGGTGTACGTCCGCAACTCGGTGTTCGACCTGTACCGCGAGGGGCAGCTGAATAATCTGCCGCCCGATCAAGGGGCCCACTGGGTGCTGAATGCGAGTGTGGATGTGATTGGGGTTATGCCGGAGGGTGCGACGATGAAGTATAGGATTGTGGACGCCGCGACGCAGAGGGAGGTTAGTAGCGGAGCGTTGACGGGTATCAAGAACGACGGCGACGTGATCACCGGCTCCGTTGTCCTGTCGAAAGATGACTACGCGCTCTGGTGGCCTAACGGACTTGGCCCGCAGCCCCTTTACAACATCACCGTCGACATCGTATCGCCGTCAGGGACCACTCTATCCTCGGTAACAAAACGAACCGGATTCCGCACCATCGTCCTCAACACTAACGTCGTCACCGACGAGGAAATATCCCAGGGGGTGGCGCCAGGCAACCACTACCACTTCGAAGTAAACGGACACACCTTCTACGTCAAGGGCAGCAACTTCATCCCCCCCGACGCCTTCTGGACGCGCGTCACACCAACCAAGATCCGCCAGCTCTTCGACGCCGTCGTCGCGGGCAACCAAAACATGCTGCGGATCTGGGCGAGCGGCGTCTACGCGCCGGACTACCTGTACGACATCGCGGACGAGCTGGGGATATTGCTGTGGTCCGAGTTCCAGTTCGGCGACGCGCTGTACCCGGTCGCCCCCGATTTCCTCGAGAACGTGCGGATGGAGGCCGTGTACAACGTCCGCCGCGTGAACCACCACCCTTCCCTAGCCCTGTGGGCCGGCGGCAACGAGCTCGAGTCGCTCGAGCTGCGCATCGTGCGGTACTTCGCGCCGGGCGAGTACGCGCGCTACCTCGCCGAGTACGAGGCCCTGTTCCTCGAGACCCTCGTGCCGGCCGTCTTCGGCAACAGCCGCAGCGTCTCGTACACGCCCAGCAGCACCTCCAACGGCACCCTGTCCATCGACTTCGGCAGGCCCATCCCCATCGCCCAGCGGTACGACGACCTGGCCCCCGGCTCCGTCTACGGGAACACGGAGTACTACAACTACAGCGCGGCGCAGGCCTTCAACCTGGCCAACTACCCCGTGGGCCGCCTCATCAACGAGTTCGGCTTCCACAGCATGCCGTCGCTGGCGTCCTGGCGGCGGGTCCTGGACGACGCGGACCTGCACTTCAACAGCACGCCCATCGTCCAGCGCAACCACCACAACCCGCCCAGCGGCCTCGACCCGTCCAACACCGCGCCCTCGCTGCAGGGCATGGGCGAGATGACGCTCGCCGCCCAGGCCTTCTACCCCGTCCCCGACAAAAAGACGGCCTCGTCCTCCTCCTCCGCCGCAAACTTCTCGGCCTGGTGCCACACGACCCAGATCTTCCAGGCGGACTTCTACAAGAGCCAGATCCAGTTCTACCGCGCCGGCTCGTCCCGCCCGGAGCGCCAGCTGGGCACCCTGTACTGGCAGCTCGAGGACACGTGGCAGGCGCCGACGTGGGCGGGGATCGAGTACGAGGGGCGCTGGAAGGTGCTGCACCACGTCGCGCGGGACGTCTACGCGCCGGTCATCGTCGCGCCGCTCTGGGATGCCGCGGCGGGGACGCTGAGGGTGTATGCCGTTAGTGATTTGTGGGGGGAGGTGAAGGGGAGCATGAGTTTCGGGTGGGCGGGGTGGGATGGGGGGGTTGTGAGTTTGGGTGGTGGTGGTGGTGGTGGTGTGCAGGGAGAGGTGGAGTTCACGGTTGGGGCGGTAAACGCGACGCTGGTGGCGGAGCTGAGCATCGCGGAGTTGCGGGCGAACCCGGATTTTCGCGCCGAGGACGTGGTGTTCGTGGCGAACTTGACGGCGTCGGGGGTGCCGCCGAATGAGCAGGCGACAAGGACGTACACGCACACGAACTGGGCTACCCCGACCCCCCTATCTTCCGCAGCGCTGGTAGACCCGGGACTGAGAGTGGAATACGATAGTAGCGCGGACGAGTTTGTGGTGCGCGCCGAGACGGGGACGAGCATGTGGACGTGGGTGCATGTTCACGAGGACGACGCGGATGGTGTTCTTGTTAACTTCCACGAGAATGGGTTCTTGTTGAGAAAGGGGGAGGAGAGGCGCTTTGGATACGATAGGATTAATGGTGATGGAGGGGATGAGACGTGGAAAGAGAGGGTGGGTGTTAGTAGCATTTGGGATAATACTTTGCCGTAGATAGATAGATAGGAAGGCATTTACTGCAGAATCAAAAGTGGTTGTTTTAGCATAGGAGTAATATGCATGTGAATAGTATCGTAACACAATATATTCACCCAACAGCAAGTTCAGAAGACATCTAACTACCTACCTACCCAGGAAAATAACTCCCCCCCTCCCCCTCCCCCTCCCCCAACCGTCCCAACAACCCCTCCAACGCCCTCATCTCCTTCCCCTCCCCCCTCCCCTCCTCCAAACACGCCCTCAAATGCTCGCGCCCCTGCGCCCTCAGCTTATCCCCATGATGGAACCGATTAAACGCCTGCAAGTCCAGCGGCAGCATATGCTGCTCCCACGCCCCGAGCTCCGCCACCAACCCCTTGCCCTCCGCCGCCTTCCGCCCCGCTTCCCCGTGAACCCCCAGCCCCTGGATCTCCCTCACGGCCGGCACCACCAGCTGCGTCCACAGCCCCGCGTTCGCGCCGCAGCCGACGTCCCGGAGCTTCGGCCACCCGAGCAGCTCGCACGCCGCGAAGACGGGGAACAGGGCGTTGATCGCCACCGCACTAGCCGCCGCGGAAGCGACAATGCAGCCGGACACCCCGCTCGCGCCGTACAGCTCCGCGAAGGCCGCGGCAACCGCGGGCGCGCTATCGTCGACGGTGAAGCCGTGGCCCAGCTTGTCGGTGTACGCGAAGTCGGCCTTTGCGATCACCTCCTGATTCTCCGACGGCAGCGTCAGCCGCGACGGCGGGTAGGCGTGGATGTCGAGGTGGCCGTTGGTGACCTGGTCTCCGGCGAGGCCCGAGACGTCGAGGAACCAGGGGCGCAGGTTGAAGAAGACGCTGCCGAGGATGACCTTGGTCTTCGTCTTGCGCGCAGCCTCGCCCATTGCTTTCACGAGCGCCACGCCCGTCTCGCTTTTCAGGGAGGCGCCGTCGAGGGCGATCACGATGAAGTCGTAGCCCGGCGCCCCGGCTGTTTTGATCTCCGACGGGTCGGTGATGTATTTGTAGCCGCTGTACTCTTTGAGCTGGTTGTCTTCGTAGCAGTAGAGGATCTGCGGACGATTTAGGTCCTGCGCGCGGTGCGGGCGGACGAGGAATGTTACGTCGGCTTTGGCGAGAGTGAGGTGGTAGCCGGTGATGATTCCCATCGATCCGGCGCCGATGACGAGGATACGGGGCTGGGAGTTTCCGGTCATCTTCGAGGTGTAGAATAATAATTCGCTTCCTGCCTAGGTAGGTAGGTCCTTTACTTTGATAGTGAACTTGACACCACAGCACAATATAGTCTCGCTGTGAATGATTACCAATACTACCTACTTATAGTCATACCCCTGAGGTGTAGCCCAGCACAACTATTGGTACGTTCCCGCTAAAATGAAGTTTGCGTCGTAAAGATGACCCGGCTCGGAGACTTTTTGTCTCAACTGCCTGGAATGAGCTCCGCAGCGTCATCAACGTATTCGGTCAGACTTAGCCGTTCAGTAACTACCTTGAATTCTGATTAGCTTATTTCGAGTATATTGCGCCTGTATCCCTACCTATATGAGCATAAGAATATGAGCTTATATCATACTATATACTATGTATGAGTCGCAATAGATGTCGAAAATACAAGTTACATATAAAGCATCGCTATGATAAGAATATTGTAACTGGTAACCTTATCCATGTTATAAGGATACTATTAGGTACCTCTAGGCACACAGAAGCTCAGAGATAGTACCTCTAACTGATCGCTGTCGCGAAGAGGACTGATACCAATTGACATGACGCCATCCCGTATCATCACATACGAAGGGGGAAATAATACTACATTGTCTGAGATTCTTACTTCTCAAATTCCCCGTCTCCAAAGTATCGATCCGGCATCTCCACATCCCACAACGGCCTCTCCACCAACGCCACCTCGATCGTTTCCCTTCGTTTCTCAAGTTGCTCTACCCCAGTCACCCCGTTTTGGTATATGTCTTCTTCAGTAACAAGTGGGATTATTCCCATAATCGGTCGGTATTTGTAGGTATGCCAAAAAGCCAATTTCTTCGTAGTGGGTTGTGATTCTGATGCAGACTTGCCTTGGCCACCTCGCAGAAGAGCAAGTTCACCTCGGATATCCTCATCCGAGTCATCGCTCTCACTCTCCCCTGCAGCCTGGCTAGCCTCGTCTTCGTCTATAGGATCGGACGTGGAACCATCCAGAGCAATCTCTTCCGTTGATTCGCCCTTGGCTCGGCAAATGACTTTCGTTGGTCCCGCAGCCCCTATTTCCATCTTGTTACCCGCACCAGTATCAGGTCCCCGCTTCCGTTTCGTGCCGTGCTTCAAGGCCTTCTTGTTAGACGAGTCGTCAAGTTGAGCCGGTTTAGCTAAGTCCTGGGCTATATCTAGCATGAACACAAATGAGTTTCCATAAAGCCAGACCCTCTCTCCCGCCCAGAGAGCACCTTTGACCAGGTCGCGAGTATTTCGAAACTCGATAGGAAATCGGGCGATTGGATTCCGTCTCGACCAGGCAGCCAATAGTCCAATACTAGGGTTGATGAGTAGAACTTGCGGTTTCGCAGTAACGGTAAGAAGGGTGTAGTCATCCGCGATTTCATCGTCGTCATTCGTCGTGGAAGGTTGTGACTTCGGTATGTGATTGGAAAAAGACAGAACGGTAGGAGCGGCTTGTAGTTTAGGGATAAGAGAGCCGTTTGGATTGCGAGTCCATCGCGGACCCTCGGTACCCTCCTCATATTGTTCCTCGTCCTCGCTACCGGACACATCATCGTGGACCCCATTAGCACCGTTTTGCAGGGTTGGTTGTGGGGTCTTCAGCACCCAAGTGTCTATATAGCCAGCCAAATCTGCAACGGCAAGCATCTTGCTATCAGGGGAGAATGCGATATGGGTTATTGTTCTGTCGTAAAGCCCAAGGCCTCCCAGAGACAAATTTTTCTGTACCTTTCTCTCGATACGATGTAATCGTATTGTCTTAGGGTGAATTACCGGTTTATCATTTGAAGCAGAGTCCCGTAGTATCGACAACGCGAAAGCCTTGCCACCCCCTTGAATGGCGCATAACCATCTCCCATCTGGAGAAATCTGGACCCGGGTGGCGCCTTGCTTAGCAAATTCTTCTGGCATCTCGACTTTAAAGATCTTTATTTCATCCTTCTTGGCCTCGCTTCGAGTTCTGAGATAAAACGCCTTGATATCAGATGTTGTAGATACTACAAGTAAGGACCCATCTTGGCTGACTGTCGCAGATGTGATGTTCGCCTCACCCTTTATCAATATCCTTGCGAGAAGTTTGCGGTTCTTTTCCACAGCTGACTCTCCATCTGGCTGATCTACCAAATCTCGAAGCGGTTTGCGCAGGCGCCAGACATGCACTTCTCTTTCCCACCAACTAACGATCAGCCGACTTCTCGGCGCACTCTGTAATGGCGGGTCCTGGGGTAGATGTGATAGAGTTCGGTGATGCTCCATACCGGCCTCTCGCAGAGGCAGCACGATCGGGCTAGCATCCGGGCCTAGAAACACGAGTAAGTCACTATAACTAATAAGGGGGTAAGACAAGACCAACCTCCTGAGACAACCACACTCAAGCCATTTCCTTCAAATGATGCCATGGTTTTGACGTCATGGCTGTGATATCTCCGATGCCAAATCTTGCCCCATCTTGACGTCGAGCCCGAGGTCTTCCTGTATAGAACAGTCCTCCGATCCATTCCACCACTGACTATGGTCGATCCATCGGCACTCGTCGCGAGAGAAAGTACGTCTTGGTTATGGGTCTGTAGTCTTTGAGCCTGTGTGTAAGTCTTGCCATCCCATATACAGACTTGGCCGGTGGAGTCTCCCGAGACGATGTCGCGCCCATTGAGACATTTTACAGACCATACAATGATCTCCTTAGCGCCACCAGAAAGGTCGGAGCCTAGCGTCATCTTTCGCAAGACATTGCCGTTGCGCATATCGTAGACCCGGATAGCGCTGTCGGAACATCCCACGACGACGACGTTGCGATTTTGGAAAGCGATGCTAACCATCTTAGTCTTCTTAGACGAGGATCTCACTAATATCTTTTCGAACCGGAGGTCATCATCGTCGATAGAGTAGAGAATGAGACTGCCGTCCATGGTGCCCGCGACGAGTTTCTTGGAGTTTTGCACGGCCGCATTCGTGGACGACTTGTCGCCATTCTTCGGAGTGACTACGAAGGGTTGAGCAGCTAGACACCATATATCACCATGCATGCCGCTCGCCTGCTTCTTTGGCCGTCCTTTTTCTAAATCCCATTCGGTAATAGTACTTGTGTAGCCAATACTAAACAGCCTCGCCTTTCCAATAAGCTTGGTGCCATCCTGAAGCACTTGGTCAGGTTCGGTGACCCATACAAGTCCATCAATACTTCTGTCCTTTCCTCCATGTAAAACAGTCTCTTGGTGCCATAACCCATTCGAGGGATTCCATATCTCGATGTCGCCGTTGGCGCGACCGATGGCTAATCGGACGGGCGAGGCTTTCTGTGCTCTGGTTACGATCGAGTAAGAAAAGGCAATTGCGTTTATAGCAGATGGAGGGTAGGGTACGAAACGGCAGCGATGAATATCCATTATCGCAACTTCGATCCGACCCGTTTCGACAAATTGTCGTGGTGATGGTAGTTGCGTTAAGTATGAAAAATGGTTCAAGCTTCTTTTCTTATTCACAGATTAATCAACTTTTTTTTTCTAGTCGCTTTAGTTACTTTTTTTCTTTTTTTTCTTATCAGCTTATCGCTAGTTAGTGCACTATATTAGCGTGGATATCTACATGCTACTAGTGTGTCTAGCGTATTGTATTGTACAATACTAGGTAACCTGGAACTATAGTAGGTCCCACTTATTGTTTACACGCCCCCCTTATAAGTTGTTTCGACTCTCGAGGACTTCGAAGTTAACCATGTCTACCTAGTAGTAGAGCAATATTGAACAATTATTCATATCCAAAGTAAGGACTATTTTTTACTGAAAGGTTCAAGCCTCTAAGCCTATATTGTACTCATGAAAATTTATACCAACTAGGGGACAGCCATTGTAAGACCGATCACCAAGGCTTGTGATAATCTGGACTCTGGCCGTGGTAGGAGAAAGTCAACTCGTCATTGGCAAGTTTAAGAGTTGCCGCTTCTTGATGTTGCACATATCTACCGCCGTACCAGAGATGTGTTAAATATCACTGTATGGGGACTACTATGCCGTCTTTCCTGTCCCAGTCTGATGTAGGACATTTCCCAGATCAAGTCTCCCCATCACCAATAATTCACCTACTGCTTGTGACCTATCCGCGAAAATGTACGGAGTCAACTCGCTCCTGGCACTTGTGCTTGAGCTCTATGCTCTGGACACAGGCACTCGTAGAAAGCAAGATGGTTTTTGCCCATTACCTGGTAAAGCATCCATCTCATCAAGGCCTGTACCCCCAACTAGCACCTCACAAGTCGGCACCGTAGACCCCAACACAGACCACGCAAAACAAGACATAGACGGGGCCCTCAGTACCGTGCAGCAGCTCTTCGATTACGCCAGCACCCAAGCCTTCAAGCTCTTCTTCAGCTTCGACATCTCCATCACCGCCAACATCACCCAGCATCAGGCGCTGTTCCCGTAGTACAAGGACCACCCGGCGCACCTCAAATATGGCCCCGACGACCTGCCGCTAGTCTCCTCGTACGACGGCGGCAACCTCGGTCCGGACGTGTGGCGCGAGTTCAAGATCACGAACAACGTGTAGGTATCTGATCCCGAATCTGGAGCACAACTACTCGTACTACAGCGACACGCCGGGCATCTTCCGCGACTGGAAGGACTCGCTCGATGGTGTTTTTACCTGGGCGACGACGTGGCTGGATGCGTCGAACCAGCATGTGAACGTGTCCTCGCTTTTGGACGAGGCTATTAAGAAGGTGGCGGACGATGCGGGCAAGTCGTATATGCTGGGGTAAGACAGGACTTATTATATATCCCAATGATGTGTCCTAAATACCTAGGTGCACACTGCCTAAACAACACCGCTAACGAGTACAAGGCCTGTCCACACTCCAATATAAGCACTGCTGCGGCGACGAGTCCTACTACCGTATCGGCGAGACCAACCTTCCCGTTAGCGCATGGGACAAATCCTCGCTGTTGCTCCCGAGTTCACTGAAGTCCTCACCTGGGTAAGTCGAGCCCCCCTTTACCTTCCCCTCTCCCCTCTCCCCCTTTCTTCCCATTTTCCTACTTTCAATTTCTTCCCCTCCCTCCCCACCCTCCAGAACCACGCCGGCGAATCCCACTACATCGGCCCCACCTGACCCGAATCCCTCCCCTCCGAGATTCTACACTACGGCGACTCCGCCACAACCCCACACTCCGGCAGGCAACCCCTAATCGCCTCCATCACCACCGCGTACAAATCCGGCGCTTCCTCCACCTCCTCTATGTCACCCCCCGCCAACGCCGCCTTCGTAGGCGCTATGTGGTACCGGCCCGTCCCAACTTCCTGCTCTGGCGGCGACGTACCGCGGGGCGCGAGGACGGGGCTCAATGTTGTGAATAATGCGATCGTGCTGCCTGCCCCCTGGTGGGGATGGAGGGGGGGGAGGTGATCGCGACGCAGACGCTGCGGAGCTATAACTCGGTGCCGGGGATGACGATGGGTGATCAGAAGCTTGAGCTTGTGAATAAGGATGGGGAGGTGGTGGGGGGGGGGGGGGGGGGGCAAGGGGGGGTTTGTAATTTTGATTATCGGGTTGTTGAGCCGAAGTGAGGGCTGGGGCTGTAGGGCAAAGAAAGGGGGGAAGGGGAGGGAGGGCAAGAGAGATAGATTATGTACTTACTTACCTAGGTTAGGTACCTAGCTACGAAAGTAGGTAGTTTTAGCAATCCTTGGACTCTTGAAATCCGTGCTTGACTGGCCTAGATACTGAGAAATCAACGTATCTCGAATAACCTCTAGGTTAGCTGAGTACCTGCTATATAGGTTCAACCTTGCGTGAGAGTATCCTGTGCCTCTGGCCTCTTTGATCCCCTTAAACACTTATTTTTAGCAGAGACCTAGAGTACAGTACATATTCGAGAACCATACACGAAAAGGGGGCAAGTAGGCCAGGTACCTTCCTCACAAGTCCAACCCCATCGTATCATCTCGTGCGCGAACAACAGTAACTCGAATCTTTCAGGGGGACACAACACGTAGTATTTCTCGACATCTCACACAAGTTATCCCGGAGGCTCAGCTCAGTAGTTGGTCAAGTCTATTTCAATTCTCTCTCATTCAACCTTTCCCATAGCCACGCGGTCGTATGACCACGTGCCTGACTTTATATCTACGCCCTCCCTTTTTCACACAATGTTACCTAACTTTCTAGGTACGTAGGCCATACAACTTGAGCTTCACCATCCAACACTACTAGGTGAGCTAAACGTATGCCTTCATCATTAGATTTTTTGCTCATAACGTATCAACCTATCTTGATCAGTTGTAAGACAACGAACGCGACCATCAATTGTAATGGTCGGTACAGAGTACACACGACATATCTCATTCCCGTAAGACATCTTCCAGTATGTCGACTCTATTAGTGTTGCGAAGATTTCCGCAAGACTGGGTTAGGTACTCAAGACTAGGGGATGATGAGTGGCATCATTTTCCTCTCGAGTAAATCGGACATCCGGTTCAATGTCTGTCTAAGTCCATCTATGATGGAAATTCAATCCGTTCGACCTTTTTGTAACCATTCTTAAATCATTGACTTTCGGACTTTTGCTGTTCCTCGGTCTCAGGCTCCGACTCGTGCTCTGGAGACTTCATTTTGGAATGTGGTAGAACATCAAGCGTCTGGGATTTTCTTGAGTTTGCGCTATTGCGCTTAGCATCTTGGCTGCTGCGACCCAGCGGGGTGTCTCCAAAAGAGTTTTGCGCAGTTGGCGTATTGGCCTGGCTTCCTCCACGTTGACCATGATAATGTACGACTTGTGGAGGTGGTTGTCCGTGCTGGCCAAGTAAATGTTGAGGGTACGGGTCAAGATCTTTGCTCGAGGTTGAAAATGTCGAGACAATGGGTTGGTGATAACCATTTGTCGAGTTGCTCCCTGTCGATGTATGTCCATGCTGAGAAGGCTGCGTAGCTGGAGGCACCACTGCTTGTCCGCTGTGCTCAGCTTGCGTGGGCGTACCGATGTCGTTAGGGCTTGCCACACCGCTATTTTCAAGCTGGCCAGTTAGACTTGTCATGCCGCCTTCGATATCACGTAGCAGGCGGACGTATTCTTCTGGCACCAGTCCACTCTCTTGAGTCTTGGGGTCCTCCGCAACGAGCCAACCTTGGCCGTGTCGATATGATACCCAGATAATTTGGCCCTCTACTAGCGGTAACTCGTTTTCGTTCTCCCTCGCAAAGTCAAATAATGCAACGGCCTTGCCGTGCATCTCCTCGTCTGGCGAGGTAATCGTAAATTGGTAGTCCCTTGAGTATCTTGACTCATCATATGGATGGTAACTTGGGGACGAAGTGGTACTGGAGGCATCTGATTCGGATCGATAACCAGGGTCGTGTTCTGCATAATTACGCGGTTGTTGGTCGGATGAGGAATGGTAGTTACCATGCCGGGCTTGCTCTGGCGGGTACGTGACATACTCTCCTCCCGGGCCATTGGCCTCTCCCCCTTGACTCACGTAGTATCGTTCACTTCCATCGCCGCTCGTTCCAACGTAATAGCCTCTATTGACATCCAAGTTTCCTGCGTTCAGTATTGATGAAGACGCTTCACCTTCCCGTGAGCCTCGCATTTTTCCCGTGACCGCAGAAGTTGACTTGTGTTTCCTATGCCGGGAGCTAACAACAGGACTTTGTAGGTCTTCGTCCTCGCTCCAAGGGGGGCCATCACCAAAGTGAACAGGGGCTAAAAAGTCTCCCTTACCAAGTCCACCGTCTGACGTCCAATCCCAGCCCATCTTACTATCCCATGAGGTTGGAGGATCTGAGAGTCGTCTAGTCTCACTGGCAGGCGTTGTCATGCCAGATGGGGGTCTCGAAGGCTCCGGCGGGGGGCCATAGTGCATTGGATGAGAGGGCGGGTAGGCATAATCTCGGACCGTGGTGTAGGAGAGGCTGGATGGGAATACCGGGAAGTAGAAGGAAGCGGGCCGTGACCGCGACGGGGCAGAGCCCGTCGAGTAGGTTGACAGCCTGTTCTTGGAGGCGTGGGACATCGGTCGTGGAATCGTAGATCGGCGGGTGGTAGGCGATGTTATTAAAGGTGTCAAAGCGGGATGGTTTGGATTCGAAGAAATTTGGGTCTGGTGCTGCGATGGACCCGGTGAAGCTGCTGGAGGCGAAATGACTGGGGATGAGTACGAGGACATGATTGCGGTCATCGAGAGGAAGGAGACCGAAGTGTCTTCGTATGCGTACCCAGAAATAGAATGTAGTAGTTTTATATACTGAAATAGACTACACAATGCGTATATATGCAGGTGTGGTCTCTTTACACAGTCAAATCGCACGGCAGCGGCGGATTGGTTGTTCTCTTTCACACCTCCAGACGCACTCGCGCTCGCGCTCACGATGCGATAGTCGCCCAACAAACTCGGCCTGCAAGTTACTCCACAATATTGATGCGATATCTGAACGTTATGGTTAATATTTTGAACAGACCGATATATAGTTTTTTATCAGGCGGAAACGAGCTTTCTTTCGAGGGCGATGCGACAACAAAGGTGTAGGCTGACTTTTGCCGGGCCCTTCAAGGGAAGAGACGAGGCTAAGGTTCGTCGGTGCTGTCGAGGTAGTCAGAAAGAAGGGGAGACCAGAACGACACTCAAGCTCGACCGGTGTCTCTGGTATATCGCGTAATATAGGGTGTGGTTTCGAATAAGGGCGGCGTTCACAAGGTAATGAATTGGAAGAAAGTGAGCGAAAGACGAAAAAGAGTGTCACGAACAGAATTGTAGGCGCTTGCGCAAAGGTCGTAGGCTACTAGGCACCTACCTAGGGGGGATAGGAATAGGAAGAGTAGGAGTGATGAGAGGTATGAGAGTTAGGAATAGGTACTGTAAGTAGGTAGGTATGTGTAAAGGGAAGACTTAAACTCGTATGGAATCCGAGTCTTTGGAAGCCCTAAGTAGCCTAACGTTGCTGTGGAGAAATGGACTTGGGGCACCTGGGCAGCTGGGGTGGATTGACAAAGGGAACAAAATAATAATAGAGAACTCAACTTTGAAGTATTCGTAATTACCAGGTACAAGGTAGGTATCCAGTGTATTGTACAATACATAAATGAGGTGAACCAAAACCACATGCACCTAGCATTTATACCTGGTATAAGGATAAATATGAAAATGGCATTCACAATATGAATGCATTTACAAGGTATATGTCAAGCAGTATGTAGATAAAGAGTTTGTACATAGGTAGGCTAACATTGAAGGTTTATTATGTACGGTGCAATCATTGATACATGTAACTAAGTAACTACAATGTAACTAGTTATGTAGTTCCAATGTTCCATGTCGCACCAACCTGTAACAAGCACAATACGCACGGTAATACAGTCCGTGTTATCTGTTATTACTACCTACTTCGTATATACCAAAGTGTGTAGTAGGTAGGCTCCTAGCAGGAAGTTAAAATGTTTAACATATGACAGACGGACAGACATAAATTAGGGGATAGTAGTGACAGCACTAGGTAAGGAAGTAGGAAGTGGAATGTGGAGATACATATGTACTAATGGAAAAAGTTGGAGTGGGGAATCAAGACGGAGCGATTGGCCTCTAATGTTTGGAGTCAACTAACAACGTTTATCAAGTTGCATTTAAACATGAGAGTAAAAGTATTCGATACCTCCTATTTACATAAGGCAGACTGGATATGCATCTTTTTATGTATTGTGGCAGGTGAGTTAAGGTTTGATCCTTGTGTCCATCTACTACTAACTATTACGATGTACCTACCCAGGTAAGAAAACAATGTTCATTATTGTCTCACCTGTCACCAGATCTACTACTACATAGATACTATAAATATCATTCTTATTCAATGTAAGAAATGACATTATGGTCTAGTGATTGAATTATTGAAGCCAAAAAGACACAAGGAGAATGTGAAGACGCAATAGAAAAATTAACCAGAAAGAGTTGCAAGTTTCAATGTTCTACCAGAACAATCACCAATGTTGCTACATCCTAGGTAAGTATAACTATACCTACATAGTTACTGTCATAGTACCTACACAGTACCTATTATGTAGAATGGCGGCTCCTATAACCATCCAACTGGTTCCAAACAGCACTAAAATTGGTTGCGATTAGGCGCGTGCTGTAAAAATCCTACTGGCCGAGACCAACGTCTAGCGGCTCCCTGCCCTTGGGTGCCTTTTAGTGGGGTTAGTGAGTGGTGGCAGAGGAATTGCTTGAAACAACGCTGGCGCTTGTTAGGCGAACTATCCTATTTTGTATGACCAAGGGCTAACTAGGTTGACAGTTAGTAACTTATTACTACTAGTAGGTGGGTTAGGTAGGATAACGTACTACGGCGTAAGAGCAAAGCTTGTCCAATTTTTAAGAAATCAGAACAAGATCAGCAGCTAGGTATATGTGTAGGAGGATGATATACATTCAATGTTATATACCTACCAAAGTATATAGAGACAAGAACAATTAAGTACATCAATAAGGAGGCACTAAGTAAGTATATGCCTACCCAATGTGCGTAGATATTACAATTCCGAACGTAACAATTGCTTATTAATAATAGTAGCACAAAAAGTAGGATGATCTAATAATAGACGAGACTTGTTTTGCATGTAATTCTATGTATTTATCGAAATCTGTGCTATTAAGTCAATACGAAATTTGGAAACATAAAATATCAAAACCCTTTCAAAACTTGCCTCCATAGTTACCTACCCTACATGTAGATGTAGGTAAGGATGTATAGTACATAGTACACGTAAGAAAGGGAAAGAAATCGCTCCTGTATAGATAATACCTATTAACCATGATAGTGAATAATACTGAAGACACCAACGAATTATGTAGGTATTTCTGATCTCCATATACATAAAAACTTAGGTTAGGTACTAGCTGTAGCTGCTTCGTCATGCTTCTCTAGCGCTCACGCCATGCAGAAACAGCATCCGTTCCTACGGACATGATTGATGAATCCGATGAACAGCCCGACAGAACCATGCACCTAGTCAATGGTGAAACAAGCTGGCATCGCTGATTCGTTTGGTGCACGTGACCCATAACCGATGCTTCAGTCCGTCATTGCCTCCCTCGCCTTGAACATAGCATGCATGATCCGTACTGGGAGAACACACAAAGAAGCGGTCTGGGGGGGAGGGTCATAGACTCTTGTTTCTCTAGGGGACACAAATGCCATTTTTGTGAGACGGTCAATTCCGGATGCGGTAATTGTCGATGAAGTCTCTGCGTGTAGAGATAATAGGATTATAGGACAGCATTTGCATTAGTAGGACATAAACTAACAAACATTTCCTGGTTGACAAGTGGCCATATGAGCATCCTACCTATTATGTACCTAACCTAGGCATATGTTAACTACATATACATATGTCATGTGGTATTCCCACGTAGGTAAAGACGCAAGCAAGCCTGCCGGACTTAGGCAGTTAGTGTACGAAGGTCATCTTCGTACAGATATCAAGGTAAACTTGCAGATGGTGTTTCTATTCTTGGAATTGCCCCGTTCCAATTTGCTTATGTATTGTACATACTACATACGTACATATAGTACGTACTTGAAACTTTGATGCAATAACCATGAATGTTACGTACCTAATGTAGGGTGCCGGTCACCGCATATATCGTATCATATCATTGGTTGTGACCGCTCCCACGGCAACTGTTGGAGTTGGAGTAATTCAATTGTTTTTCTTTTCTTTTTAAACAGTCGTAAATATGCAGATGCGTATGCACACACTTATAAAGTGAGGCATACATAGTATGTATAATGACATCTACATATGCACCCGTTCATTTGTGAGCTTTCAAAGGTCAACTCCAACATTGACAGTTTCTAGGGGAGATATGTATAACATTAAGCAAAGCAAGTAGTTACAGAGTAAAGCGTATCTAGAAATGATTACATAAGGTGGGGATATCTACTACACTAGAGCCGCTTAGATCCTTAGCCGGCACGGGATTAATTATCACCGATGTGGGGCATCCCGGGCCATGATCTGAAGTGAATCTGATCTAAATTATTCCACTGTTCGTTTCATCAATTTTTACTTCAATTGTTCCAAGTTCCTCTCAATAACTACACACTATTAATTATTTTGAACCTACTCCCACGACATTAAACTTGATGTGGAAGGTAAGTCAAATGACTTGTGTGTCTCTAAATTACCTGCTTTTCTATTTGAATCCAAAAAACTTTTATGATGAAAATAAATATTGGAGCTGTCAGACCTTTACATGGTGACAACCTATATATTACGCAACATTATCTGAACCTGCCAACACAAATTTCCTACTCTTGTATTTATCTTCCAAGGGAAACCCGTATTAACCTACGCGTGCATTTAGATATTTTTCCATTGATAAAGCGACCATCATTGTGGATTGCTCATGGAATTGCGCCTACATATAGCATCTTGAAGACACCATGGAAGTCGTCAATGGAACTTCAAGTGCTTCGACCACACCTGTCGCCAATGGTGAACGAGAAGACCCAGGCGGCTTCAAGCTAAAGTTCTGTACAGTGTGTGCTAGCAACCAAAATAGGTATGAAAATTACCCTCCTAAGACGTTCAGTCGTCGCACGAGAAAGAAAGGGGCACTGACATGATCAAGATCTATGGAGGCACACCTTCGCTTATCCCAGGCACATTACCCAGTCATCTCCTTTGGGACGGGATCTCTTGTTCGATTGCCCGGTCCGTCGATCACGCAACCAAATGTATACCAGTTCAACAAGGTGTCTTATGATGCCATGTACAAAGAACTCGAAGGAAAAGACCCCCGATTGTATACGGCGAATGGTCTGTTGAATATGTTAGGAAGAAACCGGCAGGTCAAGTGGGGTCCAGAGCGGTGGCAAGATTGGCAAATAGGCATTCCAAGGACTGAGCATGCCTCAGACCGTGGTAGCGAAGGAACGGAGGGTGGGATGGTTGATATAGTCTTCACTTGCGAAGAGAGATGCTGGGATGCGGTCATCGACGACCTCCTCAACAGGGGCTCTCCCTTGAACAGACCCGTCCATGTCATCAATGTCGACATCAAAGATAACCACGAGGAGGCCTCAATTGGTGGACGAGGCATACTCGACCTTGCCGACTCATTGAACCAGGCTGCCAAGGAAGAACGAGAGGTTATAGGCTCTGCTGCTTTTGATACAGCCAGCGCTGCCACAAGAGCCTCTTTTGATGAGAGAGTGCCAGAGATCATTGGAGAATGGCAGGAGAGGTGGCCGAATTTGCCCGCCACTTGGTCGTTGGCTTGGTTTTGATTGCATGAGATTATGGCCTTTTGCTTTTTTAATGATACCCCGGAATGAAGTTTTTATTGCAAATAGTTAAGAGCATATGTAAATAGGTATGCATATTGCTTTGGAGGATAGTCACGATAGGAATACAGAAATCAGACTTTCTCTCAACGATATCTTCATGTTAACCTTGTGTGTTGCCGGTCCTAGTCAGGCATTACTCTTTCTTTGCTATCTCTTCCAATGAATATTAATCCATGTCTATTATTTTGAAGTCTTTATCATCAAGGTTCTTAATAAGCACAATCTAGATTGTCGTTGTATCCCTACACCATGTCATCCTATGTGAATATTGCCCTGTTTGATATCGACCAGGACCTTCAACTGGACCAATCGGGATACAGGCGTGTAGTTTGACTCTTCCTTTCTTTGAGGTGAGAAGTAAGGGGATTTCGATCATATGCATGTGCTAAAGTAAGCGACCTACTAGAATATGCGCTCCTACGCTCCTACGTAGATTCGATAGGTCAGCGTCACAAGCATCAGATTTTCATGATATCGTATGTCAACTCTTTCCTTTCATATATCATCTTAGCAGCATTTTCCTAGATATGATATTTGAGGGGGATAGCTCGTATGGATGCTTCATGGACATCACCCATTTATCATATCTACTCGGTAGCTTTCTGTAGGTCCCAGATACTTACATATGTTTTGAGAGGAAGGTAGGTACTGGGTAACTAATTTTTCACTTTTAAATTCATCAGCAGCAACGCATAATATAACACGTACACAACAATGCATCGAACTGATATCAATCACCAAAAGGTAACCCCTTTCTGTCACTAAACCATTTCAGCAAACCGAGTCCGTTAATAGTATCGGAAACTTCGTATTGGTCGGAACCGTAAAATGCGGCTAGCACACGAAGCGCGCGCCATAAAGCCGTGGGGTTCACTGGTAACCAACCGTTACCTGCTTTTAACCTGGGGCTACCATCAAAGCTAATCAGCCCTTTAGATGAATGTGGATGTATATATAGGTAGTTATTGTATAAGTTTGTGTAGGATTCAAAAACAAGATCTTCTACATAACTCTTCTCACCTCGTGTTCAAGGCCCCACGGCGGGCCGGGAACAGGATATTTTATGTAGATGTTGTAATGCATGGGAATCCGAATTGTCGATCTTTTCGAATCTCGATCTTCCCATCCCGCCGCCGGCGGTTGACGACAGGCGTGGCCGTTTCCGACGATCTTTTTTATGCATGTGGACCCCAAGGGTGAGAGGGCTAGGGAGGAACAGGGCTAGTTGACCTAGCAGCCCAGGCTTCTAGAATGCCCAGGTGTATATAATAATAATCGTTGCAGGGCCACGGGTGAATCCGCTACCGAGTTCAATCTCGAGTAAAAGAGGCTGGAGCAAGAAAATAGCTGAGAAGATAATTTAAAGTGGATGGCGCAGGCGCAACGTAATTTTAATCTTACTATGGCAAATATTGTATTAATAATGATACATAGGCAGTTAGTAGATATTAATGATCTATCCCTTATTCTCTCTCATCTCCGTACCTACTGGCTAACGCGTCCTGTGTGTAAATTATTTCAATGACACTATTACTAGGTAGTATGCATCCTGGAGGGAATATACCTACATATGTAGGGTGCCGACATTCATTCTTTTCTTGATGAATCCATATGGAATTGTTGACTAAGATTCTAAAGAAAAAGAAGGAAAAGCTAATTCAACACCTGGTAACTTTAAGGTTCACCTACGCAAGATTGAATTTGAACTATTCGGGGTCCGGGGATATTGCAGCGGTGATAACTAAGGGTACCTTACATATTGTAAGGGGTGCAACTCGGAGTTGCAACCCATTCAAAACGGTAAACTGTACCTAGTAGGAACGCTAATACTCAGTATTACTCACAGCATCCTTGTCTAAATGCCCTGAATGCCCTGAATGCCCTGAATGCCCTGAAAGTGACTCCGCTTCTTTTCCAAGGTTTTCAACGTTCCTAACCGTTTCCTTATTGGTCCGTTAGTGAACAGGCTGACAGGGCCAGACAGGCTTCCTAGGAGGTACCTCAACTGTATAATCCATAATCCCCCTTGTCTCAGTGTCTTGTTGTGGGTCTAATGCTTCAACCGTCTATGAACGTTTCATCCATCCAATTCAATCATTCATCCAATTCAAGCTTCCACCATTCTATTTTTTTGAATGCTCTATTGCAATTCTGCAGCTCTACAATTCTTTCCCAATTTCAACTATACAATTCCTGTTCACGTCTCAGGTGTTACTTCGATCTGCTACTATACGTAGCTGCAGGAATCCTCCTTGGAACATCCTCTTGATAACTTGAGACATCTTCAGCCACCCCTAACATACGTTCTACGTTCTCTACTCTCTTTCAACTTGATCAACTGTGTTGCGTTCTTGCTTCTTTTTTTTCTTCTTATTATCCCCTCTTCCCTTCTGATTGAAGGAAAGGGCCTGTTTGGCATTTTCTCACTTTCTTTCCCAATTTCCATTGTGCATACAAGCACGGGGAATGAAGAGAACGGTGTCTGTAATAACTTTGATCAGAGAACATTGTCTGCCGTACCGTCAGGGTTTACATTCTTTCCTGCTTTTAGCCCATCATTCATATATCCAATTTTGATTTGCATTCCGTTGGACTGGAAGATCGACAGTCCACGTCGGGAGTTGCCTTTGTCTTGATCATAATACACCATACCGCCGTCTCTTCCTTTTGCCCTCCTACCAGCAACCGACCATTATTTGCACGCGACAAGGGGCTACAGAGGATTACTAGACCATCGTATCATATTGAAGAAGGAACTACGTCGTATTAGTATTGGGCCTAGACGACCTAGACGACCAGGGGGAACCCCTAAGCTTCTTTGGTTCAAGATTGGAGATTTGAACTAGGCTTGACTGGGTTGGACGTGAGACAACTACTACACTAGGTACTGCCTCTATTTCTCCCCTTTCACGTGCCGTGCGCATTTCTCATTCTCTGTGCTCTACTTTTTGTTTTCCGTGAAGACAACCGACATTCTCGCATACCACACCTACACCAGCCATGAATACTCGAAATGCGCCGCTTTCACCAGTCTCTGTAGGCGCTCCCAGCGATTGGTCCGGCATCAGTAAATACCAGAATCCCAACGACGGTCCCTATCCCAATAATCGAGGTCCTGCCTCTCCACCAGATTCGAACAGTTCTAGCGGGAACATGAATGGCTTCCCAACTGGCCCCAGGAGCGGAAGTGTCGGTGCTCCCTCGCCACCGCCTTCCGTTGGACGCTCCAGTACCTATGCCAGAAGTGAGAGTGGGAAAAGTATTCGCGAAGAAAATGAGCAAGTCTTAGGAGAGCATTACATCGCCCTTCAGAGATACCTATCCTCAACATCCAAGGATGGCCGGGCAGCTCCACCTCCCAATAAGGCACGAGATAAACTATTGCGCTTGTCATCGGTACAGTTTCTTGAGTTGTCTACAGATGTCTTTGACGAATTGATGCGACGACAAGCCTATAGCCGCAGGCCACCGAATGCACCTCCCAATGTCGGACCACCGACCTACCTTCTCCCCGAAGATACCTTCCACCCAAAGCGAAACCAAGCACGTCAGAAGCTATCGACTCTCGGTTCTCCGCGATTCAGGGATTTGGCGACAGATGTATTCTGCGAGTTGGAAAGACGCATTCCTCGATTCATTGCTGGCGATGTCCCTCGGATGAGCAACCCAGGCCTACCCTCAAGTCGGGCTGGCACACCTATAAGCATGGGCCCTAGAGGTATGCGACGGCCGTCTGACGCGAGTTCTATTCGGTCAGGTATAGCGAGAATGCCGAATGATTATCCCATACCGCCATCACCTGGTCTTGGGAATGGCAACTTTGACCGACCACTTCCGAAACAATTCCAGAGCAACACAATCGTGCCTAACAAGAGTACAATGGTGGAAGAAGACGACGACGGGCTAGCTTCCAACGATGACAGCGACGCATTTCGACAGAATAACCGTGGAAGCAAGAGAAGCATGGGCACAAGTGGTGGCGCATCAGAAGTAAGTTTCTGAAGCAAACTCTATCTTGCCAGGTGCCAGCCTGCCGTAATTTTCTTTTTTTTAACTAACTGTCTCCAGGTCGATAAACGGCTTATTGATGACTACCAAAACCAAGTGCGAGAACTGCGAGACAAGTTGGACGGAATGGAGGATCAACTCAAGAAGAAAGATGACGAGCTTCATCAAGTAATAGACGGCCAACAATCTCGTGCTAATGCGTCGGATCTTGAAAAACAGGAGTTTGATGATGTGCGGACTGGTCTTGAGAACCAATTAGCGGAAGCGCAAAGTCTTAACGACTCACTACGAGATGAGCTTGACCGCATGCGGGATGACCATGCCGCAGAAATGCGGAAGTGGAGGGAGGATCTTGAAGATTCTCAGAACAACCGGAAAATGGTGGGTGGAGATTCTGACCTCTCGAGAGAGAATGAAGAATTGCGCATGGCTCTTGAAGAGCAACAGCAAGTGACGGAAAGCGTTCGACGAGAAGCTCGGCAATTCCTTGAGGAAATGAAGGTGCTTTCAGAACAACACAACCCTTCTTGGGAAAGGCAAGAGGAGCTAGAGAAGACGGTTGAGCGGTTAGAGCAAGAAGTTCGTGACTGGCGAAACCGTTACGCGCGTACCAAGACGCAACTCCGAAACATGCGTGCTACATCGATGGGTTTAACAATCGAGCAAGACGCCGGCAAATATGTCCGAGACAAGGGCTTTACAGAAGAAAATGGTCTTGTGAAGGACGTACACGTTACCAAATTCCAAATCGCTATCGACGAATTATTGCAAACAGCCCGGAACGAGGATCCCGACAAAGTCATCGACTCTATGAAAGCAGTGGTTGTCGGTATCCGTCGTATAACCAAAGACATTGACGAGTCGCGACCAAGTGATGGAGATGTGGTTCAACAACAGCAGAAGCTAAAGAGTCGGGTCTCTGCCACCGCCAACAACCTCATCACCGCGTCTAAAAACTTCGCATCTGGAGCCGGTATCTCTCCGGTTTCCTTGCTTGACGCGGCTGCCTCTCATCTCGTTGCGGCTCTGGTTGAACTCTTACGAACTGTGAAGATACGCGCCACACCAGCAGGTCAACTGGAAGACGACGATGACGGTACGATTACGCCTGTCGACTCAACCGGATTCTTCTCGAATCGCACCACGACGACGCAGCAGGACGCCTTCTTGAAATCGCAAGAGTCCCCCCTCGTGCCACCTCCGGCATTCCAAGGTCTTCGCACGGGTATGCGTGATAGTGCCAACTCTTCCGCTTACAGTCATAGTCCTGTCGGTTCACCGAGGGAATCTAGTGATCGATACAACTCCGGGAGGCCGACGTCTCGACCTGGCGGCATAAATGGAATGGCTTACATGGGCCTCACTAAGAACATGTCCTTGCCTCCGAATGGCCGACTAGACGCCAAAACTGAAGATTTGAAAATCTACCTGGAAGACCAGACGGAAATCATGGTACAAACCATACAAGGGTTAGTAAGCTCCATCCGTGGTGACGCGCCCATCCAGCAGATCAACGACGAGATCACTTCGATAGCCGACGTGGTTGGCAAGGTTGTGGAACAGACCGAAGCCAACGGCAACGGTGGTGACATGACGGACCGATTAAACGACTGCCGTCAACGGCTGCTCGAAGCAGGCGAACAGGGCAAAGACCTTGCAGCTCGTGGACTTGGGGAAAGTGATCGAGAATGGCGCATGTGGACTCAAACGTTGCCACCTATCGCCTTTGAAATCGTTCGAGAGACCAAAGAGCTGGTGCAAAGAATCGATCGTCTAGTTTTGTCGCCAATCCCAGATGATTTCTCGTAGAAATGAGTTCACGAAGCGAATGATGTTGACGCCGTCACCGTGACGTTTCTTTTCACCCTCCTAATTTATATAATACATTTCGGCCTTTTCCGCTCTTACATTTTTTACTATTATTCTGGCATTCCACGGACCTCGGTTAGATACCCCCCCCATGAGCCTTTGCTTTGATGGATTCTCACAGGATTACCTGGTTCAGCCCTGCCTGTTGCCTATGTGTATCTTCCACATGGGTGATTTGTGTCGATCCGGCGACATATTTCACCAAAGATACATATACTTACCTGACCTTACTTGGTATCCCATCCACAGCAGTTGGCTCTTCCCCGGCCGGCGACAGCACATTGATCGTCAGGTTTCTCGAACCGGTGGGATAGTTGGATGGGAGTAACGGTGGTTTCTTCCGCTATGCTGATGTCTCTTTTTTTGTTTTATGAAATCCGTAGAAGGACAGTGGCATAATGGAAGATGGAACGGAATGGAAAGTGGGGAGCTCATGCGTATAGGTAAAGGGCGTAGAGGATGACACTCTATGGCTCTTTTCCCTTAAGAGCTCAGACAGGGTTCTCTTGCTCGTGGGGCTGTGGCGTGAGTGACGGGATGTCCTACACAGGAGGTGACGATGACGAATGAGGATCAAGCCTATATTTCTTGTAGCATAAACGTCTCGCACTACCAGAGAGACTCGGTAGGGTTTGGTGGGACATTAACTGAATTGACTAGGTAAAAAGTCAACTGTTCACTTTCGATAAGGGACTTTCGATTGTGAACGTATACGATGGCAATGGACTGGTGGGTTCAGGGGGGTTGTGGACTATCCCGACAGGTTTTCCAGAAATCAGTATTTTGTACATATATGACGATATCAATCAGTCGTTCAGAATCCTCGCATTTGGCTTATGTTTGTGAAGTAGAACGTTTTATTTGGCCTTCGTAAATATCTAGCCTTGGGTGGATACTATCTACCTAGGTAGTGTTCCTTTTATTAGGTAGCTTGATTCCTTTCTTTTTCTAGAGATTATGTATCTACATAGACATGTATAATAGAACTTGTTGATGCTGTGTTCTGGGAGTTATGAATATGATCTGTCTATTCTCTATTTCATATGATTAGGTATGATAAGACTAATAGATAGATTGATAGGTAGGTAGGGAGCAGCTCTATGTCATGATAGCATAAAGAAAAATCTTCAAATCAGTAAATCAATGAAATCTCTCTCCTCTTTCCTCCTCTTTCCTCCTCTTTCCTCCTCTTTCCTCCTCTTTCCTCCTCTTTCCTCCTCTTTCCTCCTCCCCTTCTCCCTTCCCCTTCCCCACCTCCTTCTTCCCCATCCCAGCATAAATAATCACAACCATCATCCCCGCTTCCGCGCAACCAACTCCTGCCGAAGCAGCGACAGCGCCTCCATAACCGTAGCCTCGCGTATGCGCTCGCGCGTCCCCTCGAAGCTAAAGGGGCCATAGCCACGACTCCCCTCGGGCCCCGCGATCCCGATGTACACCATGCCGACGGGCTTCCCGTCCTGCGGCGTCGGCCCCGCGACCCCCGTCGTCCCGATGCCCCAGGTCGTTTCGTTGCTTGCCCCACTTCCCCCATCACCGCCGTCGTCGTTGTTGGTGGTGGTGGTGGTGATGGACGTGACCCTCCTCACGCCGCTGGCCATCTGCTCGGCGACGTCGGCGTGGATGACGCCCTCGCGGGCGATGAGGGCGGCGTCGACGCCGAGGATCTGCTGCTTCAGCGGCGTCGCGTACGAGACGACGCCGCCGCGGAAGCAGGCGCTGGCGCCGGGGACGGAGGTCAGCGCCGACATGACGCCCCCGGCGGTCAGGGACTCGGCGACGCCGAGGGTCTCGTGGGAGAGGGTGAGGAGGTGGATCACGGCGGTTGCGATGTCGAGGAGGGTCTCGGTTGTGCGGGGGGTGTAGGTGTAGGTTGTAGGGGGAGGGGGAGGGGTGGTGCTGGTGGTGGTGGTGCCCATGGTTATGGGCGGGGGATCCGGAATCCGGGGGTTGGCGGGATAGGAGATGGGGGTGGGATGCGGATGTGGGATGCGGAGGACACGGACACCGGTTGCACGCACTCTTTGTCTATGTTTTTTTCTCTATTTCTGTTCCTTTCCCCTCTTCTCTCTATCGCAGACGAGGCTGATGCTTATGGCTTTTTCCCTTTTTTCCTTTTTGTTGATAGATCTAAAAGGGTAATGTTTTTTTTTTTTTTCTAATCTCAAGTTGGATTTGTAAGGGGGGTGAAGGGCAACCGGGATGACTCAGAGTTGTGCTGTTGGGCGGAGATGAACGAACATTGAAGATTGTGAAATTATGTATGTACTAACATAACATGAGATATATCAGGTACCTACTCGGTACATACCTGCATGTGGTTAGGGAGGTGCATGTACGCTATGCAAGTGCTTACTAGGTACATAGGATGTACATGTATGTATGCACATAGGTATCTACCAGTACCTAAGGTAAGTGTGGCTGCAAGTCCGCTGTCTATCGAATCCGTCGAGTCCATTCACGTTATGGCGAATCCACTTCGCTCCGCCTCCCCTCAGCCCCACCGAAGACATCAGAGCTATTATGTATCAGGTACTACAGTAAGTACACACTACTATGTATGCAGTGCAACCCACCAGTCCCAGCTTACATACATGAGCTGAAGCTTTTCTGCCTCTTTTCTTTTTCCCTCTTCCTCTAATATTTCATGTCCACATGAGCTTATGTGTAGGTACGTAGTAGATTCTTATGTGGACCCGAGATATGTAGGTTAGGTAGGTAGGCGTCTAATAGGCATCCATGAAGGGCAAGGAGAAGGCCACAAATCAGAAAATCACCGAGTTGATGATTACCTACCTAGGCACTTTGCCTTGCCGCCATATTACACCTACGTAGGTATGTAGACGTAGGCGTTTTTCAGGTGGGAAAGTAGGTAGGTAGGTAGGTAGGTAGGTAGGTATTTATTGAGCCCGTTGCCCCTGTTCTGCCGTCTCGTCGTCGAGGTAAGCAGGTAATCCTTTTGTAAAGACCAACAGGTCAAGTTATCACGTATACACAATAGACTCCTCTTCAATTTACACTACCCGCGTTCGTAACACAGTGTTCCGTATTCTAAAAAGCCATATATACTCTGATTCTCTTCATGGAGTTTCCCAAAATCGTCGCCTTGGACCTTGAGTACGTACCGGTCCTCACCTTCAGCTAAATCTCATCTTGCTTACCTATGCTGTTTCACTTAGCAACACGTTTTGGAGCGGGTGGCTTAACGAGCACGAGTTGGGCAAAAACGGATGGGTGGGAAATAAGATTGAAGATAATCTGGAGATTGTGCAGAATCGGATAATCAGGGATACGTGGTTCGTTATATGCTCTTTCAGTAACAAAGCAACATCTACTGCGCTAACACGGCTGGTTACCTATGATTTATTAGGAACCACTTGAAATGGGTCAAGGTGTCGGATCATATCTTCTCCATCATCAGTGACCTGATCTGGAACCAAGTTTCGATCGCTATTGTCTCAAGAAACAGTAACAAGGACTTGTACGTTGCCTCTCACAGACTGCCTACCGTTGGGTACTAGATCAGCCTACCAACCCCTAACCCTAACATCGTAGATGTGACCGGGCACTGTGGCTGTTCCAGGTTGAAGATCCATGGACGCTGGAGACGAGTTCGTTGACGAAGTATATAAAATACGACGAGATCATTGATCGTGAGTTATGCCCCCTGACTACCCAGGTACTCAAGCATCTAGGTCGGCAGTCACATACCTAGCACGTACTGACAGGTTTAGAATCGAAACAAGAGCATTTCCAACGAATAAAGGACTGGAGCGGCGTCGAGTATCATGACATGGTAATGCCCCCTCAATCGTGGGCACCGTGATTTACATGTCTAATCTAAGTGTGATCATGATTAGATCCTATTCGACGATGAACCGCGCAACAGCGAAGTAGAGCTATGGCAAGGTGCGCTAAACCCCCCACCCCCGTTTTCTTTTCTTTTCTTTTCTTTTCTTTTTTTTACACCCTCGAAGACGAGTAGCTCACAAAAGACCAACAGGCGTCACCTTCCACAAGGTCCATGACCCGTCCGTCGGCCTAACCTGGCAAGACTACCAGCGAGGCCTGCGAACCTGGCGCCGGAACAACCGCATACGACGCCCCATGCCCGGCGCAGGCCCGGATCCGCTGCCCAACCGGAAGCACATCGGCTACGTCGGCACGGACTATGCCGCCGGTGAGCGATACAGACAGGGCCTACGACGGCTCAGGAGTAATCGCCCGTCACGGTGGGGGTGGGGGATGTATGTGACGGATAATCCGAGGATGTAGGTGTGGCCCTTCTCTTATCTACCTACTTGCAATCCGAGTGTCTATTTCTTCGTTCAGCAGTTATTGATACTTGTGTGTGTGCTTGTTCGATACAGCGCAACCGCCTTCGCGAAATGGGGTCGCGAAAACGACCCGCCCACGAATCACTGGTTTTGTCCCGTCTTCGTGCGAGACTTTGTGGAGTTTTGTTGGATGGATAAGGTATGTTCATGTTCATAAGCATACAAGTTACCCCCCTACCTTACCCTCTTCAAACTCGGCCATCCTCCTCACACAGCATCCAGGTCTGGGTAAAAGAAACCGGCGTGATCCGACAAACCGACAACCTGCACAACTCCGACCAGCGCATCGCCGAAGTGCAACTCGAGCGGGACCGGCAAATCGCCTCTGCCTTCGGGGTGTCCAAGCCGTATATCCTATTTTCCAAGCACCACTACATGTCGAATCTCAGGCATCATCGCGGCGGGGGCGGGGGCGGCGGGGGTGTCATAACCACAGCAGGAGCAGGAGCAGGAGTAGGGGGCATCACGCCGGGCACGCGCTTCAACGAGATGGTGGTGTACCCGCAGGTGCAGGACGCGCTGTTCTACGGGACGCCGATCCCGCTCGCGCGGGTGGCGCAGGCGGGGGCGACGTTCGCGGACTTGAGGTACCACAATCAGATCCGCGCGTGGAATATCAAGGCGAACACGGAGACGTATGGGGACTTTCGCGCGCATGGGGAGCCGTTTATGTGAGTACCTACACTACATACCTAAGGTTAGGTGAGTAGATAGATAGTGGCGGGGGATGGACGGATAGAGGATCAAGTCACTGCCAAGGTAGAGAGGAGGAGGAGGAGGACGGATAGAATATAAATAGGTAGGTACCTAGAATGGGTTGGCACCCTTTGTCCGAAACTCAGGCCAGCAAGCAAGCAAGTCGATGAGATACGGGAGAGCCTTTGTCCTCTGAGGCCGGTATTGGAGTCAGCGAAAGAGGCTCTATTCATGGTAGTCTATGTAACTTAAGCTCGATGTGATTATCCCTACATATATAAATACCTTATATACCTAATCTGTAAGGCTGAGTCGTAAAGCTTGCCTAGAGTATCGCATCGCATACTAGGTACCTACTAGACAACTAATCTAATTCCAGAAAGCGTTTCGCGATAAACTTGAAGCCAACTAGTTATACGATCTAACTTAGACTAGATTCACACTTCGAAATTCACATTTTCCAAACAGGCAGCATGTATCAATGAGGTTAGGTAAGTATTCCTCCCCCCCTGAGCCCACCAGATAAATCAAGCCAATGGAAGTGCACTTCGCTTCTTTTAGCTGTTCATAGGCTAGTGTATTGTACGTCTAGGTAGTTAGGTTAGTTGAATACTAGTTACTAGGCACGGAAAAGTCCACTGCCTCAGCCGCAAGCCACCCAATCTCGTCAACATATCACGATGTGGAGGCAAGGTCTCCAGCGCTAATCTGACTGGGTAACATAACTATGTACCTATCATAAACTAACCACCATGCATGCCGAGCTAGCACACACACACAGGCCCTTAATCTTAGAGATTCAGCCGCAACGTTTGGGCACAAGCCGTTGGGGTATGACACTACGTGGAAGGGCATTGGTTGAGCCTCCGAAAAAATGAGGCCTAGGTGTAGGTAGATCATAGATGCGATGCAATGCGCTCCCCCTGTTATCCTCTTACCCCGGCTTGAGTGAAGCCACTATTTACATACACGCCTACTGACTAGGCTCGGTAGGTATTCAGCTAACGGCGTCTTAATGCGGGCGTTTTTTCTTTCTTTCTAGGAAGATAGATTAGGTAGATTCGTGATAGGTTGAATAGAGATTTCGGTCAACATACATACATACCTACCTAGCATATGAGTAAGGGGAAGCCCCCATCCCCGCTCCTTTCTTTCAGTTTTCACTTTTCTTGTCTCGCCTTGTGTTGTCCTGTCTCCATCTTTCCTCTCTTCGTCTTCTCTCGACAGAATCGTGAGCGTGTAAGTCTTGGAGAAACAACAGCAGCAGCAACAGTAACGTTTGGTTTCTCTAGTTCGCGTGCGTGCGTGCGTGCGTGCGAAGTTGAAAAGATGGAGCAGCCAGTGGCCTCCAAGTACTCGAGCCAGCGGGCTCCCGGGAAGGAGCACATCCCCCTTTTCCCTAAAGGCTTCGTCGCCATCCGTATAATCCAACTGGTGGTTGCCATCATCTGCCTAGGCTTGAGTGCGTTCGGCATCGCTTTTCTGGTCTTTGCTGGCGATTGCCTGACGCTGTTTACCGTATGTCTCCCCTCCCCCCCTTCTATCTGATAAACACTACCTACCTACCTTATCTCTTAGAGCTTCCCCACGAGCTTCTAGTTTACCCAGGTAATCTAGAACAGCACTAACCACACTCAACATACCAGTCCATCGCGACCCTCCTGACCAGCATCTACATCCTCGTCGCGCACTTCGGCCCGCCAAAGGCATACAACTACTGGGCGATCCTCGGCCTCGACATCTTCCTCGTGCTCTTCTGGCTCATCTCCTTCGCCATCCTCGCGGCCCAGGTCGCGTCCGCCTTCGCCGCGTACAGCGAGTACAGCGACTACTACGACGACTACTACGACCTGAGCGCGTACGACGCCGCGATCACGACGTACGGCGCGTGCTTGGCGGCCGCCGCGGGGCTGGGCGGGCTGGAGTTGTGAGTTTTTGACTGCCCCCCCGTTTTCTACTACCTACCTACCTCCCTACCTCCTTACCTCCCTACCTATCTACACAACTAACACCAAAACAGCCTCCTCTACATAATCTCCCTAACAATCCACGGCATAATGCTGCACCGGCACCGCAAGTCCGGCCTCAAAGCCATGCCCCTCGCCACTACTCACCACCCTACCACCGCCCCCGCCGCCCCCGGCGAACTACAAGGCGACGGCGGCGCCAAGTTCCAAATGGTGCAGCAGCCGCAACACCAGCAGCCGCAGCCGCAGCCGCAGCCAGCCGCCGGGGCGTGGAACACGGCGCACCCTCCTGCGCCTGCTGGATCGCAAGTTGCTGGCAGTGGTGGGAATGGGGGCGGGGGGTTCTACCCGCCGCACTCGCCGAGCCCGATCTCGCCGCAGCCGACGGGGGGCGCTTACGCGCAGCCGCAGCCGCAGCAGTACCCGCAACAGCAGGGAGCGGCGAACCCCGGCCACCAGCCGATCTACGAGGCGCCGGGGCATGCGCAGCAGTATCCTTCCGCGTAGTCGCCTACCTAACCTAGGTTCCTGTGTTAATTAGCCTAGCCTGAGAGAAGAGAGAAGAGAGAAGAGAGAAGAGAGAAGAGAGAAGAGAGAAGAGAGAAGAGAGAAGAGAGAAGAGAGAAGAGAGAAGAGAGAAAAGGAGAGGAGAAGAGAAGAGAAGGAGGCGGTGATTGCGTTTTGTGACCGATGCTTTTGTTTTGGACTTATGGCATACCTACCTAGGTTAGGTGCCTAATGGGAGTCCGAAGCGATGGGGATGAATGAATGAGTCTCTTGGTACCTAGGCGTGGTGAGTATACGTGAAGTGAGTACCTATAAGCGAGGGGAGTTGAGGTGAGGTGAGGTGAGGTGAGGTGAGGTGAGGTGAGCTGTGAGGTATGGTAAGGTAGGTAAGTAGGAAACAAAGAGCTCAAACTTGTATACTCACCTAATCTAGGTAGGCTGAGGACTTATTCCAGCAGCACTGTACAATTACATTTTATCCATACCTACTACATGTTTCTACCATAGGTATACCATATTCTCAATCATCTTTTTAACCCCCTCTAAACTAATTCCGCAACGGCATCTCTAAGACTTACCTGCCTACCGTCTATACCTATGTATGCAGTAAGTTCAACGTTCCTCCACCACCTAAGATTTCATTCCCATTCCCATCCCCATTTCCTTTGTCCAAGACTCAATCAATTAATCAATCAAAAGCCAATTAAACTAACTAACTAACTGCATCTTCTATTCTGCTCTATTCCATTCTATTCTATTGTATTCTGTTCCGTCCCGTGTTCTGTTCTACTCTACATACCTACCTCTAGTTACCTCCCCAATTCTGCTTTCAACCAAGGAATGCGCCCCCTTTTTTCTCCTACTCACTACCAACCACCGAATCCGGTAACCCTCACAAACGGAAACATCCCCCATCAAACAAAAACAAGCCCATCCAATTCTCACAAACAGCACCCCCCAAAACAAAACAGATTCCGGCTCAATTCTTTTGTCATGTCAGCATAGAAAGAAAGAAGAAAAAAAAACGCCGAAAACCTCAAGTAGTAAGTGCAAGCAAAAAAATCCCCCCCTCAGAAAAACACTTCCTCTGTCTTCTTATTATCTCAGCCTAGGCACCAACCAGAACGATATTTTGGAGACTCCCAAAAACCAGAATCCATAAATTTTTTTTTATTCTTTTCCCTTTGTCTGCATCAGACAACCCTTTTCATTCTCGATTGTTCTTTTACCTACTAACTCGCATAAAGTGCCCATCTGTCATCTAAGCTAAGCATTTCTTGTCTCTTCTCATCCATCTTGTTCAAGGTGTCTCTTCCCCGAGAAAAATAAGATAAAAACAATACAAAACAATACATCATCATCGGGGTCATCGTCATCTAAGACCCTCGTAAGAATCCGTGCGCAAAAGAAGATAACAGAAAGGGGGGTGCAAAAAGAAGAGAAGAGAAGAAAAGTGACAGTACCAACCAAGTACCTACTATAAGTTCACCTAGGTTTCGACATCACACCAACCGCCAAAATGTCAGCCCAAAGACCCAACTGGATGCAGCGAAGACCCAGGGCCGGCGGCAACCAACAGCAACAAGGCAAACCCCAAGCCAACAGAACCACGACGCCCAAGACCACCAAGCCCGCCGCGATGATCGTCGTCGACAGAGCGAAGGACTACCCCAAGAGCTTCCTGGAGGCGAGCTACCACGCCATCTTCGGGGACCCGGACCTGAAATGGGGCGTCTTCCACGCGCACGTGCGGCAGGCGCGCAAGGAGGACCGGTGGGTCGAGTGGAGCATGCGGGACATCGCCGAAAAGGTGCCGGACGACGCGGACCCGAGCCGTAAGAACGAGAACGTGACGCCGCAAGCGCACCGACACTACCGGTTCGCCGAAGAGGTGAACCGCTGGGTCGCGCCCGCGCGCATTGACTTCAACGACCTACTGCAGCGCCGCTCCCACCCGGCCGACTACGACGACGACTTCTACAAGCTGCACTTCGGGAACCTGTATGACAAGACCGTCGAGTTCGCCACCAAGTGGTTCGACGGCGGCATCAACTACCGCCGGGTCGCGCCGGACATCGGCATCTGGGACACGAATCTGCCCCCACAGTTCATCAACTACGCGATCGAGGTCGCCCACGAAGATCCGGGCCATAGCAGCTGGGCCGCCATGATGAACGACCCTACCCAGCGTAGGTGGCTTGTCATTGGTATACTCGGCAAGATTATGCAAAAGAAGATCTTCAATGAGCTTCTATTCGGAGCAGACCCTAATCTCGCTCAGGAATTGGAAAGGGACGACCTCCTTTACGCAGACAAGGAAGGTGAGTGGAATATCCCCCCAAGCCCCAATCATTTCTTTCTTCTCCTTCTCCTTCTTCTCTTCCTTCATTATACGTAGATATCCTTGCTAACATTGCTGCTACTAACCAAAGGTTATCATCGCAAGCAGCAGCGTCTCATCAAGATACGATGGTCATTAGGTGAGCGACGGTCAGCTTTGATTCCCAGTAACTTCTGGAACGAAGTGGATGACCTGGCGGCCCGGGTGACGGAGATATTTTTGCCGCTTTTGAACATGTTGCAGTTGTCGATGCCCGACAGCAAGACTTGGTTTAAGCCGGAAATGTTCTTGTGTGAACTTCACTATATCCTGGCCTACGCCGGCATGTTTCAGGTCTGCACGGCCATCTCGCCCTCCATCTTCAAATATATATTCGCCACGCCCAGCGCTCGCATGGACTACAACCAAGAGAGTCAAGCCGATATGGGACTTTATTCCCAGTCCCTGGAGGCGCACACGAAGAAAGACAAGGCATCCATCGAATATATGCGCAGGAGCGTTGCCGGGCAGCCCGTTGGAGACGCGCCTAAGGACGTGGGAACCAAAGTGCCGAAAACCTTGGCCGAGCTAGCCATAGAAGAGCACCATCGCATCCGCGGCGCCAAGGTCAAGATCGCCATCTTCCCCAAACTCACCCGTTATACGCCTAGGCACAAGAACAAGGGCCTTCCCCCCGAGCCCACTGCGGAACAGTATAGGGATCGCAACTTCATGCAGAAATTCATGGACGATAACGTCGATGAAATGGAGGGCCAGATTATCTCCGAGATCTCGGACTGCATGGTAGTCTACTACCAAGGCCGCATGTATCCCCGAGACGGCAATGAAGGGGCACTGATGCTGAATTGTCACCTGAACCGCAGGGTGCGAAAAACCAACGGCCTACTAGCCTTGGTCGGCTGGCTCATCAAGTCTCTGTTCATGCTGGCCAGAAGATTGTTCTGGCATCTTGCCGTACTTACGATCAGCATTGCAGTCATTGCTGGTGTAAGTTGGCTGTTAACAAAGTTATACAGCGAACTCGACATTTACATGATCTTCTCTTACATCTGGTTCTGGGGCTGGGCTTGTGTCCTTCCCATCACCGCCATCGCAACTTCCTTCCTCCCTATGGACAAATTAACCAAGGGTTTATTGATTCTCGGAGCGTTTGGAAGCCAGGTAATCTGGGCCATGGTGTACAGGCAGTCGTTGACCGCTGCACTTCTCGCCGACAACCTCAACAACCTCGGCAATGCGGCCCAACCATCGCCCAATCTAGCCGACAACCTAGGTGGAGTGTTCGGCCAAAACCTGGGTGGAGACCTGGGAGGTATTTCCAATGATCCTGATATCCTCTCTGGATTGTCTTGAGCGGATTGTCTTGGGCGATTCAAGAACTCCTAGTTGTATGAGGTGTGCAAACGAAGAAGATATGTAAATGTTAGGAGTTGTCAGTATAGAGCACCATTGGAGGGTTAGTTGTGCATTCATGGGTGATAAGCCTTTGCACTTCCTTCGCCTCTTCTCTCTTTTCTACTTTGTTTTGTTTTTGTTTTGTTGTTTAGGCTTTAGTTTTCGGGTAATTTTCTGTCCAACCCGCATGTACCTTGCAGTCGGTCTTACATTAGGAAGATAAAATATTAAAATATTTTACCCGGAATGATTCGCCTATTCTGACGTGCTTACCTACCTAAGTAGGCTCGTACTGTTTTTGATATAGTGTAGACGTGTAGATATAGGTGTCTCCACCTACCTAGGCCCTAGGGTAGGTATCCATGGATGTAATTCTATACCACCATGAGCAGCTACAACTAGTAATTTCCACCGAGTCTTCAAATAGGTCATCGTCAACCTTGCTATCGCGCTTCTAGTTACGCGACCTGAGAATATTGCCATAAACAGCGACACAGCTACCCATAAAAGCAGCGCTATCGACAATATAGCTATAAGCTATACAATACGGTCAGCATTAGTTTTCATGATGAAAAGAGAAGGCCACAAACTTTGGCCAAGTATAGTATCCACCCTTTCAGACACATTAGGAATAGTTAATGTGGAAAACCTACATCAGAATATGCTTGAATGGGCAATGTTTCTTACACAACTGCCGACGCGAATTGGAGTAGTCATGCAAACCCGTCCCTATCTCCGCATATGAGCCCTCGGCCGTTACGCGGCAGATATGGGAATAAAAAGGGGCAACAGACCTGGAATTGTTGCGTTCTTACACACCTATACTCAAAAGTCCTTGGGATAATACAATGGCTCTACCCAGATACGCAGACCCCGTATATCAGACGGCTCACGATGACGCTTTTTCGAAGCCGCTGTTTGCCAAGATCGAAGCTGTTCTGCCACCAGATGTGAGTAGCGAGGATTTCGCGCAAGCCATCAAGCAAATTACAGAAGCGCTGGGGAAAGATGCTGTTTTCACAGGTGATGATCTGAAGGATTACGTTGACCCGTATGAAATACCCGAGTCTGGGCATGGAAGAAATGTGCCGAGCGCTGCGGTCTGGTAAGAGATGCATATCCCCCCATAAATTCGTTATGCACACTTGTTAATCTGTGAGGTGGTAGTCCGGACTCGGTGCCGCAACTTCAGGCTCTCCTAAAGATAGTAAATCAATATAAAATACCCGTATGGACGTTCTCTCGGGGAAAGAATTTTGGGTTCGCTTTGTTGAATCTCCTGAGCATATTGAGCGAGAAAAGACTAACACAATACGCAGCTATGGAGGGCCAGCGCCTCGCGTTTCGGGGTGCATCGCTCTGGACCTGCATCGAATGAACAAAGTTTTGGAACTGAATGAGAAATTTGCTTATGCGGTAGTTGAACCAGGAGTCACCTTTGGTGATCTGTATGAGCATTGTGCGAAGAACAAATACAAGGTCTGGCCAAGCACAGCATCGCTCGGATGGGGCAGTGTTATTGGTAACGTGAGTGCCCACTTTCCAGGTTGTTATGAAGAAGATATGGATCCCATCCTAACCTAAGCGCTTAGGCTCTTGATAGGGGCTTGGGATTTCTCCCAACGGGTGTGCACCACGAAAACATAGCCGGCATGGAAGTTGTTCTTGCAAACGGTGATGTGGTTCGTACGGGACAGTTTGCCATGTCCAACTCCCCGTCGGCGCATGTGACAAACCTGGCCTTCGGTCCCACCATCGATGGGCTCTTCCTGCAAAGCAACCTGGGAATAGTGACCAAAATGGGTGTTCACCTGACGAAACAACCGCAGTCTTACATGGCTTGTTCGTTCGATGTGCCGGAATTCGAAGACATCAAGACCATTGTCGATGTCTTCGGAGAGCTGCGACGGAACGGCACTATACCATACATGTTTTATGTATTCTATATTGCGGAATGGGCCACCATGTTCGGCAAGCATTCCGAATGGTGGGCTGGCGAAGGGCCAATTCCGGACTGGAGACTCAAAGAGATGCAGAAGGAACTGGATACGGGCGCATGGACAGTGAAATTCGGACTATACGGGCCGACGCAGATCGTCAAGGCTCAGTTCGATGAGGTGCAGAGAGTAACGAGTGAGAAAGCACCAACCGGTCGTCTTCAACAGTCTCTATTCACCGGAGAAAACGGAGGACTTCTCGAGGCAACAGCTGTTTCTGACGTCTATGGTGGCGTGAGAGTAGGCATCCCCAGCATGTGGAATATACCGATGGTGAACTATTACAACAACCGCGAGGACTCGGTTGGTGCACACACCGCCTACTCACCCATCGTACCTCTGGAGGGCGAGACCATATTAGAATGGGCGCAGACGGCCAAGGCCATTTGTGAGGCAGAGGGGTTTGATTACTTGTGCGACTTCTTCATGCATGAACGGTATGCCATCTTCGTTACTATGCTGCTATTCGACAAGACTAGTAAGGAACAGCGAACCGGCATAGACAAGATTTTCAAAAGACTTTTTGAAGAAGGTAGCAAGCGTGGCTTCGCCAAATACCGAGCACATTTGGGTCATATGGGTATGTTTTTCTTTTCCCTAGAACTTGAATGCGGTTGAAAAGAGAAGAATGAACTGACCAAGCGATATTCAGATATGAATGCCGAGCTCTTCGACTTCAACGACCATGCGTATCGTCGCTTCGTAGAGACATTGAAGGTTAGCTTTTCCCCTCTTTTTCGTTTCGAGATATGATAAATTGATAATTCGCGATGATGTACTGAACTTGTTTATAGGCGTCCTTGGATCCTAACGGTATCCTGTCTCCAGGGAAGATGGGGATTTGGCCAGAGAGACTGAAACGATTTAGGAACTTGGAGTAAAAATACTGGTATTGGTGCTTAGTCATCCAGGGTCTACCTGCCTCACCACTTCAAATATTGTGGTGAGAGAAAGTATAAGGTATACCTACATGTAGTAGTTTACTTCAGGTACTTCGTAGTCATGTGACAGGACCTGCTAGTGGGACTGCCAAGAATTCATAAGATCAATACAATGGTCAAGTTTTACTCCGTACATACATACCTACCTACAATGTACATATCGTCATCTGTTCGTTTTTAGCCATCCAAGTTTAATCTTGTCATCCTAGGTATGTATCTATGAGATGTGTGAGATGCAGCAGAAAACCCAGGTTGAACTAAGTAGTACGAGCCTAAAAACAAACACCACCAAAAAACCACAACAACTACTATGCTTTACTTACCCCAGGTGCCTAGGTACCTAACTGGGTATCTTGTCTAGCTTTCCTATGAAAAGGGGCACAGCACACATTATGACGGTTTCATAGTCACTACCTAGTACACTTGCCTATGTACATAGGTAGGAAACTATGATGTATCCACCATCCATCCATACACACCTAACGTATCACTTACTATCAAGTCAAAGAGAGAGGAGAGGAAGCACAACAATGTGTAGGTAGTAACTTTTTTATACATAGGTATGTACGTATATTATATTGCTTAAAAAACCACCAGGGGGGGAGGGTGTCCCGATATCCCATCCCATCCCCATCCCATCCCATTCCCACCCATCCCTCCACCCCGCTCAAACTAATAGCAATTCTTCGACTTCGAAAGGTAGTTCTTGCCCACATTCGAGCACGCGCACTTGGAGTACTTCGTCCCCGTCGTGTTGACATCCCAGTCGACGTCCTTCTCTGGGCAGAGCAGCCAGCGATCAAGATTGCTAACCCAGTGGGAGAAGCCCTTGAAGACGCCGATGTTGTAGAGGCACTCGGGCGTGTGCGCCGTGATGTCCTTGTTCTTCATGTCGACCTGCCCGCTCGAGTCCGGGTGCTTGCGCGCGCAGTCGATCGCGTTGTTGTACATGAGCCCCACGTCCAGCGCCCCGATGTTCGGGTCCATCATCTTGTCGATGATGGCTTCCTGTTGTCCGTCGGCGGTCAGGTAGTCGTTGCGCTGGTTGCGCATCCACAGGTCCGCGCACCCGCCTTGGATCCAGAAACGCTTGCCCTCGGCGAGGCAGTCCTTCTCGGACTTGATCGCCGTGTTGATGTAGATGAAGTAGCCAAACTGCCGCAGAGTCTGGACTGCCATCGACCGCCGGAGGTTGAGGCCCCATTTTTCTTTCAGGGGTGACATTTCCGAGTCGATGTCCATGACCAGGAAGCGCCCCTTGTCGAAGTACTTGCCAACGTTGGTGCTGCGGCCACTGCCCTTCAGGTTCGGCAGGTCCTTGGTCGACAGCTTAGAGTTGCTGGGGTCAAACCCTTTCATCGCTAACCTACCCAGAGACTCCAGCGAGTCTATGCCGGACTCGAACGTGCTCTCCAGCGCCCCCTTAACCGCGTCTTCCACCTCCTGGTCCGTCGGCTCGCCCGTGAGCCGGTGCTGCGCGGTTCCGGAAACGCCCAAGTTGATCACACCCAATATGCCGGTGAAGATACCGCCGAGCAGTGCGTTTCCCGAAGCGAGGGCCGCGAGCACCACGAATATACCGGAGATGAGAGACGGGATGGGTGACACGTCGCCCTTCCTGCCGGGCCTGAACGCGTTGAGGAGTTGCGGAATATGCAGCATCTCGGTGACGGTCTTCGTCACCATCCACGTGCTCAGATATTGCAGCACTTCGTAGTGCGCCTTGGCCGCCATGCGGATCCAGTACATGCGCGTGTCCTTGAAAGAAGAGCAGCGCTGCGGGGAGTCGCACTTCCCGCCCCCCAGCGTGTCGCAGTAGTTCTCAGGGGCCACTTCCGCGCCCGCAAAGGCCTTGTCCATCCTGCTGAACCACTGCTTCTCGCCGTTCTTCTTCACCCAGTCGTCAAGGAACTTGCCGACCCCGAGCCCCGTGTCCTCCCATATGAACTCTCGGTACTTGGTGATGTCTGCGTTCTTCAGATCACACTTTGTACATATGTCCGGGTTCAGTCTGCACTGCTGGGACTGTGATACAGGAGGAGCGGCCCGGGAAAGTATCAGGTCTGAGGGTACAGAGCCGGGAGCGGCATTAGCGAGGAGGAAGGTAGTCGTCAAGAGACTTATAATCATTGGGTATCTTAGTGTCATGATAGGCTAAATAGAATGTGAATGATGATCTTATAAAACAGCTTGTAGCAAACCTTGAATACTGGGACCAAGTCAGGGTCTCGTGGATTTATATACATATATGCATAATTTCGAGACTCATAATATTCTTCGAGCTCGCTCGCTGCACCCTCTTCGCCATTGCTTCGCGGCACAGTAAAAGATCATCTAGGCTTCTGAGTATGGGGTTTTCGGGTTCGGGGGCTTAATCTCTAGAGGGATCTCTAGGGATTCTCTTGCGGCGAGTAATTTTACCTACCTAGCAGGTGTTGTACCTACCATGTCTGCCCAGGGGTACTTACTAAGGTAGGTAGGTAGACAGACACAATGCTTGAATCCTCGAACCACTCGATCCACAGGAAGGAATGAAAAAATATTTTACTCATTTCATCTAAGTACCTAGGTATATTTCTTTGTTTTGCCCCCCCCCCCCCCCCCCTTCCCCCTTCTGATCTCTTTCTTTGTGGGGAAGTCTTGCCGAATCCATCGCTTAGGTACAGTATGATACGGCTGGCTATATCTGATCCATATATTTGAGGGTTACATAAGAATAGAGGGGGGCTATATAGAACAGAAAAAAAAGAAAAGAAAGAAAAAAGCAAAAATAAACGTCAAAACACTAGACTCTCTTACTAGTAATAGTAGTTAGAGACTCTTAAAAAAAAGTCTTGGTATTATTATCTTTTCATACTTTACTTGACTTGCCAACTGAATCCTTCGTCTATGGGGCATGATCGGGAGATATCACACAATTATGTAAGTCTCGACGCCAAACTTGTACGAGCTACCTAGTCCAACGTAGTTCCGTTCCTGGAGGGTTGCACTTCCAAGGATGTAAATAACCTTTTTTTTTTTTTTTTTAGTAATGAGACGATACTTATTAACTAGGTACACTAGCAGGGCTATATTGGTATGTGGGGAAAAAGGCTGAGAGAAGTGTGGGGTTTTAAATCTGGGGAATGTTGTGGGGCGTTCCTCGGAGAAAAACTTGAAGCAAGGTAAGGCCTGTTTGCTATGTACATGAAAGACACCAGTGCTGCGCTGCTGCACACGTGGGAGGGATGACAGGTACGTACTAGGTACCTAGTAGGGTAATGCTCGACTACCTGGTAACGTCATATCAATACAAACGCATCACATCTATGGACGATCAAGATGCCAGATCATATCGTACTCTAAGTTCCAGATATCCTATAAAATCCACCCAGGCAAGCATCCCACATAAGACGGTAAGTAAAACTTTTCATTTCTCAAGATCAAAATGAATATACAGTCAAAATAAAAGCCTCAAACGTCGTCTGTTATCGGCCGTCGGCGGCGAGCTCTGAACATTCAATATATTCCAGCTTCTATTTATATCTCTTCCAAGTTAATAATGTGGGGTTGCTAGTGCCTTTCCATCCCATATCCCTGTCGTCAATACAATCCCTGCCCGCATCTCGTCGGCTGTCACATAAAATCTACCGCTTGTCCACATGTCAGTCGCATCATGCCGTATGACCTGATCTAGTTAACTGCCTAGCTATTAGCGGTGGCTAAAGGTTGAGTTGGAGAAGTTGGCAGAACCCACGTCACAACCCAACAACGCTGAAGGATGCTAATAAGGGCGTGTGAGCTGTACTACTACGGCAACTAGGCTTTTCGACATTGCAAGCATGCCTGCCTATCTAGACGTATAGCATGAACAACAAAAATGACAGGAAGCTGAGCATGTGTGAATAACCGACTAAGGTATACAAGTTTTCCAAGATATACCATTCCTGCCTCATGAAGCAAGTACATAACCCTAGTAGTTACCTGCCAGGTAGGAATAGCAGGATCGCCCACCCGTACGCAGCGCTGTGAAATATATCTATCGACGTAGATATTTACTCGGGTAATTTAGGTAAAGTGTAGCGGGTGGGCGGGTAGGAAAAAGAAAGTAGGCATCATATTGCGAAGTTCGCAAACCCAACCCAACCCAACCGCCCAAGCAAAAGCCAAGTTAACCTAGGTATGTTAGTTTACTTACTTCGCCCTCGAGGTCTCGCTTGGCCTTTCTTGCAGTTCCCTACGGGTGGATGGATAGATAGATACGGCGCAGGTCCTATCCTGTCCTGTCCTGTCCCTGCGCAAATCGTGGAACTTACTAGGTGAGTTACCTAGTACGATGCAGCCTTACAGCCTAGGCTACCTCACAGATTACAGATCTTCCCCCTTCATTACCCAGGTTAGGTGCGGTGCTGAAGATCCGATACGATGAGTCTGCATAGAACCCATCTACCTACCTACCTACCTAGCCAGGTTGGCTAGGTAATTAGTTAGGTAGGAAGATAGTAGGTATATAAGGGCTGAGGATCGAGGCGTCTGGTAGATCCAGCCAAGAACCAAGGCGACACCACACCACACCATCGTACCAACAACCTGTCACACCATCCCATCCCATCCCATCCCTCGCCTTCTCCAGTCTCCAGTCTATATGCGCAGAAGAATCCATAGGAAGGAAGCTGTTGCCCGCGCCTCTTACTTCATATTAATGCACAACACAATTCAATTCAAGAATGTGAGTCTTAACCTACCTAGCCACTGGGCCCTGGGCACTTGACTAGGTGCGTTACATCCTAAACGTCATCCCCTTTTGAGGTGTCGGTGTTGGGAGGATCAGAACCTTAATACGCCCCCCCCCCCCCTGTCTTGGGCTTGGCTTGGCTTGGCTTGACTTTCCCCATACTACTATGCGGCGTAAGGTAAGAAAGATCCTAGCGGTTTTAGGCGAGTGGCAGTAGCTGGCAAGGGAAATGCTTCTCCTGAAATCCGGGGGAGTTTGCATCGGCGCTAGCTAAGGCTAAAGAGGTTTGATTTTACGGTACCCACCGCATTCTCTTGCTTATTACTTTCTCCGCGGCTGTGGTGAGGGAACTCATCATGATATGATACTTAACCTAGGTAGTTGCCCGTCTCTTTTTTTTTTAAACTCGTCGACATAAAGAAAGAGCTTTGGCAATAATATCATCTTCAACGGCACTTGCGTGGCCTAACCTAGTACCTATTATCTGTTAGGTAGGCATAAGATAAATCCTGGATCAATTTCATTCCGAAACACTCACTTCTAAACCATCATATAAACATAACTTGCCTACCTAGGTAGCTATAGTAAACGAGTTGTACCAAATACGGAACTCTTTCCCTCCAACCCGAAGCATCAGGAGTCTACCTGGGGGTGCTAGGACAAAGACTGCTACAGTGCTATACGTATTCTCCTCCCTATTCTCCGGAAAGATGTTAGTAAGACATCCCTTCGAGGTTGCATCAACGGTGTTCCAGGCTTGTTGTGCGTCTTCCAACTTAGGTGACATATACCCAAGCCTCTTCTTACCGATGAGTGTTTTAACATCTATCATCCACACTACCAACGACAATGACAATATTTCTAACTCACCTCCCCCCTTCCTCCCCCTTTCCCTTTCCCTTCCTTTCTACCTACCTAGGTAGCCTTACCTTTCCAAGCAGCAAAGCAACAACTAATATTCAGAAGAAAAAAAGACGCCCAAAAACCTTGGAAGCCAGTACGAAGGCAAACAACAACCTCAACTGCATGTAATCCTCCCTAGCCCCCTTACCTCCCTCCCTCCCTCCTTACTTGCCTAATTACTTAGGTACCTAGGTATACCGTATATATCCATAATACCATACCATATCAGGACTAATAACAGCTAGACACAATCATTATAGGCGTTTAGATACCTACTCCCGCAGTTAACTTTGAGAATCCGGAATAAGAAAGCCTAAGCTTTTACTGAAAGAACACACGCACACATAGAAACACACATAGAAAGAGAGAGATAAATGGTATATAAGTAGATTGTCTCAAAATTGATATATACTCCCAGGTAGATCATGTACAAGATGCCATCCATAGTAAGTACCAGTATTTATTTATTTATCCCAAGCTCTAGATAACGGGGTAGTTAAAACGGTGATATTCGAGTCGTACATCCACTTCCACATCCCTCACGTTCGTTCCTGGATGTCTCATTAGTGATAACTGATCAGATTCCTCCCATGAATCCGATCCGGCCCATTGCAAGGCCATTGTCCATCCAGTTTTGCCAGTTGAACCCTTCATCTAGGTCCATCTCCATGTTGACATCTCGGCTCCCTATAGTGGGCGTATTCGTTGTTGTACTGCCATTCCAGCTGTCAGACCACATCCAAGGTGGCGGGTTGTCCTCGATGAAACCTTGCGAAGGGGGGACCGTTGTTGGCTGATAGACATCGTTGCCAATAGTACCAATGGGCTCATTGGCTAAAACACGGGATCCACTAGGCGGCTGCCCGCCCCCTTCCGTCAAGTAGGCGCCGTTGCTTGTATATGCGGCTCCGAAGATATCCTGACTGTCGAGATACGGTTGCGATATCATCTGATCAACGTAGTGTAGACCATTCTGAGAGACTCCAACCGGTACCTTCCTCTCTTCTGGGGCATCGTCGGAAGATGGAAGAGCTTTAGGTTCCTCAACCCCGACTAGCTTGCGCCACTGTTCTTGGGCCACAACGCTTCGGACTGAATTAGAAAGGTGCTTGAAGCTATCCGGCTGCGTTCTTTGCTTCTCGTCAAAGTCTAACTGGCGCGCGGCTTCGGGATCTGCCTTTAAGCGCCGTATTTCCTCTTCCCTGCGGCGCTTCGCCTGGGCCATCAGCTTGCGTAGCGGAACCCAAACCCCGGGTCGGGACCGCTCCGTCGCATCAGAGGCATGGAAGGTTGCGTTGAGAACTATCCAGGCCCGCTCGACCGATGCCGTCCAGGGCAGACGGCACACCTCAAGCAATAGATAGGCCACGGCGTGCCACTGCCCGTATGTTTGGAAAAGCCATCGCCATTGTTTACATCTGGCTTCAGAGTTCAAAACCCTCGTACATTCGACTACCTCGAGAGATGCCATGAATAAGCGATATCGGAAATCTTTGTGAATATCTTGCCCTGTCGGATGCAGTATCATTGGCTGGTAGATGATCAAGCTCATTTTGGCCATGATTAGCCGTGCGATCATGGAGGCAACCCAGTGCAACACGTCCGTATCCTTGTCGCCGCACGTACTCAGGTATAGCTTCTCGATGCGCTCGTAACATTCGAGAAGCATTTCGTCGCTTTCCGCCTCCGTGCTCCTAGATCGGCACGGGGCCAAGCCATTAGTAGAAAAGTGTATCCGCCTGGCTAGGGCGCAGATCTCATAACGAATGAGACAAAAGGTCATATCCGTCGGTCCCATCTTTTCTTCCGGAAAATCTGTCATTTCCGGATTCATGTCTACATCGTCAATATTTAGCGGAAATCTCGTATCATATGTCCGTTCTGCGATCGTTAACTCGGTCCCTTGGTCTTCCGCCGATCGGAGATCGAGTATGCATATAGCCCACCACAGCCGGCGACGCATCTCGACGTCGAAGGGGCTCAAGTCGTCAAACTTGGTGCCCTCCCTATGTATTCCGAGCGACTGAGAGATGCGGATAGCGAGACCAGTAAGCGTCCAGGTGAATCGAGTATCGTCATACCGCCGGACAAGGATTAGGAAGATTGTAAAGGCTTGCAGGACGATCAGTTCTGACGTGACGAGGAAATTCGCCTTCGCGAGAGCCTGCTCTGTGGCGAAGCGATACCGTTGTATGAGCTCTCCCTTCTCGGTGCCAAAATTGACTCTGACCTAAAGACGATAATCAGCTCACATTATTTTCAGGTAGCCATTAAAAAGGGACAGAGAGAATCATACCTCTTCATCTTCCATAGAAGTGATGGAAGCGTAGTAGATAGAAAACATGAGAGCCTCCACCCCCGGCGAGATGTCGTGCATATTACTCCGTAGCGCACGGATAGTCTTGTTCATAGACGGCACGTGCAATATCTTGACCAATGGCTCGACATTCTCTTGGTAGACCTGCCAGAGAAAGGGTATCTGAGACGGCAAGGGATGCATCTTCCGCAGGTCAACGTTCGTGGAACTGTATCCGAGCACGAACCCGTGATGGTCAACCTGGTCCGGATAGGGATGGACAGCGCCCGGGCTGCTGTCTTCATCTGAGCCTTCCGAGTCTACCTCGTTGAGCATCTCCGTCTCGGCGCGCAGCTGGTTAATCTGTAGAATTTCGTTAGTTGGAAAACAGCTACCAGATACCCGTAAGTCGCATACCTCATCGTTGATCTTAGACCAGAACGCGCTGCTCACGTATCGTGTGCGACCTTTCTCATTGAGGACCAATCTCCCAAAAGATTTATTAACCTCTCCTGACGGGCTCTTCGGCGTAAAAGCCGATTCGCTAGTCCGAGAAACAAACTTCGCCGGGTCCGCTGGCGGGTAACCTCCGGGAAGATTTTCGCTGTATACGATCTCGTTTTGTCTTCGCCGCTCTTTCTCTTGTTGTGCGTTATCTATCGCTGTCTCTGGCGAAGTCCCGCCGCAGACGGATGGATTTCTCGCCGTCTCGATTTCGATCTGCCCGCTCAAGTCCTCTACTATACTTTCCAGTTTCCGCAACCGCTTCATCAGCTCCATTTCGCGTTCGCTCGTCTGTTTTGGTGGGGCATTGGGATCCTTTATGCGCGGTCGCCGGGGAGCGCGACCAGGCGCAGGGAAAACGCATTGGATATGGGCTTTGCGACAGTTGCCACAAGGCATAAACTTGTCGCACCTGACTTTTCGGCGACGGCACTTTGAGAATGAGTTAGTCAATGCGTCCTCTATGAAGCCATGTTTCGGAAGTAAAAGAGGATAAGTTGCTAAAGTCAGCTCGCTAAGGACAAACTAATTCCAGAGACTAGTTTCCCATACTCGAGAGTTCCCGAGACAGGCCAGAAAGGACAATAAACAACCCTCGATGGTACTTACTGTTACGCAACTGCGCGGATTCAGCGCAGACGAGGGCGTAGTGGACGGATCGAGGCTAATGGGACCAGAGGGTGCGTGAGAGGCGGGATTGGCTACCGACAAAGGATCTTGCGGAGTTGAGACGGTGGTAGGCGAGCTGATAGAGTTGTCGTTCGGGGACGAGCGAGATGATGATTCCATAGGAGTCGGACGGCTCAGAGGAATAGAAATTGAAGATGCGCCAGACATTATACGGGGGAACCACCGGCGACACCCATAAGTAGATTAGGTAGGTATCTTATCTCCAATTGCTGCTGTCTCCCGGTTTTTTTTTTTCTTCCTTCTTTTTCCCTTTGCCCTTTACCCCTTCTTCCTTCTCTTCCCTTATCAATCCCTTTCCTCTTCCTTTTCTTTCTCAATGTAGATTTCTAGGTAGGTTAGGTTAGGTATATAATATTACAGAGAGATCTACGCGGCCAGGCGGGTCAACCGGGAGTTATTATTGAGACAAAAGTGAGCTGAAGATAATTTGTTTCTCTTGACTTTCATCGGTGGCGAATATGAGTTATGTTGAGTTATGTATTGTCTTTGATGTCTGAATAGTAGTGTACCTACGAAGTTGCCAAGTAAAAAGCTTAATATGGATATGATTGTATGGATAAGATTGTATGGATATGATTGATATGGATGTGATTGATATGGAGATTGGTAATGATTAACTTGAACTTTTCTGTCGTCCGTCAAAAAAAACAAGCCTTGGACGGTTGAACGGTCAGTTAACCCCTCCAGGGTGCAGTTTAGTTCAAGGTTCAGTTGTTGGAAAAAGATGATTGATCTAAGAAAAAGTGGCTTAGCTGAAGGCGGGGCGGTTGAAAGGTCAATTGTACGCCGTAGTACTTGCATGAGATTTCTGGGATTTTCCTCTTTCACCGTCTTATTGCCGCGGCTTGAAGTCGGGAATAATAAGATCAGCTTACTACTAGGTATAATTAGGCCTAGTACTCTGTGACGTGACGTTCTAGGTTACAACTATCATATTAGAGTTAGAGTTAGAACGACTGCCACATGACAGTTGACACATTTCAGCCACAGCAGATCAGTCACTCGAGTACACCGATATGATTGGCTTTTGAAATTCAGCCAATGGAATTTGAAGCTAGCCAATGCCAGCCGGCTTAGAAAGGTGACCAGGCCGCTACGACATCGAAGGTACCTAACTAAGGGTTGAATGCGTCCAAGCTGGCGATTACGGGAGATACGGGCGGCTGAACATTTTACGTGGAATTTAGATCAGCGATCGGCTCCGAAAACAAAACTGGTACCGAAGCGGAAGCATTTTTATTAGATAAGCTTAGTTATATGGCACAACTTAAAGCTAGGCGTTCCTTGGAATACCGAAACGGTCATCCCGTTCGCCGAAAAATAGAAATATGAACACAGTTGAGACAAAGTAAGTCACGTGATGGCACGTATTGTTGTAACTTGGAACCGACACTGAGACACTTGAGTCGGACAAAGGGCTCCGTCATACTACTACGGTCATACCCTAGGTAGGGTAAGGTGCTTGATTGAACAGACCCTCGGGAAAACCATCCTAGTCAGGTAAAGCGCGAATCGAAAGTTGGTTCTCGAAAGAATTGGCCATGTATCTAGGTACCTACCGAGGTATGTAACCAAGCACATTGTCGTCAGTTTCACATCATCAACCAATTGACTTCATTCATGTTTAAAAAAAAAAAAGAAAAAGAAAAAGATTGTTGAATATATACCTTGTAACACACTATAATGTAAATTATAATTACATAGTTCTCATATTCAATACTTTAATATATCTATCAATTTACCTACCTACCTCACCTAGCAAGGTAGACAACGTGCCCCAAAATGTCCGTTACAACAAATCCCAAGGCCATGCGGGCCTGGACCTACACCTCAGCAAGCCAAGGCCTAGAGAAGAGCGTCAAGCTAGTTGAGGACGCCTCCCCGCCCTTCCTCCAGGAGCTTCCGGCCGACGGCATCCTCGTCAAAGTCCGCTACAGCGCCCTCAACCCGGCGGACCACAAGATCCCCGAGCTAGGCCTCCTGGGACGCGTGATCGTCTCCGTCCCCGCAACCCCGGGCCTGGACTTCGCCGGGGTCGTCGTCCGCATCGGCGATGCCATCCCCGACGACGCCTTCCTCGTCGGCGACCAGGTCTTCGGACGGATAGCCCCCGGCCAGCACGGCACCCTCGGCGAGTACGTCTGTGCGCGGATGGACGGGTGCGCCGTCCTGCCCAAGGGCGTCTCCCTCGAGGATGCCAGCTGCATCGGCACGGCCGGGCAGACGGCATACCAATGCATTGTGCCGAACGTCAAGGAAGGGGACAAAGTGTTCATCAACGGCGGCAGCGGCGGAACAGGGACGTTCGGGATCCAGATTGCCAAGGCCGTCGGTTGCTTCGTGACGGTCTCCTGCTCCGCAAAAAACGCTGATCTGTGCCGCAGCCTCGGCGCCGATGAAATCGTCGACTACACGACCGAGGACGTGAGCCAAGTCCTGAAGTCCAAGGGCCCCGTCTACAAGCTGGTCGTCGACAACGTCGGCAGCTCGCCACGGGACCTTTTCAAGGCCGCCGACCACTTCCTGCTCCCCGACGGCAAGTTCGTGCAGATCGGCGCGGGGCTGTCGTTCGGCGACATCACGGCCACGGCATCGAGGATGATGCTGCCGACGTATCTGGGAGGTGGCAAGAGCCAATACCAGTGGGTTGTTACCGAGAACCACCACGAGCACCTAGAGAAGCTGGGAAACTGGATGAAGGAGGGCAAGATAAAGGTTATCATTGACGAGGTCTTCGAGTACGCGGAAGTACCGAAGGCGGTCGAGTTTCTAAAGAAGGGGCATTTGAAAGGGAAGATTGTCGTGCGAGGATGCACTTGATGGGTTTAACAGACTTAGAAATGGATGACTGATTGACTGGATGGGATTGGGTAATACTTAGTTTGTAGCTGGCTATTTGGAAATGAACAAAATCTTTGAAACTTACCTAGGTGTTTTGTGATCTGGAACCCCGTTCCTTCTTTTTGGTTCAAGAGATACTAGAACGATGCTCATTTTACTTAGATGCTCGAAAGCTTTTCTGTCATCCAAGTCGGTGAGTACCTAGGTAGCAACAAACTCGGTCCATAAAACAGGTATCTAACATTTCATTTTGGTGTTTGAGAGAGTATTCTCAAGTAGGTACCTGTTAGCTATTACTCACTCTCAGAACCTATCATCATCCATATAACAGTTGATTAGTTTGACGATATTCATTGTATCGCCCTTCTCCTCCTCCCCACTCAGCAAACATACCGATCTAAGAAAAGGACAAGCTCATAACGCAACGGCCAGCAATTCCTTTCAACCGTGCTTCAAAGACGTAATATAACAATACCTACGTATTGAGTAACTCTTCACATCCTCGTAACAGTAGCTTTGTTTTACTGATCTAGAACTAGCATCACTGAACAGAACAATCGGCACTGTCCATACGAACAAATACCTAGGTACGTAGATATATATATACCTATATATAACGGTCTCACCATCGCACCTAATGAACAACTGCCTACCTACCACCCACCTACCTAAAAACCAACACAACACAACACAACACAGACACCTACCTAGGTTACACACACCCCAGAAACAATCCAAACCTCCCAATCCCAATCCCAACCCCCAATCAAAATGGCACCCCCCCACGTCCCTCCCCCTCCTCCCCCCCAAGCCCCCACCCCATCCACAACCCCATCCAACCCCCCCTCTTCCTCCCTCCCACCCACCGACGGCCAGGCGTGCCGGTGCGTCGAGCCTCCACCCCCACCCCCTCGCCTCAACCTCTCCCGCTGGCTCGCAGCGCAGTGCAAAGAGCGGGGCGTCGTGGTTCCGCGCGGAGACGGGGGGGAGTTTGTGCGGTGGCTCGTGGGGCAGGGGCGCCAGGACAGGGAGTATGTGCGGTGGCTCGCGGCGCGGGAGCGCGGCGGTGAAGGTAAAGGTAAAGGGGAGCGCGTCGACCTCTCGCGCTGGCTCGCGGAGCAGTGTCGGGAGCGGGGGGTTATGGTTCCGAGGGAGGGGGAAGACGAGGAAGATGATGATGACGATGAAGGAGATGAGGATTATGAGGATGATGAGGAGGACGATGATGATGACGAAGACGACGACGACGACGATGAAGACGACGATGGTGGACATGAACACGAATACAGATGTCACAATTGTCTCATGACCGAGTTGCAAGAACTGTGCCAAGACGAAGATCTAGACGACGTGTGGAGCTACATCGTTAAAAAAGAAGAAGAGAAGGCGTCTGAAACAGTAGATGCCTAAGCTGTACCTAGGTAGGTACCTAGTAGGTAGGTACATACCAGGTTCAATATAAATATAAATATAAATAAAAATCCAAGATCAAGATGAAGAACACGCAACAATCTCGCAAGTTGGTTCACGGCCAGATGTGAAGAACGTGATGCTAGTTACATATAACCACATTGCTCCTTGTGGACACAATGCTAATTATGAATATAATCGTCAGATATTATTTAGAAAACGACGACCGGTGCAGCTGCGTAAGGGGGGGGATGAGGATGAGGATGTTGGGGCTTGTCATGAGGTTGATAGTACCTCCGAGGTTAAGGAGCATGATGGGCCAGGGGAAGTTCTACGGAAGCAATGGGACATCAATACAACCTACGACTACTAAAGGGTGCGAGGATTCAACATACAAGCACTCGCCAAGCTGCACTGTTCACGGTTAAAAATAGAATTTGTGTATCTAGGTAGTAAGTAGTATTATGATATACAAGGTGACGGTTGTTGGTGATGGTGATGATGGTAGCGATATTGGCAGTTGGCCGGAAAATCTTTTCTTTGGGCCCAACAATAACCTTGAACGTGTGATATCTTCTTCTCCCGCCGCTTTCTAAAATATATCTATAGCGAGGAGTTGTATTCCCTTTATCCCGTGACTCTTTGAGCTTGCAATCGCTCGCAAATGCTTTCTACTACCTGCCGAGCCTTGATACTGCTTCGGCTAAGATGAGACTGCCCTCATGAACCAACTCCTAGGTGACTTCGTAGAACTCCTGCATAGCCACTCCCTACATGAATTCCGACGCAAGACCCAACGCAAACCTACCGAACGCGTAGCGTGATCGACACCCATAAACCTAGTAGTTACTCTCGAGTGTCATTCGATAACTGAGGTCCCTCTCGATTGCATTTCATTTGTTTTTGTTTTTGATTTGATTTTATGATATAGAAATGGGTCATAGTTCTTCATCGTCTCGATGCAGCTGCACGATCTACAGCAGCGGAGCTCTTGGTTGTCATGGAGAGCCCGTTAGCAGTAGCACCGGGAGCTGGGGTGGTGCTCCGAGTGGGAGGAGCAGATCGGTTATGAGCCATATGCGCCTGGACCAGGTGACCAGCGGCGAGAGCACTGCAAAGAGAAAGTTCACCAGCGAGGACTGCCGCACCCACAATGCGAGCAAGGCGACGGGAATTTTCTCCAGGACTTGTCGGATGAGAACCGCGAACTCCAAGCATGTCAAGCATGGCGCCTTGTGGTTCTAGGATGGTACCACCACCAAGGGTTCCCACCTCGATAGACGGCATAGATACAGAGATTTGGAGGGATCCGCGTAGGCTGTAGTAAGTTAGCACGAGATTCGATATGGATAGGGATTATAGATAAACGTACTTCTTCATAATAGTAATACAGTTGCAGCTCTCCACAACCTGTGCAGGGTCCTGTCCAGTGGCGATAAAGAGGGCGGCGACAATATTGGCGGCGTGGGCATTGAAACCTCCAACTGAGGCAGCCATGGCGGAACCAATCAAATTCTTGGATATGTTGAGTTCCACCAAGCTATCAACGTCGCTCTTTAGTACGGCTTGGACTACGTCGCCGGGGATAATAGCCTCGGCGACTACACCTTTGCCACGACCGTCGATCCAGTTGATAGCAGCAGGCTTCTTGTCAATGCAATAGTTTCCAGATACGGAGACGATAGACATGTCCTCGAAGCCACCCTCGGTAGCCATGATCTTTAATGCGTGCTCAACGCCCTTGGAAATCATGTTCATACCCATAGCATCACCAGTAGTTGTCTTGAACCGAATGTACAAGTTGGTTCCCGCAAGAGCCGTCTTCATCGTTTGTAGTCGAGCAAATCGGGACGTGGAGTTAAAGGCCTTCTTCATGACAGACTGGCCCGCCTCAGAATCGATCCAGAGTTTCGCGGCTCCTGCACGCTCAAGCGTCTCGAACTGCACACAAGGTCCACGAGTCATTCCGTCACTTGTCAAGACAGTTATGGCGCCGCCACCAGCGTTGATGGCCTTGCAGCCGCGACTTGTGCTGGCGACGAGAACACCTTCCGTAGTTGCCATGGGGATGAAATAGCTTTGACCATCAATGACGAGGGGACCAGCGACACCAACAGGGATGGGCATGTAACCGATAACGTTTTCGCAGCATGCACCTAGGACTTGCGCCCAGTTATAGTTCTCGTAAGGGAGCTTAGAACGTTCCAAGAGGCCGGTGACGTCGGCCGTGGCTCGAGTCCGCGCGATAACACTTCGGCGAACCTTGACGGCTCTTGTGCAGTCTTTCAGATTCTTTTCTAGAGAGTAACCAGGGATTTTGCCTTGAAGTGACAGAGTCACCACCTCCTCATCCGTCATCTCAAGGTAGCGTTTCTCGGACAGCAACTTCTCCAGCTCTCCTGGGACTCTCGGTACCTTGGGTGACTTCGGTCGCTGGGAAACAAGCGCCTGGATTGTGCTCTCGTCATCGGTATACGCGGGGGTTTCGGGCCGATCGGGTATCGTCTGCGGGACCTGTTTCGGTTCCATCTCGCCCAAAGGTAGGGTCGCAGATTGTGTCTCGTTGAATTTCTCGGCAGCGGCAAGTTCCTGTGGGTTGATAGGGTGGTCAGGTAGATTCGGATCCCGGATACCCCATCTAGCCACATTGAAAAGATAGCCATTGAGCGCTACACTCATGGCTAGGGCGACGACAATCCATTTAGAAAGAATAGGATCTTCCAAGCTGGTGAGAAGGCTGCCGACCATACGCCCTCCAATACCATAACCGCGCAGATGGGTGTAACTCTCACCCATGCCGTTTTGTCCGTCGCCGTAGCCTAAAGGAGGTTCCGCATAATGGATTGAAGGGAACGTTAATTCGTACTTGATCGGAGTAAGGACAGTCACGATTGTGGGTTGAGAGTGGCTCTTGGCAGTGAAGAGAATCTCGTCGAGCCCGCTGGAAGCGACCTTGAAAGGGTCAAGAGGCGGCGAACTAACAACCCCGCCCAAGCCCCCTGCCCACGAAGAAATGCTAGAGATATCAGAAGTTCGGAAAGGAATCGTGGCAATATTGATGACGTTAACAGCAACAAAGCCTAGAATCATCCAGAACTTGAATTTGGGAACGCTGCTACTCTTCAGGTCCTTGCCAAAAAGGGGCTCGTCAATAGGTTCCTTGCCGTCTTGCGCAGGCCAGTCGTTGCTCTTAGCAACGTTCTCGGCAACGCGGTGGCTTACACCATCGTCTTCCAACGCCCTCCGCATCTCGACATGGCGTCTGATGCGGTTGACCTCGAGTTTGATGCACAAAATAGCAGTGTAGAAGGTAAAAAGCAGGATGCAGTCGAAGAAGAGGATCCAGGCGGCCAAGAAGCAGAACTGCTGGAGGCCACCCTGCACGCCAGACGCGGCCCCGGCAACGAGTATCAGGATCTCAATGACGTAGTCGCGGACAATCTCATAGCCCCTGTCCTTGATGGCGCGTTGGACAGCGTAGTGTATGATACCCTCGGAAGAGACAGGCGACTTTTTGTTTTCTCTCTTTTCATCGGGTCGGCGGTGCTCTAAAGCGTGGGACAAGACGGCACGAGTGAGGGCAATATTTTTCTCAAAGCCGATTGTCACAACCAAAAACGGAAGACCCTCGGAGAGCAAAACCATGCCAATGGGGACACCAAGCTTGGTGGTAACGTTCAAGCCAAACAGGAAAGCAAAGGTAGATGAAAATAGGACGCTAATGGCCAGCCAGACGTTCGAGCCCATCTTCCTCATGGACAAGAACAAGGAGACAAAGGTCAGGTGCATAGACAGATATCCAAGCACCATAATGATGATATCGAGCGTCTCAGCATTCTTGATCAAGTCAATGAACTCAGTCCAGGCGTTATGAAGCCATCGAATGACACTGCTTCTGGTATAACCCTTGGCAACCTTCATAATCCACATCTTCTGCTCTTCGTTGCCGAGCTCAGTCTCGCGTGATTCCTGTCCAGGTACATCATTCGGAATTTCTTGCGCCACAGCGAGGAACGCGGGCGCCTCGCTGTACTCGACGGCGAAGGCTAGAGAGCTGTCCTGGGAATAAGCTGCGAGAGTGTTCGAAGTCGAAGGTAGATGCGAGATACTAAGATTCTGCGGCAGAGGGACGATGTGAGGTTGCGGGGCAGTCTGAGGCGCATCGGGAGAAGAACCGGGGAAGACCAAGGTGACCAGCGCGAGGTGTTGGGAGTTGTTAGGGATCGGGGAACCCGAGTCAAAGCTCTGCCATTTCCACGATGTTTCGGGGCCGGTTCGCAAGCTCCTGCTCCCCTCTACTAGGGAAGACCAATCGGCATTCCTGGTACTTCTGGTCACATCTAACAAGCTCTCCTTTACGATACCGACATAAGTGGTGCTAGCTATTAAGGCAACAACAACGATAGTATGGATGGGGTGTAGACAAGCTATCTTGGAGACGAATTGAAGAATAGGGGTGACTTTTTGATTCGTCTTGGAGGGAGGGATAGGTGTATCGGTAGGCTGCTCGCCGCGAAAGCGGGAGGGAAGGAATGAAGAGGCAATCATGATTTGCTCTACCGCCGAGGCATTTGCAGTAACTAGATATATCGTCGACTCATATAATTCCTACTGAGATTTTTTATAATGTTAGTTCTTGTGCTTTCTTGTGCTTGGCTTAGACAATGATGGATCCCCATTGTGAATGTCTTACTTGTAGAAATATGTTTGGGAGTAGTAGAGTAAAGTCGAATAGAGGTCAGGGGGTCAGTCAGGAAAGCTACCTGCAGTGCTTATCCGAAGTCAAAGAGAACGGACGAGGGGGGATTGATAAGGCACCACAATCGCAAACCACGACCACACAAAGGTCTGAAATTTGAGGAGAAAATATGTTGGAAGAAAATAAAAAGAATAGCCAACAACAAGAACAAGATCAAGGGGGGAGGGAAAGGGTGGAGATTTATTAAATGCGGTGAAGATAAGTATATGGGTATAGTTTCAATGGGCTTATGGGTTTATGGGCTTATGGGCTTATGGGCTTATGGGCATAATGGCATATTGGCACCAAAGCTACACTAAAATTCATGGATATTTCTTTATCTTTAAATTAGCAGACCCACTCTTTTATCCCTAGACTGATACAAAAGCTTATCGATTAGTAAGGATTTGATAGGGTCCACCAAAAAGTCTACCAAGAAGGGTATATGACGCCTTGCTTCTACTACTTATGGTAATTCCCGAGCGTCTTATATGTTCTAGCGCGAGACTTTAAATTGAAACTAGATGTGATGAAAAGAATTAAAGAAAAAAATAAGAAATTAAGACGAAACGCAAGGGTCGTTATCAAACTATAAATTCAAGTGTCAAGGTGCATATGTATAAAAGTTCTTTTTGATATGTACATATGCTATTATATGCCATTACACATAGTAATTACTGGGAGTACCTATGTAGTATCTAGGGTAGGTACTAGGGTAGGTACCAACAATTGCAACATTTAGCAACATTCCATGTTCAATGTTCAATGTTCAACGGTTCAACCCTTTCAATATTGATGCTATACATATGTATCTACCCGTAGTTGGCCATGATCCACTGACCTACATACTACCTATACTTACTTTAACGACTATCATTCCCAACGAAACCAAGAGAACAGCGCACATGCATTTCTTTGAAGGGATAGCATCCATGAGATATTATCCGTGGATGAAAGTTGTGTACCTAAGGTAAGCAGCTGAGCTGAGGGATATAGGTCAGTGCCATCATAGGTAAGCTGACCGGGAGACATAAGAAGTAAGATGTAGATGAGCGACAAAGGCTTTTGCCTTTTTTTCTTTTTCGCTTTTCTTAGCAAGATTCGTCTAACCTACATCGATAACACCGAGCACACTTCCCAGGTTGCTGTGAACATATTTATCTGGCCACATATCCAGTATCTTAAATCCTACATAGAACTATTTACTAATTAAGAGATAACTATAAAGATTCATAGTCCCTTGCCTACCTTACATGGTGGCTATAGCAAACTAACCTAGTTAAAGCCAAAGTCCCCAAACATTTCCTGCAAGACTTACGTGGAGGAAGCAACGGAACCAGTCTCTACTAATTAGAGGTTAGGTCAAGCTGGTCAACCACTTAAAGCTACCAAGGTCCGCTGCCGGTCCCGTCTTTAGTAGACTCTTTACAGAAGACCCAAGTCTAGCCAGTCCCAAATGTTCCACCATGATACAACTTCGTGTCAAAAAAGAAAGAGGAAAGAGGAAAGAGATAAAAAGGGAAGAAAAAAAGAGAAAAGTATTCAGCTTCACATGTATAGTGGATCGCCTTCCTTCATCCCGTTTTCTTCAATCGCCGCATTTCGGGTCCGTCCATCTTGACAACCTTGGCACCCGATACCTCGATTGCTTCCTTGCATTGAGGCCAGCCTGACGCATCCACCGCTCTTGTGCCCTCCTCGATCAAGTAAGTCCTGAAACCTTCCCTGGCTGAATCGATTGCCGTGTTCTTGACACAGTAATCCGCCGCTAGCCCCACCACGTAAACATCCGTAACCTTCTTGTCCCTCAGCGTCTGCGCCAGGCCACTGTCACTGACGCGCGGGGATGTGAGGGGGTCGTAGAATGGGCTATACATCTCGACGCGGGGATCTGTCCCCTTCTCCAGCACCATGTCGAGCTGGCTGGCATGCAGCTCAGGGATCAGCTCCGCTCCCGGCGTACCCTGCACGCAGTGGACCGGCCAGAGCCGGGACTCGTACGTCTCGGCCTTGTTGTAAGGGTTGACGATAGTGACGGCGTCCACGAACGCACGTTTATCTTCATGGTTGGCTGCGAAGGAGATGTGGTCCAGCGGGTGCCAATCCTTAGTAGCAACTTTAATCACAAAAGGGAAATCCAATAGCTCGTTGATCAGCGGCGTGATATCGCGACCATTGGCTACGGCGAGGGAACCATTCTAGCTAATTCGTTAGCCGCCCCCCATTTACCAACAACGACTGCATTGCATGGTAAAACCCGCTACATACCGGGGGACAAAAATCCTCCTGAAGATCAACTATTATCAATGCTGGTCTAAAGTCGGTCATAATTGGTGTACGATAAGTATGACTAGCAGCTGACTAGGTATCAAGCTACCCAATGTATGGTGCCCAGTGATTATCGTGGTGTTTGGAGTTTTAAGCGAAGACTTCGGTACAGACACTACCTACACATGCAGTAGGTATCAACATCTTCTTATACTCTTTGAGCCCACTACTTACTATTATCTTACTAATTACATACATGACATAGTAGGAAGTATGATAACCTCTAACTGTACACACGTGATATACTACTACTGGTATGTACAATAAGTCACAGCACATACTTATATACATGAGTAGTATCAAGATATACAAACGACACTATACTAACCTAGTAACGAATGAGATGAGATATTTACCAAATACTCAATATTAATAGGTAAGTCAATTTAACCCCGTCGTCTTATAGTTTACTACTGACACTTTTTCGACGGAATAGTATATTGCATCCCCTTTGTGACGCTACCAAACCACAATTTCAAATGGTCATATACCGCATTCTTACGTCCATACCACTATTAACTTGGATTAGAGCGTGATCACATTTAGAATTTGGGGATAGAGGAAACTTGAACTTGAACATACCGGCGACTGCCTCGTGACTCTAGGCATCCTGGACTCTGCCAACACAAAATAAGTAGAGCTCTGTGACGCGACCGGCAGCGATGAAGCCAGATCGTCATGCTCGTTGACTGGCACTGCCGATGTGGCGCCAATCTTCTGCATGTGCTTCCAAACTCTGACCAGAAGATTAATGCTGGCGTCCGCCCCTAGCGTCCAGGTAGCCATCATATATCCCGTCACCAACCCGACGTTTGGTAAGCCGCTGGCCATGGCGCCTCTCCATGCAAACGACTTGCCCACGTCAAATGTCTTTCCGTCCACCATGGGAGTGAATCCTCCGAATAATTGAACATCTGCAAAAGGTCCCAGGTTAGCGACACCACAAATAGGTACCTAGGCACTTCGAAGTTGAGAGCAAAACATACAGAGGCCAGTAGCCGTCACAATGATATCCGCCTCGAGCTTCTTCCCGGATTTAGTCAAGATCCCATCTGCCGTGACCGTGTCGATGTGATCCGTCACCACCTCGCAGTTGTCGCGATGCAGAGCCTTGAAGAAGTCGCCGTCCCGGCTCATGCCTAACCGCTGATCCCACGGCTGGTATGCGGGGTTGAAATGAACGCTCACGTCCACTTTGTCCGGCAGCAGCGACTTCATCTCGTCTGTGAGCAGTTTTCTCCCCAGGTTTGGGAACGTGCGGAGGACGACGAGGAAGAAGTACTCCTCAAGGAATGAGCTATAAATCGTAGGTACGAAACCGTTAGTCAAAATCCTGGCTTGGGAGACATTATTGCCATCATCATGTCTACCTAGGTAAGGGTTAGGGTTGGGATTGGGGCTGACGAACTACCACCAGCGCATCGTGAGGGCGAGCCTTTCCGGGAAGGTCCTCTTGAGCCATGCACCGACCGGGCTGGTCTTGGGGAGGTCGGCGATGTAGGACGGGCTTCGTTGGAGCATCGTGACATGGCCTGCCGTCTTAGCCATTTCGGGTACCAGCGTGATGGTCGTCGCACCGGATCCGATGATGATTACCTTCTTATTGGAGTAGTCGAGATCCTGGGGCCAGAACTGCGGGTGCACGACGAGGCCCTGGAATCTTTTTATCCCCGGTATTTCGACCTGCAGCGGTTTGGTGTAGTCGTAGTAACCTGTGCAGGCCATCATGAACTTGGTCTTGAGCTCTTTTTCCTTGCCACCGGCACGGACCGTCAGAGTCCATCGCTGTTCCTCGGAGGACCAATTGGCGGCGGTGACCTGGTGCTTGAACCGGATCTTCTTGTCGATGCCTTCATCCCGCGCCGCGTCGGCAACATACTCTCGAATGAGGTGCCCGTCGGCCATATCCTGCTCGTGCTTCCAAGGCCGCCAAGGAAAGCCAAGCATGGAGGCCGCGGAATCAGTTCGCACGCCTGGGTACTTGAAAAACGACCATGTCCCGCCGATTTCGTCTCGCCCTTCTAAGATGATATAGGAGCATTCTGGCAATTGAGTCTTTAAGCGGTAAGCGGCGTCGACACCAGATATTCCGGCTCCAACCACGATGAAATCGTATTCTTCCATGATTATATATATTTTTATATATGCCTCTATCTCCAAGACGCCTTTTCTGTCTCCAACATGATAAACAGAAGATGAATCGGTGATAAATACGATCCTACTTGCCACACTACATACAGATACAAAAGCGGGACTTCATATCCTTGCTCAACGCTACCTTAGGTAACTATTTAGACAAATAGGGGTATCGTCTTAGGCAGTTGGTAAGTGGGACCACAGACCAGCAAGAAATTGGCAGAGCTGCAACGCTACGGCATGGCTATTGCCTCATTCGTGCATCCGGTACGAGGTGGTAACGAGCTGACGTTATGCAGATACAGATACATATCAATCTACAAGGCAAGACAGCCAGGTTTTGGCACTGTTTCATTAAAACGTCTATTCAAGTTTTAATTCAAGTTCAAGGTTCAAATATCATCTATGTACGTGAATCTACACTTTTTCTTGCAAGTTAGACCTTACCGCTGCCAAGCCAACGTCGTCTCTAGCTACAGCATCGTCATGCTCTTGCTTGACATCCTTTAGATTCCTCCACCCCATTCCCCAGCCGCTCGCAAATGCGCAGCACGCCGCTGCAAGCTGGAGGTACTAGAAGATATAATCAGTCAACTCAAAGTGCCTACTAGATATATAAGAGTGCGAATCACTTACGAATACATGGTTGAGAGCCTCATTATAAGCCAAGAGAGCATTTGTTAATTGATCTGGAGGCACAACCTTGGATATCTCCGTTACGCCAGTGTTGATCACCAGATTGGGATCAATAGACGGGGCAAACTTGTGGAGAGCTATCCCTATCGAGCTGGTGAAGACGGTCTTGGCGACGGCCGAAAAGAATGCACCACCTAGGAATTGGCAAAACATGGCGTATGCGGTGGCGATCGAGGCATCTTCCTTTGGGACATTGGCCTGTATGGCGGTAACTAACTACAATGGCAAATCCATTAGCACGGGACTTTTCTTCCCTTTTAAGAATTGTTTCATATCTTACCAGTTGCAAGACGAGGCCTCTGCCAAATCCCATGAATATCTGATACCCGATGATTTTTCCCAGTGAGGTAGTCGGGGAGAAGGTGGACGTCAAACCAGCTCCGATTGCTACTAGGGCGTTACCGGTAACAATCTCTGGGAGATAGTAGCCCGTCTTCTGCACGATAGCTCCGCATATCACAGACCCAAAAAGCTGAGAGAATATCAGTGGGAGGAGCATCACCCCGCTGTGAAGGGCATCTACGCCTCGGATGGCCTGAAACCACACGGGCAGCCAGTACAAAGAATTGATGGTCGCGCCACTCTGCACAAACGAAGTGATGGAGATCATTATGTTTATGCGATCTCGCAGCATCCTAGGCGGAAGCAACGCCGAGTCTCCCTTATAGACAAACCAACATCCAACCGCCACGTAGCTCACCACTCCACCGCAGAGGAGCCCAATAACCACCGCTGAGTTCCACGGGTACTCAGTGCCACCCCATTGCAAGCCAATCAGGAACATGACGGACGCGGCAGCAAAGGCGAAGAAGCCGACGAAGTCGATATCGAGAACCCTTTCCAGGAGAGACGTGCGCTGCTCCGAGAGTCTCGTGACAGGCAGCTTAACCACGAATATAAACAGAAGCACGACGACGCCTCCTACCGGTAGATTTCTAAGAGAGTGTCAGTTAGGCCACGACTTGGAGTCAACAATAACAACAGCAACCACAGCTGATGATAGGGTTTGCTTACATGTAGAAACACCAACGCCATGTTATCCATTGTGTCAGGGCTCCGCCGATTAAGGGACCAGCGGCTTGGCCGATTGCGAAGCAGCCAAGGACGATGCCGTTCAAAAAGGATCGCTTCGCAATGGGGACGGTGGCGGCGACGATAGTGGACGCGCCGTTGAGGACCCCGGAGCCTCCTATACCTGTCACTGCTCTCGCGATGATGAGCATCATAGAAGACGTCGATAAACCAGCGATTAGGGATCCCAGTTCGAATACTATTATAAAGGTGACGAACACGACCTTGATCCGAAACGTCTTGTATAGTTTACCGACGAACGGCACCATGACGCAGCTAGGTTTATGTTGGTATTGCATAGGATATGAAAGACGAACGGACGGACGGTAGACTCACTTCGCTATCAAGTATGCAGAAGAATACCATCCCACATCGTTGACGGTGTTGAATTCGGCGGTTATGGCAGGAGTAGCCTAGTAGATATGTAAGCCAAGAGGTAAGTATACCAAGGTACAGTAGTCAGCTCAGCCTCACAGTTCCCAAAGCGGTGGCATTGAACGCTATCAATGTAGCTGCCAAGGTGGTAGAAGTCATCAACACGTAATAAGGCCATCCGGTCATCTTTCCAGGCTCGACCTGCCCCAGCCTGCTCTTTCTGTTCTCCTCTGTTTCGGCATATTGGGGTACATTGTCGTCAGCCTTGCAGTCTGGGAGATAAGTGCCTTCACATTCGACTTTCGAGCTACGCGTGTAGGATCCAGATTCGATCTCTTGGGATTTGCGATCTTCCTCGGCGGATCTGAGAGGATCCATGATATATCAGCCCAGATAGGAGGTACGTGCAGAATCGATCGTCTTCAAGTGGCCAACCCTTGTGGCTTTGCTATTTAAGGCAGGACATGACTGGAGGCATTTTTTATTTTATTTCTTTAGGTATTTATCCATATAAACTCTATTTATCCTCTACGGTGACATTGATAGCTCCGACCCTGGAGGGAAGCACTGATGGTGTTGGTGGTCGATCTGCGAATTTCGGCCTTTCGGCGTTGTTCGCAAAAGCCCGGCCTAGTAGCCACCGCCCATCCGCAGCAGCGCAATATGATAGGAACTGGGAGGTGTTGGGAGCGTCGCAGTGATCCTGAAAAGCGGAAATCGGCTTATATACTTAAAGTCCGCCCTCTCTCGCTCTCCCTCATAATCCTCCTCAGGATTTCCACAGGTTCTACTTGTACCCACGACTCGCGGCTCACGGCCTCGACTTAGAAAGTCCGCCGGCGATTGTTGATGGAAAGATAGACACCTACCTATTAACCTTTAGTCAATTGTGTGTTTGATGGCGATGGAAAGGCACAAAGGTGCAGCTATTGCCAAGTGGGGCGCCGCATGTTCTCCGTGTGCTCTCGCTAAAGCAAAGTGTCTGCGTTCAAGCAAAACACTGAGTTCTAGATGTGATCGGTAAGTGAATATGGTAGCCTCCTCTCTTTGGTCTAGAGGAAGATCGCTAGAATCGGACGGTATACTGACGTAAACTACCTAGATGTGAACGTTTGGATAAGGATTGCTCTAAACAAGTACACAAGCCGAGGAAGAAGCGACAGAGCCGACCTTCGTATGTAACCCCTTATGGTAGATATTGCCATCTTCAATGCGTTGGAATCAAAAAATCACAAAGTAAGGCAAAGAAAACAGGAGCTAACATAAATCGTACAGCAAGACAGCTCAGCTCGAGGAGAGACTGAATAGTCTTGTAGACCTCATCAAAGCCACTAACCCAGGAGAGGTCCCTGCCGCACTAAGACACGTCTCCGAGATCAGCTCGGCCGCATCATGCCGGACCGAAGGGACAGTGTCGTTACCCGGCCAAGAACAGGCACTCCTTGAAACTCCAGCTACCACTCCCGGCTCGAACCACGAACCGACAAGGGCGATACCCAGCCCTTACAATGGACACGCCCCCCGTGTATGCGTCTGCCGCGCGCAAGCAGGCCAGACCCTCACCCTTCCGGAACCGGACGAGACTCTGCTGTCGATATTCGTGAACAGTCTCATGCCGAACTACCCTTTTATCACGCTCCGGCCAGGCTGCACAGCCGCCGAGCTCGGCTCGGAGCGTCCGTTCCTGCTCGTGACGATCAGGATGGTTGCGTCGTACCGCAACGTCAAGTCGATGAGGTCGCAGAACTACTTCGTCATGCGCCATATCTCCGAGCAGATGATGATGGGCTCGGAGCGCTCCCTAGAGCTGCTACAGTCGATACTATTGGTCTTGGGTTACTACCACTATCATTGCATGATACACTCGCAGATGAACAACCTCATCGCGCTGGCGAATAGTTTAGTTGCGGACCTTGGGATTAATAAGCCCCCCGATCCGCAGGATAAGGCGCGGTTGTTGGCTGGAAATGCCGAGAAGAGAGCGCTGTGTGGTGTCTGGTACATGACATCGATGTGAGTAGAAACAGTCTCACTCCTCTCTCCTGTCTCTTAGCTCATACGGATGCAGTATCTCGCTCGCGTTTCAACGAATCGACCCGCCCAAGTACACGGCTTACATCGACCAATGTCTCAAAGACCTCGAGGTCGGGAAGGAGTACGAGACGGACTTACTTCTTGTCCACCTCGTCCGCATCCAGCACTTCACCGAGCGCATCTCACAGCTAAACGATAAATCTCAACTCGGCGGGAATGATCTACCTGGCATGGCCCGCACACCCGTGAGCGCGTATGCGGGCATGTTCCACGCGGAGTTGGGAAGCTTTAGAGCGGCGTTGCCGCAGAGTCTTGTGTCTAACCGTTGGTCGCCCCTTTACTCACCACTATACATACTTACCTCGTCTTACAATAACTAACTCTGGAACTACTACTAAAACCTATAGAACTCATAAACTGCCACATGAACACCGCGATGCTCCGGCTATGGGAGCCCCCAGGCATCGACGCCGCACTCCTGGACAAGATATCCAACTCCCTCTCATCCCTGTCCATCGACACAGCCTCCTCCCTCGACATATTCTACCGGTCCAGCGCCGCGCTCAAGTCCTGGTTCGACTTCTGGCTCTCCATCGACGTGGCGGACTACTTCATCCTCCCCATGCCCGCGTCCGCCCAGCTCATCAACGCCGTCATCCTGCTGGCGCGGTGGTCCAAGCTCTCCAGTCCCAGCCCCAACTTCGTCCCTAGCAGCTCCGTCGTCATGCCCCCCTCAACACAACAACACCAACAACAACAACAGCAGCAGCCACCCACGGTCCGCGACGACCCCGCCTGCAGCGGCATGAACAACGCCTCGGCGCTCGCCGCCCTGGGCGCCAAGGACATCGACCCCGCCATCCCCGCCGCCGTCCGCGCCATCCGGAACCACCTGCTCTCCCAGCCCGAGCTGCAGCAGCTCGATGTCCTGGGCATCCTGCACACCATGTCCGCGCGCTTCGAGCAGGCGCGCGCGACCGCCGAGGAGCGCGACCGCTCGGCTTGTGTGTGGGACAACGATATCTGGGAGATGGCGGGCAGGAAGATCAAGGGCACGCGGGTGAAGCTGGTGCGGTGGGCGGAGCTGGTGGCGGCGGTCGGGGCTGGGGAGGGAAGAAGGGGGGAGCAGCAGTTTGCTGATGCCGCTAATGCCTCTGCCAGTTCCAATTCCAATACCACCACCGTGATAGTGGGACAAGGGGAAGCGGATGGTATCAGCCAAGGTCAAGGCATGGAAGGGAACTGGTCGATGGATTCTACTGCCATGCTGGAAGGCGGTGGTGGATACAACCAACCCACCCCCGAGGGCTGGGACCCGGGCGTCGCGTGGGCGAATGACTTCTTTGATGGGTTGGGACTGGACCAGAATTTCTTCTTTGATGGGGCGCCGGAGTATGGGGGGTTTATATAGGTTGGGTGGTAGGTAGGGAGATGGATAGATGAATTAATAATATATACCTAAGTAAAATGGGCCTTGTGTAAAGGGGTAGAGAGGAAGGGAGGTAAGGAGAGGCATGTCTATCTGCCTACTCCTGATCTTAGACTATCACGTGGATTAGATCGAGTAGGTAGCTTACATCATTCTGTACTTTTGTATACATATCTACCTAGGTTAGGTAGTTGTGTGCCTATCCAGCTGTATTCTCATCATACCTACCTCGGCACCTACTGGAGGTATTTACCTAGGTTAGCTAGGTAACTCGCCAATCACTAACAAAGGGAACAAGTGGCAATTCTATTTGCGTCAACTTCACTCTTTCAATTTACTCCTCGGAGGGACTAACTCCCTACCTAAGTGACTACGTGGGTCACCAACTACTCGGTGCTATTTGGGAAAGGGGTTCAACGACCTCTCCTCCTACTCCTCCTTGCTCGGCAGTTCGGACTGTTGGATACCTACGAGCATACCGACATGATGGTGGTGGTGGTAGTAGTAGTAATAATAGTAATAATAGCCGGAGCAAAGGGGATGGTGTAGATGCCCTACAGAAATATACCCACAACGAATAAATTCGCCGCCGCCCCTTTGTTCGCCACACTCATCCCGCCTATATCACGCTCATCAAGGGGGAAACCTCCCCCAAAAATAGCAACAAACAAAGAATGGGCTATTCGGTCGGGTACTATCCTACCACCTTTCTTTCTCCTCTCCCGGATGGGTAAATACCTACCTACATCGTACGTCCGTAAGGTTCGGATCTTGGATCTTGGTAACCTTTGAACTTTGGAAACAAACTTGCTCATACACACACAGGTGTCGTTAGTTAGTAGATACCTACTTCAAGAAAAACAAAAAGGGGAGAATAAGCGGAAGAAGGACATTCAGCGGAAGAGGGACGGGAAGGGAGATAGAAATGAACGGGATGTCAACATCAGTATCTACCACCGCGGCGACAGCGCTGTCATCGTCGTTGTCGCTGTCGCCGTTGTCGTCGTATACGGGGACAAGTACAGGGCGACATACAACTTTCGGCTTCACCATTCCCACCGCCACCGCCGGGACAAATGTAGGAGACACGGGCAGTGGTACGGATCAGATGGGAGGAGGCATGGATATGTCGTCGATGTCAGGGAGTGGCAGCGGTAGTGATTGTGAGGTTTCGGTAAGATATTTTCTGTTTGTTTCGTTGGTTTAGCATCTAACACTTCACATTCCACTCTTCACCTCTCACCCTTCCCACTCTCGCCATCAGCCCTAACAGAACCCCCCTAGATGGTCTGGAACTGGAACACCCTCAACACCTGCTTCCTGTCCTCCACCTGGCAAATCCACAGCCACTCCGCCTTCGCCGGCCTCTGCATCGGCGTCGTCCTCCTCGTAATCCTCCTATTCCTCCTGCGCCGCCTCACCACCTTGTACGACCGCTACCTGATCGCCCAGCACCAACAGCACCAACAGCACCAGCACCAATACCAGCACCAAAAAGCAGGAGGCAGACCTTCATCGTCCGAGTCCGAGTCGCCGCACCATACCCTTTTGGCTGCCAAGGAAAGCCATCATCCTGATACTACTGCTGCTGGTCCTGCTATTGGCAACGTGACCACCCCCGGCGCCGGTTCAGGCTTGTTAATGAACGCAAACGCAAACGCAAACGCACCACCCTTCCGCCCCAACATCTACCAGCAGGCGACGCGCGCGCTGCTGCACACGCTGCACTTCGCGGTGGCTTACTGGATCATGCTGCTGGCGATGTACTACAACGGGTACATAATCCTGTGCATCATCTTGGGGGCGTACGTTGGGTTTTTCTTGTGTCAGTGGGAGGGTTTGGGCACGGGGATGGGCTTTGGTGCTGCTGATGGGGTAAGAGATAGCACTGGTTGTCATGGATAAGGCTGCTTTATGCATGAATTACAAACATCTACAGCAAGTTTACTTCAGAACGGGTTGGGTATATCCTTTGGGTATTAGGGGTTAGGGGTACTAAGTTACACGGGACTATAAAATATGAGAATTGAATACGAACGAAGTCAGGCCAGTTAAATAAAATAGTATTTATTTCATTTCCGTTGATTACCGTCAATTCGTTAATATTCGTACCCTGAACCTCCAGTGCAGTTTTTCAACGCCCATAATAGTACAGCATGGGAATGCCATTAGATGGGTACCATACTACCCACTGACCTTTTTCATTTCTCTGCCACACATCTATCGTCCCACGCGAATAACACCAGCCGCAATCAGCTTCTGAATCTGGGAACGCACGCTTGGGTTACGCATATGCTCTTGAAGAGCGGCAGGTTCAGATTGAGCCTGCTGGAGGATGGACTGCATCACAGGGTCTTGCATGATACTCATAATCTATATCAAGCGCGTTAGTCAGATGTTTTCTATACACAGCATCTCTTACTTTTTGTCAGAAAAGGGGAAACTCACCTCCGGGTCTTTCATTATTCGTTCGCGGGTTTGGTCTTCCGTCTCGTTCTCGCGCGCCGAGTACATGGCCTGTAGCGCCTTCTGTTGCTGTTGCTCGATCTCCCGGGAGTTGGCGTTGTTGTGGTGTTCGGCATCCACCGCTGAAGCCTCGTTGCAAGCGTCAATGCACTTGGAGTAGTCGCGCATGCCAAAGTAGATCTGAGCTTTGCGGATGTACGCCCGGATGAACTTGGGATCCTTCTTTATGGCTATGTTGCAATCATCGAGAGCGCTGGGGAACTCAAACAACTTGACAAAGGCGGCTGCGCGGTTGCTGTATCCTCGAGGGTCTTCCGGCGCGCGCTTGATCATTTCCGTGTATGCAGCGACGGCACCGGGGAAGTCCTGCTCTTTGAACTTCTTGTTACCCTCCTCACGTGCTTCCTCGGCCTTTGCTGGGTCAATGTATGCCGTTCTAGTTTCCTCAATCTTTCTACGCTCTGCTGAGCGTAGCTTGTTGACAGTGTCAGGTGTTCGGTGTTCGGTCAAAGATTTTTGGTAGTTCTCGATCGCGGCTGCGAGGTTGTGCTGTTTCTCGTACGCCGTGCCGATACGTGCGTACGACTTGGCAATGGTCTTGAAGTCAGCATAGATCTGACGACCCTCCTCAATAGCCTCGGTGCAAGCGTCGATACAGGCCTGGTAGTCACCCTTTTCAAAATAGGCGGCACCGAGGTTGTTGAGATAGGTGATGTCCTTGTGGAGCTCCCAGGCCTTTTTGTAGTGTTGAATGGCCTCATCAAAGTTGCGCTTCTTGTAGTTCTCCGTACCCAAGGCCTTCTCCTTGTCAGCTTCCTCCTTTGCCTTCTTCTTTGCTAGTGCCTCCTCATCTACTTCCTCTTCGGGTTCCGGCTGAGGAGCCTTGGCAGGCTCGGATTTGGATGGAGGTGCAGAATCTGATGGCACTAGATCTGGCATGTCGACATCTTCTTCAGCTTCCTTGGCGCGGGAAGAGGAAGCTCCTCCGGTAGCTCCTGGGATATCATCGGCTCCCCCCATGGTCATGTCGACACCCATCAAGACGCCCAGTACTTGAATTAGGCGGGGATCGCTGAATAGCTCCTGGGTATTCTGGGGGTTCTTTTGTATAGCCTGGATCTTGGCCACGAAAGAAGGATCGGCGAAAAAGCCACTGGTCTTGGGGTTGCTCATCAACTTTTGCAATAGGTTGGGATCACTGAACATTTTCCCAAGTCCGCCAGTAGGATCAGCACCGAAACCGGAACCTAATAGCATGTAAGTGTTTGTTCTACAAGCCTGAAGGATGTATATAGAGAGGTCACTTACCGGCTTCCTGTTCCATAGCCCGTTGGACAGAGGCGAGTGAGTTCTTAAGACCCGCATTGTTGGGATCAAGCTTGAGGCCTTGCTCGTAAGCATCACTGGCACCTAACAGGTCACCAGAACCGTGTAAAGCGGCACCCTTTCTTCCCCATCCTCTCGGCCAGTCTGGCTTGATCTCGGTTGTCTTCTCAGCATCTTTCAACGCATTGGCCCAGTCCTTTTTGGAGGCGTAGGCAGCAGATCGGTTGCTGTAGAAGATGTGGTTGCTAGAATCTATGGAAATGGCTTTGGTGAAAGCATCACTGGAGACAGGGTTAGTTTACCTGAATTCTCCCAAGTATAATATAAGAGCAAACGTCGAACAAACATCGCATCGTAGACAGGTTAGACTTACATAGCCTCGTCGTATTTGTGTTCGGCAATAGCCTTATTGCCTAGAGCTTTCAGCTCATCTGCGGAGGCCATGATTATTTTCCTTGATTTTATGCTTCAGTATGAGTACGACTCAGAAATTAGAATTCGAATGGTTATTTATTCGCAAACAAGTTTTTCAAAGTTTTCGAATAGAAAGAGTGAAGAGAAAGAAGAAGAATGGCTTGCTGAGAATTATCTTTTTAGGGTCGAAGGCGATGAATTCGAGAGCTTTCCATGGCATGGTGGGGTTCCAACATAACTATGGTATGTACATAGTACCATGTACCCTCGATCTATTTATCGATAAACTCAAGCTACTACCTACCTAGTAGTACTAGGTTAGTGTCATGCCAAGAGACCCTTGGTGCTGAGATAAGGTACCTTGCGATAAGAAAGGTTCAAGAAATATTTCCTTACCAGGGACTAGGGAGCTTAGCGCGGGGCAGAAGCGCGTCAAAATGTCAAATGTCAAATCGCATTCATCAATCTTTATTCATACTTCAATCTTCCATACTTGAAATCTTTCTTCACATTAGCCGAGTTTACATTTAAGTCCTATTATTATGTACCGAGATATTATCATTGAAACAATCTGGTACTGATAAGAGAGACTTATGTGACATTATTTTTTCCTGGGGTTGCTTCTTTCTATTTTCAATATACCTCGCTTCTATAACATCGCATTTTGTCGCATTTCGTAGCCGTCCGAGTCATCTCGGAACGCTGACCCGACAGCTATAACATACATACAATACCCCCCATATCATATTCCAAAATGGACGACAAAACCTCGATCCTCAAGGATCAGCTTTATGCTGCCTGCGAGGAAGCATGCAAGGATAATCCAGATAGGCTCTTCTCCCAAGAAGATCTCACGGCCCTCAATGTCGTTCCTGCCAAGGATGTGAAGAAGCTGCTCCAGATTGTCCAGATCCTCACCAAGGAGCGCCTCTTTGCCCCCGTCCACTTTCACAGCGGGCTAGCATGGCGACTTCGTCCTGAGGCCGAGGCGGCCAAGTAAGTTATATTCCAATCATCATCCCAATGCTAACAAAAAAAAACACATCAAATTAACACTCACCTTCCCAGGTACCAGGCCCTGACCTCCGAGGACCAAGTCCTAGTATACGAGATCATAGACTCCGCCGGCCCGGAAGGATCATGGCAGCAGGACATCAAGAAGCGCCTAAACCTTCAAGACAACGCACTCCGCAAAGCCCTCAAGGAGCTCGAGATCAAGCGCTTCATCAACCAGTTCACCACCGTCGAGAACACCTCCAAGAAGATGTGGATTAAGTACGGCATGCAGCCCTCTGCCCGCGCCACCGGAGGTCCCTGGTACACCGACCAGTTTCTGGACGAGGCCTTCATCGACGCCCTGCAGTCCGTTGTCGTCAACATCATCAAGGAGAAAGGCAGCTACCGCAGCACCGCCGAGCGCAACGTGCGGAGCGTCAGCCCCGTCCTCCCCAAGAAGGGCGTCATCCGCGGCGGCCTCTCCGACGCCGCCATAAAGAGCAAGAAGCGCTCCGCCGACGCCATCTCTAAAGACGACCCCCCCTCCACCTCTTCCACAACCTCCAAGTTCCGCGGCGCCGTGCGGCTACCTCTGATCGCAGGCTACACGGGCTACCCCACGGCCCAAGAGATAACCGCCGACATCGTCAAGATGAACGTAGCCAAAGGCCAGCCTTTAAAAACAGAGCACGTGCAGGAACTGATCGACATCCTGGTCTGGGAGAGCCGGATCGAGGAGGTCAAGATGGGCGACCGGGTCGGCTACCGCGCCGTGCGCGTCTCCAAGCACAACCCCGACATAGTGAAGCTCGACAGTGAGGATTTCTGGGAAGCGCGAACTAATGGTTTGACTACCGTTCCTTGTGGCAAGTGCCCTGTGTTTGAGCTCTGTGAGGAGGGTGGCCCTGTGTGGGCAGGAGGGTGCGAGTACTTTGACAAATGGCTGGCATAGTCAACATATACCTATATGTATACATGGTGGAAATCTGTTCTTTTTTCTATTTTGTTTTTATTAGAATTAACTTGCACACCGCAAGACATAGGTAGCATGGCGTTGGGTAGGAAAATACGTGTTCACAACGTTCACAAAAAGAGGTAATATGAAACAATTTGGTTCACGGTTTATAGGTAGATAATTGGTCACAACGCATATTCTGTAAAAGTCTTCTTACACGGTGGCAAAGCAAGACAAATGTTATTTGTAGCTATCTAGCGTTAATTGGAAGACATGCTAGTCTATTTGTCCTGCAGCCTCATCTACACCGAAATTTTCGTTCAGCCCTTTCGCGTGCCTTACGCCAAGTGTAAGCAATTGGCACATGATGCTGTAAAAAATGTTACACGCAATCAAGGACGGTAATGGCAAAGCCGTCATGCTTTATGGCAGCTCGCCCGAGTTGACGATGGTGGGTCGCTTGCCATACTTGATGGCGCCGCTCTGAGAACCTGTAGCCTCAATGGCTTTTACAATGGCTATCGAATCTTCATCGGCAACAACGCCGAAGGGGACATGGCGTCCATCGAGCCAGCTGGTCTTGACGGTGGTGATGAAGAATTGAGAACCGTTGCTGTTACACGGACATGTCAGCTGTGAGCCTTAACCGGAATTGCAGTTTAGAACTTACGTGTTAGCACCAGCGTTAGCCATGGACAAGGTGTACTTGTTGGTGTGCTTAAGGTCGAGGTTCTCGTCGGCGAACTTCTCGCCGTAGATAGACTTGCCACCAGTGCCCTGAGGTAATTGAGTTAATATGACTCATCTATGAAGACGATGGCAGAGTTAGATAACTTACGTTACCACGGGTGAAGTCACCGCCCTGGAGCATGAACTCGGGAATGATACGGTGGAACGACGATCCCTTATAGCCGAAGCCCTTCTCGCCAGTGCAGAGAGCGCGGAAGTTCTCGGTAGTCTTGGGTACAAGACCCTTCCAGAGGTGTAGGTTAATGCGGCCGGACTGGGCTGCAAAGGTGTTAGGCACAATAGCTAACAATAGCTACAATGGAGCTCGAGAGTGATGTAAAATAGTAATGAGAAGGGGTTGGATTGAACTTGGAAAATCAATTGGAAGTCTGGTGTAAAAAATACATCAAGTATTTTACACGACAGTGACTTTGAAAACAGCCATCAACGATTCCAATTGTAGATAGGTGCAATGTGAAGAAGTGATCAAACAATGTAGACTTACGTTTAACAGTGGCAGTAGGCTGGCCGTTCTCCATGACGGGACCCTCCCACTCCACGTCGAAGAAGCTGGAAGTCCGATTAGCTTAGCTCTATTGCAAAAGAAACAAAACAAAAACAAAATAAAAACATTGTAATTAAAGAGCTGAAGGGGGAAACTTACACCTTGGTTATCTCGTTAGACATTTTGGTAGTGGTTGCTGAAAAGAATCGAATGGATGGTTTAGTTGTTGTAGATGGAGAGAATGTCGATGCTCTCGGGAAGATAGATTGGCGGAAGCAAGAAGTAGAAGTTGAAGTTGAAAATGAGGAAGAGGAAGAAGAAAACGCAGCGCGGGGCACTCGAAGGAGGGGTTGTCTCATCATCTTTGCGGATTGGATTAGTTAGGTAGTTGCGTCTGAGGGAGGGGTCAGCATTAAAGCTAACAAGCCAATCACGTAACTGGAATCCAGAAAAAAAAAAGCTCTTTCCGAGTGAGGGGCTGGGGGAAGGGGCTATAAGGTGGGGTTGAGAGGTGTGTGAAAAGCACAATGCAATGTTTGTACCAATTCTGCGTGTATCTTGTATTTGATGTTGTACCAACTACTTTGTACCACATGTGCAGTACACATCACACACACCTTGCATCCATGAAAGTGTGTGCAATTTTGTACATAATGAAGCACATAAGTACCCAGTACATGCAGGCTGATGTAGAAGAGGGGCCAGGTTCCAACACCGTATGTACATACATACATGTAGAAGGAGCTGTCGTCACTCAACAACCCTTCCTCTCACCTACTCCCACACTCGAAGCGGAATAGATGTACATTGTATGTATTAAATCAGGAACTGGCCCACTGTTTGTATTCTGCCAGGTATTATGGATACTTCCAAGAATGTTGTCAGAACGTAATAAGAGATTCATTTATATTGGGCAATGAGAAACATAACAATAAATCACTCGAGTTGAGAATCATTCGACAAAAGCAGAAACATGTAAGAAGAAAAGGGAAAATGCAGATGAGATAATCAATGGCAAAAGGGGCAGGAAATACATATGTAGGTACTACTATTGATGTATGTAGCACCAACTACAAGGTACCTACTAGGTATCCAAGGCCATTCAAGTTCTCCGGGAGTGAGAACTTGAATCCTCATAGTAAGATACCGCCCCCTTTTTTCTGCATGTCTTGGGTAATTGCTTTCTCTGGGAGAGAGAACCTTGGAAGCATCTTGGTTCTACATCACCATTAAGTCAATGGCCCTCAGAGAGGTAGCAATGGATGGTGACCGCATAGTTTAAAGCATGGAAGTGACGTTTTTTAGGATAGGGAATATTGAATGAAACCCCCAGCGTATCCTTTCTCACTTGTATAAGTTTTCAAGCAAGCAAGAAACCAAACCAAGCATAGGTGAACATCGAAATCCCTCATCATCACTTGTGCTTCGAGCATACATAAATGCTTTGACCTCTTGCCACACTTGTGGGATGCACACAATTTCATGAACTCAGGCTTCCTTGTCGCGGCTTCAGACATGCGAGAAGCAGCCCACTAGAGACGCATGCAACACCCATACAAGCACACCATTTCGAGGCAGTACTTGGGAAGTCGGCAGAGTTGCGACTCTATGGGTACCCCACTCCCGCCCTCTCCATCCATCAAAGATCTGACTAGGAGATGCCGTCGCTTGATACGTGCCAGTTCCTAGATAGTAGTGTAACTTGAGGAATCTTCCAGCACTGTCCGCAACAGAGAGCACTGAGCGAAGTTGAGAGCGAGATCGATATCTGCACATTGTTCTCAAGGTGACAAGTTGGAAGAAGGTGGGTAAAAGATAGATAGTAATACAAGGAAATATGTTACATACCCTAAAAAGCTTTAAGAAATTAATGTTTCTCACAGAATTACTATCGATCGTCGATTTTGACAGTGATTAGAAGTCTCAAACAAATTTTCAAAAATTTCAACTGGGCAAGCAAAGCTCTGCGAGTTTAACGGAGCAAGCTGCAGAGACGAAGCTGCCCAGGTGGCCCAAGCTCTTCAATGTTCAGATTCCAGAATAGTACTAGTTAGGTACAACTTGTGCATAGGTAGTCACGAGTCACGTGCACAAGACTATGATTAGATATGTAACTATCCAAATGTTTGACATCAAGGTGGTCATTGCGCCAATCGCCCTTGTCGGGCATTGCTCTACTACCATGGATCCCGATGGTTGGCAAGTTAAAGTAAAGTGTTCAACTCCAAAAACCCAAAACAAGAAAGAGAAAGCATCGCATCACCACTTATTTCATCCAACTCACCAGGATTGCGCTGGCTTCATTGGATTTACTTGAAATTCACCATTGTATCACGACATTAACCTTCATCATCCGTCCCTTCATTGGGACAAACAAGTTACTCTTCGTATAATACCGTATAAACACCCAACATGGATCTCAACAGTCTGAAGGACCAAGTGTCCAACTTGACCTTGTATGATCTCAAAGCTGGCGTTCGCAAGGTTCAGAATGGTAAATATTCATTTTTCAGTATAACGCGATTTCCATGGGATCAGCAATGCTCACTCATATTAATTCATAGCCGTCATGAACTACACCGAAATGGAGGCAAAGGTTAGTTAGTATCTCGCCAAATAGTTAAGGCCAAGCAATTCAACGATGCTGACATGCGCGCAATAGGTGCGAGAAGCGACCAACAACGAGCCATGGGGTGCTTCCTCGACAATTATGCAGGAGATTGCCAATGGCACCTTCAACTAGTACGCGCTTCTCTTTATCCCATCCGCCCATTGTCATGTTATAGATATTCTTTGCTAAATTGATTTTTGCTAGCCAAACACTTAACGAAATTATGCCCATGATCTATCGACGATTCACTGAGAAGTCCGCCGAGGAATGGAGACAAATTTACAAGGCGCTTCAACTACTCGAGTTTCTCATCAAACACGGCTCTGAGCGCGTCATTGATGACGCGCGAGGCCACATCACCCTCCTCAAGATGCTACGGCAATTCCACTTCATCGATCAAAACGGCAAAGACCAAGGTATCAATGTACGCAACCGTGCAAAGGAACTTGCCGAGCTTCTAGGCGACGTCGAACGCATTCGGGCCGAGCGGAAAAAGGCGAGGGCCAACAAGGCCAAATACACCGGTGTAGAGGGTGGTTCGATGGGCGGCGGCTTCTCCGGTGGTAGTAGCCGCTATGGTGGATTCGGTAGCGAATCTGGCGGCTTTGGAGGTCCGTCTGCGGGATACGGTGGCTACTCCGGGGGCGTCTACGGAGATGGTGGTGGCTTCGGAGGGCAGTCCGATGATTGGAGAGATACTGGCAATAGCAATCGCGCCGATAGATTTGAGGAGTACGACGAGTATGATGAGGGGGCCGCGACGTCAAGTTCTGCTCGGGCGAAACGACCTGAGAGAGGCGAGAGAATGGGCATCAAGAAGACCACCCCCACTGAGCCCCCGAAGAAGAAAGAGCCCGAAGTTGACCTCTTCTCTTTTGACGATCCCGTACCTGCACCAGTTGCCACAGCTTCTTCCCATGCCCCGGCAAATGGTTCGTCAGCTCTCGCTTCACTGTCTACGACGAATAACGACGACGACGACTTTGATGATTTCCAGTCGGCAACGCCTCCACCCCCGAACAATATGGGTATGTCCACACCCATGGTGACATCGAGCGCGCACTCCACCGCCCAATTTGCTGCACCAAGGCCTGTATCTGGACCACAGCAAGCCAATCTCACTGACATGATGTCGGCCATCTCACCAACCACAAGCTCTACCAGCACTCCTGCGGCAAACTATTCATCTTTCAGCATACCTCCAGCTACTGGTATGGCCACTCAGGCACCGAAGCCAGCCATGAGCTTCCAATCGGCGGCGCCCAACTATTACCAGTCCGTACAGGTAGCCCAGCCGACGGGGTCATCCATCTCTGGGCTATCTTCATCTAGCGTAGCTACACCTTCGGGCTTCTCGGCGCTCAACAAGCCGGCAGCTCCGGCCGTAGCTAAGCCGTCTGCAGGCGGCGACCCGTTTGCAAATCTATGGGGACAAGCTGGTAGCGGCGTAAAGAAGCCTACCACTACCACGCCTACTGGGCCTAAGATGGGCCAACTTGCCAAAGAGAAGACCAGTGCTTCCCTCTGGGGCGCGCCCGCGCCGAAAACCCAGCCAAGCGCTGGAAGCAGCGGTCTAGACGATCTATTAGGGTGAAAGTGATTAATAGCTAGGTACCTAGTTATGGGCACTGCCATTGTCATCTCGTTGACGAGATAGATAACTTTTATATACCACGTCAGCATCACCTTTTGATTTTCATTGTGCCTGTCACGCAGTGCTACAAGTGGACAGCACAAGTTGGAAGTGAATGAAGTGGGCTGGAGTGGGTGGACTACAGAATTGATGGACTAGATGTGATTACAAACAAAAAGGGCGTCGAGGAGTCAAAAGAATTACAATTGCACGAGCTCAAGATAGCAGAAAATATAATGAGATCTTGTCTTGATGTTTCCGTTTCATACCTACGTAAGCAATAAACACGAACGTGAACGGCGTGGGTTACCTAATCAATGGGCAACGCAACTTTGATAATCGAGTGATTGTACCGTGATCAATGTTCTCGACCGTACGGTGGTGGTGGTGGCTTTTCATCGATGGTTTCAGGTCGCGATAGAATCATCGGCGGTGGGTCTGCGCGGCTCAAACCTAGCAAGAAAAGCTTTAACTCCCATTCTCCACTATAGCTTCATTGGCTAGGAGTGAAAGCAGCAAGCATTGTAGCTAGGTAGTCTGTATCGAAGTTTGATGTTGATAGTGACCGCCTACATATAGGTTGCATTGAACAACTAGTAACTAGGTTAGTTATGTAGTATGTATGTAGGCATGATAATCGAGGCCAGCGGCTAACGATGTTGCTAGCCGCGGCCGCGCTTAAGGTCCCCCTTGAAAACCAGGTAGGTAATCTCTTTTCATTTCGTCGCGAGCTACGCCGTCAGCCAACCAGAATTCTCCGAGCCCCAAGCCCACTTCTGTAGTTGAGACGACGCTAGGGGATCGAGACGCCTTCATTGGGTACCTATATTCTCTTTTCCCAATTTTTTTTTCTTTTTGCCTATGTAATGAATGCATGGCATAGCAATCGTAGAATTTTATAGTCATCATCCTCGGAAAAATGCTAGGGATGGGGATATTGAGGCTGGGGCTTGTATGTATGTATGTATGGGGACATCTAGCTCCTCCCATTGGGCGCCCCCAGCGCGTCGTCGTTCCCGCCATCCACTGCAAGTATGCACCGGCAGCGTTGTTGCGAAAATAGCAATGTGGATTCCCATCATCCAAGGAAAACCGGGATTATGCAGTATACGTAGTGTAGACAGGTAGTTTTGTAGAGGATCGCTCGTCTCGGTGTATACCATGAAGCAAGTACTTAAGGTGTAGCCGTTCCCCCCGTAGATGGAAGGAAAATCTTTTTATTCCAAGCATCACACGCAACATCACTTCTATTTTCATTAAAAGTCCTTTCTTTTTTTCCTTTTCCTTTTCGGGTTCTCTTTCCTATTTTCCATTATCTCCTTAACTGTCTGTCTGTCTGTCTGTCTGTCTGTCTGTCTGTCTTTAGATTCTCGGCGCCTTTCTCTGGTTTATTTTCTGGGATTAGGTATAAGCACAAGAAAACGAATTTCCTATAGGTAGTCACGATTTCTTCACGATTTCTTGACTCGATACGCCAATCTTTTATTTCGTCTTCGTCTTTCTTCGTCACAGTATATCTAGACCTGCTCCAGCGCCAGTACCTCGCTCTTTTTGAAAAAGCAAACCCGAAATCTTTATAACCGTTGAGCGATCACTCCTTCAAAATTCATTCCTCAACCCCCCTACCGTCATTCCCCTATCCGCGGCAGCGTCTCCCCACGCATACCGTGCTCAACTCCGCCAACCCTCGCCCAAGACTGTCGCTCATTACCGACTTTGGAACGAGTATTCCCTTGAGAATGCGTTTCCAGACCCCCCAGCTCGGCGCCCTAGGCGTTACCTTTACGGCTTTTCGGGCGATGCAGTTTGTCTCGCTCGTTGCTATCATCGGCTTAGCTGCCAACTTCATCAATGAGATCGTGAGCTCCCAGCTCGATGCCCCGGATGTGCTTGTGGGAACTATTGTTGTGGTACGTATATAAAGAAAACGATATAGAAAAGAAAATAGAATAATAGCTAACTTCCTCACAGGCAAGCATTGCGACCCTTTACGTCTCAATCTCGTACATTCTTTACTACGACAGGCTGCTCCCTCTCCTCGTCGCCGGTGCAATCGATCTCATGCTCCTAATCGCTGCGATCGTGGTCGCCGTCACCATCGGGAAGCCCTTGTCCATGCTCAAATGTGAGCTGCTTCCCCAACCTACGCCGCCGACTGAAACATTCACTGTATCCATGTCCATCTCGGCACGCGACTACACCTCAGCGGCTACTAGGTATAACACCTACCTGGCACTGATCACCACTGACCAGCCGCACTGCTACGAGATCAAGGCCGTCTGGGGCCTGAGCATCTCGCTCTGCGTGCTGTTTGCCTTCTCTGCCGTCATCTGCATCGGCCTCTGGCGCCGCATCAAATCCACCACGATGGCACCTCCGAAGGACATTGAAGGCTAGGGGCGCGCGGGCGCACGTGGAGGCTCGAGAGAGGCGATTATGGACGAGAAGTTCGGGGGAGCAGCCCGACAACAGATTTCTGGTCCCACCGCTCTCGGAACCAGGCTTCTCTCCCCGAAAACCTCCTCCTCCGGATCGCGGTGGGTCTCCCCGCATCCGCATCCGCCTCCACTTGTAGCGCCCAAACCTGCACACCGGGCCCCTATTTTCCGGTCCATCGACCAAGATATCCCACCGGTACCACCCGTTCCTATGATTCTAAATGTCAATACTAGCCAAACGGTCATCACTGGCCAGCCCTTGGCCACCAATATTCAACCTCCCGCTCCGGCAGCGACGAGGTCTCTGAACAACCGACAGGAATCCCCTAACGAGGATTTCATACCCATCATGCACAATCCTTTCCTTGACCGCGTTGCTCCTCATCCTCTTTCCCCTGCTATCACTTCCAACATTAGGACAGCAGTGATAGCAGCAAGAGCAGCGCCACAAACAATCGTAATCCCACCCACCCCCAGCGACGACGGCTTCACCCCCGTCACCCCGACCCCCATCTCACCCATCCTCAAAAGGTTCCAGCTCACTAGCCGGGCCCCGCCGCTGGTGCAGCAGCCCCGTGACGCGCTTGGTATACCGATTGGAAAGAAGTTTCTCCGCTCGAAGAGCCAGGGGGCGAGGGCGAGACGGGCGGAAGAAGAAAATCAGAAAATACAAAAAGAAAGAGAAGGAGAGGAAAAAGGAGGAGTAGAGGATGGCTATGGTGGTGGTGATAATGATGATACGACGCCTTTAAGCCCGACGGGTGCTCGCGATCTGCTGGCAAAGCCGGCGCGGAAGACGCTGTGGGGGGCGATGATCGAGGGATGGTGGGATCTGGGGCTGTTGGAGAGGGGGAAGAGTCTGAGAAGGAGGGGTGGTGGGTGATGAGGATGAGGATGAGGATGAGGGTATTACGTGGTGTAATGTTTGTTTATGTGATTTGATTTCGGGGCTTGCGTGGGAAGGGATATAATGTAATGAATGGCTTGGCCTGGTTTTGGGTTGGAGTTGTCTTTTTCCAAGGGGGGTTTTTAGGTGCATTTGCTATACTTACCTCACATATCTATCTAATAGGTTAGTAGGTAGTAGGTAGTAGGCAGGGGAAAATAATACAAGTTGCTATACCTTAGAATTTTCTGGCTTCATAACAGACTTCTCTCGTTTGGATGGTTGAGAACTTTGACCTGACAGTATTAACCCAAGAACCTAAAAAGCAGCTGTCTACCCCAGGTAGTCTAGTACTATTTAGGCCTAGCATTATCTGCACCAACTTATTTTTAGCGTGATTTCTCGTTCTTTAGTGCTTTGCCGCAGTGCCGCAGCTGCCGGAGAACAGCCCTGAAAGACTCCCACTTAACCTAAACCTTACTAGGTGGATTCAGCTGCCAGGTTTAGAGGGCTGAGCTTCTGTAACTCAATTTACAGGAAACCATTCTAGGTAACGTGAACGTGGTCTTGATCATCTCCAGTTCATCCAACAACAACATTGAGCACCCGCCCTTACTACTAGTAGTACATACATACTACAATCATACATTCAATTATCATCCACATCCATCCTTTGTTATAACAGTAAAATCTCGTAATGATGCCATTGATTTATCCTTCTTTTCCTTCGTGAATTTGTTCCTCTCCCATGTTCTAATCTTTACAGCCTTGTATTTCATCATGGAGATACCCAACCAGGGAGATATGCGAGGTATGCACGTCATCCCCATCGTGATGCGAACTTCTTCTATCACAACTTCTATCACTTCCATGTAACCCTTCGACTTCGACCCGCATGACTAACCAGACCTCCGCTTATCATTACAGATATATCCTGGTCTAACATACCAACCGAATTCCTATTGACCGAACTTTCCAAGCGACATGGAGCTGGCAACTCTATGCCTAGTGGTGGTAGTGAGAAGCCAGTCTGTGGATCTGGCGAGAAGGGCGTCTACGATACAGGATTGCACGTTTTCGCTTTGTTCCTTATCCTCACCCTAAGTTGTCTCGGTATGTCTTATCCACGAATCGTCGTAATTGTATTTGTTTCCTGGTACATCTTGTAGATCCTATTCACTAACCAGCTGGATAACAAATTTAATAGCATGTGGCTTTCCCCTCTTCTCCAGTCAGTCGTTCAAAAGTGGACGCGCCAGTACCATCATCTTTCTCAGTCAACACTTCGGAACTGGCGTCTTGATCGCAACTGCTTTCGTCCATCTACTACCTACCGCCTTTATGTCCCTGACCGATCCCTGCCTTCCGAATTTATTCACTCAAGGATACCCCCCTATGGCCGGCTTGGTAGCCATGGTCTCGGTTTTAGTCGTCGTGACAGTGGAATCATGGTTAACAACTAGAGGCGCCGGGCATTCACACTCCCACAATCACACATGGGACTCGGATGATGATAATGAGGAAGCTGAGGATAAACATGTCCACGCCAACGGCGGTGGTTTGGCTGCCAAGAGAGCTACCAGCCACAGGCCAGCAGATATTGCCCTAGAGGATCTTGGAGCTAGGCAAGGTCTTATGGCGGATGTCTCACCGTTACCCGAATCCACACCTACTATTGTAACCTCATCGCCGAACGGGGACAGGAAGGAATTTAGATCTAATCGCCACAGTAGCGATGGCGACGATGACGACGACGATGATGATGATTTAGAGTTAAACCTCAACGAGCTCGATCCTACGGATGGCGATGATGCGCAGCCTCTTGCTGGCCCCAATGGAGCTAATCGATCAAGCCGACATGGTGAGGCTGCATTGTCGCAGATGCCTCCCGCACCTGAAGAACAAAAACGTCTAATGCTTCAATGCATGCTGCTCGAAGCTGGCATCCTATTTCACAGTGTCTTCATTGGCATGGCTGTCTCTGTCGCCACCGGGCCACCCTTCGTGGTCTTCCTAGTTGCTATTGCATTCCACCAGACATTCGAAGGCCTCGCTCTTGGATCTCGTATTGCCGCTATCCGATTTCCCCGATCGTCTGCGCGCCCCTGGCTGATGGTTCTCGCCTATGGGCTTACTACTCCCATTGGCCAGGCCATCGGTCTCGCCGTACATAGGTTATACGATCCTCTTAGCCAGACAGGCCTCCTCATGGTTGGCTTTATGAACGCCATCTCGAGCGGTCTGCTACTCTTTGCAGGTTTGGTTCAGTTATTAGCGGAAGACTTCCTCACGGAAAAGAGCTACAAGTCTCTCAAAGGAAAGAGGCGACGAAATGCCGGTCTAGCTGTTTTCGCGGGCGCAACGCTAATGGCCCTCGTCGGTGCTTTTGCTTGAATGTTTACTTGCCAATGATATGAATCTTTTTAATGGGAGAATGGGAGTTCCGGGTATGGAGTCAAAATTATTTTAGAAATGGGCATTTGATTGATTGGGGCTAGGTAAAAGAAGAGATGATGACCTAGGTAGCTAAATACTAATGCGTACCGAGCTAGGCGCAATGCCAGAAAATTGCCTACCTACCTAGGCACGTACGATATTCGTGTAATATTCGTGTATTACCCAGGGAAGATAGCCCCAGGTGAGTATGTCAATGATGTATAACTTATCCCTTATCGCTTATCACAGAGAACTTCAATATTCAGTAGGTCATGGTTAATATGAATCGTCTCCCCCTTTTTACCTCCTTCGATCTATTTCATGGACAAGTGCCGTAATGTGATTTATATCAATCTCCTTTTTTGCTAAAGCTACCCTGCCTAGTCCGTATATAGGTACCTATAAGTATATATCTGTATTTCATAAATAACTATGCTAGTTTAGGCACAGCAGTGGCCCAGGGATAGGCCGTCGTCATGGGACCGCCGTAGCTCCCTAGGTCGTTGTAGTCCTTGGTGATGGTCTGGTTCTGGAGGATCTTGGTTACGAAGGGAAGGACACTGTTACTGTTATTTTGAAGATTTCAGGTTAGCGTTGGGATCTAAAGGAATCTACTGGAATGGCTATTGTGAGTTGAGGTGGTGGAAAAAGAGGCGGGGGGGGGGGGGGTATCATTCCCGACAATCTGAATGAGAACGGGCAAAAGGGGGAAGGGAGGTGGGAGGTGGGAAGAGTCAAAGAGTTCGAGCCGAGGATGGATAATGGCACGCAAAAGAATAAAATCCACATACAACCCACTCATATCGCAATGGCCGCCCCCACGAACCGACATGGCAATCTGATCCCCGACGCCCAGCCAGTCGTACACCTGCTTGGCCGCCGGATACACAATGACCGCCGTGCCCTTCGAGTTGGTGAACTGGTCCCCGGTCCCCTGGTCCACCACCAGCGCCCTCGGCGCGATCGCCGCGGCGATCGTGTGCGCGTCGTACGGCAGGCTCTCGGCGTGGCCCACGAACGTGCCCAGCGTCGCGTCGGTCCACCACCCCGCGCCGCTCTTGCTGTTCTCCAGCGTCTCGTCCTGCCCGCTCAGGCCGTGGTAGCGGTAGGGGCCGAGCCCTTGCACGCCGCTGCTCATGGGCATGGTGAGGGTTATGCGGGCGTCGAGCAGGCCGGCGGCGAGCGCGGCTTTGCCGAGCCGCGAGCACCCCGTCACGCCGACGCGGGTGGGGTCGATCTCGGGCACCGAGGCGTTGAGCGCGTCGAGGACGCGGTGGAAGCCCCAGGCCCAGGCTGTGAGGGCGCCTGTTGTTGTGTAGGGTTAGCTTGGTTGGCGGCTTTGTATATTGCCTTGGGTAAGTAGGTAGGTAGGTAGTGAGGTCTATCGTCTTAACACCAGAATATGAATATGAAGAAAGTAGGTAGTCTTGGAAAAGGGGGGGGCAAGAGTCATAGAAAAAGGTGGAAGAGCCAAATGGTACACAAAGGAAAAAAAAAGGAAAAAAGAGGGGGCTACCGATATCACGCCCATTGTAGATATCCCAAAACGCCCCCGTCTTCGCATTGCTGTCGGGCGCGACGCGCGTGTAGTCGAAGCCCACGACGGCGATCCCCGCTTGCAGGTACGGCTGGTTCGTCATGCCGCCGATGTTGATAACCACAGGTGCGGGACTGGTGGTGGACGGGAGCGCTAGCGTCGCGCTGAATTTCCCCGTCTTGCCACCCGCTGTCACCTCGATGTTCACTGTGTTGCCGCTCCGCGTTGCTTTGACGGTTTCTTGCGAGTGGTCTGGGTAGTAGCCGTATCTGTTTTTAGGGGGGGGGGGGGGGGGGGGGGTTAGAAGCTGTCTCTTCCTTGCTTGTTTGCTTGATTTTTTACGGGGTGGGAGGTAACAAACTGGTACTCTTGCAGCATCTGCAATATCTCAGGCTGCCGGCACTGGTACCACTCCTCGGGCGTCTGGATCCGGTTCTTGCCCTTGCCGGCCATCACGTCTGATGCGAAAGACGGCGAGCTGCCGCCCTCGCTGTCGGTCGTCGTGTACGCTAGCGGCAGCCAGGGGTCTGGGAGGGTCGTCTGGGTTGGGAGCTTCTCCCACGTAGGATAACTACCTGCCGACGGAACTGGCGCGCATTCGACTGCTCGTGCTCGAGCCGGTGCCGGTGGTGACTCTGGTCCTGCTGGGATAGCCGCCCCTAGCCATGGGAGAGCTACGGTTCCGATTACGGCGGCGTGCTTGAGAAATGGCATGGTTGGTAGGTAATGGACCTTCGTATCGAGTATGAGATGGACCGTAGGTAGCGGTAAGAGGTTTACTCTCTCAAGACCTCGTGGATGCTTTCAGGTAATATACCTACCTTCCCCATACATGCGATCTGGGGGGTCACATCAGTCTACAGCCGGAGCCTAGACCTCCTTGCCATACATCAGCATAGCCGCTACCCCGAGCTAGCTAACCGAGATATTTTTGGAGACATGATTAACGTAATCTTGAGGCTCATGAGGTAGCGCTTCACGATGTTTATCTCCCTCTATCTCCTCTAAGACTATGACGCATTTGTGTGGATGCGGCTTCTATGGCGTACTTGCCTGTTAATACATGGTTATCATATGAGTAAAGACTTCGTACTTGCGTTGTGTCGATCTAGTAGGACAGAAATATTCTCAACATTAGATCTTACCTGGGTCGAGATGAATGAGAGTTACGTATTGTTGGGGTCATCATTAATTCGAAAGACTAGACCCTCTGTGGGGTGATATCAAGGACTTTAGCCGGCGACCCTCAATACGAGGTATCACCATCGGCTCCAAGGGCTCGCTCAATGTGGAGAAGCTGTTCTTTGTTCATTAATTGAGTAGGTAAGGACCTAGGTATGTCGCCTATTGTTTTCAACTTTTTTTTCTTAACTACAACTTGTGTATGCTCGAAGCATGTAAACTCATTTATAACCGTATACTACCTATGTAGGTAGGTATCTATGGCGTCCTTAAATGCACCTCCTTTGGTTCGCAAGAAAGGTACCTAACCTAGGTAGTTTGAGTCTCATTCACAAAGCAATAATCAATCGATCCACCATGCTGTCAGTTCAAAACTATTCAATTATTCTAGTGCTGGATGTGGTAACTCAGGGGTAGTCACATGACCCCTTTTCTACTTCACACCGATGTCAGCTATCTAGCTACTCCCGAGCCAGCTATTTATCCTGCGAGGTTGGTGCTAGACCTTCGTATTTCATTGTTAACACAGTCGGTCTCAACACACTTTAGGTAAAGGGGGAGGATAGTTATGGTATAAATGATAGGGAGTTAGCGAGTTCAACTTGGTCACCTCGAATAATCTCTAGTCGTGATATCAGGGCGCTCGGAACAGTTGGCAAGCTTGATAAGGAGGATAAGTTGCCATCTACCGACAGGTTTGAAAGGTAAATTGCGCGGATCTTATAACGCGTGAAAAAACGACTATATAATCTACATATATGTACCTTATGTACAGGCTGTCCCAAAATCTCCCCAAGTCCCTCGCTAATAACGCAAGTTTACCTAGTTTAAGGGGTAAGCTTCAAGAGCCGGCCGCCCTGACCATCCTCAATCACCCAGATGGCGCCCTCCTTGTCCTCTCGGATACCGCGCATGCGCTTGCCCATCGAGATGCGCTGGGCCTCCTTCGCCGTGTCGCCCGTGATAGTCGCGCGCACGATAGCCTGCGAGGTGAGACCGGTGATAATAGCATTGCCGGTCCAGCTGGAGAACAGCTTGCCCTTGTAGATGATGAGGCCGGCGGGGGAGATTACGGGGACCCAGAAGGCCTTGGGGGGCTCGATGTCGGGGCGGGTGCTGTGGGCGGGGATCGTGCGACCATCATAATGACGGCCCTCGGAGACGACGGGCCACCCGTAGTTGGCGCCCGACTTGATCAGGTTGAGCTCGTCGCCGCCCATGGGGCCCATCTCGACCTCCCAGAGGCGGCCCTCGGCGTCCCAGTCGATGCCCAGAGGGTTGCGGTGGCCCAGCGACCAGATCTGCGCCTGCACCGCCCCCTGGCTCGCGAACGGGTTGCCCGCGAACGCCGTCCCGTTGTCGTACAGCTTGATCACCTTGCCGAGGTTGCTCGTCATGCTCTGCGCCGGCGTCATCTGGTTGATCTCGCCCGACGAGATCCACAGCGCGCCGTCGGGCCCGAAGAGAAGCCGGCACGCGAATTGCAGTCCCCCAGACGCCCGCTGCGAGTGCCGCCAGATGACCTCGAGTCCGGACAGCGCGCCGCCGCCGTTGGTGTCGAGCGTGAGCTTGGCGCGCGCCACTGCGCCGCCGGCGCCGCCGGAGCCGCTCTCCGCGTAGCTGAGGTACACGATGTTGTTCTCCTCGTACTGGGGGTGCAGGGCGACGTCGTGGAGGCCGCCCTGGCCGCCGTAGGCGACGGCGGGCACGCCGGTGACGGTGCCCTTGGTCTTCTTCTCCGGGTCGACGAGGATCAGGTTGCCGCGACGCTCGGTCACGAGGATGCGGTTGTCCGGCAGGAAGGCGAACGCCCAGGGCTCGGTGTGCGTGGTGATGGCGGTTGACGTGAACGGCTGCTGGCGGGTGTCTAGCTGTTGCGATGGCATGGCTAATGCACCGGCCACTAGCGCCAAAGCGTAGGTGGCGGAAAGTCCGAGATGCATCGTTTCTTTATTTTCGGGGCGACCTTTTGCTTTCCCAGTGTTTCTGTGTTGTTCTTCCTAGAGGGTCGAGGGTTGAATGGTTCTACATCGTGTAGAAACTCTTAGGTTGTCAGTTCCCCACGGGGTAGGTAGGTATATAAGAAACGGGGAAGACTCCAGCAGCCTCTGTTGACGTGTGTTAAGGTTAAATCAGAGTATCTGCACTTTATAACCCTGGTACCGGTAGAAACTAGTTCCCCTCTTGGCTCTATCGTCTGTCCCCTGTACCGTTGTACCGTACGTCTCCATAGGATGACCGATTTAGCAAAAGCCCGGCATGGCATTCCCACCCTAATCTGGGGGCACGACAGTTTTCCTCTATTACGATTGACTACCGACGCCAAGACCGGCTTTTCTCTTTCTTTACACCATGCGGGGGTTCTCGATCCGTCCTCCGCTACTTCTCGATTTCGCCGCCCGGAACATCCTCGATATGGCTTAATATCATAGCTTTACAATTGGAGACCTTCTTACGGAACGGCTATTAGATCGACACGTGAGTTTTCCCAAAGACCTCCTGTCATGGACGCGTCTATGCCGCGTAGACATCATTCGTATGCATAATCACGCCGTGTGACGAGGGGAGTGTTATCGCAATAAATAAAAAAAATAGCAACGGAGCCCGGAGGGCGATGATCAGCGGCATTCTGTTTTTATGACCCTTCTTGTAATCCTGTTATCGAATTAGTATTATCTACTTGCAGCTCAATTAGTGAGACAGAAGCCGAATCTTTTGAGAAGACGTGTATCCGTTTGATGCCCTACGAATGCCCTGAGGGTAGTACATCTTGAGCTGTCAGCAATATCCTGCATCTCTTGGCTTTAGATCTACTTATCTTGAGAAATCCATGATGAAACCCCAGCTGAATGAATGGTATAACGATGTACGATTCCACGCAAATACGACCTGCATAGTATATACCTAGGTGGTCAGTTACCAACCTCATAAATAACTTTATAAAAGACGTATCTTAGGTGTGAAAAGCTGTGTATACTGGTGGAAGTCCCATCCTACTACAAAGGGCCGGTTATAGATGTGATAGCTAGTACTGGATATGACGTGTGTGTGTAGAATTTGTACATTCAATCTGGGACAAAAAGGGGCAATACAAGAAATAGGGGCAATTAAGTACCTAAGTACCTAGGTTAGGTAGGTAAGGACGCGTACACACTACGGTTCGTTCATTTCGATTGTGCTTCACTCCTATGAGGCCAAGTAGGTACCTAGGTATGATCTAGGGTTATAATTATGGATACCTTCCCCCATCTATCATCCCAGATTTATTCCCTCTCCTTTGTCGTTCCTCAGCTATTGCAGCTTAAGACATATGTGAAGCTATCGCTATCATGGTTATCATTTTACCCGGCATGCTCGCGATGAGAAACCTTGACGATAAAGTCTATTTTTGGCAGATAATGTTGTCCAAATTACTATATTGGGCCATGAAGTAAACAATGATTGGCCCGTAAAAGTAGTGGGCTTTTCAGGAGCTGCTGCACGATTAAGTTACTAGGGGAGAGTTAAATATCAACAACAGCGACCTTAACGATGCATCTGTACATGTTTCCCAGGTAAGCTTGAAGTTTATATGGCAATACGAACCAGTAATATCATAGCAGTGAGTTTAATTCCACGTACCTACATAGAAACCCATCCAGCAACTTTCGTCCGAGCATGGAAAATGAAGATCACTAGCGCTGTGTTCCCCTTGCCGCCCTTTCGTTTAGTTCTGGCCATCAAACCTTTAGTCAAACTTACTGCCGTGTTCGTGCTGAAGAGTCATAGAATACAGAGCCCTCGAAACATTAGAGACGGATAAGAGCCTCAAGAAGGGGGCATATAACCAAAGGCTAAGCTATGTCGCGAAAAGTATAAGATCCTTTCTGTTAGATCTGAGCTTAAGTCAACTTCTAATGCCACGTGTCACATTTCTGTTATTTCATCTCACGCAGTCAACAGTCTTAGAACGATATGTTGGGGGGGGGAACACGGTTGCCGATATATTGGTGTGTAGGTGTCCATAGCACAATGCGCCGGCCGCTGCGAGGAATCGTGTATTTTCCTGTCGAAAGGCAGCTCCAGTAAACCCAAACTAACGCTGATGTTCCTTCCCTATCCCCTATCCCCCATCCTAATTCCCTACCCCCCATCCTAATTCCCTATCCCCCATCCTAAAACGCCAATAACTCCAAGTAGCCGTATCCAGGCTCTTCATTGATCATCCCGGGGTATCTCCATGAATCCAAACCCATTTTCCATTTCGCATTCGTACAATTGTAGTATCATGTCGGCGTATATCATCATACCGACGTATATTGTGACCCTAAGTAGAGAAGTTAGTCGTAGAGCTCAAGAGATCATATTCATTGCTAGGTACTAGGTTAGGTACTTACAGTTCCTGTATAGCTGGCACGATTTAACGGCGAAAGGGCGGGGTTCCAGACTTTTGACGAGACTGTCGTCGACGTCGAATCTGGTTGGCTGATAGCTTTCGGCGGGGGCCGTGCGGGTGGACGTGCGAGTGGCCATGTGAGTGGCCATATTGGTGGGCGCGTGGGAAGTGTAAGACCTTTGGTGCCTCTGGCTCCGTTCTTTGCTTCTTCGCTGGGGCTCCCATTTGCTGCTCTTCTCGAGCACTAGTGTGTCGAGGTTGCTTTCGAGGGTTCTTCTCCGAGCCGTGGGATCGTTTAAGATCCTGTGCTTTGTCGCTTCGGTGGGATTGTTTGTGATCCTGTGCCTTTTGGCTTCGGTGGGATTGTTTAAGATCCTGTGCTTTTTGGCTTCGGTGGGATTGTGCCACTATGTAGTCACACACGGCGGAAATAAGCTCGTAGCGCCAGTCGTACTCGTCCTCGGACTTGTCGCCATAAGTCATCTCTACGTCGGACGGGGGCCCAGTAGGCTCCCAGTCCATAGCTAGAAGACCTTTAGAGTCGTCATCGTCATCTGTGGCGTAGTAGTTTTTAACTGGAGACGATGCGAGCATGTCTACGTCGCTGCTATCCGAGTACTTTCGGGTCTTGGGGTTGTATCTTTTAACCGGAGACGAGGCGAGCATGTCGACGTCGCTGCTATCCGAGTACTTTCGGGTCTTGGGGTTGTATCTTTTAACTGGAGACGAGGCGAGCATGTCGACGTCGCTGCTATCCGAGTACTTTCGGGTCTTAGGGTTGTATGTTTTAACCGGAGAGATGCGGTCCATGTCGACATCTCGGCTCTCTCCGAAGACGTCCATCATCGTGACGTCTTCCTGAGTATCATCGACGGCTTGGCCAGCGGCGAAGGCTTGGCTGAAGATAGAAAAAGGGTTGAAAGGGGCCATTGCGATGATCGAGAAGTTGTATGGTGATTTCTTTGGTGATTTGTTGGTGATTTGTTGGTTGGCTGATATATTTAACGATGAAGGATGAGTTTTGGGAGTATTGCAATAAATACTATTGTAAAAGTTGTTGTGAGAATAGCAGTGATGATCTGCTTTCTGTTAAGTGTGTTGTTGTGAGAAGTCGAAGTCGACGGTAGAAGTTGATTGTTGTTTGTTTAGAAGTTATGAGTTTTTGATTTGGAAGAGATCCAGAAGAAGTATTAAGAAATTAATCTTGAATAGATTGGCTTTACTGTATGCAGTGCAGAGTGTGTTGGATATATAGAATGGATGGAAAGAAATGGGAAAACTGGCAACGGACCAAATTTATATAAATAAGAGTGACCGCCTTTCCCCGATGTGTGAAAACATAAAATAGACTTTTTCAATCTGCTCAATGGGATATGCTAATGCCACCAAAGTTTCGGATCACTCAGGCAACCATTATTGTTGAGGCATCGCGAGGTGTTAAGGTATCAATCTGGGGAGATCGCGGCGGTTCATGCTTTGGGTTTCGAAGCCACGAACTAAGTTGAAAACCTACATGAAGTGATATAGCAGATGTCTCTGGAAAAGGGTCTTGAAACCTCTCAAAAGCGCTTCACTGCCTTATGTTTGTAGAAACCTACAGTACGATATCAATCCCCTCTTCGTAGAGTGCGGTGCTATGCAAACCCAGCTCTGAAATTAGACCATATTATTACGCAATTCTTCACAGCCCTAATCCCACGATTTTGATCTCATGTGACTAATTCGTTGAGTACACTCTCTTGACCATTCGAGGTCAAAATTAACCTTGTGTGCCTACAATGAGCAGAAGTTTCGCGCCCCCTACTCCTTTACCCCTATTTGACTAAACGTGTCCTTAGTAGTGTGGGCTTTTCAGGCACATACATTAATAAATTTCACATAGTTAATCTAGAATGTTATTAATCCGCTAAAGCCGTTAAAGTGAACTCTTTAAATCGTCGATCGTGTAGTAAATCTTGAGTTAAAATAGACAACAATACCAGTTGCTATGGTTACTACTCAGTGTGTTATCTGCCTAGTTAACTAGAGGCAACTTTGGAGGCTGTTGATGGGCTAATTGTTTTCTATGCTAGAATACATGAATGGATCTAGGTTAACACTAGGTAATAAATTTAAAGCTAGGTTAGACAAATAAGCAACGAGGACGATTAGACAACATCTTCATTAGACATCTTCATTACGGTTTTGTGACAATAAATAAACATATGGAATCAAAAGTTTGCTTGTTACGCTTTTGTGTGTTCCTCTGAGTGGACTGTTTTCGACAAGTAAACAATAATCCATGAGATCTAGCACATTGCTTATCGTAAAGGAGCTTTACCTAACTATGGTCTGAAACTCTGAGTTATACATCAACTGGAGTTCCAAACTAGGTAGACTCTGTTAGATATACTGACATAAGCCGAAGAGAAACAATGAAAGATCAACCATTAACCTTTTAGCGTAGCGGTAAAATCTGGCAGATTCTTCAGATGGAAAATTGAATTCGCCCAATTATCGTCATACGCACTCGTGACTGTTTTTTCAAAAAGGCAACTACCTATTTACGTCGTTTACGTGAGGCTCAAATTCGGATCTATCCACCCATCCAGCCTCTCCCCGCATTCTCCTTTCTGCACTGCCGAGATCTTCACGTTATGGGAAGGGTAAGATGCCCAGACTAGATATTAGCCGAGAGGGAGCTCATAGGTTGGGAAAACAGCAGATTCTCTTAAAATAGGACACAAAATCAAGACAATGGAGATAACAGAGATGGGATTGGCTGTGCAAGCATGAGTAATTGGAATTAATATCATCACATGTGCTTGCTAATAAATTCGCAAGGGGTTTGTTACCCGTGGCTCAAGATAGATACTAGACAGACATATATATTCTCGTCGTGGTGACCCTAACTTCCGCTGCCTTTTTCTTCTCCCTGTGACTACGTAGTAAGAATTTACCTACACAAAAATGCAGTTCCTCACAAGCCTCCTATTTGCCGCGACGGCAGTCCAAGCACACTGTAAGTTCATCGAGCCAAAACATCAATTCAAACACCTCCTGGGACAAACAAGTCTCATAAGCTTTCAGATACCTTCCCACGGCTCGTCGTCAACGGCAAGCCCGAAGAAGCCGACTGGTCCGTAACCCGGATGACCAAGAACGCCAACTCCAAGCAAGGCATCGAGAACGTAGCGAGCCCGGATCTCCGCTGCTACTCCTCGCAGACCGCCGCCAAGGTCGCGGACGTCCCTGCGGGCGCTACCATCCACTACGTCTCCACTCAGCAAGTCAACCACCCCGGACCCACCCAGTACTATCTGGCCAAAGTACCCGAGGGACAGTCGGCGTCGACGTGGGATGGGGCGGGGAACGTGTGGTTTAAGATTCACTCGACGATGCCGACGATGGATAGCAATAAGCAGCTTACTTGGCCTGGGCAGAGTATGTCTCTTCCCCCTTTACCCCCTTTACCCCTTAAGAGCCTGCATAGATACCTAGCCGACTAACCCACTGCCACACAGACGAGTACGTGCTAACCAACGCGACCATCCCCGCCGCCACCCCCGACGGCGAGTACCTGCTGCGCGTCGAGCAGATCGCCCTGCACATGGCGATGCAGCCGAACATGGCGCAGCTGTACCTCGCGTGCTCGCAGATCAAGATCACGGGGGGCGGAAGCGGGACGCCGGGCCCGCTGGTGGCGCTCCCGGGAGCGTACAAGAGCACGGATCCGGGACTGTTGGTGAATCTGGGCGCGATCCAGCCCGATGCGTATGTTGCGCCGGGGCCGGCGGTGTGGAGTGGGTGAGGGCGGGGAGTACATAGGGGGTAGGGGGTAGGTACATAGGTCAAATGTATATGTACTTAGATACTTTGCCTATGTAGCATTGGCGCGTCTGTATGTATGTGGAATATTATTAGATGTTGCCGTTTGCAGAATGAAAGTGATAGAGAATAGGGGGGTGGCCGTTTGTTGTAGTACAAATCTGCGCAGCTTTGATTGGCCCTTGAATAAAATCAAATTTTAAAGATACTGCAAGGTCCCAGTCCGTATTTTCTATTTACATGACGAGAAAAATTGGTGGTTGGTGGCTCATGTTTACCTCGTCGTCTGATGTGTAGCATATATCAATTGTCGTCCGTTAGCGTATCATTGCCTCACGTCTTGTGCATGCCTTCATTTTCTCAAATATTGAATGCCTACTCACGATGAATCGGATATGCCAAACGTCCTATGGAACTCTGGAGGTTGTTCTCAACCTCGCCGGGTATAAGGGGAATTCCAATCGGCAGCTGGTACACGTCTACCGAGACCGTTTCGCCGGAACGTGGCACGACGCTGGCATAGTCACATCTAAACCTTCCTCTGGCGGTTCGATCATCCAAAACCTTGTCAAGACTAATAGCCAGGGAGACGGGAACCTAGAGGTTATTGTTCTAGAAGACAATGGTCGCGTGAAACACTACACGCGCAAGGGCGCTACCTACATGGACGGTATCACTCATAGATGGCAACTCGCGGGCACGGTCAATGCCGACAGACATCCCTACTACGGCAAGATAGTTGCTTCCGAGGCCTCCCCAATCTTCCAATGTAGCTTTCCAGCGCCCGAATCGAAAGAATACACGCTCGAGACTGTGCTAGTCGACGCTATCGGCAATGCTTTCCATTACTGCTGCTATCAAGCATTTAGTAGTCTAGACGACACGACATCTTATCGTTGGGTCCTGGGCTCCAGGATCACAACTGGTGCCGTTGGACCGGTTTGGCTCTACCAGGATTCCAAAGAAGACGGCCTCAAGGCATTGATCCCACAAGACAAGGGGATCTTTCAGTACTCGTTCGTAGATGGAGTCTGGAGCCGTGTATCGAATATTTTCGACGGTCATGCTTTCGCATGCACCTTCAGGCCAAACCCCACATTGCCATCAAGAGTTTACGTTGCTATGAAAGAGGGTGGGAAAAGCATTGCGACTGACATGGTGGGGAAGCATCCCTTGCTCTTGAGCCCAGGGGGTCTCATGTCAAGAACTGCGTTGGGCCGTGGCCATCAAACGTACCGAGGACATCCTGTGGCGATTGTGTCGCAGTTTCAAGGTACTCTGGGCTATTCCTCGAATGCGGAGGCAATTTCGATTCAACCTTGCGGAACTGGATGGCACGACACGTGGATGGTTCTGCATTGGAGTTATCTGACCAATGGCGATGAATGGAAGATATCAGGCGTGCTCCTCAGTTGTGTGGAGGGGATACCAATGTGATGGGAGTCGAGGCTTAAGCTTGTCAAGCTGAAGCCATAACCGATTAATAGGATTCTTGAAGAATGGTATGCATATTTTCCCTCTTCCATTTTCCCTTCGTCCCGTGCTATGCTAATGAAGATACTGAACGATAGATTCAAGGACGACAAACGCGACAAAGTGCGAGTAGCTCTATCCTACCGTCCAAGTCACAAACTCCACGCTCAGTAGATTGAGCGTGCTATATATGGTAGCTTTCAGGTGGAGAGACAGACTGTGACCTTGGAGTTGGGGATTTTGATGTTAGAGTTAGGAGTACGACTCTGGAATTACAGGTGCTTTTCCTTAGCCAAGGGAGAATAGGGGTAGGTACGAAGTACATGACATACAGGCGGTACGCGACAACAACCTGATCAGCTTTAGAGAAGAGCAATAAAAGAAGGTATATATATGTAAGTGTAAAGTACTCAGGTGCGTATATACATAAAACAACACATAATCATTTGATACAACGAATCCGTCAATCATAACTCCCAACATGAACATGATCTGCCTTTTATATCTTCAACCGTCCCTGGTTGAGCAAGGAAGATAAGTAATGGAGGGCTCCTTAGCAGCAGCAGCATCATCCTCCTATCTTTTCTGACACAGAAAACTGTCTGGTCATAGCTATCTCACTATTTAGCTGTGGCCCAAGCTAATCTTCCAGTCTCCAGGAAGGGTAACCGAGCCACCAGTCTTGTTATCGCCCGTCTTGCACTTCGTCGCGATGGCATAGACGTAGGCCCTCATCGAGTTGCAGATCATGGGGCACGCCGTGGCCGGCGGCGGCTGTCCGGAGGGGTTGACGGGGCACTGGATGTTGTCGCTGAACGAGGCCTTGGCCGACCCGACGCTCTGCGAGGTGCGGCCGCCTGGCAGATGGCAGCAGCACGCCATGCCGTTGTCACCTTGCCACTTGTCGCCCACCTTGAGCGCATCCGTGTAGTCGGCTCCGCCACTGGCGTCGCAGGCGATGCTGTCGGCGCGGTCGGCGAGGGCGGCGGTGAGGCTGCGCGAGTAGAGGCGGTCCTCTGAGATGTCCCGCGGACGGACGGGGGTGACGACGCCGATGACCATGGCGGAGTTGACCTTCTTGCCGGAAACGTCGATGCAGTCGTCGTTCGTCAGGACGGCCTCCTGGTGGTCGACGTGGCAGTTCTTGTCGCTGCACGCGAACGCGACGTCCACGTCGGGGACGCCGGACACCTTGATGGAGGAGACGTCGTTGAGGGTCACGGGGAGGTTCTCGCCGGCAAAGCGCATCGTGTTCATCGGGCTGCCCGAGCAGTCCTTGCTCTTCCACGCGCTCACGGTGCCGGGAGAGGTCCGCTTCTGCGCCGTGGAGCCCTCGGGGTCGCGCTTCTTCGAGGTTCCCTCGGGGATGATGTTGGTGGCGCACTTGATCTTCGTCTTGCCCTGGGTCACGCACCCGTCGCCGATGAAGCTGGCGACTTGCGAGCCGGTGCTGCACCAGTCGTTGAAGAAGATCCAGGGCGTGTCGTCTGAGGATCCTTCGACCTTGACGGAGGCGGCTCCTTTCTTGAAGTGCTGGCCTGTGTGGAAAGCGGAAGTGTTAGCATAGGCTCGTATTAGGGGATGGGGGGGGGGTCGGGTAATTCATTACAGTTGGCCCCAAACTTGGTGTCCTCGATGGTCTCCTGGATGTCGCCTGTGCACCCCTTATCTTTGTAGGCGATCAACTTGTAGGCATTGGCTTGCAGCAGAAGGCTTGCGAGGCCAGCAAGTGTGAGGAACTTGGTTCCGACCATGATGATTGACTTGGTAGGTTGTTTATGGAGTAGAGTTGGTTGAAATGCTTGTTTTTAATGAAGTCTGATGCTGTCCGTGTTGGTAGTGTTGGTGGTGGTGGTGGTGGTGGTTGTTCGAATATCAGCCCAGTAGAAGGGGATCAAGACATCTATTTATGCTCATTTCCAACTTCTATTTTCATTCTATTTTCCTGTCAAAAATAAAGAATACTGGCATCAATCGCGATGATCATCCATCTTCCCAGTCCAATTCCATCTCGGTAGAAGCCATATTCATTACTGCCTCCTTCAGATCTGCTGCCTGTGACGATCATGAACTTTTCTGTTGAATCCCTTCAATGCATAACTAACATATTCGATGAAGATATTTCGTTGCCTGTATAATGGTGGGCTGAGGTTGAAAGTCACACACGATGCTCACAGGTTCGGTATCGCAAAAAGGTTCCTGGGAGGTTGTAGCATGATATCATTGCTGAAAAGCAATACTAGGTGCTGTAACCTATTTTTGGATATTGAGGCGAGACTAAACTCTCGAGATCACCAAGATCGCCAAGATCGTCGACTTTAACTCCTAGCAAAGCTTGACATTGGGGTTTCCCACCTTTTATTGTGGAAAGTTCCTGGGAGCCTCTTTAATCTTGCTGCCTGTCAATCCTAATCTGATATAAGAGTGTGACGATCATTCCTGGATAACCCCTTCACACGCGGAGAATCTTTATTAGGTACCAGTTGAAAGAACTATGAAGTTATGTGAGTATAATTAAACTGTCGAACAGTTCATGCCCACTAACTATCCTGTCTATCCGATTCGCCGAACTGAGGTGAGAATGTCAAGAATCCTTTCCACACACTGCCAGACAAGTATTGAGGTTCCTAAGTAGTTACCTGACCTACCTAGTTAGGTTGACAAAAGAAAATACCTTGTATGACCTTCCTAATAGGGGATTCATAGAGATCTAAGTCTTCATAAGAGAGTGTTTCATTTTGGCGTTGTTCATTAGCCAATCATAAAGAGTTCGTTCGCCATTAACTTTTCTACTCCACGAGCTTTTGGGTTAGTGGGATTGTCCAGCGAGACGAAATAGAAGAGGTTGCTTAGCACCGAGTATTGTTAGAAAATCTCCATGGCCTTTCTGTTATTCCAGCTAGACACCACATCAAGGGGAATCCTTACATAAGGAGGTTCTGGCAGTTAACATTGTTGCTTACTTTGAAAAAAGATGAACAATTGCATAATTACTACTAGTTATACCTATCTAAACAATCATAAAACCAATGCCCTGAAAACAATGCTTTTTCTCAAGGGTTACCTAGAAGCTATCTGAGGGAAAGAGGTTAGCTAGCACAAAGAAAGTCACAATCGATGTACTATGGTATATATAGTCTTTATCGTCCCTGGGGAGATACCTTCAAGGCTAGTTGTTCTGCGCATTTTAGGCCCCATCTCCTAACACTTTGTAAAATAACAATGAAAAAGATGATAAGTACGAGAGAAGCGAGTTATGTTGAGCTTACCGTGAGCTCACCTTACATATGATTCAATATAGAATCTCGGTACTGACTGACAAGAGACCGGGAAGAGTCTTGTACTTACTAGGTAGTCTGTGACTCAGGGGTACCATCAACGCTCGGCCGGTTTAGCCACGCGTCCTGGTTGATGGTAGCCCAAGAATACAAGTCCGAGATCAAGTATAGCTCGTCAGCAAGCACGGCAGCCCAAATTTTCGACGCACAATAAGGATACTGGTCAATGAAGGCCATGAGGCTCTTTATCCAGGCATACAAGACATACATACCCCCAATGCAGGCTATTGTAGGGTACCAGCATATCAGAAGGCACCACAGTACAAAGCGGATAAAGGTAAAAATAGGATTCAGCATACCCCCGAGCATCTTCCGTGCCATATACGGTGCAGTTTGGGTCATTTTTTCTCTTCCTGGCTCGTAAAGCAGGCAGTTCAATCGATGGCGAAGACCGCTTTTATACCATCTCTTACACTGGCCAACAAAACGGCTATCCGGTAGGAGCGCGGTTTGCACTTCCGCGTCGTCAGTCAGCTGCATTCCTAGTTTCCATTCCGTCGGCTCGATTGTGGAGTATTCACGGTTGGGGAAATGGTGCTGGAATAAGATGTAGCGAGTGATCCATGCGTCGTCCGAGGAGTTCTCCTTTACACCGGCCCAGGTGTCGTTAATAAACAGGTACTGAAAGTAAGGATCCCGAGCAATTTTTGCCCGCATCAGCATCGTGAGGCCCGATATCGTGAAGTTCGTTGACATATCAGCAGCATAGAACGCCGCCATACCAGGCCTTCTTCTATGACGAATACGAAGAGCGGCAACCTCCCAACCGGTGATAACACTCTCGTTTTGACGTTCCTCGGGTACGTACGACGTGATAGGCCCCCCAGTAAGTCCGACATTCTGGTACTCGAAAGGGGCAAGCAAGTTTATCATGGTTCGGTCTGTCTTCCAGTGAGCATCGTCGTCAACCAGAGCGATGATATCGCCTTCTGCTTCATTGAAGCCACGGCAGAGCTGTCTACGCTTGTTGGCCTGCTCTACGGTAACGACCTTGACCGGTATCGGGAGCCCGCCGCAGGGCATCCTTATATCTCCGAGGCACGGGGTCGTGCGAAGAAACTCACGAAGCTTCTCTGCGTCGCGTCGAACCGTTACGAAGATTATCTCGCGAACCTTGTTCTTCATCCAAGTCTTGATGTTGGCCGGTAGGGTACTTTCATCCCAATCGATGGTTGGTACAACGACGCTTACATCATTAGGCGTAAAGGTAGCATCGTCTGTCTTGATAGCAAATGGCTTGTATTGGCTGGCATATCGTGCTGTCTCTTTGCGGTCTCTGTAATCCCAAAAGTATAGGGTCATAAGCAGAGATGGTGCGGTAACCTTCGCGATATCAATCATAGGAATCATGTTGTTCGATTATGGGCTTATCGTTGTAAGAGGTAAGTAGGTAGTTAACCTCGGCGACGAAGAAATAAATCTTTTGGAAAAGTCGCATCGACAACGATCAGGAGCGAGGTAGAACATGGTGCAATAGACTATTTATAAGCTCAACGATATACTAACAAAAAGGATGCTGTCTTTTCCTGTAGAGGGCATCGTGTATCAGAACAGTATCGTGTGTCCTTCAATGGCACAACAAGGCATTGTCAGCAGTGATTCCCAACCATTTGGTGGATTTTCTGTTCGGTGACAGCCTCGGTTGTCCCCAGGTTAACAAAGGTGGTGAACTGCACAATGCATTGCACCTGCAGTCACTACCCCTTACTCTACCTACTAGATGCCTACCTGGGGTTTTCTAAGGGAAGCAATGGCCGTCGCTAGCATTGTCTGGATGCCACGTCCCGAACTATCAGGAGGCAAAATACACCTCTACCACTGAGTTCTCATCCCAAAAGCCCACATACACATTTGATATCATCACAGATCATCAGTTACATCATTTATTGAAGATTGACTAAGAACAGAGACGTTCAGTCGGAATCAGTCCGATCACTACGACATCCCTCTCCTCTAGAATCCTCCAACGGACCCCAATCTACCTACCTACCCATCAGCATACTCTTCAAGCAGGTACATATGCCCTATAATATACCCCTTTAACTACCACTATGGGGTATTTGCATTCAGCGGATAGGTCACTAAAGTTTAGGGCAATACGGTCGTTTTATAGAAGGTTCAACTGAGATACTTATGTGGAAGGTACACGGTGTCCTCTTTCCGTGTAGAACCAACTTGGGTACCTAGTAGGAAGGCAGTGTGAATATCGCGACTTCCTGATGGTCATAAGGTTTTGAATGGGAGTATGGTTGAGGGGGTGTGTACTTAGCAAAGTCTTATTATTGGAAGGCGCCTTGAACGTCCTAAGGGGTGTGGGGCAAGCATTTTTGGCGTATAAGAGGAAGGTACGCAGGGTGTGTGGATAATAAGGTTTCTAAATTCACCCCAGCGACCCAGGCCCCACCAAGCTAGTTAAGCAAAGTAAACATATCAGATTGTTCCTCCACTCGACTTCTGCTCTCCCAACTCTCCCACTTACAACTTCTTTTTCCATAACACACTCGATCTGCAGAACACACAGAACGCACACTGCTTCTTGCTTTTCAGATAACTCTGTCAATCTGCTACTTCCAACGCTTTTATGCACATAAAACCAATCCTGCTTCATTGCAAAAAACTTTACTGAACTTCAATCAATCGATTGACTCACGCGCGCCTGCTTTGAACCCGATCTTCATTGCTACGACGCGTCTTCCCACAACTACCATTTATCGCGCTGCTCGCGTCTGCTTAGCAACGCCTGCAACAGCAGCCCTGTCTTCCCTCTAACTTATTATCATAGAGCTTCTTAACACCGTCTATAGGTCTTCTGACGCGTCTTTTGATGCTAAGCATCGCTATTCCACCTTAACTGGTATTTATAGGTACTTTTACCTCATTTTCGATTCCATCCCACTCGCGTTCAACGCTGGTCGGGTCATATGGAGTCGAAACCGAATAGATACCAGTCCCGCATCCTTAGGGAGATGCATCATAATACCGAGAATCCTTTTAATTCACCACCATCATCTACTGGCTCCCACGGAACCGTCACACTTACCTCTAACATAACAATGGGTCCCCAAGGAGAATCCACTCGCCGTATGGACGACCTTTCTATCAACCTTCCTTCCATGCGCAACACCAAACCGACTCTACCCACCTCTTTCGAAGTCAATACCTCAGCCCTTGGACGAACATTCCCTGAATGGAGCCGCTGGAATCACCAAACTGACGTGTGGGAAGATTCCATTGACAACACCCCAAATCCTCGCGGGAAGGAAAATGTCACGCCGCGAGGAAGCCCCAACTCTTCGATCGTGGCTACCCCTAGAGCGGATGATTCTGATCGAGATAAGGTAAGTAAGCACTTTATCGACCAATTTAATAATCTTTACGCCCGGGTGAGAGAAAATTCAGAGATTACGAGACAGCAGGTCCAAGCTTCAATTGAAAGGGTGGAAAGAATGAATGAGGAATCACGTGTTGGACAACCTCCACGATCACATTTTGATTTCTTTATGAGAACCCGTCGAGGGAACCTTCCTCCTCCTTCAGAGTCTACCATTCTCTCTGAATCTCTCTCATCCCACTGTTCTGTTTTTTCCAACCCTGATATTTCGCGTTGCCATTTTACCCCTCCTCCTAGCAAGCAAGCTCGAGGTGCAAGCGAAACAGTCGATGCACCCCGTCAGCGATTTGTTCGTTTTGCTGCTTCGCCTACGAGATCAATTGTTGTTTTTAATCGCAATCTTGTTCCGTGAAGTGCAGAGCTAATAAACCATTAGATTGAGAATGCTAAGCCTACGAATGAGCCTACTGCTCGAAATGCGGGCACCTTACGTAGCGCTCTTCGATCTCGTGCTCAGATGCAACCGCGAGTTCAAACTGAATCTGAATGCTCTTTGGATCTCTCTGAGCCATTGATTCAACCCCTGCAAGACTTAGAAGAACAAGGTAGCCGACGACGTGCATCGACACCCAGTGGTGCTAAGGGTCCCAAGTCGCGACGTGGCAATGTTACCGCCCTCCTCGAAACCCTTAAAACAGCCCAATCCAAACAGGCTGAATCCAGCGAACAATCTGCAAAGGAAGCTTCGCCCAAGTCATCGCCCTCGGTGCAACCACAGAATGCCGCGAAGTTACTCATGGAACGACAATCGGGAATGCACAATGTCGCAACGCCCGCAACTCCTAACCAGACCGCACGTTCTTTCTTTCTACCCAACCTTTCCCACATGAATGACTTCATATCCGGTGCATTGCGGCTATCCTCTATGAGAAATGGCATGCCTATCTTCGTGAAGCATGGCAAAGTTCACGATCGCGAATCTACGACTACCCCAAGCCACCATGCCGATGTCGAAGCAGTTGCCATCCCCGAAGACGAGGAGAAGATTTTCGTATCTTTGGATAAGATCAAAGACGAAGTCCACGCCTTGAAGGAGCATGATGACTTGGTTTCTAAGCAAGCGGAGCAACTCCAAGAGGAAGTGGAGGAACTTCACATTCAGGTCGCCAAGTACAAATCTCGAAAGGACAGTGCTATGGGATCTGACTCGGAGAGTTCTGTGATCGATCATCTGCACTCTCAGAAGACTCAACTAGAAGAGCAAGTCAACTCCTTGCAAGCTCGTTTAGACAAAGCCAATCGTAAGATCAGCATCAACGAGATTCACACCGAGTCTTACATTGCGGAGCGCGACGAGGCTCTTAAGAGCGCCACTGAGCACTTGAACAGAATCCAACATCTTCAGTCCGAACTCAATGCGGCTCGCCAAAATGTCGGGTCCTTGTACAATGACACTACGCAAGATGCCAACGCGCTTGAGTTGGAAAACAAGTCTCTGCGCAAGGATAACAATACCATCCGCCAACAGTGGAAGTCTTTGCTCGAAGAAAATCAATCTCTCCGTGCACACAACAGTAACATGTCCGAGAAGAACGCAGATCTCGAGCAGGACCTCCAATATGCAAATGCTCAAATTGAATCCACCAAGGGAGAATTAGAGGCGGTTCAGAAAGAATATGAGATGATCTCGGAGGAGAAGGCTATACTGAAGCAAGACAACCTTAGCCTGGAGCGTCACAATGATAAATTCTTCAACGACAACAAGGTTCTGAAGCAACAGAACTCTTTGCTTAATCGACGAACGCATGATCTTCAAGACGACGTCGCTCGGCTTCAGAAATTGCTCGATGCGGCCGAAGACAATGCCGGTCCGATGTCTGCCGACTTCAAGGATATTAAGTATCGACTTCAAGTACAGAATCGCGAGCTTGCCAAGGAGAATGCGGAACTCCAGCAGCAAGTTATTGATATCCAGGCTGATTTCTCAACCAAGCGCATGGTCCTCGAGAAGGAGAAGCGTCGTCTAGCGGCAGTTAACGAGCGTCTGAAGGAACAAATTGACCGGATCAGCGACCAGTTTGAGGCTATTGTGAAGCAAAGCAAGGAGGAAGCCGCCAAATACGAGGAGCAGCAAACCGCCTTGACTCAGCAATTAGAGCTCATCACCGACAAGGAATCGGCTCTTGCTCATAAGCTGAAGCGATCTGCTGATCACTCAGCCAAGCTTCAGTCCGAATTGGATCGGAAGATGAACGCTGTGAACGAGGCTCGTCAAATGACTCGCGAAATTAAGGAATTCATGAACGCTACAAACAGCCAGAAAGACACTAGATTGACACGTATTGTCGACCCGAAAGGCAAGTCAGTTGCCAGTGAGAATACAGCTAGAAGCACAACACAAACCGACATGCCGATGCAAGACGACTATACCCAACAGATTGATCTCACCCAAGGATCTGACTTTGCAAGCATCTACACGCAAGGTGAGATGCACAAGTTGCGGGACGCCCTTCGCCAAGTTCGCAACCAGCCACAACGCAATGATTTCATACAGGAATCATCGGCTTTCGAAGACGATGACATGAGTGACCAGGCTAGTCAGAGTCTTCCGCCTTTGATCATGCCCCTTGGCCAATCACGATCTGCCACCTCTCAGCGAACAGTATCTGCTGCTACGTCTAAGGAACGAACAGGCTCGACTAAGCCCCAACCCGTCGGAATCCTGAAGGATACTCTGCCTTCTCGCCTGAATTCGCGAAAACAGAAGACAACACAGACTATGAACGATACTGATTTTGAAGAGTACCGCGAGCGGGAGACGGCGACCAATACTGCCACCGGTGGGCGAAAATCCAAGACCAACGACACAAGCCCGAGAAAGGTCTCTTTCGGCCGATCGAATGTCCGTAACACCGAGCTCAACCAGCCCAGTTCAGAACCTGATCTTACTGGACGATTCAGTGTCAAGTCCGGAGGAAGTGGCATGAGCATTACAAGCGAAGCATCCGATGCAGACAGGTTTCACCGTCGTAACTCGGACAGTGCTCGATTCGACATAGAGATGGATCACGAAGATAACATGACCTCGGCCCTGTTCATGGACGATATTACCCTCGAACAGCAAAAGATCATGGAGAAGCAGAATGCGAAGAAGTCGAGCAAGACTGAGCTGTCTAATGACGCCAAGCGCGTCCTTGACGGTCTCTGTCATGATCATGACTGCCGCAACTGCATCGTATGTTCGCGGATCAACTCGCAGGGCCGTGGAGATCAGGCGGCCAACAAGAAAGCTGTCCGCGTGGATAAGCCAATTCCTGTTACCAACCGTGTCCCGAAACGTGGATCGAAACAAGTGGAATATGAAGACCAGTCCACTTTGCGTCCATCACAAGACCCGGCTGTAGCATTGGCCAAAGTAATCAAAGCCTTGGAGGACGAGGAGAGACATCTTCTACGAGCTCTGCAAAAGAAGGATGCCGCTTACAATGAATTCGACCCATCGGTTCAGCGTAGAGTCTGGAAGAAGCTAGGTGCGGAGATTGACAAGTTGAGAAGGGCGCGTGATCTCAAGCGAGATCAGATTTACTATCTCTACGATGCCCTCGAGGGCCAGAAACGGACGGGTCAAGAGATGACTGCAGAGTTCGCGGAGTACACCATCATGAGTGCCATGAGCAAGGATCAAACCTGGAACGGCATCATGGATTTTTGAAGAGATTTCAAAAGGGACTTGCGAAAGGGCATATCAGGAGGAAGAGGGAATACTTGGAATTGGCGTCTTGTACGGACATAAGGGGGAGATATTAAGAGCATTGCTATTGGAGTTCGGTCATTACTGAAGGCTGGGTTGATTTGATTGTTGTATTATTATATGACGAGACCCACGAATGGCTGGCGTTAAAAAGGGAGTCTGCATAGGATGCATTGTACAACTAGGAAGGAACCTGGTGTCAGGTAATAGGTCAGGCCATAACCTACGCGCATCCGCATCAGGGGCGCTGTGATATTGCATAATTGAATCAATTATGACACATTCATGTTTTTTTGTGACGATTATGTTTCCATTGTACCTATGTGCTGTACCTACCTGGTAGCATCTATCTGCTACGTCTGCGTAATAAGTGACGGGCCTCTTCTAGTATGATAAGGTCATGCTCCCTGCTGTCTTTCTGACTCTTACGCCACAACCTCTTAACGAGTAATAGGTACCGGTTACATGATCCTTACTTTTCTCCTGGCTAGGTAGATACCTACAGTAGTACACACACATTACCCTAAAAGTAGGTACCTATCTAAGATGCCTAATATTCCTAGCATACGAGTAAATGGCTGAAGGCGGACTGACTCGACCCCCTCGCCCTCGTCCTCGTCCTCTTCATCACAAAACCCTCATCACGCGCTTCCCCGCCGACCAGAACCAAGCCCAGCCGCCGAGCAGCGCCGTGAACCCCGTGTAGATGATCATGGGGCCGTACTGCGTCGCGTAGCCGGAGAAATCGGCGGCCGCGCCCGTGACGCGCAGCGGGTTGTTGGGGTTGCTGGGGCTCGCTTTCAGCAGAGCGGGGCCGACGAGGCCGGAGAGGACGAAGCCGAGGCCGCGGCCGCCAAGGAGCATGCCGAAGATGAGGCCGGTGTCGATGTGGGGGTCGGTGGAAGAAGAAGAGGTGGTGGTAGAGGTGCGCTTCAGCTCGTGCAGGATGCCGGACCAGGTGGAGCTGAAGCCGCCGGCGAAGAAGCCGTAGAGGAGGGTGAAGAGGACGAGGATTGCGAGGTGGCTGGTGCTGGTGCTACCGCTGTCACTACTGCCGCCGCTACTGTTGCTACTATTGCCATTGCCACCACCGAGGCCCCAGAGCAAGAAAACTGGTAAAGCGCTGCCGAGGGAGGAGATGAGGATCACGGTCGTGGGCTTGAATTTCGGCTGGTCGTTAAGCAGGCCGATGAGGAGGGAGCCAGGCACGGAGGCGAGGGAGATCAGGGCGAGGAAGATGGGGCCGGTGATGGAGGGGAAGCCGAGGAGGGTCGCGTAGGAGGCGAGGTACGTGGAGGGCATGAGGTACCCGAGAGATTGAAGGATGTTGCCGAATTGCAGGACCCAGAAGGTGGGGTGGTAGATGAAGGAGAAGGAGACGCGGCCGCGGCTGCGGTTGTTGCTGCTTTCGACGGCGTTTTCTCCTTCTGACGTGCTGGTGGCGGTGGTGGTATCATCGGCAGCAGGACGGGGACGCATAAGAAGCAGCGGCGGAATCGTCAAGACCGCCGAACCAACGGAAAAGATCCGCAGCGTCGTCCGGGCACCGTAGCGGTTGAGCAGCGCGCTCGTCATAAACGGCATACCCGCGCCAAAGCCGCTCTTACCAGACCACATGGCCCCGTACGCCAGCCCCTTCCGCTCCGCAAACCACTCGTCCAGACACAGCGACGTCGAGCTGAACAGCAGCCCGCAGCCCACCGCGTGCAGCACGCCCTGCACCGCGACCAGCTGCGCCGCCGTCGTCGCAAACGACGACGCCAGCAGGCACCCGCTCGTCAGCACCAGGCCCAAGGGACCGAACCACTGTCGCAGGCGCGGGAAGCGCGTTAGCAGGGTGAAGGCGACAGGCATCATCAGGTAGAGCACGCCGGTCTGGGAGGTGCCGATGGGGGCGATGGCGGCGGCGTCGTGGGGGCCCCGAAGGGAGGCGATTCCGGCGGCGTTGGAGGTGTAGTATTCTTGGAAGATGCCGAAGGCGAGGGAGTACCCCCATATCGGCGCTTGCACGAGCATGCAGCCGAGGAGCACGAGGTAGGCTGGCTTGCTGCGGTCGGTGGGTGTTGGGGTGGGGGAGGAGGAGGAGGAGGAGGAGGAGGAGGAGGAGGAGGGTGATGATGGTGGGCGGCTCTCGAGTTCGAGGACTTCGAGGGGGGTGGTGCTTTCTGGTGGGGTTTGGGGCGCCATGGTTTGGACTGTTTTAGTCGGTTATGATGTCCAAGATGATGTCTAGCCTGGCATACTAACTGAGGCCAAGCTTTGAGATGGACATCGCTTTTAACTTTACTTATACTTGCCTACTTCAATGTTTACATACATACCTGCGAGTCCTACCTCATACGATTGGAGTGTTCCTGTTGGACACTTCCAACCGAACTTACCCACCCGACGCCCTTCGAGCTCAACGCATGTTCTGGATATGCGCAGGGGAGTTGGAACCAATGGTGTCATTGCGATTATTGATATCTCCGACATCGCGACTTTTTATGACATGGAACTTTTGGAGACGGTTGCGTCAAAAGGAGAAATCATGAGAAGATCATGTCGATATGGATAATTGTATTGTATTGTATAGAGGTAGTTATCTCTATACTAGATTATATCGTGTAAATGGGTATAAGCCGTGTGAATAATGGATTATCTAAGATGCCCCATCCCCCGCCTTGGTGATAGCTAGCTTGAGCCAATTATATATCATCATTTATCCGCACCAAAAATCTACCTAGGTACATTTGTTCCTTACCTCAAATTCAATGCTGTAAATGCAACGGCAGCTCTTAACTCTTCTTTTAATAAGTTCTTAGCCTAAAAAGCTTCCAGTTCCATCTTCCTTCATTCACGTCGCAAAATATCTAAAGTGCAACACCTGCGCATTTATAGATAATACTACTTCATTCGTTTGTGATTGTGCCCTTCAATCATCCACAGGTATACTACCTGTACTACCTTTTTAAGAAAAACAACAAATAATACCGTCATCATGGGATCCGACATTGAAATCGAGATGGACATTGACGAGCCTGGCTCCCCCCAAGCCACCCAGGCCAATGTCAGCGATATGCAAACACACACCAAGGCCACCGCCGTGCGATCGATCGAGGGCTGGATCATCATGGTCACAAATGTGCACGAGGAGGCCGACGAAGAGGCCTTACACGACAAGTTCGCCGACTTTGGCGAGATCAAGAATCTCCACCTAAATCTAGACCGTCGAAGCGGTTACGTCAAGGTGAGCCTATACAATTCCTCCATTTATCTCTACCCACTCTCTTTCTATCTATGTCTGGGGATGTCAAATGCTAATTACTATTTTACTCGAACCATAGGGCTACGCTTTAATCGAGTACGCGACCCTAGACGAGGCCCGCGCCGCCATCGACGGCGCGCACCACACGAAGTTGGTGGAGCAGGCCATCGAGGTCGACTTCGCATTTGTTCGACCACCGCCAGGAAAGGGCAATAGAGGACCCCGCCAGTCGCATCGCGGTCGAGGACGAAGCCGAAGCCGCAGTCCGGAGGGACACAAGGATGGGGATAGAGAGTAGTGGCTTGACCCTCGTCTCCGTAGCAACCCACCACCTCATGCCTAAATTTCTGGTGGTATAGGCATTTGAGGATGGACGTATATATGGCTGGCTGGAGTGCTAGGAAGTTACGCCCTGGTCTTAGCCGATATGTCGCCAGAATAAAGAAGGACATGTCGGCATGTAACTCGTCTCCGTATAGGTAGGTCAAACGCCAGCTATTCTCCTTGGAAGAGGAACTTTTGCTAACAGGAACTTTTAGTTGTGATACGATGACAACATCTACAATGCCTACGTGCTTTACATCTGGAATTAGGAAGGCTAGCTAGAGCTGGAGTTATGTCTAGACATACGTGGTAGTTTCTAGTTAAGCTTAGAACTGCATAGTACTCTAACCTATCCTGTTCAACAAAGCTCGTTCCAGACCATTTCTCGAGACCATATCTTTGTTCCGTACTGAATTATGTGAATTATGACAAGTGATAAATGATAGAAATATTATTGTATGGATGATTATATAAAACATCGTTAAATGAATATGAATAATTAAGCGTTGTAAGTAATACTGGTTTAAAGGATATATAGCAAAGCCGTTTACACCTTGTGAATGTTTTATGTACTACAGTATGTAGTAAGGCCATCCCTGTTGGTACAGGGTTGGTTCCTGCATGAGTGACGTCGCGCTTGACAATTCCGCACCGCGCCATCTCGGAATTTAACACAACCCTGTCCACATCGTTCGAGGTCTCCATTTCAACATTCTCCATCTCCAAAAAAAAGAAAAAAACATTCACCAACTTTATTCCCTTCACTAATTGTCGTTTTGTCGCATGAACTGCTTTCTTTTTCTTCTTGTTTAGACAAGGTGATATTCCAATTTATTTGGAATGGCCTCATAGATAATCATGGCATTCTTTGTCGGCGGCGAGCCAGGCCTTCAACGTCTCTTTATTCCTGGAGTTTGCCTTCTCATCGCATTCTTGGCCTACACATCGCAATGGCTGTTCGCTAATTCACCAGACTTGAGCCCCGGTCCCCTCACCACCGCCGAGAAGTACACTTTCAACACCCTCCTCGGCTGTCTTTGGTACACGTACTACAAGGCTTGCACCGTCGATCCCGGCCGATATGTCTACCCGCCGAGTCTCAAGAAGAAGTACAAGCAAGATGCCGAAGAGGGCTATCTAGGAAGAGGAGGTCCAACAACACGCTGGTGTAAGAAGTGTATAGCGCCTAAGCCTCCCCGCGCCCACCATTGCAAAACCTGTCGCCGCTGTATTCCCAAGATGGACCACCATTGTCCTTGGACCGGCAATTGCGTCTCGCTACAAACCTTTCCCCATTTCATGCGCTTTCTCTTGTACACCAACCTTTCGCTTTGGATGCTCCTCTACCTCCAGTCGATGCGTTTCATCGCCCTCTACGAGTCCCGTCACCTTCCCGCATACCTCGGCCCGACACTCACGCAACTTGCAATGTTGACCGTCCTTACCTTGGTAGCCGGCATGACAAGCCTCGCCCTGGGTATCCTACTCCTCACAACCCTCAAAGGCCTAATCTTCAATACCACCACAATTGAGAGTTGGGAGATCGAGCGCCACGAATCAGCCCTAGAGCGACGCTACGCCTCCTCATCCGACGGCTCGACCGACTCCTGGTGGCTATCCAACGAGCGCGCGCCCGGCGGTGACATCTCCGCCCCACACCTCGCCCTCGAGCCCGTCGAGTTCCCCTACGACATCGGCATATTCACGAACATCGCCGCCGGAATGGGCACCCGCAACTTCCTCCTCTGGGCCTTCCCCTTCGCCGGAAACCCCACCGTCGCCCCCCACAACGGCGAGGGCGGCGGGATGGAGGGAACAGGCTGGGCGTACGAGGAAAACTGCCTCAACGATCGCGAGGGCATGTGGCCGCCTGTCGATCCGGAAAAGATCCGTAACGAGCGCATGTGGCGTGCGCGCGCACGCGATGCCGATGGCGAGATCGTGCTCAGTCAGAACAAGGAGGACTTCCTACGCCGCCAGCAGCAGGCGCAGTTATCGCGACTGGCGTTCTCGCGCTCGCGCATGCTGGAGGAGTTGGAGGAGGTTCGGCCTGAGTACAGTGGTAGTGGTAGCGGCAGTGGTAGTGGTAGCAGTACTCGCCAGCGTGTCACCAATATCGGTGGTAGGAAGAAGACAAAGAAATCATCAGGCTGGACGAACGCCGATGGCGAGCGCCTGGCTGACTTTGGAGTCGACTCGGGCGAAGAGCTGGATTACGAGGACGATGACGATGTGCCGCTTGCGCAGCTTATTAGGAAGCGTAAGAGGCGTGTGTATAATGATGATTATGAGGAGTGAGGAGTGAGGAGTGAAAAGGGTATGTGATGTGACGTTGGTCTGGTGTTGGTGTTGTACATGAGGGTACTGTACATGAGTGAAGGGTTGGTACTTACGTACCTACTGCTTATACGTGCCTGTACTTGCCTATACATACGTATAGTATTACGCGACTGGTAAAAGGTTCTACAAGTTCAACTGCATTAAGAATGCTGTAATCAGTGGTCGTGAAATCGGGGTTAGGTAACGAATGAGGAGGACTGCGACAATGAACAAGGAACTAGTCTAACCTACATAATTAAATGCCTACCCTAGTTTGGGTAGGTTGGTTGGTTGGTGGATGAATGAATAGGTAGACAAATCACTTAATGAGACAAGAACCATAACAAGAACAAGAACGATATGTGTTCCATTCCAGTCTATGGTGTGTTTCTTCACGTTCGTTCGTTCGTTCGTTTCTTCTCACTGCTCTGTCCTCCCTCTTAGGTACCTAGTTACTAGGGTCTCTCTCTCTCTCTCTCTCTCTCTCTCACACACACACACAGAGCTCTCCAACCCAGCTCTTTGTAACAACACCAGTAACTAGGTATGTATGTATGTATCACCTATCACCTATTATGCTAAAATACTAACCTAGGTCAGGGGACTCTGTAATAGCACTGGCGAGTACCCAGATGCTAAGTACGAAGTACGTATGTATGTATATCGCATTTGCTTTCCAGCCTGCCTGGTACAGTATATAAATCGGTAGGTACAGTAGGATCTCCGGTATCTAGCCATTCCTATAGGTAGGTAGGTAGGTAACATATTAACTCGAAGGCAAGTAAAGTGGTGGGAAGGTACAATACCTAAGCAGGATAGATATAGGAAGGCAGGTAGGTACCTAGTAGGTAGTTGGGGTACCTAGGTAAACAAGTTAAATACCTACCTAAATAAGCCCTCCCCTGATATATATCTCACACGAGGGATCCTGTTTCTACTTACTTACTTACCTACTTCCCAACCAACGTCCAAATAAATATACTCGAGGCACCAAGGTAAAGGTTTAATTGTTCGATTGCTTGCGTGCTTACGCCTTCAACGCTGCTTTCTTTCGCGTAACCTACTCTACTACGAGGGTAGGCATCTAAGTGCTATGTATGTACTATGTAGGCACGCTACATAATGTATACCTCTAGGTAGGTATCTACACCCCAGCAACCCAAATTCCAAATTTCCAGAAACTGTGTTTTTCAGTTTTTACACGGGTTCTCTCTTTCTTTCTTTCTTTCTTTCTTTCTTCTACCTGCTTCTACCCTTACTCCGACTACTTCTACTACGACTGTTCTCGCTATAAACCTGTTGTCTTTGTCATGGTCGTTGGCGTCGTTGTTGGGTTTACCAATCATCATCATCTTCTTTCTTCTGCATAGCGTTCTTCCTCGCTAGCAGGGCATCGGCTAGGGAACCGGCGACGCTCGGTGTCGGCGTGTTACTACGGCTGCTGTCGGAACCGCCGTTGGCGTTAAGACTCATGCCCGAGTCTCGCGGGTGGGTTGGGAGCGGTGCAGGTTTCCTGCCTGCAGCCGGGCGTTTCGCAGGAGGTTGCGGTGGTGTGGGTTTGCTGCGCGCTGCATTCGCTGTACCGTTTGAGCTAGGCGGTGGTGGCGGGGCTCTGGGTGCCGGCGCTGGTGCCGGCGGTGGAGCTGATGCTTGTTCCTCAACATACGCTGCTGGTACCCACGCCTGTCCCCCCACATGCTTAGCTAGCCACCAGCCTGTAAATCTTCAGTTAGCCTGGGTAATGAAGGGCAACTCATGTGGGGATTGATTGTCTGCTTACCATTGTTCTCCTTTTGCACAATCTCGATAATATCGCCCGCTTTTACCGACAGTTCATTCTCCCGTTGACCAGCAAAGTCATAAATGACCTTCGCAGTGATCTTGCCCTTCGCTGGAGGTGCTGCAGGAGGTGGGGGAGGTGGCGCACGAACAGATGAGGTCGAGCTTTTGTTACGGGAGTGGCTGGAGCTGCTGCTTACGCTACTTACGTTGCTTAACGTAGAAGCAGAGGCAGCGGCAGCGGCAGAAACCGGGGTAGGAACTGGTCGCGACTGGAGTGCCGCCGGCCCACGCTTTGTGGTACTAGGACGAGCGGCTGTCGTTCGAGCGGGTCTACCACCAGGACCACCAGGCTTGATGAGTTTGCCACGAGTAATTGGTCGGGGTGGAACTGGCTTTCCCTTCGGCGTCGGCTTGGAAACAGATGACGGGGATTCTCCGGGTTGCGTATGAACACCACCGCTCTTATAATAGTCTACCACCTGTTGTGAATCTTTCAAGACTTTAACGAGTTGCATCTTTCCAGGCTTCTTGGCATATTCTATCGATTCTCCAATCTTGAGATTAAACCCGCCCCCTGGCATTACTCGTTGCATCTGGGTGAAGAGCTCAGTCTTTAGAACACAGTTTAGGAGCGCGTCTGGTTCTTGAGGAGATCCAACCCCTAGCGAGAACCAATCATCACGACATGTGGAAACTCCGATGAATTTAATTGCCCCCAACGGGATTTGTCGTTCAACCACAATCTGAACCTGATGGTTGACCAATGCCTGAGCCACGACATAGAACTTGCTATTGGTGACAATTAGAATTCGAGGACTCGGTTTGCTTGATCGACCAAACTTGGCTTCTAATACCTCGCCTCGGCACGAGAAGAGAACCTTTTCGTTACTTGTCATTTGCACCGCGTTACGGACATGATTCCCAGGTCCATTTGATGCATTGATTCCTAGGTAATCACCCAAGAAACGTCGGGAGCCCAACAAGCTATACCGCCGACGTTCCTTGCGCCCTTGTAGTACTTTATGACCTTGGTCACGTAATTGTAGATACTCGGCACCTACTCTCTTCTTCCGCCAGAATCGTTGAATTCGAGTCGCTGACTCGGCGCGGTAGGCTAGGTATGCTCTCCACATTCGTTGGATACGGGTGGCCATGTTATGCCAATATCGGTCTCGCATCGTCTCTAAGGCGAATAACGTTTCTGGAGACTTGATAAAAGCCTTGGTAACACCCAGTTGCCACTCTTCCTTGGGAATACTAGTATCCTTCAATATCTGCTTCACGGCAGCCTCCTCTGTTCCTGACCAGGTATACTCGCCCGCGTAAGACGTGGCAGGGGACAACAAGAAGAATCGCTCGACGAATTTCTCAAACGATTGACGGTAAGCAAACCCGGCACGACGAATTCTTACGTTCTCTTGGAGACCTAGATATTTGATCTGGTGAAGAACGTTAGGAACATTATACTCCGAGGGGGATTTGTTCTCGTTTGGCTTGATCGTTCGGATGTACGATGGCTGGCACTTCATCAAAGTTTCCACTAGAGCATTGGCCGAAGTTCGGATTCTATCGCCTGCTGTGGGGGGCAGCTTGCGATTGTCTTGGTCTACCTGGTGAGGGAATATAGTGTGAACAAATTGGTTAGCACTCTGCTGGAACAAGCTTTGAACACCCTTTAGAAGCTGGTCCTTGTTTTTGTCGGTGATGCCTTCGACGGTGTAACTAACATCGCCAGCATAATGTTTGATGATGAAACTGCCTTGTCGAGGGGTGAGGTGAGCGTTCGACATGCCGCTGATGCTCTGCATGAAGGTACGGTCACAAGCAGCAGGATCGGCGTGGGCTGTCTTCGTGGCATCCTTCAGGGCAGAGAAGAGACCAGGGGGCCGAATCTGCTCGATCAGATCACACACGATCTTATTATCAAAATACTTGATAGGCGTCCATTGGATCTTTTCTCGTGCGTATTCCTCCTGTTCCGCCTTGAGAGTAAGTTGGATAAAGATCTGCTGGAGCTTTTCGTTCACGTAGTTGATGCAAAGCTGCTCGAAGCTGTTTTTCTCGAAAATTTCGAACCCATAAATATCTAGAATTCCAATATTGTTGGCTGTCGCTTGCCGTGCCTGTAAGGATTGGTTGATTCTCCCAACAATCCAATCAAAAAGATTATAATAGATAGCCATAGCCAACGCGTCCTTTGTTGCGGTTGCCTGGGCTGTGTTGGCTGGAGACTCGATTACCTCTCCACTCCTCGGAGTCAAGATCCGTATGGTAATGCCTTTAATCAGCGCCTCGGGAGTAACCTCCAGGAGATACGCTAGGAAGTCTACGACCGACTGATCTGCTACAGCGGCATAACCGTCGTCTCCTTCCACAAAGTGAATGTTTCCGGCCCACAGAATGGCGGCCAACATACGGAAAACGTCATCCTGTTCGGCCTGAGATAGACCAATGATCTTCATGGCTTCTAGGGTTTCTCGGAAATCGGCAAGATCGTCGATACCATCGACATTGAAACACTTGGACCGGCTGAGGTAGGCATACGTCTCCGGCTTCTGGATACCGAACATGGTCCGGTAGTTCTCAGATGCTCCCTTGGAGAACTGATAGAAGATATGGAAATTTCGCTCGTTGGTGATCTGGCCGACCACTCGCGTCTTTTCTAGCAAATAATTGGTAATATCCGCTCCTACAGGCTCTCCGTTTGTATTGAAATGTATTTGTAAGTACTTTCCGAACCGAGACGAGTTGTTATTTCGTAAGGTCTTGGCGTTTCCGAAAGACTCGAGTAACGGATTGGTTGCCAGCACCATGTCCTTGATCTGCTTGATCTCTCCGCTCTCTCCTCCAGATACATTGGCGATGTATTGCATGATGCGCTTGGCGGCCTCGGTCTTGCCAGCTCCTGACTCTCCAGAAATGATCACGCACTGGTTCTCGTGGTAGGCCTTCATGTTATAGTAGGATGATTCGGCGATCGCGAAAACGTGGGGTGGCATCTCCAGTCGGTTCTTGCCTTTGTAGGATTCGAGGACCTGGTCGGTGTAGATCCCGAGATCTCTAAAGGGGTTGACGGAAACCAAGACATGGCCGATATAGGTATAGATCTCGCGACCCTCGAATCGCTTCTTCAAGTTTTCATTAATTGCTTCATTTGATACCTTGCTAAGCAATGTCAGATCAGAAACCCCTATCTCTTTCTTCTTGGTGGTCTCGAATGTGGCTTTCTTAGGCCTCGCGGCTCCGTCATGCGCCCCGCCAGCGCGAGATGCTCCGCCTGACTTATCCTTCGGTCTCCTACTTATACCCTACAGTTATTCATAGGCGACGATTAGCAAAGGGGGTGACGTGGTTACCAAAGTTACAAAATCTTACCATATTGGGCTCGCATGAACAGGATTGGCAAGGCTGATGTTATCCAACAAGGGGGTGAGGCGTTGATTTCTAGATACGGAGGAAATGCCGGGTCAGGATTGTGGTTGAAATTATTGATTTGATTTTAAAGAAAGTCAATATATGATATAGCGACGTAAGGAGGAAGTGTAAAGTAAAAAGTGCGCAGGCGCAGTATGGTATTTGGATATATGAAGATCGACTTTGTATTTCCAGTGATTAAGTTGTTCAGGGTGTTTAGGTGATTTAGGCGCCTTAGAGAGAGAAGAGGCGCCATAATTCTATCATTTTTAGTGTCAAAATAGCCTACCCTGCGACGTAATGTAATGGGGCTGGGTAACGTGGCAGACGTGGCTGGGGGGCTATGAATGCCAGCCTGATGTAACTACCTAATAATGTACCCAATGAATTGGCCGAAGAACAACCCGATTATTCCGATTCTCTCCATTTTTTTCTTATCATACCAACAATTGATAATCACTAAAGAATGATAAAAACTCCAACCATTTCCTTTCCTTCCCTAATTTCATCTCACCATAAACTGGTATGCTTCACCATGATACCCAGTGTATGGATCCAACTCACGTAAACAATGCACAATTCCTAAGTCAAATGATCACTAAAGATAAACCAGTCGGAATTAGGAAGATACGAGACTCGGCGATTACGAATGTATTAACGCCAACTAATTTGGAGGATCTCCCGTCCTCAACTAAGAAAAAAGCTATAATTTTAACATATGCGCCAGTTCCTAGTTAATCATCGACGCCACCAAAGCTTACTAGGCTCAAACGGCACAAATCCTTTCATGGTTGTGGCTGCATAATAGCGACTCTCTCATCACCTAAGCAGGGCCCAAGATGTTGCTCTCATAGATGGATGTTGTTTTTCCCGTGTTATCGTTGACAATCTGCCACAAGTCATCGTCAGCATATCCACCTAGGTTTGTATCACGTGGAATCATTCGAGAAAGGACTTGCCTCGTAACGCGGGTTGTTGGAACTGGCTTGCACATTTCTGTCAGCCTGCTTCCCCGGCTCGGTAAGGACGTCGTTGATTTTGCCGGTACTCTCCGGTGTGTTCGAATCGGGACCTTGCGACAACACTTAGCTACGCCCAAAAGAAAGGCTATGTTTACCTACCCCCGACGGGCTTATAGGTGACCATCTGGCCTTTCTTGTATCTGGGCGCCATCTTTCGATATATTGCGACGTATGCTTAACTTATACCAAGGGTGATTTTGATAGAGTGGCTAAACGTGTAAGGGCCGGTTGATGTGAACAAGAAAATTACGAACGCCGTCCGGGGCGGATCCGAGCCGATTCATATACGTCGAGCAGCCGGACGTGATGTGAAACTAAAGGTTTAATAGAAACGTCACGACATTAGTTATTCGCATCATATACTAACTGATGATATCATGTGCGCTTCATGGACTACCGTAACCCACGCACAACGAGCAACAGGTCAGAATGAATCCAACAAGTAGATGTAAGATTCATTATCCAAAACCATCATGTCGTTGAAATCATGCCATCATTTGACGAAACCACTTCATCGTTATGACCTCCGAGGATTACACACCTCCTATGAAGGCCCATCAGGGCACTTGTCAGAACAAGGTCATGTGATTATATTTGGTCACGTGACATTATCATGGGTTCATTCTCCTGCATTTTACAAATTCTCCATTTGCTCGGAATATTCGTCTCTTTCGATCAGTACAACTCTCGCCTCAATCATCGTAGATTCTCAGTCTTTGGGGTAATTGTAAGCCTTACACCAAACAGCATGTCATATAAGTTCAACTTTCATGATATCGCTATCTGATATTGGCTCGATGTATAAGGAATATGGCTAGAGAGAATTTCAACCCTAGAAGGCAAGCTGCAAGATGAGCTTAATACTTTCGACCAGTCGGCCAGAATCAAGATAGCAACCAATGCGTTTTAGAAGATGCAGGGCTGGAGATAGTTTGACCAGGGCTTGAGTCTTGGCTAAAGCCCAATGGAGAATAATCAGTGGAAATCGGTAAATTCCCTATTGGGTTGCAAGGGGCACTCCACAATATTGCATCACTACGGGTTCTTCAGGTTCATACGCTAGTGTTTGAAGGGTCATACACTTTGACTCGAGAATCTGTTTTCAGTTTCATGTCTCGAGGTCACGATCATGATTCTTTCGATTCTTCCGGAATTAACGCCACCACTCCTCCTGTGACAAAACTACGATGAGATAGGCGGTAAAGACGGCAAAGACTGCAAACCTTCGTTGTTTCTTCAAGCTTTAGCCCTCACATCGCGTCGATATCTTTGTAAGATCATTGCCTTATGTTTCTAGTGAGACAACTAGAAAGGAATTATTGGTTTGATGATGAGGTTAGTCCATAGGACCCTTTCCTAACTCGAAGCGAGATGGCATCCTTGCTTTGCTGCTTTACTCGAACTTCCCATTTCGATCGGATATAACTTTGTATTTCATTGTACAATGAAATGATAACCAGGTAGACGTTGCGGGTCTGCTTGAGTCTCGCCTTCAGTACCAGCATCGAGGCGGGCTCCCGAAGCTGATCAGACGTTAAGTTAAGTATGAGTAAGAGAATGTAAAGCTAAGCACAGGGTATGATATGCTCGAAATCGATGAAGATGTTGAGCCGCAATCTAAAGCCACTTGGCAAGGCACGCTTTGGGAGCCCGGAATTTACAAGATGCGGATAGAAATGAAGAGATCGTACGACAAGTTTTGTTCAAGATGGCATGACGGCCATCTTTGAATTTATACAATATTTCCAGCCCTTGGAATCCTATATCAAAGTGGTCTGATTCTTGTCATCGTACGATTTTTATTCCCTAAGTCTACCCAAGATGGAGGATGACATGGTGATCCAGGAACGAACCCAGCAACGTGGGTGTCAATGCTGTGCGATTCCTAGCCGCAGTCCTTGCTTCCCGGGTCTCGGCAAGGCCAGGCACAAGCAGTGATAAGCACCACTGCACCAGGGCATAAAGCAACGAAGTAGATAATACTTAATGCGCTATTGGTGAGTAGTGCTGTTGGCAATATCGAACCGATGCTTCATGTTGTGGCTAGGTACATTGTCCATGCATATTCGGTTAGTCAGGGTGTCCCACAGCTATGTACTATGCCGTAGTAACTACTATGTTAGTTACATGCAGTAGTAAGTAGTGGTGTAGTATCGTGGGACAGGGGGAAAATGACACCAAGCACTTGTAGCTTGGAGCCAAGTTGGAGGTGGATACGAAGACCAAAGGTATCACGAACCATCAGCATTCTATTGGCTGCATGCCATATTCCGACTCTTGTGACAGACGAATCCGCGGCGACCAGCAACCGCCGGGACGACTAGCCAACACATTTCCAAATCTGTTCTTATTGATTATCTTGTAAGCCACCGACCTACCTACATCTGATTGATCGATTGGCTTATACGATCGAAAAGGGTATCTATCTTTAGCGCCTACTGAATGTCTTGCATATCTACTTCTATCCCATGAATCCCCAGCTTCGGTAACACAGTTTGTGCTGTCATTCTCATGTGTTTCTGCATAGGCACAATACGATACAACACAACTCAATTCTACTCATCTAAGTCGCAGAGGTAATAATACGCGCGCGCGGACATACAACATCATACCTACATTCAATATTGAATCCACAGTGGATTCAGGGACCACCACTTTCTGCTCTCCCCTGTCGAAACGTCAAAGAGTGACGGTCCTAAACGCCGCCCGTCTCATCTTGGCCCCCCATACAAAATCTATCCCATCCATGGATATTTGACATGCCATCCACTTAACCTACGGCATAGTACCACCTACGACTGTAGAGAGAGGGCAGTTTTCCTCTCGGATACTACGCATCTGATACCACATTGAAGGCTTGCGAAACGCCCCCCTTCCGTTTGATCTGCTTGGACTGTCATCCCACTCCAACTGACAGTGGTCTAATACTGTACCTACCAATTGTAAGATCCTCTGATCTTTTAGGTCTATGATCTATGATCTTTGGTCTTGTTCTCTCATCCCACGGACCTCGATAAAGAATCACAATCACAAGTTATCTTAGCGGACCTAGTTAGTTTTGGTCACTTGGGGTCACTTACAGATATACACCTGGGCACCGTACATACAACCTTCAGGGGCTTTACCAAACTTACTAAACTCTTCACGATTTTGTTTCCACGATATTATACGAAACTAATCAAATAGTGTCGATTCACTTTAAAGATTTCATGGTTTATTAACTGATATCCGTATTAGTTATTCGGAATTATCCCTTTCCCTTTCCCCCTCCCTCGATCCTCCCATCCCCCTGCAAGAAGTTGGAAGTTTGCCTTCCCCCTAGATTTTGAACAAGCTCCGGATCTTCATACATCCATAGCATCCTTGCTCCTCATTTTGGCCCGTGGTTTGCGGATCTTGCCTGATCGCATTGCCACTTTTAGCCCCGATTTCCTGTCATCCATCCTTTATGACTTAACTATCCGCCCACCATTAACTAGCCTCTGGTCCCTTTTTCTTTTTTTTTCTTGGTTCCTTGCGCGGTAACCAGGACGTAGAAAGAATTCCGGCTCTCTCACTCGAGACTTTCTCTACTCCGCCATCCTTTCATTCGTCTCCCTGCTGGCTCAGATCGCTCTTTTGGTTATTTGTTTTATTTGGTTCGGATCCGTCTACTTCTAAGGTGCTCGACGTTGGGAAATAGGTCATATTTTTAATAATCACAATAGCGACGGAAAAAGACAAGACGATCACTTGAAGAAGAGGAGGAAAAAAAGAAAAGGGCAGGAATCAACTCATCCACCGATTCGTTCACTCGCTTCCGATCGCGTTCGCCATCAGTCGCACTCTACAAAGTATAGAACTGCCGTCGCAGGTCGACACATTTAATCCAGATTCGCATGTTGGGACGAGGAAGAATTCACCGCCACAATGGATCTCCTCACTCTTGCAAAGAAGCAGCTCTCTGCGAGTAAACTTATCTTTCACGTCCTATTTTGGGGCGTGCACTGGGGCTTTTTTGCTTATGGATGGTGCGTTATTACTATTTATTGTTCTTTGGTAATTGTATTGTCTGCAGATTATTGACTATGAACACAGGTGGAAGCAAAATGCCGACACGAAATTAGCGGCCCTCAACATGCTGCAGTACTCGGTGTGGATATCGCGAGGTGCTGGCTTGGTCTTGGCCATTGACGGAACACTGATTCTATTCCCGGTATGCCGAACGGTAGTGCGATGGATAAGACCGAAGATCAGATGGCTCCCTCTAGACGAGAACATCTGGTTCCATCGCCAGGTCGCCTATGCCATGCTAATTTTCACCATCCTCCATGTCTCTTCGCATTACGTCAAGTAAGTCTTTCTCTCCAAACTAGTGGACTCCAGAAGCAAACAGGTCTAACGGCTTTCTTAGTTTCTTCAACGTGGAGAAGACCCAGCTCCGACAGGTCACCGCCGTCGAGATCCACTACACCCAAGCCGGCGGTGTTACTGGCCACGTCATGCTCCTCTGCATGCTGTTGATGTACACCACCGCGCACCACCGCATCCGCCAGCAATCGTTCGAGACCTTCTGGTACACGCACCATCTCTTCATCCCCTTCTTCCTCGGACTTTACACCCACGCTGTCGGCTGCTTCGTTCGTGACACGGTCGACCCCGTATCTCCCTTTGCCGGAGACTTCTTCTGGGAGCACTGCATCGGTTATCAGGGATGGCGATGGGAGCTGTTTGCTGGAGCTGGTTACTTGGCAGAGCGTCTTTACCGTGAGATTCGGGCTAAGCGCTTGACCAAGATCACGCGAGTCGTTCGTCATCCATATGGTGAGAAATCTACCCATATTAATAATAGACTGCATGGTATTTGGGTACTAACACTTTTCCAGACGTCGTGGAGATCCAGTTCGAAAAGCCGTCTTTCAAGTACAAGGCCGGCCAGTGGCTGTTCTTGCAAGTCCCCTCAGTCTCCAGCTACCAATGGCACCCGTTCACCATCACGTCCTGCCCCTACGACCCGTACGTCTCCGTGCACGTCCGACAAGTCGGCGACTTCACCCGCGCACTCGGTGACGCCGTCGGTGCGGGTGGCGCCCAGGCGAAACTCTACGAAGGCGTCGACCCGATGGGCATGTACGAGGTCGCCCTCCAGAACGGCGAGCAGATGCCCCTCCTCCGAATCGACGGCCCCTACGGCGCCCCCGCCGAAGACGTGTTCGAGAACGAGATCGCCGTCCTCATCGGCACCGGCATCGGCGTCACGCCGTGGGCGTCCATCCTCAAGAACATCTGGCACCTGCGCAACAGCCCGAACCCGCCGCGCCGCCTCCGCCGCGTGGAGTTCATCTGGGTGTGCAAGGACACGGGCTCGTTCGAGTGGTTCCAGACGCTGCTGTCCTCGCTGGAAAGCCAGAGCAACGAGGCGGCGCGCATCCCCGGAAGCAACGGCGTCGAGTTCCTCAAGATCCACACGTTCCTCACGCAGAAGCTCGACATGGACACGACGCAGAACATCGTCCTCAACAGCGTCGGCGCCGACCACGACCCCCTGACCGAGCTCAAGTCCCGCACCAACTTCGGGCGCCCCAACTTCCCGAGGATATTCGACGGCATGCGAGAGGGTATCCTGGACCGCACGTACATCAATGGCCTCGAGGGCAGCATGCAGACGACTGTCGGTGTCTATTTCTGCGGTCCTTCTGTAGCTGGTATGCTTTAACCCCCTTAATTGTATCCTCATTGCCCCGTGAAAGTTTACTTGCTAACTTGAGTTCCTTCTAGCTCGTGATATCCAAAAAGCGACGAGGGCAGCGACTACGAAGGAAGTGCGCTTCCGGTTCTGGAAGGAGCATTTCTAAACGCGTATAATGTATATATATATATATCTACCTATATATATATATATATATATGAAATTTAAGTTACCCAGGTCTGGATATGACTAGTCGTTTTTTTTTCAGAATATTCGGGGGGCGCGTGGCTTTCACGGATACAAGTGAGATGACGAGTGAGTGTGTGGGTGGGTTGACGGGGATGCGATTTTTCTACGCCTTGAAGGGACCTCATGATATATAACCTACCTAGGTATACTACATCCAGTTACTGCGTAGGTACCTAGTCAACCACGGCCTATCTAATCTACAAATAACCTTGGGATTTCATCTGATCTGAGACGATGGAATGAACGATCGATGCTAGGTATACAGTACTGGGCACTCTGAGGGATAGGAGGTGAAGTTTTTCTGGAAGAGAGGAGGAGGGGTGGGGTTTTCTATATCATACTATTATATCTATATACCTACCTACCTGCTACTTTCACGAGCAATATGAATCTTTATTTACTTACTTTTTTTTGAACTACGTATTACGTTTCTTCCCTTCCTATCATTTCTGCTGTGTTTACGCTTGGTGATATTGGTAATACCTACCTAGGTTAGGTACGTACTTGGTACAGTAATAAAGAAAATACCAAGCTTACATACGTGATAGGATGGCAGAGAGAGAGAGAGAGATGCTGGGCAGCATTCTGGGTAAAGATACCCACCCAGGCAAGCATCGATCGATCTCTGGCATCAGATCAAATGACGAGCCCGAAATGCAAAAGCGACGCACCTATGTAGGACTGCTGCGGACATACTGTACCTACCCAGGCTACCTATCATGTATCGTCATCTCGTTTCCAATCGGCCTGGAACCCGGCGTGTCGCAGCCTCAAGTTTGCTGCTTACTACTAGGTACCTACCCTTCAGTCCTAGACACGTAGGTACCTAGGTAGGTATTCAAACGAGGCGTTTCCGCTCGCTCGCTTCTTTTTTCTTCCCTCTCCCCTAGAATCCTTATAGGTACTCATAAGGCAGCAGTCTATGGTCTCGCTACTCTTAAGCACAGCCGCCTTCGCGTGGTTAGGTTGGTTGGTTGGGTAGGGTAGGGTAGGGTAGGTACCTTAACCTAAGCATCAGGGGGGGGGGGGGGGGGGGGAGAGGAAAGGAATCAAAGCGCTTGGCGAAACGAAACGGCTCTCGAAACCAGGGGGCGGTGTCTACTTTTTTTTTTCTTTTTCTTTCTTTGCACGTTTTTTTCACCTGTATATCTAGTTTCCAGTGAGGTTTTGGAAGAACCCCTTGATTAGACGAGTTCTCATTGGCCACCTAGGTACCTAGGCCAAGTAGGTAGGTAGGTAGGTAGCTGCAAACTACACGATGCTCTGAGCTGAGTTTCAGCGACGGCGCAGACCGCAAACGGGAATTGGCATCGTTGCCGGAAGGTGGAACCCCCTTTGAAGAAGCTATTCTTTTGATGCCTCGTTTGGTTTGAAATCAACACCAGGGCGTTTAGTTGAAGATGGACGTCAGGCTTGAGTAGGTACTAGTTAGGTATGTATACTAGGTACCTAGGTATGTGTGTATCCACGACGGCTTTTGGGACCCTCTCGTTCAGACTAATATCAACTGGTGACACCCTCCTCATTCGAGTCCGTATTTCTCGAGCGATACGAGACGCCAATCTCATGGATTCTTAGGCAAGTAAAGTTACCTATTCTTGTCGGAATGGAAATGAAATGAAGGCCATGAACCGCGGGCTCCTCGTCGTACAATGGCACTTCTAGCGGGATAGCATCTGCGTCGATGCCCTTTGACCGCAACAAGAACCCGGTGAAATGGCCGGGTCGCCGCATCGGTGTAATCTAACACCTACACCGTGACCCGACGTCGTCAAATGCCACTCTTATTTATCTTTCTCCCTTATAAAGAGGCGCGTAGAAATCGAATGGGTTTGTCAACAAACCTCTCAGTAATCGATCCAGTTGTATACCTATGTAGGTATGTAGGTAGCGTAGGCCCAAGGACAAACACTCCCACTTCTTCACATCTATAAGGTCAATATTTATGTATGTGACACATGCAGGTAGGCACACAGAATCATAGATGAGGTAATTTCATCATATAAATAATGACTGGCATCATTTGATTTTGCTTATGTTAGAATTCTCGGCATAGAAGCCCGGCACCAACAAAGACACAAGTATACCTGGGTAGGGTAAGATGTGCGCATTGGCCAATGAATATCTAGTGTTTACATAGTATACTCCACCACAGCACCGATTTTTTTTCACCATCCCCTGTCTTGTCTTGGCTTGGACTAAGAAGACTTATTAAGCCATTCATGGACATGCTTAACTCAAGTGCGGTGTAAGTCTCTAGCATCGAACCCCTATAGTTATAGGTCTAGGCTAGGTCAACAACAACACCACCATGGCTTCACATACTCCAGACGGCGAAGGGGCTGCTCCTCGCGATAGCCATACTATCACCGAGCGCACTCCACTCTTATCAGACTCCCCATCTGCATCTACCTCTGCCTCCGTATCCGAGAGCAGCACCATCACCAGCACCCCCAGCTTCCAATCCGAGCTGTACCTCCTCACATCATACTCCCTCCCCCTCATCACCACCTACCTCCTGCAATACTCCTACAGCGTAATCACCACCTTCGTCGCGGGGCACCTCAGCGCCTCCGCCCTCGCCGCCGCCAGCATCGGCATGACAGCCATGAACATCGTCGGCTTCGCCACCATCGAGGGCATGGCCACCGCCCTCGACACCCTCTGCGCGCAGGCCTACGGCTCCGGCAACCTCCCCGGCGTGGGGCTGCACGTGCAGCGGATGCTCCTCGTCATGGCGCTTGCCATCGTGCCCATCGCCGCTATCTGGGCGTTCTCGCCGTGGATTTTATCCTTCTTCGTGCGCCAGCCCGAGCTCGCCGTCATGGCGGGCTCTTTTTTACGGGCTAGTATTCTGGGGCTGCCGGGGTACGCGGGCTTCGAGGCCGGCAAGCGCTTCCTCCAGGCGCAGGGCGCGTTCCGTCCCGCGATGCTGGTGCTGCTCGTCTGCACGCCCGTCAACGCGCTGCTGAGCTGGCTGCTGGCCTTCCGGCTGGCCATGGGGCTCGAGGGCGCGGCGCTCGCCGTCGCGATCACGAATACCCTGCGCCCCCTTCTCCTCCTCTTATACATCGCCTCGCCGTGGGGGAAGTGGTCTCGGTGTTGCTGGGGCGGCTTTTCCCGCGACGCGCTGGCGGTGCGCAAATGGGGACCGGTTATCAGACTCTCGTGCGCGGGGTCGGCGGTGAATCTGGGCGAGTGGTTCGCGTCGGAGGTGCTGTCGTTCAGCACGGCGTACCTGAGCACGCGGCACCTCGCCGCGCAGTCCGTGCTGACGACCGTCTCCATCATGTCGTGGCACATCCCCTTCTCCGTCAGCGTTGCCGTCAGCACGCGCATCGGGCACCTCGTGGGCGCGGGGCTGCTGCCTACGGCGCGGCGTGCGGCGCTACTATACTCGGTGGTTTTCACGGTGATCGGGGTGGTCGATGGGGGCGTTATCTTTGCGCTGCGAGATAGTCTGCCCCCGTTTTTTTCGGATGACAAGAGGGTTTGTGAGCTCGCGGCAAACACGATGCTCACGGTTGCGGTGTTCCAGGTCATCGACTCGATTATTAACTGCACCAACGGTCTGCTGCGCGGCCTCGGGCGCCAGGGGTTCGCCGCGTGGGTCGTCTTCGCGGTCAACTACCTCGGGGCCGTTCCCCTGGCTATGTGGCTCGAGCTGGGGTCGCCTGGCTGGGGGCTGCAGGGGGTGTGGATCGGGCTCGGGTGCGGCATGGTGGTGATTGCTGTGGTCGAGGGGATCTATATGAAGATGATGCGGTGGGAGGATTGCGTGGAGAGTGCGAAGGAACGGGAGGAGGGTGAGTAGATGCGGAGAGTTGCCCTTGCGACTCGGTTCTTGGTTATTTATATATACGTGCCTGCCTTTTAGCATAGAAGTGATATTTTAGGGGCGATGGTGTCGAAGATCCCTTATGGGTATTGGTAAGATGCCTGCATTGTAACTCTGGGTAAACTTGGAGGTAACCTCAACATTTAGGTGGTTATGGTTAGATATTCAACAACGACTTTAGATACTATCATATCCAGAACAGCCTTCACGACAACCCTCTGAGTTTGAGTTATTGTAGATACCTGACTACCTGGTACTTACCCAGATGAGTGCTAGGTAGATTCAATATAGGGTTACCTGGAAGAGACAGTGGCGCACTATCCGTCATTATAACTCCAGGGTGGTTGTGTGCTCGATGGTAGGTATCGTTCGCCATGTTGCTTTTAAGAGGCGCCAAGACAGTGAAGACACCCTGGTAGGTCAAGCGGGGACATAAGGCGAGATGCATTGCCGACGCACAATGTGTAGTTACCTAATCATGGCGGGGTAACTAGTACCTGTCCGTCACAAGGGTTCCCTACTAGATACCCCGCTAAACACATTAAACACTACCTAGTACTAGTACTGTACTAGTACTGTACTACTAAAGGATTACTTCCCAAACATTTAACAGGATTACTTCCCAATAAGGCAATACGGTTACCATCTTTTTATTTTCTTCAATTCAATTCTTCAACGCAAGTCATTTTTTAGTTTCTCCCACACTGAGTCATTCCATCATTTTTCAATGTTCAATCACATAACCTATCTTATACCTAGTTATACCTAGTTATACCTACCTAGGGTAGTATATCTAGCTCAACTATACATAGATAGAGTAGCATGGACTCTTCTACTCACAAGCAAGCACCGGACTGGTCGCCATCGTCGTGGCGTCCTAAAGACAACAAGCATGCTGCCGTGTACGCAGATCCTCGAGCCCTTAAACGTGCCACTGACGAGCTAAACCAGCTCCCTCCTATTGTCCATCCTCGTGAGATTGCGCAACTCAAGGCAAACTTGCGAGATGTCGCCCGTGGTGAAGCTTTCCTCTTGCAAGGAGGTGATTGCGCTGAATTGTTTGACTACTGCCGTGCCGATGCCATCGAATCAAAGATCAAGCTGCTTCTGCAGATGAGCCTTGTCCTCATATGGGGAGCTGACAAGCGTGTCGTCCGCATTGGCCGCATGGCGGGGCAGTATGCCAAGCCGAGATCCAGCCCGACTGAGAAGGTTGTGGATGAGGATGGAGTAACCAAGGAGGTCCCCTCATTCCGTGGTGATATCTTGAACGGTTACCGTCTTGAAGACCGTGAACTTGACCCTCAGCGACTTGTCAAGTATGATTAACCCATTTCCTTTCATCACTCTTCATAACATCCAGTAACAATTAGATGCTAACATCTCATCTAGGGCTTACCATCACTCAGCAGCCACGCTCAACTATGTACGAGCAGCCATCGCGTCTGGAATCGCAGACCTTCACCAGCCTCTTAACTGGAGTCTAGGCCATGTCAAGGATCCTGAGCTTAAAGCCAAGTACACCGAAGCCGTGCGCTTCCTTCACGACATGTTGCGCTTCATGCACACTATCGGCGCCGACCGCAGTCCCAAGCTCGACACCGTGGACTTGTACACCAGCCACGAGGGCCTCCTACTCGAATATGAAGAAAGCCTCACTCGTCTAATGGAGAAGCCTGTCCTCCCCGGAGACAGCGAGAGCATCGCTGCCAATGGGCCAGCAGCACCCACCAAGCCCCAGAAGGAGTACTACAATACCTCAGCCCACTTCCTCTGGATCGGCGACCGCACACGCCAGGTCAACGGCGCCCACGTCGAGTTCTTCCGCGGCATCGCCAACCCCATCGGCATCAAAGTCGGGCCCACGACCCCAACCTCCGATATTCTAGAGCTTTTGCACACGCTCAACCCCTCGCGCGAAGTCGGCAAGATCACCCTGATCACCCGCTTCGGCGCCTCCCGCGTGCGCGAGCTCCTGCCCGCCCATATCCGCGCCGTCGAAGGGTCCGCGTATAAGGGGTGCTGCATCTGGCAGTGCGACCCGATGCACGGCAACACGCGCTCGACGGCGACCAACATCAAGACGCGCCGCTTCGGCGACATCTTCGACGAGCTCAAGGAGACGATCGCCGTGCACCGCGAAGAGGGCAGCTACCTCGGCGGCGTGCACCTCGAGCTCACCGGCGACGCCGTGACGGAGTGTGTGGGTGGTAGTGAAGGGCTCGTGGAGGACGACCTCTCGACTAACTACACCAGCTTCTGCGACCCAAGACTCAATGAGAAGCAGGCCCTTGAGCTCACTTTCTTGATCGCTGATAGCTTCCGTCAGGAGAGGAAGGATCTTAACCACCATTAAGTGGTCTTTAAGTCACGCAGGTCACTCCAGTTGTGCTGTCAAGAATCAAGAAGATTGTAAAAGGGGGGAAGTTATGGATATGGAAATCGATGTGAATTCCACCCCCCACGTGAACGCAAAAGGATGCATGCAAGCCTCTTTGTGCAGTGAACCCAACACCCAACTTAGTCGTACCTACTCCTCCAACATTACTACTATGATACGACACGTGTTTCTCTTACCGTTTCTCATCTTTCATTTTTTTTCCATCTATGATCGTTACCCATACTTTTCTTTCTTTCGACAACGGCATTTAATTCGAGCCAACACGCATGCCACAGAGAAAGAATACGAACGAAACGAACGAACAAATGGCCGGAAAGGAAAATTGAAGAATGAACACCAAGGAAATAATGATATGATACGAAATCCTCCGAAACGGAAAAGAAGACGAAAACAGAAACCCCCCCCTTTTCAAGGGACACAAAAAAGAACCAATACACACACCCACACGCACAGAGTATCCTTACCCAAATCAAATGAAAGCAATGAAGCAAAATTAGGTTGTATATACCATACCCATACCGAAAAAAAAATTCACAGTTGGCGGGCGGAGTGGATAGACAAAAGTTAAGGGGGCATTAGGGGCATGTTAATGGTAATGAAATGTGGCGGGTGAGGAAAATAGGGGGGTCGGGGGGAGTCTGGGGAAAAGCAAAAGATTGAATTTTGAGATTGAAGCAAAATAACTGGAGGGAAAGTAATTGAAGGAAAGGAAAATCTTGGAAGTTTCTTTTGAGATTGAGTGGCAAGAGGTCAAGGGATTCGATGCTACTTATACACTATACAATACACTATACCTACCTACCTACCTACCTACCTACCTACCTACCTACCTACCTACCTACATTCATACCTAGTACCTCCTACTAGGTTAGTACTTACACGTACCCTCTACTTACTAGTTACTTGGTACATGCTTTTCAGTTTTTTACCTCGCAGGAAAAGGATAGGATAGGATAGGAGAGGATGAGTTTAGGTTGAGCACCTGTATGATAGATACCTAGATAATTGGCGAGCAAGCAAGTTGAAGTTGAAGTTGAAGCAAGTACCTACCTACCTACTCTTAAGACAGACAACAAGGCCACGCATTCATTACCTTGCCTGAGTGGTACAGCTAACTAGGTAGGTATGACTAACTACCTCCTATATATATCCAATACCTACTACAATTTACCACCAGTCTTATCCGCACACCCACTATTATCCCACCAAAATTGCCAAAACTTACCAACTTCATTATCCATTTACAAGTGCAAAATAAATCGTAAAAATACAGATTCTAATCCAAGATTATAGAGAATTGCTTTAAATTATCACCGAAATGTGTTTTAATATATTATATGGTACGTAATGTACTTTTATAAAGCAAAAAAGACAAAGGAGAAAACTTCCCACCTAAAAATCTCAAAATTGTTAGAAGACAACAATATTTCAACTTCACTGACACTTTATTAATAAAGTATTAGATTGATAGCAAATTCTTCACTTTAGACTAAAATATATCCTAAATGTCTACTAGAATGATATTTTTTAAGATTTTCGCATATTTTTTTAATATTATTAAAGAGCTCCTAAAGTTGGTGAGTTTTGGTGGGATATTGGTTAGGCGTGCGGATAAGATTGATAGGTAAGTGTAGGTAGTATATATATATGGGTAATAACTATGCATGTATGCATACAAATATAGTATAGTATAGTATAGTATAGTATATCCACAACCCCCCTCACCACCGCAGCGCATCAAGAAGAAAGTAATTAGCTTATGTATGTATACCTACTAGGTAAACCTTTCCACACGAGCATACATATATACACATAATAGTCTTACCCTTAACCCCTAGGTATAGATAACCCCCATAGCCCCCCTAGCCCCCCTAGCCCCCCTGGCTCCCATAATGCTCATGACCCCTAAGCCATACACATACACATACACATGCTCCTATCTCCCTATCCATGGATAACCTCTACCTTTTTTACCGCTTGACCTGCAATGTGCAATGCTTGCCTTTACCCCGTTTACCAGTTACCCCAATAACCCCCCCTTATATGCTCCTATATGCTCCAGCCACCTGTCACTTTAAGCTATGAGCTTGCTTATTCATGCTTTCAAGAAAAGAAATGGATAAAAGGGGGACTTCAGGTCGTGAGCCTTCACTTCAACTTCAACCTCCTAAAAGAGATTTTTTTTTGGAGAAGGGAGACAGGGATAATGGAAGGGGACGAAGCCCATTCAGGCCGTCTGGAATTAAAAAAAAGGCACCAACCATGCACGGATGTAAATTGTAGTAGGTATTTTCCCCATTTCTCCATTCACCCCTTTATATCACGTGAACGCCTGACCTGCCTGCCTGCCTGCCTGCCTGGCCTTATCTTTATAAGGTCTCATCGGAAACAGAAACAAATTTGGCAAAAATGGAAAGGAAAGAAGCAGCAGGAAAAAAAAGTTGGAGGGGATAAGAATAACAAAAAGCGCCGCTGCCGCTGCCGCCACCTCTGATTTCCTTTAAATCATCGGGTTTCCTAAACGCCGGCTGGATATAAAGTAGTAGACGCCAAAAACGCGCACATGATTCGAGTGGAATGGCTCTAGACACAAGTTTCCCTTAGGTTCGATTACCGGCACCGCCGGCATCACCACCAACTCCAACACTCCTTCCATCCCAGCATCCTATCCTCGTTCAAACACGGGGAAGGCAATAAAGCAAAACACTTGGACCCGAATTGGTATTATTCCTGTCACCGTGACGGCTTCCGCAAAGGCGACCCTCTCACTCCCACTTGTTCTAATTTCTGCACGTTCTCTTCCGTAAGGGAATCGCCTTCGGAAAGGGCATGTGACATAGATGATTTGGTAGGATTCTTGTTATTGATGCCGTCAGCAGCGTCGATGAGCTTATCATCTCTTAGCTGCATAGCCAGCTCATCGCTGTCGAGCTGCCTCGACGGCTGGGATATGCCAAAAGGGAAAGTGGTCATCTCGTGTGAACCGTTCCTGGTCGTGATTGGTCTAGGCGTGAGCAGATTCGTACGGTCATCATCCCCGTTACTATCCGCATCATCCAAAGTTGGATTCTCATCCGGCGTTTTCGGATTCTGGTAGGCACTGGTGAAGCCAAACGTAGCTGGCGTCGGTATGTCCGCACTCACACAATGGCTCGCAGATTCAGAGCAGTCAGAGATGGATGGGTTTGCAGAGGATGATGACATCGAATCTGCTTTCCGGCGGGTTTTGCTCCATCTCACCAACATTCTCTCGAGCGTATTGCTTTTGACAGGCTTGGATAGATAATCATCCATACCTGCCTTCGTACACTTTTCCTTGTCCCCTTGGATGGCCGAAGCGGTCATGGCCACGATGGGCACATCATGAGCATAGGCCTTATATGGTACGTGATGACGCAGTATATGCGTGCACTTATACCCATCGATCACTGGCATCTGGACGTCCATTAAGATAATATCCGGTTTAGTTAATTTGCCTTCCCTACACCCTTGGAGATAATCAAGAGCCTCCTTCCCGTTCCAGGCCGCGCAAACCTTGAAGCCAAGTTTCTTGATAGTCTTCGTGGCAATCTGTTGGTTGACCGCACTAGATCGATCCATGTTAATAAACCGAACACCTGTAACTCAAAACCGTAGAGAAAATAGACTTACTTATCCTCGACTACAAGAATCTGAATCTTGGCACGTTCCGCTCTCGGCATGTCTTCATTATCGTAAGTAAATGGTGACATTAAATTAGCAGGTCTCCTTCCCCGGTGTCGTTTTGGCTTATCTATTGGCTTCTGTAATGAATCGAGAGGTGGCGTTCCTAGAAAATGTTCATGTTCTGAACTGTTACATGAGACGCTCATTTCAGACTGCAATCGATCAGGCAGACGGCTGATATCGACGAGGGCGTCTCTTTGTGGAGTCTGCGGCTTGTTGAATGGTATCCAGAAAGTTGCGGTTGTGCCGCAATTAATGGTAGACTCCAATGTTATCCTTCCACGCATAAGATCGACTAGATTCTTTGATATTGTCAAACCTAGTCCTGTTCCTCCGAACTTTCTAGCTGTTGAGGCGTCCCCTTGACTGAACGGTTGAAAGAGACGCTTCAACACATCTTCTTCAATCCCAATTCCAGTGTCCTCGATAACGAATTTTATCTCAATAGTATCGCTTGTCTCCTTCTCTTTCCATACTGAGAATTTGACATAGCCAATGCTGGTGAATTTGATACTATTGGTAAGAAGATTCGTGATAATCTGGCGGACACGACCGGGATCGCCGAGAACGACGAGGTCATTCTCAATATCAGCTGAAATGTCAGAGTGGAAATCCAAGCTCTTTCTCTCGGCCGCGAAACTTAACATCTTGGACACATCCTGCACTATTACTGAGAGGGAGAATTGGACTTCTTCAATATCAAGACGACCCGACTCGACTTTGGAAAAGTCTAAGATGTCGTTAATGACAGTAAGGAGCGCATTTGCAGATCGGCTTAGGTTCTCTGCATATTCCCTCTGTTCATCATCCAGAGGAGAATCAAGTAGTAACTCGGCCATACCTATTACCCCCGTAATCGGTGTTCGAATTTCGTGAGACATCTGATAAAATGTTAACATATCAGAAAAGCCGGGGTGGTTTTCTTTCCACGGGATATAATACAACGTACATTTGCTAGGAACTGACTCTTCAGGCGACTCGCTTCTTTGGCTGCCGCCTCATTTGCCTTCAACTGCCTCTTCTCTTTAACCTGCTCCTCTAGATCTTGCTCTCGCTTCTTTAACTCTGTGACATCCATGATGACACCGATCACACCTTTGATTACGGGAGATGCATTCTGTCCATCCTGAGACACCTTCTCAATATGGGGAAGAAATCTGGTACGGTAAAAGCGGTTATCTATATACTCGTTAGAATGGCTCCCACAAAAAATGATCAGAATATACTTACCCAACGTGTGTTCGTGTACAGTCTCTGACGTACGCTCCCCGGAGAGAATAAGCTTCGCTGGCTCCAGGAAAGCTGGGAATTCGCCCGACCGCAACCGTGGATTCAAGGTCGTGAACACTTCGCCGATACTCTTTCCGACAAATGACTGTGGATCAGTTATCTCGGAACCTCCTCCCTCTTTATCCTCTCCTAGTGTATTCCAAGCCAACGCACCTTCCAGCATTGTCACATTAAGGTCATGATCAACAGAGAAGATCGTGGTGTGCGCGTGCGTAAGGACGCTTAGGAGCTGTTCTCTCGTTTGCTTCGCAGTCATTTTAGCCTCGAGGGCCTCATGCACATCAGTGCAGGTTCCGAACCACTTTTCAATCGCCCCCGTATGCTTATTTCTTAGTGGTAATGCGCGTCCTAGCATCCATCTCCACTCACCCTCTTTGCTTCGACATCGGTACTCGGCGGCATACGGTTCCCCTGTAACTAAGCAGTGTTTCCATCTTTTCCAGGGAGCAGGCATATCGTCCGGGTGGAATGGATGCTTCCAACTGTCGCCTATAGAGTCTTCTGGTGACAGTCCCGTATAATCGTACCAGCGGGTGTTGAAGAAATCATGTACGCCTTGGGGAGTGGCCGTCCATACCATCTGAGGCATCGTGTCACAGATCAGTTTGAACCTTTCTTCATCTGCGACCTTGATATCTGTGATTTCTTGAGCTAGGTGTGTAACATCTCGACACGTTATAATTCCTGCTACAACCTCTCCAGTTTCATCATTCGTAACGAGTTCCCCTAACACATCGTATACCACGTCTGAATTCTTTTTCCTATTGTGCATACCTATTCTCCACGAGGGAAAAGGTTTACGTTCCTTTATAAGCACAGAAATAGGTAGCTCAGATGACAGATACTTTCTTGTAAAGTCACCGTTCCAAACTTCCCACCGAGAAAGTAGATCGTACCCGTCATGAAACTCCCCATCGGTAACCGTAGTATCTAAGAAGAGATCGCGAGCGGCTCTGTTCATGACTGGTGAACTACCATCTATCCACATAGCTAATATCGGCATATCGGTCTTATCGAGAAGCGCATCCTTAATGATAGTCATCTTCTGAAGGATCGACGGAGTGCTCGATGGGGGTAGACGGGAAGGCGGCCCCATGGGTGGAAAATGGCTTGTCGAGACGGTGACGGAGCTAGGGCTAGTATTGAAGGGGTTGGAACTTGACGAATGGCCTGAGCTGAGCGAAGGGGGATTAGAATTTGATATGGATTTTCGTTCAGCGGCTTCTAATGTAGACACTCGAGCTACACGAACTCGTCTGCTGGCGGTGGGCGCAGCGGACGACTCGGCGTTGGTGAACGTCAAAGTAAAGTACGTTTGGTTATTTTCAATCTCCCATATCGTAATGATCATCTTCGCGAAGGTTTGACGCTCACTTCTCTTCAAATTAGGGCCATCCGGCATATTTGCGTTTTTGTGCATCACTACAACATCAACCGCAGAATCCAGAGCGGGCTTGCCTAAAATGCCAGAAGACATATCAGCTTTGGACTCATCCGATGTTGATGTTGAATTTGAATCGCCGTTCACATGGTTAGCAAGTGATATTGAAGAACCCTTGGCTTGCTTCGTACCCATCTCAAACACTAAGTCGTCCAAGAAGGCATCCCAAGAAACCCAAACTGGTCTGCCATCCTGAATCATATCAATGCCAATTTGCGAGAGCGTTTGTCCTCTTAAACTCTCGCATAGTGCATCGTCCGCCGGCAAAGGGGAAGCATCCACCACACCCAGCAACTTCCCCATGGCCTCGTTCGCCAGAACGACAGTCTTCAAATTGTTCAGTACCAACACAGGTACGGGCAGGAAGTTCATAGCAGTAAAGGCAAGTTGACCCGGGGTAATGAATGGCATTGTCAGCCTCAAAGGACTAGCGGACGCAGATCGCTTTTTTTCTCTTATCGGAGACATGGTCGGTGTGTCTCGCAGCATACGAGCACCACAGGCGGAGAGGGGATCTCCATCCCGAGCAGCATATGCTTGCTCAATGGAGCATGCGGGGGCATTGCAGCTCTCGTCCAACGTCCGATTCGGCGGCGGTACGATATCTGAAGTAAACGAGGGATCCGGGACCAGAGGATTCGGAGTGCTCAGTGTGTTTGGAGACGTCATGTCGCCGGAGCAGATGGCACGGATGGAAGAAAACCCATGAGCTACTACAACACACAGACGGACGGGGTCGAGGATTTGCGGAGGCGGATCGAAAGGAGGATTATTAAGGTTTGCTAGTCGTTGGCCATGAATCGAAAGGGAATGTTGGCAAAGTGCCAGGTGGTCAAGGGGGGTATTAGGTCTAAAGGGCCTTAGGCTTAGGGTCCTGTCTACCCTAGGCAGGTCTTACTAGGTACCTATGTAGGCAGGCAGGTAAAGGTTCTACGGGACGGGGTGGCCTCGAACGTTCGGTGACACTGGGAACAAGGTCGTACTGGGTAGGGTTTTCCGCTAGTTCAATGTTGTTTGCTTCTCCGTTTTCTTCGTCTTGGGAGCTTTGGAGCTTTGGAGATGCTCGACAAGTTGGACAAGTTCGAGATCGTCAGTCAAGATAATACATGTAGTCAAAATATTGCAAGATACATAGTACGAATAGATGCAGATGTGGATAAAGAATGCAAGCAAGCCACAATGCGGTTCTCTCTAGTTATTCGTCTGGCTGACTGGGCTGGCTGGGCTGGTTGTCTAACCGTCCGTCCGTCTACTTCGTACACAGAGGGAAAAAAAAGTAGTGGGATGGGGGAAGAGAGAATTGAATTAAGTTAAGATCTGTTAGAAGGTTCTTTGTGAAAAAAAAAAGAATGGGCCATTGTCGGTGTGCGGGAGGTATGCAACATTGAACTCAGTCAAGTTCAAATGCTCATACACAGTAGTATAACTACATAGTACCAGGTAGTTATAGGGTACCCAGTACTTTATGGAGCGTAGGTACAGCACATACTTACATGTAATACCTACAATGTACATATATATGTATGTATTGTACATACATGGTAGATGTCAAAGTACTTGCATGTGCATGTCTGTTATGTATGTATTCCATATGTATTCCATATGTATGTATGTATCAGTCTCAGGAAATCAAACATCTGAAGCTGACAAAGAAAGCTAGAAATGCCGGGAGCTACACCGTTCTGAGCTAGATTAGAACTCTGTAACCATGGACACTTCTGGGTACTGGGTAGTAGTCTAGTACTATGTAGATATTGAAGGTGCTACGTGTAAGTATTTGGAGGTCTCGGGTAACCGAAGAAGAAAATGAAATAAAATTAAACAAGTCGTCCGTTGTGTGTGATTTAGGTTTGGGTCTGGGTTTTGGGTTTGGGCTTGAGAAAGCACTTGCTTGTGTAGGTAGAAATAGCAGAAATGCAAATACATCCAATCCAAATACAATGCAGCTCCAGAGTCCAGGGCTGCTAGGAGGAAGGAACAGATCTAATGCAACTGTAAGTGACTATCAATTCCAGGGTCCTATGTTAGGCGATCCAATCGATGATCTTTGGGGGTCTAAATTGAAAGTGGGCCCTTCTTATGGGGCCTAGAGCACTACCGTACCAGGTACCATCTTTCCTATACTCAAGTGCTCCTGTCTTGTCGGTTCGTGATTGGAGCATTTTTGAGAGTAGACGACTTCCGGATTGGGGGCATCGACGAAAGGTACTGTAACTACCTAGTTAGTACCTAGTTACTACTGTAGCTACTAGTAGGCACTGCCTAGGCACTTACCTAAGGTAAAGCAGCACATAATACACTACTTACATACACTACTTGCATACACTACAATTAGTTATTTCCTCAGTGCTATTCCCATTCGATGCAAGGGATGTCGAATAGACTAAAGCTAACCTTATCTTCCCACTCTAGTTGTTCCATCTTTCGTATTTCGTACAGCCAAAGCCAACAAAAATAGAAGATTAGTGAATGGGCTAAGTGCGTGCCTAGGACTCTAGGAGGGCCTAGTATATTAGTGGCCTGGCTAGCAAGCAGCATTATCAATCTTGCTGCAGACTTCCAAACGCCATACAAACTTGTATCTAGTGCTACCTACTAGGTGGTATATTTATTACTATAGGGGAGCAGACTAGTTCCGGTAAAACCTGATGCCGACATACCACCTACGTAAAGGCATCCATACATTAACATAAGAAGTTGGCAATAAATACCAGACATTACGGCGTTGAAAAAAATTTAACTCCTCCTAGGTACGTTACTTGGCATGATGTGATAAAATAGATCGATAAGCGGTTGTACTATGTAACGGCGACCAGGCTATTTATTTCATAGGACTCCAGGAATGACGTCGTGGTACGATAATCCTCCGATCGAAAACAGAGCTTTCTTTTTTTTTCCAACGAACGAACCCGTCAGTCAGCTCAAGCCTTCCTTCCCCCGCGCGCCTAGCCACGGACTCAGCTCCGGAAAACCGTTGGTGGGTTGTCCAAAGCCTTACGTAGGATCAGCTTCTTTGCCTTGGCCTGAAACTCGCCAGATGCAGTATCACATCGCGTGTATATTGGCGTGTTTCGCAGCTAGGCAATGTAGCAGGGCATGATTCGCTGGGGTAGGTTGCGCTCTTGGGATGGGTGACATTTTCTGAACCGTTCATGATACCCAGGTAGGTACGGAATGCTGATTGGTGAATGTATACCTAGTATATTTTCAATGTTGGTTTAATGTTGTGTTAGCTGCACAAGTTCAACAAGTTTGGGGAAAAAAGGGTTGCGCAAAGATGTCACTCCATCTTGTGTAAGATGGAGAAGGTTAGCTGTTTTTTCGGATGATCGAATCGTCTTTTGAGAGCTTAATCTTAGGAGAATATAAGTCGGGTAAGATACCCAGAGACTGCTAAGGACAACTGGCTGTCAGATTGTCTAGTTGATGATGATGTCCTTCTCCTACAATAGCAAACGTTCGACGCCGTTGATTCACTATTGACTTGTTGATCTGTGACTCAATGTCACGAGAATGGATGCTCTCAAAGGGACTGTGCCAAATTATAGAGGTATATACTCTCATATCCTTCCATGCATACCCCTTATGCCCTTCATGACCCCCTGTCCCAAACAAGTCCTTACATTCAAAAAGGGGGGGGGGGGGGGGGGGGTATATCGTTAAATTCGTGAATGTCATAATCTCACCATTCTCTGCCCATATTATTACGATGACTGCTTGATAGCTCCACACATATCGCAAGACCACCACTGCCGCTCTCTTATTCTCCCACAAGACGAACACGTCCAGGTCGCTGGTTTTGCAGGGACCGTAGATTGGGGTGGTGGCATAGCTGACCTTGCGGTCGGTCTAGATCCTGAATTTGTCGAAGAAGCGTTGCGCTTAGTCGATGGTGGTGGTGGGGATTGGGTAAGATCTATAACCGTCCGTTCCCGCTTGGTCGATTGTTCGGCAAGGCTCTGAGTAATCTTGTCGGTCCTCTGCACACCACACGCGTCGCAACACAGGAAACTAGCCGGATTTTCGAGGGTGCAAATGTCGCACGTCCACATGATAGCTTTCTCTTTTCCCTTTCCCGAGTTCTGCCCGTTCTGGGTAGACGCTTGGTGTGGTGGTGGCTTTGCGCTCTTCTGCTCATCTTGCGCGGACGCATTGCCATATGTCCAAGATTGAACGCTTTCACTGGGTGAAATATAATCGTCACCTTTCTTAGCTTTTTCATCCTCTTGCACGAGCTCCCAAAGCGCCTGGGCTATCGCAGCCTCATTTGCAGCATCCTCTTCGGCCTGAGTCCTGAACCCATTCCTCGTAGCTGTATCAGCGATTTCCCGTATTTCGTCTTGCGTTTGGTTGTTGTTCGCACAGCCTCGAAGTGTATTACTGCGTCGTTCGATTGCATCGGCGATAACGTTTCTAATATCCTGTCCTGGCCGAGGGGCCACCCCGCCCAGGCGTTTCCCAGAGCCTGAGTTGAGCACACGGCGCTTCTCTGCTGCAGCCCGAGCTACCCTACGAGCTTCCTCTGCGGGTATTCTTCTGCCGCCTAAACGATGGCCATTTGTTAAGAAGCCTTCGCCAGTGTACCCTTTCATGACGAGTGCCTCATGCTCTTCTCGTAGTTGATTCCAAAGCGCATGGAATTTGGCATCGTGCGGCCCGTGAACATTATGAGTAAGCTCATGGAGCATCGTATCGACTACCTGCTCAATGGGAAGAAACTGATTGCGGTCTGTGGGATAGCGCAGCCGAAGGCATACCCTCTGACCCATATTAACATTGAGACCAAGAAGGTTACGCTCGTCCGGATAGAATTCAGTGAGCTGTCCGACCTTCCAGTTTCTCGCCCTCATTATAGGCTTTACTATAGAAGCCACCTTCTTAAGTGTGTGCAAAGCATCTTTCTCTCTAGGAAAGTCTGCCAGATGCGAGAACGAATGAATTAGGGGATCTATTTCGGTCATTGTGTGTAATTGGCGTTTAAATTTCGTAGATTTTAAAAAGATACGGTGGTGAAGAAAGAAAACAACAAAGACTAGCTTAGCCGTTGGCGACTTGAAGATGCCTCGAATACATTTAAGACAGCAAGGCCACCTATTGGCACCTAAGCCATTAAACAAATTTCTAGAAACCACCAGTGTTTGTTAATGGCAAAAAGAAGAAGAAAAACGCGCCACTTGACATGACTGGACGCGGAATTGAAATGGTTGCCTGACGGAAGCTGACAAACAGCGAAAGTATGTAACTATTGGAGCCTTATGTATATAGAGGGCCGGATGCTCTTACTGAAACCAGCCCAGCTTTAGCAAACACATTCATCACTAAATCCTCTTAGCTTTCCCATCGAAGCCATCAACGCTTGTACGTACTCCCTATGACACTCCCTATGACCGAGAGCATCATATATATATTATATCATCACTTGACTTGACTCGGGCGAGATGATCAGATAAAGGCCTACATAGTTACATCCATACCTAGGTAGGTACGCAGATATTCGTACCAGTTTACTGTACACCCAAGTAGCTCACCACCTCACAAAATACCACCACAAATCTCAAGACATTCATAGTAAGTCTCGGCTCTCATCTTTTCCCTTCCCTTCTCTCTACTACCTATATTACATTACCCATAGTAAACTCCATCATCACAAATCACAGCATAGCACTCATATTACATCACGATATCGCAAGGGGAGCGAGGAGTAAAACCCTCAAACTCAGCGAAAGCACAGCAAGCCTATCCTCAAGGGGACGGAGGAGAAGAATCGTCTTTTCGATGCTAACAGATGAAAGTATTCTGCACTTTGCCTTTAGGCGAGGATGCCTTACTAGCTAGATACGTGCGTACGTCCCACGCCCCCACGCCTTAAATAACCACCAACCACTAACACTGTGATGGCGACGGCGCAAGGGGAAGCACGTTGAATCAACATGTAAGAAAAGTAGAAAAGAAGTTTACCGACAGGGACTTTCCCCTTCTACATACAACAACAAAAGCCGTCCAACTCCAAGCCCAATGACTTATGATATGTGCCCTTGCAGAAGAAAAACAAAAAAGACGACGACAACGACAACGGAGGAGGGAAATTTAATGAAGATGATATGATCCGGGGTTCGTCATCACAGCTCATTCCATGATAGGCTCTTTCTTCCAAACTGGCAAAGGTCGCCTGCACGCAACCTCCACACTTCACTTGGCCCCCCCTTTAAGTAGTCTCTTAGTGACCTGCTTACTTCGTCCAACGGATAAAATATTAGATTCGACCCTCCCAGAAAGCTTCGCGTCTTGTATTACAATGTAGGTAACGTAGGATATAGGGCGTTGGTGAAGAACAAGGTATCATTAGCGTTCCAAGGATTCCAGGCGAGACAATTTCGGTTCCGTCTGCGTATTTCGTCCGAGTACAACCACGCGCACCCTTCGAGCATATGGGTCTGTAATGCATCTTCTGAGCAAACCACAGTTTGCTCCTCAAGCGCATTTTTTCTCAATCTTTTATTAAGATTCACCTCCTCGTGCACGGCCTCGTCTTCGGAAGAAGTCCATCACTCGTTTTGCCGCACCACTGCTGCCCGCATGATCATGGGACCTTCCATATTCTTCTCCGTCATAGGCGTCTACAAATCTTCTGTTATTCTTTTGTAGGACTCGGCTTCCACGTCCGGAATGGCGACCATCAGAGTGATCGGGATCGTGACTACCTAGATGAGGTGCCGAGCCTGGTGGTTTCCGCTGGGGTTCGATGATCGAAGCCTCAGATTCAGAGGTCAAGACCGCACCTGTTTGTAAATACGAAGGAATTGCCGTAGGTCTCGCGTTGTGTGGGAATCGTTGCTGAATTGGACTAGGATTGGAGACTGAATGCGGGGCGGACGCGACTCGGGGGGATGGCAACTGCTCATAAGTTCCATCTCCATATCGTTGACTACTGTTCCCATTGTTCTGCTGTTGTTCTACATAACGACTGTATTCGATGGCATCGGGAGGCTCCTGAATGGGCAGGTCTTGTTGGGAAAAGTCCGGAGGTGGAGTTGTAGGCTCTTTGCTTAAGCCGATTGCTCTCATTAAGGAGAACCGTCGATTCTGTGGCTTCTCCAACGATGCCTGAGACCCGGCGATGCTACCACTTCGCTTCCTGCCTAGTCCCAGGGTGAAGGATCTCCGGGAAGTACGAGATTCCATAGAGGTCCTCGAGTCACCAGGTATAGCGTTCGACAAACTAATAGGGGGATATTTCTTAGATGGTTTCTCTCCTTGTTGGTCGGGACGCTTCTTGCGACTACCGAAGAGCGAGCCACTGCGGCCGAATATCTTACCACCGATCTCGCCAATGGTATTAGATCTTCGGTGGCCTTTGGCGTCACCTGACTGTTGCTGTTGTGCTTGGCTAAATCCGGAGACTTGAGCAAATTTGGAAGGAACGCTGATGCTGGGTCTGCCGAAATCCATATCAGGCGTCTCCTGGGGAATTGGATTGGAGATGACGTAGTTCTTTGCCCCCTTTGGCTGTTGTATGCTTCCATGAACGTTAGTACCGGCAACGGTGGGAGGTAATGGTTGAGCATACGATCCTCGTGTAGACGATGCCAATCTAGAGGCCGTCGACTGAATCGAACCACCAGTAGCAGGCCGCGCCATAGATGCGCCGGCAGTGGCAGCGGTCATATAACCATGTTGCTCAGACGTAGCACGAGGCACGCTTGCCCTCGGGGGTGCTACCTCACGCCGGTGGGAACTTGGTGGCTTTCGCGAGTCCCGAGATGAAGTTGGGTATTCATCTCTCGAAACTGGCGGATCCCTCGGTAGGGGCTTATCACTTGGCGAAGCGTGCACTTCAACAGGACCTTGACTAGATGATCGAGCACGAGTATGTCCGCGCGGAGATGCGTGAGCATCGGATGACTCGCCGCCTCTTTGCGTCTGAGTAACAGGAGCCACATACTCGACCTGAACAGTTCGTCGCTTATTATCTTTCTGTTGTTTGCCATTCGGGGCCGGTTCTTCTTGATCAGCCTTGCTTTGCTTCCGGCCGGGCTCGTTAGGGGCGGCTGCAGTCGATCTCGTCTTAGAAGGTTCTCTAACAGATGCGCTTCTTGCCAAGCTTCCGGCATCTGCATCCTCGGTCGGTACGGTCGTGTTCTGAATCTCGCTGCTAGTTGTGGTAGTACTAGTAATGAGCTCAACTACGTGTGCGTATTCACTCAACCAACTATGTCGAGCGACCTCGAACAAATCTGCACGTTTCCGCGGGCTCGGAACCAAGATACGACGGAGTAGGTCTCGGGCGTGAGGAGTAACATATTCGGGGAATGTGAGGGGTGTGTTCACAATGTATTTGTAGAGAAGGTTGATATTGTCACCCTCGGGGTTAGCAGGGTCATCATCGAAAGGTAAATAACCTGCGAGCATAGCATACTATGGTATTGTAAGTAAGACTGCAAGCTTCAAGGAGGAAAATAACATGAGCTTTATGGGCGTTACTCACTAGGATCACTCCGCAGCTCCAGACGTCCACCTTTCGGCCAGTGTATAGAGAGTCGCTAACCACCAGTTCTGGCGCCGCATAGCATGGACTTCCGCAACTTGTCTGCATCAGGTCACCCCTTCGCATTCCGTTCGACTTGGTCTTATCGAGACCAGAACGCTTAACAAATTCTCGGTCAGATAAGTTGATCTCCTCATCCTCGTTCAACTCGTCAGCTGGGTCGAAAGTGTTGGCAAACCCAAAATCTGTGATGATGATATTGCGATTTCTATCGAGAAGTAAATTCTCGAGCTTGAGATCTCGATGGACAATACCCTTCTTGTGAAGATATCCCACGCCCGAAATAAGTTGGGCGAACAATCGACGAGCAGGGCCGTCTTTCAGGTACCTATGGTTTAGAATATAGTCGAATAGCTCACCGCCAGAAGCATACTCTAGAACGATTCCAATGTGTCTTTCCGTTTCAGCCATCTCGTGTAGCCTTACAATGTTCGGATGTGAGATACCACGGAGAATGGCTACTTCGCGGTAGATCTTGGCAAGTCGGGACGGATTATTGCCTACACTGTCGCGTCGAATGAGTTTGATAGCGACCTGCGTCCAAATTAGTTCCGAGTCCAGATCTAGGGGAAACGAAGAAACGACCAAATGTTATAACATACCTGAACACCTCCGTCCTGCTTCCAACCTAATTTTACCTTGCCAAATTCTCCTTCGCCAATCGTATTACCTAGATAGTAATCTCCGAATCTAGATGTCTTTTCACGTTTGGAATGATCATGGCGGCTTCTGCCACCACGCCGGGTTTCTTCAATGGAGTCCCTGTTGCTAACGTTCGGCGGTGGTGCAGCTCCATCATCTTCGTCAGCAGCTCGATGCGAGGACTGGGCCTGGGCTTCGCCTAATCGTTCTCGTTCTCGTTCAATGTCGTCTTCAGGCTGAGAAACAATGACACGGTTAAGCACTTCGCTAGCCTCACGCGAAGGTTGCCTCGCCGAAGCACTTGTAGCAGATCTAACAGGCATCATAGTGGTGACAGTTTGCCGGTATTCCTTATTAGCGCTTGGTCTTTGCGAAGATTCCTGCGTAAGATGTTGGGATGCTGCTCTTCGGCTTCGGGAACTCGGGTCATCGTAGCCTCCCCGTCCGAAATCCGATTGTCCATTTGTGCCAGCCTTGCTGCTGTCTCCTGCTGTTCGTCTAGGGGAATTAGCAGCTCTTTCTTCTGCGCGAGCCGCCCTTCTAGAGTTTTGTTGACCTGAAGCTCCATGTTGTGTGGAGGAGGTCCGGGGCGGTGCAACGGGGGGCTCATTCTTTCGCCGATTTTGCGCTGATCTATCATATTCGGCTGAGCTGCCCGTCACCGGCACCGGCGAGGGCAATGCGGTTCGCGATGTCATTGGAGACGGTTGGGTTTGTTCAGTGTATGTCGGTATTGGACTTGCTGCGTTGGCACTGTTTCCGCTAGGGCGCCTAGATGGGCGCCTCGAAGATGCAGGGGAAGCGTTCGTGTTGTCTCGACTAGCATAACGGCCCTCTTGGCTAGGGGATTGACCCGGGGTAAATTGGCGTTGTGATGACGATGCTGCAGCAGGCGAAGGGGCATTCAAGGTAGGAAGAGAGTTCGGCTGGTGAGGAGCTGCCTGTAATGCGGCAGAAGACATTTTCTACGCGACACGCGTAAATTTGAGTATGTAAAAAGTACCTGACAGCAATGGATTGGATATGTCCTGGATATGGTTATTTCCCCCCTCACATAAACCCGTATCAGTGGGATGTATTGTAGATGGGGAAAAAAAAAGAAGGGAATAATAAAAAAGGCGGTGATGAAATTGTCAGGGATACCTGCGCGCGCCTCAATTATTATTTTTTAAAAAGTCCAAGGGCTGCCGGTTCGTTTGATCCTCCAATAAGCCAGTTCAGATTGACATTGTGCGTTGCAGCGAGCTGCTATCTCGTTTGAATAACTTGCCCCGTGGATAAACCAGCTGATCGGCGATTTGGATCTCCTTTGCCAGGTTATTATCAAACAGCAAGGTCGGGCAATTTAGCTAGCTATGGTCGGTCTACGCAGCAACGAATATAGCTTAGGTCTGCCGGTCCTGCTAACTGAGTTGAGATGTCAGATTTGCCGTTACTGTTGCTTGCTTTCTTGCGTTCTTTCTTTGCTTAGTAGCTATTGCAGTCGTATTCTCTCCTTTTTTTTCCTTTTTCGGGAAATCAAAAAGAAATTAAAAAATCCTGGAACCGACGAATTCAAAGGAGAGGCTTAGATGCACATGCAGCTGATGCAGGTTTGGGCACCAGTAATCTTTAGCTTCGTTCTTCCCTCTTCTTTCTTTTCTGATTCTTAATTCGACGAAATTCTGACACCTAGATTGAGGAGACAACAATTGCGCAAGTCCGGGTTCCAAGGTCGAAACTAGGTCACAATGGCGTAGGATACTTGGTGAAGTTGGAAAGTTGGATGTTGATGTTGACTTCCAGTCTCCAGCTTGGGTATCCGTAAATAAAGCGGTAGGTTTGCGGCCCGGAAAAAGAGTGATTGGGACGGATGTACGGACGTTTCGTTTTCGCGTATCGTGGGTCGACCCTAGAACTAGAGCGTTGAACAATTCGACAATGGTATAATAGGTAGGTTTGGCAATTAGTAGCAGGTAGAAGAAGGAATTGATCTTCCCAAATCCACAAAGCATACACCAACTTAGGCTTATTGTTTCCTTCACCGGCGCTTAACTGAGTTTAATTGGAAACTCAGCTGGCAATTGAGTTAACGAAATTGCTAACTAATGCACAGTTCAACGTGATCGAAGGACGCGTGGGAACTAATTAGGGGGCCGCGACCAACAGCGCAATTATCAAGAAGAATTAGAGAAGGTTGATGAATGGTCCCTCAATAATAATAAAAAAAGAATGATAAAAAAAAAGAAGGGGGTAACAATAACGGTAGTTAGGAGAGTTTACCAGGTAAGGTATTGGGTAAGGTATTTGATAAGAGGAGCCTTAAGAGAGCCTGAGGTGTATGCAGAAATAAAACCACACCGTCTCCCAATTATGTGTGTGCAACTATTGACACAACTTCGCAAAGAACTAGTATTCCAAGCCTCGTCTTGAAGAGAAAAAAAAAAGAAAAAAAAAAAGGAAGGCCAAGGGACGAAACGACGTGATAGGCGACGAGGAAGAGGGAAAGAAGGGCAAACCATAAGCTACAGTTCATTGAAAGTGAAATGAGCATGAATTTGGACAATGCGGGTAGGGATGCCCTTGGCCAGGGAAATTGGAAGATGGACAGATGGAGACGCCAGCAAGGGGGTCTGGTCGTACAGTACTACTACACACATGTATTATTCATATGGATATGTAACTACCTAGGGTAAGTTAGGTACTCAAATTCAGTTATCGTCCCTCTAAATCTTGGAACTATCCTTATTATTACCCTATCATTACCTGCTGTAAAGGCCTGTACTTGCTGTACCTGACTAAAGTCGCGTCCCTCTCTTCTGGTTTGGGGGCGTGTTTTTCTCCCGGGCCAAGGAAATAAAGGGAAACGACCCGCTCTATTGGAGGGGTACACTAGCCAAGAAGGGATGAATGGTAACCAGCTCTACCCAAGTTTGCTCATGGTGAGTTAATGCGATACTAGAGCACGGCCGAACGAAGAGATAGGAGCTACTTTAAGTAAGAGGGGCTAGCCGTGTTAGGTAGACGGATAGACGGCCAACCTTGAACCTTGAACTGGAAAACCTAGGTACCTGCCTACTTCGTACCTGAGGTAAGGTACTTGTGCCTCCAACTGAGTCCAACATAGTGCCTACTTTACCTGGTCGATGACGCTGTTCATGCAGGTACAGTACTGAATTGAACAGTTTACAGCGGTAAAGCCGCTACAACCTATGGCAATACTGGCCGAATGCTACGTTAAATCAGAATTTGGAACATTGAAGCTTCGTATTATCAGACGTATTATCAGACCGGATTGCTGGGACTGATTAATCTTTTTTCCGAGTCATCATGAACAGAAACCAGATCTATCTTGTTCATGTTCTCTCTGTTCTGCCGTATGTCATGCTATTGATTTATCAGTGACTGTGAAGAATGGGACTGCTTATTATGGAAGAACCATAGGAGGGCGCATGAGGATACATTCCTTTGATCTTCGGTGAGCCATTGGATTGAGATGTTCGGGTCTATCCAGCTAACTAGTCACTTCTCTAATGTACGTACATATGTATGTGTAGGTAGTGTACGAAGTAGTGTAGTCCGGTGGCAGTTAGAACATTTGGGGTCTCGACGCTAGCATACATACCCATCAAACTCCTGGCCAATGCGTAGATAGACGAGTGAGGATAAACAAGATGATAAATTCATCTATGAGCTTGTATGTACATACATATCGTTGACCCAGATAGCTTGGTGTTTAACCTTTGAATCTGGTGATTATTAACCGCGTACTGCTTTTTCTATATATACCTAGGTTAGTATATATAATAGACCTATTATGCATGTTTCAAGTTGTAGGACACAACTTACAAACAATTCGCTATCATCTACAATTATACACATAGTTAGTTACATACATAAAACAAATTAACGTGGCTACGTCAGAGCCATGTACCAGGCTACATACAATAGTACACAGTAGCTCGGCTCGGCTGGTTGCAATGGCATGCGAAGGAACACGCCCACGCCCACACACACGCCCAAGGACAGACGCCCAACATATGTACGAGATAGGCTGCATAGCAACTTCATCCCAACCTTGAGTGTGGTGTTTGTTGTTTTCAGCTTCAGCCTACAGGGATGCTGTAGCGAGTAAGATCCGTCCCGCTGCCATCATTTTAGGCTTGTGATGTGGCGCTCGCGAGTCGCTGCTAACCTAGATGACGAGCTCTCGAGTCCCGGGTTAGGAAAGATCGAGCGCATTTGACTGGGTGAAATAAACGTGACGGGGATTCTGAAACAAACAGGGGTGTCAATTCGAAAATAGAATAGTTAGATCGGATAACTGCGAAGTCCTAACACGCTAATCTTAAAAAGTTCAAGTACTGCATCGAATATTGAATTTTCGTAAATTTAGATGGGATTGTTTATATGACAAGGGGGTGAATACCTAGTAGGTAATCAGCGATACCGTTGACATTGAAACTTTCCAAGCCTTGAAGCACATGCAACTTTCAAGTTAGAACATTGAAGTTACGTGTAATTATATAAGTACCAGATACTTCTATGACGCACCTGATTTCTTACCTATTAGCCAGTACAGCAGAACCCCAGATCCTCGATCTTGAATTAAAACAGAGACAGCCTAAAGATTCTATTCTCTTGGTCGAACACCTAATCTTGAATACCTAGGTAGGCAAATATACTAATTCAACAGCTTACAACTAAAATACCTAAACCAAAGTTGGCTTTATTTCATAGACGGCAAAACCATCTCGTGTTGAAGTCTTACATCGGAACTTCTACTTGTGTTCATATAATCACCTCTTCAGGTGAGATGTTTCATTTTTTTCCTATCTAGGTACGTTAGGAGTCTAACTAAGCAGAGGTTTATACCTACGACCAAACAAGATTCAATACAAAAGCAATAATTCCGAACTCCAACCTATCAAACCCCATTCTTAATATCTTACCTTTGGGTATCCTCCCTCCGTATCCTAAATCATTTTCCACATGTTCCCCATAAACTCCGCGCTTATCCGCCACATTTATCTAGGGCCTGTTTTGTCTTGGTCTGGTCAAGCAAGAACATGATATGACCACAAGAGAACGACTACTTTAGTACGGTGGACCGAACACCCCTTTCGTCCTCTCCATCAGCTTCAGCCACACCTCTAGCGAGATAACAGAAGCCTTCTTGCATTCTGGCCGTACTTGTATGGTCATCTCTAGCAGATCCTTCGGCTCCAACGGCTGTGAATTGCTTACATGGTGCACTTGCGCCGTGCTGCCAAAGACTTCCCACCTCGCTGATTGTCAATGTGACTAGAGATGCTACACTGGGTATTCGATGGGGATGGCGTTAGCGGCGAAGTCCGGCTGCGATGGTGAGCTGGCTCTCAGCACTACGCGATACGATCTTCTTGTGTCCTACAATGTGGCCATGAAATTCTAGCTGGTCATCGTTGGGGAATTTACCCCTGGCTCCGATCTAAAACATTCTTATCCAGCTGCGGTTACGTCTTCCTCGGAGCAGAATGGACCTTCTACGAACGACATAAGAAGTGAGCGGCGGCGAGAATCAAGAATGTATTGCCAACAATCATCCAGAAGATATCTGATCGGAAGACTAATAGCGCTTCCCCGGGATAGTCGATGCTTCTTTTGGTAGTTTGGACGACATGTTCGCTCGGAGACCGAGTGTTGTAGACCCGCTAACGTACCGAAATTATGGGAAGCTCTGCTAACTCTCACTGTTAACCGGTCGCCTACAAAGTAGGCCGCCCGGCATGTAGAGCATTTCCGCGGTGCTTCAGAGTTGTCTTCCATGAGTGTACTGTTGGTGTGAAGTATATCACCTTCACGGCTTCTTTGCGCATGAACTCAACAAGGGCGCTAGGTTCTTGCGGGTCTCTAAAGTTGCGATACACACTCCACCATCGAGGACAACGCCAAAATCTTTTGGGCGATAGAGAGGTCAGATGACATGGAAGACTGGTGTGGGGAGTGGTCGTTGCTATCAATGGTTAAATGCCTTTTCAAAACGCTTAGCAACTGGCGAGTTGGTATTGGACTCCGTGAGGACGACACATTTTGGTGTTTCAGTACTTCCCTACAACGCACTTGCGATGTAGACCATATGAAATGGATCATCTCCCTCGCACGACACGACACCTTCGGGCTGCACAGCTGTTTCTGCGGTGCTCTCAACGTTCATGACAGTGAGTCTGGAGGACCTCAGACCCGACATATTTTGCCATGAAAGTGAGACGGTCTTGAGCGAAATCGGTATCAAGCGCAAGGTAACCACTACCAGTGAAGAGAGCTCCGCTCATCCCCGTTATGGCTTCTACGCCGTAGGTCAAGAGGCTGACATGGTCTCGCATTTTCGTTACTGCTTACATGCATCTCATTTTAGCAAGGGGGGCGTGTTTCCTCCATATTCGTCGGCCTGCAGCGTAGAATTTGCGAGTTGTTATTCGTCTTGCCCGCCCAAGCGCGAAGGCTTCGCCCCCATTGCCCGTACAGTAGGTCCTGGCATCCTAACTAATCATAAACAATATAACTACAGAGCAAGGCTGAATACTACTTACATACCTGAGAGCGGCCTATCAGAAAGATGCACTGTTCTTGAGTCTAAATTATAGGCGTTTTTAGTCTGACGAGGCAATCGAGTGTAAAGTTCTCGGCGTCCATTCAACAGCGGCAAGCGAATCAGCCACATGTTGCTATTGTTGTCGACGAACTAGTAACTCTTGATAGGACCTTGTTTTGATTTTAGGATAGAGAGATATGGCGCAGGGATGAAGTAAAGATATTCAACCACCACGATGAACAGCCAGATCACGTTCATTTCGGCCCCTCCAGCTTCTTCTATGATGAGAACGGAGTTCTCGCTGGAGTGTTGTTTCCATCGTCTACACGGTCAGGAAACTGGTTGGTTCAGGCGGGAAAGAATTACCTCGCAATACGGCCAGGACCGGACGATAGATACAACCTTGTGGGACGAGCAATCTTTCTCAAGAGGTCTTTTGATGCCGATAGTTTGGTCAGCGATAAGACTAGCAGTAACACTGACAGCGACACTCCTGGTATGCCTACGGAAGAACTTGAGGATAAGTCCACGGAAAGCCTTATGCGTAGCGAATAGTTTCGCATGTTTTTCCACGAAGAAGATATCCTAGCACTTGCTCAAGCTGATTCCGCCGTCGACGAAATTGATCAGAGTAAAGCTAGTGAGCTCTTGCGATTTACTCCAGGGCTGTCTTATGCGGAAGAGTCTCACAAGGAAGGAGTATACGATTGAAAGCTGGCAGGTTTTGCATGGGCGAAGTTTCATTTGATTAATTCATTAATTTACTTAAATCTTTCTACATTAGAGCTAACTTGGGTACTATACGGGACCTTCAGAAGCGGACGTATTCCGGGGTTTTCATCCCCGGACCGACGGACAGCAAGCTCAATGGAGCTTATGAAGAAGGCCGTTGGCTCGTGCGCCGGCGTATAACGGACCCGGAGACAAATTCCCGACCTCGTCGTATTTGATTACTATAGTTCCCATCTGGTACTTAGGAGGTTCTTGTGATGCAATTACATGCGCCTCCTATTATTCAAGTGTTGCTTGTGTACCGCAGCATTAGCACCATAGTTCTGCGCAAATCCACATGCCGCCGTATCGGTCTCGTCTTCGTGGGCATTCCGATCTTGCATCAATAACTGATGGCATCTTCATAGATGTCATACAAGTAACCGGAGTGAAATGAGATAAGAGTTTAGGAACTTTTGTCCCTCATGCTGCGGTGTCTCGTCTTCCTTGATCAAGGGATGGCTTAGACTCCTTGAATCTCATTTCCACGTATATCACTTTGCTTTGTTTACCTAGGTGGGTAGGCACTATATATAGGCATACATACGCGGTTGCATCACGTATAAAAGTCTCGGAGCAGGACAGCCCGGGATTAATCCCCCTGAATCAATAGAAACCCGAAGGTTGGCCGTTGCAAAAGTTCCCAGCTTATCTAACCGTTTCGTCCCGTAGGTGTTACGCAATAAAGAAAAGGGGAGAGGTTAACGGACAAGAAAAAGACACGGCTTTATACATCGTGATCTTGAAGGAGCAGGAGTTGGTCGGGAGTATATCTATATCCGTTGCCTTCCGAGGTACGTGACTAAAATAGACTTAAATTGTTGATAGTGATTTAGAGATCCTTTTTTCATTGTAGGAATGATGCTATTCTATCTGTGATACGTGATACTAGGCACTGATGTAGAAAGAGACGTATGTGCCTAACGAACACCCTAATCAAGATACTAAGTAGAGGCCAAGTCTTCCATGAGAAACACACGCATCTCCTAACTAGGCATGTATGCATAGAAAGGCCATGTGAAGAAAACCACGCGTGCGTATGAGACATCAAACAATCAGTTCCAGTACTTTACATTCCAATACCAAAAGGTACTACATACTTGCCAAGGAGTGCGCGCGTAAGTGACGCGAGAAGAACTATGTAATACACATTGGCACCGGCGTGGGAATTTTTGTCTCGGGACCGGTCGAATGGAGTTAGTTAGCGGCCCGGCCCGTGTGAAAGGGGTGTCAGGTCAGGTACCTACAGGCTAAAGTACTACTAGCTGGCGGTTAGGTAGGTGCTTAGGTGGTTAGTTAGTTAGTTAGCTCTTTGATCCTCACCTTCTCTCACCTCGGCCCCCCTACTGTAGCGAACAAACAAACTTCGTCAAGATCCTACTTACATACCTCTTACCTAGTATAGCGAACCCCCCCCCCCCCCTTCTCATCACCATCACCACCACAATCAATCATAATCACCCCTCACGAACAAACACCAGAAGACCGAAACACCCTTACCGAACCATCGAGCGATGCCTGCTCCCCGGCCCCGGGCGGCCTCCCCATATCCGTGCCCGCGCCCGCGCCCGCGCCCGTCACGAGGCTGCGCAGTTTCCGGGCCTTCTCGAAGACGCTGAGGTACCAGAGGACGAGGCGGCCTAGGGACGTCATTTTCGCCATACCCCTCCCCCTTTATTTATTTTTATTTTTATTTATTTATTTATTTTAAATTGTTTTGGGTTGCTGGCTATATACATGGGTAGGTACGTACGTACCTGCATTAGAAAACCTCGGTTGATTATGTAGGTACGTCGGCTGATCGGTGGATGAGCGTGTGGGACTCTTTAAAGCTACCTATGTAATCCCGCCTTTGCTCGGGAGCCGAAAAACAATGGGCATTCACCCCGTGCAAACGGGCGTTTTCTTTCTTGTAGGTATCATTCATTGCCCTTTGTTTCTTGCATTGGGTGGGGATTTTCGAGTCCTGCTATGTGGTTCGACTATCGAGTACCTAGGTAAGATAGCTTCTTTGATACTTTTTAGGCTGTACCTGCTTTTTGTTATAGAAGCTAAGTAGAGAGCTAGGTTAGATGTCTCATGATGTATAGGTTAGGTTATGTAGGTTAGGTTCCTTGGCAGTGTCCTTTTGGCGATTGATGGAGTTGGAAAGAGGGGTGATATAATCTAGACATTTTAGAGCATTTGAAAGCTTCATGATGATCAGTAAGATAGGAATATTATCACGATACAGTCAGGTCTGGCATCTGATAAAATATATCATATATCATTTGCATATAATTTTCCCCTATTCATAATCATAGCTTGATGGATATATTCCAAGCATCCAACGCAACCGCCACCGTAGTAACTACAGCCGCATATCCTACCAATATGCCCATCGTGACGCTTGGTCCTACATCCAAAGTAGGTACCGTCATATTGACCAATCCCGTCAGCAAATTCGCTAGCAGGAAGACGGCCAGCCCATTTCTATTATATGCCCTGAACACTCTGCTCGTGGCCGTCTCATACGCCTCTTGTTCGGATTTGGCATCCGCAGCTTGGTAGAAAGACGGGAAGAAAACACTTTCGATCACGCAGCATGCCAGCAGCTGCGCCGAGTTGAATGCCGTAATCCATAGGACATAAGGCAGATTAGCTAGTCGTCGAGACACGTCCATCCCTAACCCGTAGGTGTAGTTCGTGCTAAAGAAGTACAGTGCGGTCCAGATAGCCGTCCATACAGTCATGGTCAGGAGAAGAGTGGACCGCTGGGCGCTGTTGCTAGTTCCACTGCGCGGATTAATACTCCGGGGCAGGACATACATACCCGTGTCCTGCCCAGCTAGAAAGATGGCGAGGTACCCAACGAAACTGCAGATCCCTTCTCTATTCATAGAAAAGATGTCTGTCCGTGGCGCCGTGAGGATGAATGCCTTTAAGCTCGTAGTCTCTAGCACGACTTGATAACCGACCCCGAGCATAGTGGCAAGTGCCGCGTAAGACGGGATGAAGTTTAGGACCGCCTGGAAAAGCGCGACAAAGGGAGGCAGGAAGCCGAGGGTAAAGAAAAAGTTCCAGTGGACGCCATACTCGGTCACGTGTTCCGCATAGTCGAGACCTTTGACGCTCAAAAGACGAATGACGCCAAGGACTAAAAGAGGGAGCGAATGTCGCATCGAATATAGGAGTCTCTGGAATAGAGGTATGCTCCGACCCTCGGCCCTCTCTTTGAGTACCGGCCGCGCAGCTACTACACCTGCCGAGAACACAAAAGAGCCGACGCCGACGTCCATCAACGAAGTACCCCAGGTTTCCACCTTGGCGAATCTCCGGGGAAATAGTCGGAAGTCGACGGCTAATATTGCTAGACATGTTACCACCAACATTGACCCACGATACGTGGTCAAGAACGGTTTGGTGGATAGGACGCCAAGTGCGCCGGAGGATTTCCGGGCTTGCTGCGCATTAGGCGGCAGCTTCGGCTTTTTCTTCGAAGCGACGGGGTTCGGGGGCAGCGCATAGACGAGGATGGCGGGGGCCAGAATCAAGCCGCAGAGTAGCAATGGCGTGTTCGCGTAGAGAGTAAGGGCGAGTAATATAGCAGTTACGTTCAAGAGGAAGTCGATTAGGAAGCTTAGTGGCGTGTACGGCTTGAAGAAGGACTGGCGAGACTGTAGGATGGACCAAAGGACAAAGGCGACCTTGTTGAAGAATGGGGATGGTTAGCTAAACATATTCTTAAATATTGATGAGGATATTTTAAGTCGATCGCATACAGGTCCTACTGCAGTTACATAGTTGATCTCGGAAACTGGACCTCCTGATAGGTTGGACACGAAGTCCTCCTTCAACTGCTTATAGCTCGTTGTCGCATTGGATCCCATCTTTCTCGGCGCAATTTATGGGGAGAAGTCGGAATTAATATTAGTATAATATGAGAATAGCTATGGATAAAGCTAATGTATTTTTAATTCAGCATTGCGCCGAATATAAAAGAGGATGTGGCGGTTGTGAACAGATGTCCACTGTTGGTATTGTATTTGATGTGCTGTCAACATTGAAGAATACAAAAATTAGGTACAAAATACAAACAGAAATACAAACAGAAATACAAACAGAATTAGTTAACTCTGTAAGCTTCAATCATCAAATCGCGAATATTAGATCTAATGCATTAGGTAATCATTTAAGGTTTGAAGCTTCAAATGTTACATAATAATAGCCAGGAACGAAAACGGGATCACATGACCTTGAACCTTAGATAGCATTGGCCTGTACCCGAGGCAGCTCTCGTGATATCTTCCCATGATAACTTCCCGTCTTGTCCCGTCTAAATGAAAAGAGAAAACACAATTCTTTATTCAACTTTCCCGTCCTTTGAAAGATATGAGTCAGCTTTTTGACATAGTCACCACGAGTTACCATGTAGATATTCCAGGTGATCTCTCATCACGATACAAAATCCTTGATTACCAACTCTCCAACTTGATTGCATTGTGGCAACATCTGGTCATGTCTTTGTCCTCTTGCGAAGGGCTGCCAGACGAGGAGGAAACACCCGTGATTTGAAGCTCTCCGTGCTCAAGCCGGCCACTAGATATCGATGCCAAGTTGAATCGAAACGCAAAAGAGTCATCGCACATTCTTTGTTACTCGGCCGAAAAGGTTTGTCCGCAGCTTGTTCAAAAAGCTTCAAAGCTCACTTATATCAAGCGAGGTCTTATACATGTACTCTCTCGCTTGCCACAACCCTTTACGAATACAACGCCTGGCCCGCTATTGTTATGTACGCCTGATGTAATGGTAATTCTTACGAGTCCCTCCTTTGACCCGGCCTAGTTCCTGCGCCTCATCTCCTTTCCTAATTCCCCCACAAGCCGCGCATAAAAGACGGTTGAACAAAGGAGCTTTGTACCTTTGATACTATTCATAGCAAAATACTCTTAAATCAGGCCCTGGACCTGGCCAAAAGGCCAAAAGCCAAAATGTCGATCGTCTTCTCTAGTAACACAACTTACTTTGCAACTTTCAAGAGTCATCTAATGTCGATATTCCCAGCATTCGATAGCTACTGCTAATACTAAGGTTATTATACCATTCAATTATATCCAATGACAAGCGATGTGAACGCCTCGAGGCGCCCTAACCTCGAGCCTATATGGACTGACTATCGTGGTTTCGGCGCCGTACACAAACCCACTACATATCGAACACCTGGTAGCTCCGGGTGGTCTCCGTCGTCACTATCCCCCAGAGCTCTGCCGAGTCCTAGTCCGATCCACCCTGCATCCTACGATGGATCTATGAGGAGGCAAGACCGAGCTTTGGTGAGCAGTCTTGACCAGAGGACGAAGCATGTGGTGAACCCGGTGCCTTTGACACCTATCGACGAGCAATCGCCGTCGCCCTTAGTCGCGCGGCTGGAAAAGATCAGCATACTACCACATCTGAACGTAGAGCGTAGCCTCCCCACACCTTCTTCGCCAGGCTTTTTACGCGAGGAGAACCAACGCATCGCGGAGAGGACAAGATCCGTAGATAGGACGTATGACACTCTCCTGGAAAAGATCAGACGCCCCAGTTATGCCACTGGAGACCGTCATACGCTACCGGATTCCCCGCGAAAAAACTCAGCGTTGGAGCTACAAGATCAACTTCGGAAATGGGGGCACGTGTATTATGGCAACGCAAAGACGGCCGATGCCTTTATTATCGCTAGGTCTTTGCGCCGACCTAGCCATAGCCATAGCCGTGCCTCCTCTATAGACAGCACAGGTCGGGATTCAGCGGGAAAAGGAGCAAGTGCAGAAGGTGGCCAACCAAGCAGTAATCGCCTGACAGTTCGCGCCATCGTCCGGCCCCGGTCTATCGACCGGTCGTCATTCTTAATCCAGCGCAACTTCAACCTGGACGAGCTGCGCGCTACGATCCCCGACCCGCCAACACGCAGCCAACAACGGCGTGGAAGTGGCGCCCTCGAACAGCAACCACAGCCCCCGAGCCCCCCAATCTCCACACAGCAGCCAAGCATCAGACGATCGAGTAATAGTGTGCGTTCAAGCACGCTCCTCCGCTCGGGCGCCAACGGCCTCGATCTCGAGAGCCTTGTCCGAGATGCTAAAGCCGTGCCGATCCGTAAGTTTCTGCTCTGCTCTTCATACCACGCTCATCACGTCCCCCCTTTCCCCTTTAGCAAAGGCATAAGAGTTTTATGCCTCTCCCCCCCAAGTAGGGAGACACCTACATATACCTACATAAACCGACCATCCTAACACTCAAAAACAGACATCAAATACGCACGCGCCCACCTCCCCGTCATCGCAGCCCTCCTCGTCTCCGGTCACATCCACGAGGGCGACGTCCTGTACCTGCCCATGCCGCACGCCGAGGCCTGGCCCCAGACTGCGCGGTACGTGTACACTGGACAGGGCGAGCTGACGGATGCGGTGAGGGAGAATATTGTTTACCTGGCTGGGAAGGTGTGATAATTAAGAAGAAATGGGGGAGGGGAGATTAAGGATGGCGCCTGCGTTGTGCTGCGTTATGTTGCTTGAGTGTTTATCGTACTAATGGTAGGGGTTTGATTGGCAGTGGGGGAAGAGAAGAATGAGGTTGGATCCATGGGTATGAATAATAATACGTCTGTTTGTTGTTGATTTGTTGGTAGCAAGGTAGATAGCTACCTACCTAGCACCTACCTACTTAGGCGGCTAGGTATACGAAGGATGGAGGCATGCAAGTTATTATGGGCTATGGGACACGAATGAGCACACGAAAGGGACGCGAGATGGGAAATGGGTATCTAGGTTAGGTGTCTTTGTTCTTCTTCTAGGTCGATACCCCCAAGGTATGATGATATTATCAACGAGCTGTATATGTTAGGGGTGTAAGGATGTGCTTGGGAGGCTTGCTTAGGAGGAGGTGTGTACCGAACTGGGTACCTACTATTTGGTCGTTCTAGGTAATTGGTTGCTAGTCCGTTCGTCAGATATCAGATATTTTAATCCAGTTACATACTTGAGAATGCTTAGGGCGATACGGTCGGTCGGTGATGGTATGGGTGTTTTGGCTGTTGAATTTGGTGATTTGTGTTATGTAGGTGGGTAACCTGGGTAGTAATATAGGTGTAAGTCGATGTTGTAGGTATCTCAAGTATCTGGATAGTGTCCCAGATGATCTATCATTGAATGAAGGTAAGTAGGTAAGGTAAGGTAAGGTAAGGTAATAAGGTGGCGAAGGCCAGGCTGGAATAGCTTCAAGGACTTGCTTGCAGCATGGAGAGCCAGGCGATAGGTAAAAAGAAAAAAAAGAAAAAAAACAACAACAATGAAGTAAAGGAAGAGGAAGAGGAAGAAGAGAGATCAAAAACACCTTGACAAAGAAGACGAAGAAGAAGACGATAGTGACGAGAAACCAAAATGGAAAAAAAATGAAAAATGAAAGCCAAAAAAAAAAATTTCCCCCAGAAGTTTCCCCACGAGCCAACAGGGCAGCACGTAAGCGTAGATATAAAGTCATACATGACCTGAGTACAGCGAATGATGGCTGCCCCAGTTGGCCGACAGCTCTCCTCGAAAACCCCCCCGAGAGAAAATTCCGAAGAAAGTAGCGCAGCACAGCAATGGATGGGGTGGGAGTCGAACCCACCCCCCCCTCAGTACCTACATACAAAGGCGAGGCAGTCAAACCACTAGACCAAAGTTGCCCCCCCATGGGGACTGGATGCTGGGGAGAGGGTTTTTGGGGGTTATATACTTAACTAGGTACCTAGGTAGGTAGGTAGGGGAGGTACAATACAGTAGGCACTGTAGGGGAGGGAGTCCGTGCTTTGGGTTGGGTGCCTGATAGGATAGGTTGGTGGCCTTGGGGCGCCGGGAGTGTCAGTGATAGCGGCAACTGGCACTGTGGGTGGCGGTGGTAAGGTTTATCCGTACTTTGGTTGCGCCGAACGGGCCTGGCAACCCGCCTGCTTGCTCTAGGTACGTACGTACGTACCTATCTTCCTTCATCGTCGTCACTTACACCACCAACATAGACAGCAGCACAACCGACAAGCAAACAAGCAAACAAGCAAACAAGACATCGATACCTATCACGATAATACGTTCAAGCCAGCCAAAGTCAAACGTAGGTATAAATATCATCTACCTACCTACGTAGGTACCAAGTCTCCATCACTCCATTCTACGAAGAAGTCGACACCACCACAAAAACAAAAATTAAGAATACGAAAAATGCCCCCCCAGGGCTCATAAGCATAAGAAACCATCAAAACGTCTCGTATCGTACAAAGAAGCCCAGAGCAAGAAACACGGACGCAACGCCTCGCTCCCCCTTTTCTCTTCGATTATCACGCTCAACCCTCATACCCCCTCCAAACCCACGCATCAGGCCTAAAGACAACCTCAAACGCGACCCGCTCAAAGCACCCCACCGCCGCGCACAAGTCGTGGTGGCCCTCCAGCCCCGTGACCGGCAGATCCTGCTCCTGGTCCGTCTCCTCGTGGAGATCCCAGCGGCCCGCCTCTGCGCCGTTGCGGGTGAGGAAGATTTCGACGGCCTGCCTGCCGCGGGAGTAGTGAAACCGCATCCCCAGCCCGACCGTCTCGCCCCGCCGAAACGGCGCCGTGAACTCCTTCCCGCCCCACCGGTCGTTGATGTACTTGTGCCCGTCGTCGCCGTGCACGCCCAGGCTGCCGCGGTGCCACCCGGGCAGCCGGAACGCGGGGTACGGCGGCGCCGTGAAGCCTAGCGCGAGGGGGACTTCCTTCTCGTTGCCGTCGGCCAGGATGCGCACTTCGTAGTACACCGTCTTGCCCCCCTTGGCGCCCGTCGCGGCGGGGCTGTGCGCCGCGGCGTGGTACAGTGGCGGATACGTCGCCAGACACGTGTCCGGCGCGCCTCCATTGCGACTACCGCTCACGACGCTCCAGACCCCCATCCCCTTCTGCGTCAGCGTGCCCTTGAAATGGGGAGGCGCGTACAAGGCGACGTTGCCGACGCGCGCGGCATCCGCAGCCTCGGCGCTGAACGGCATGGGCGGGTACAGCGGGTAACTCGCGCACCAGCGCTCGCCGGCCTCGGCCTCTTCCTCGGTGGCGTTGTTCGCGGGCGAGCGGTCGAAGCCGCTGAAGAAGTTGGGGGGAGGGGGGAGGAGGGATGTGTCTGGGACGGCGGATTCCCAGTCGTGCTGTTTCTGGGCCGCTCCGTGGGAGGGCGGGGGTCCAGTTGGTGGGGCGTATTCCGGGGCATTGGATGATGGGGAGTTGAAGAAGGGGTTGTTCTTGGAAGAAGAAGGGGGTGGGCCAGCTGGGGGTGCGTAGTCGTATGGAGACTGAGAGGTTTGGTTTTGGTTTTGGCTGTGAGAAGGCGGTGGGCCAGGGGGCGGCGCGTAGCTTTGCGGCATGCTTGCCTTTGGGTTTGGCGCGCTGCTGTAGGACGGTGGTTGAGCTTGAGCAGGTTTGGGAGCTGGGCCACTTCCGGTGTCCTTGCTTCCGAAGCACATGGCTCTCTTGATATAGTCTTGATATAGTCTTGATACCTGGGGTAGGTAAAGACGTAAGCGAGTCAGTTCTTCAACTCAAAATATAGTGAGTGAAACTTGGGTTGCGTAGACTCTCGGCTGTTTATATACCGGTAGCACGTTATTATATCCAACGGATCGACTACTCGGCTGGCTGATGGTGGCTGAGGGTAGAAGTAATCACTGGTCAGGATCTCAGGATAATTTGCTTATGGATGTTATTATGTTATACGGTAACCAAGAAAGGATACCAAGAAATATATACCTGGTAATTGATTTATGTATGTAAAAGGTACAATACATGTGACTAACCTACAGCAGTATTGTTATTGTTGCTTGCTACATATGTAACTAACAACTTAAAGTAAGTATAAGTCTTTCCTTCTTTCCTTCCTTCGTTAGATGGTATGTAGTAGTAATAAGACACAATCAAACGCAATGACAAGAAGTGAGTGTACTCAAGTATGTTGGGAAGGTAGGTGTACGTTGTTAGTTTCACGTCTTAGGTTAGGCCACCTTGCTCAGCCGCAATAAATCGATCTAAGGTTAGGCGAAAGCTAAGAAACTCAAATAAAGGCCCGCGTGCCCCTTGACCCCACCACAACAACCGCAGTCAATTAACTAACTGTGTACCAAGTCAATTTCGTGACGTAGTTTCGGGACTTTCATACGTCAGTTGTGCTACGCCCAGTACTACTAGCAGTACTCACTTTAATTATTATTATACGTACCTAGGGTATCCTAGGTAGATTCTTCAGCACACCGTTATAAACATCCCGATTCCAAATACATGTACATGTAGGTACATATATCATATGCAATACAAGCCAAGTCGTACGTAGTCAGTCACATCAAGTCACACACATCACACATCACACAAAGCTCACAATCAACATCACATCACCCAACAACACAAGTAAAAACAACACAACATCATATCAAAGGAGTGTATATCCTTCCCATTCATTCCATTCCACTCGACAGCTCGACGTAATCCGAGTCTGCTCTGACTGGCTAACGAAGTTAACTACCTAGGGCTTATTTGTATTTTCATTGTCCAGAGCCGGCCAAGTTGGCTGGCATAAGCTCTTCCTGCGTGTATCTGAAATGAACCTTTTCCTTTTTTTTTTCTCTAAGAAGTCCAGGTAATGGTGAATAAATAAAATGAATAATAAAAGTAATAATAAATCGCTAAGGGGGCCTGGCTCGAAGTAAATATCGGCGGCCTTCCCTTAGAATGTAAAACATCAAACCTCATGTTACCTCTCTCCCTCTCCTCCCCCTTATGACAATAAGTTCGTGTTCGTGTCGAATCGCTCCCCGCAATGTTCGTAACATTATTTTTCTTTTCACGTGCATTAGATAAGTACGAAAACCGGTCATCCCCACAGGTTTCTCATGGCAAAGATCCTCAAGTGAGGTAGGTATATCTTGCTAAGCTTAAGCGCCCAAAGCTCCGGCAGCATCACCCTCGGGATAGAAAAACGCAACTACTGCGATGATAACGTAAGTAGCGCAGAGCAGGGCACCCTCGAGGTAGTTACTTCTGCCGTCGAGGATCAAGAAGTTGATGATGAAAGTTGACACGAAGAGGCACACCGTTTCGAATAGCGTAAAGTATAGTGTCATCGGTTGTCCGATGATCCAACCAATGATAACCACAAGCGGCGTCAAGAATAGGGCGATTTGGATAGAGGAGCCGATGGCTACACCGATTGCTAAATCCATCTTGTTCTTCATAGCCACCGCCACCGCCGTTACGTGCTCTGCCGCATTGCCGACGATGGGAAGGATGATTAGACCGATGAATGTTTCCTTGAGCGCGCTGTTTGCCACCACGTCATCAATAGCGTCAACCATGAACTCAGCACAGAGTGCCACGAGTGCCGTGGAAATCAGCAACATGATGATGGCTGCGCCACGCGAGAGATCACCTTCGTGATCTTCTCCCCTCTCGCCGGTACCGCCGGTGAGGATGGAAATGGGTACTTGCGAAGGCATCATGGCTCCGGGGGGTCGATATTGATATTGGTTGAGTCTTTCCGGAAGGGAATTGGTTCGGCGAATTCCATATCTAACACGAGGAACGGGACCGGTTGCAACTGCAGGTGTAGCTCCAGGGTCGGACGGTTGAGTGAAGACAGGCGGGGCTAAACTCTTAGCTACAGGACCGAGGGACATAATATTGAAAGCTCGTCTAGAGCCGGTAGGGATCACCTCGAGGGTGCCATCAGTCTCGACAACGGTGTCTGCGAAGTCCACGCGACGGGTCTCCCCGACATTCGTGGCGGGACTTTGTGCCACACCAGGCCCAACGCCAGCAATGTTCTCCGGCGAGGCGGCCTCTTCAGCGATGGCAGCTTTCGCTGCCTTTCTCTGCCGCTTACGGTACTTGCGCTTAGAACGCTTACTGCGTCTTCGGTGGGCCCTAGAATCGTCCTCATCATCAATAGCTTCCTCGCTGCCCTTCGAACCCATTCGAGGGAAGAAGCCTTGTCCATTCGCAGAATCCCCAGATTTGGAACCTTCATGACCAGGGCTAGCGTTATTAGTTCCAAGCGAAGGAGAGCGGGTTTCCACGCCGTTCTCGCTGTTGACAGAAGCCACACTAGATTTTCTACGACGATGCCCGCGAATGGCTCGCCGAACGCGCTTCGACATAGTCTCACGTGATTGACTCGAGGTGTCCGAGTCCGAGTCTGACGAAGAACTTGAATCTGAATCTGATGACTCAAGCCACGCGGCAGCTGGTCCGGGTGTCGCCTCCTCATCAATGATGTGCTGGGGAGTAGATTCGTACATGTATGCGTGGGACTTCAGTTGAAATAGAAGATAAATGACATATACTAACAGCAGAATCTTGACAATCATATTAGCATAAAACGACAAACACGGTCAAGTATAACATACAATGCTGACACCATGGCTGATCTTTAGGGACTCGGCATCAGCTTCTGCTCTGTCTCGAAACGATGCGTGAAATGCCGTCTGTTTTCGTTTAGTAAAGGCTCTCCTATCTCATACTCGACGCAAATTAACTAACCGGTAGCACAAGACTAATAACGCTCAGACTAAGCAGACAGGCACTCATTTGCGTTACGGTACTGTTGTATATCTAGAATCTGGTTAGTAAACATATTCTTAGTTGTGAAAAGAGATTCTGCCTACTTGTTCGCGGAATCGGAGTCCACCGAGAAAAAAGGCCATACCCAGGATGAGTAGTAAGTTGGCGAGGATAGATCCTAGCAAGGAGGCTTGGACAATACGGATTTCTCCCTACATTGAATCAGTATTGACGTTCAAGTGATGAGGATGATCGGTGAGCACTGACCTTGACCAAAGCGATGCTATAGGTGTGAAAAGTCGAGTCAGTAAACAATCCATAACCAAACGCGACACACGGCGCATGGTGTACCAAAACAATGCCCTTGAGTTTCCGAGGCTAATGGTATAGCACTTACATGCTAGCGATTGGTTAGCAGGCGTAATATTCATACCAGGAATCCCAAGCTTACAAGATAATCAATTCAACAGCGTTTCCAAACGTTACATTAAGCAGTGCACCGACGGTATCACCCATCTTACGAGCTACGGACTCGGTAGCATGGCTGAGAATGGCGGCGAGGGGGATGATGGCGACGGCGTTAACACCGAAAGTAGCGCCAGCATTCCTGTTGGGGATATTTGCAATGGCAATCCCGACTGGTACGCAGATCAAGAATAAGTTGATCCAACTATGAAAGAGGACCTTTTTGAATTCAAGGTACGTTTCGACGACGACATTAGGTTTTTTCTTGTCACCAGCCTCCTCGTCTACGACAGTCCCCGGCCCCTCCACTTCAGATGTCGGCGTAGCTGACTTATCGGCAACTTCGCTATCCTGTTGTCCAACGTTCGGAACATCTTGACGGGTTCCGGAACCGTTAGAGAGGCCCTGATGGCCGTGGGGGTCGCTGGTGCTAGCATTATGACTCTTTTCCGAATGTCGCAGTGATCCGGAACGGTTGTCTATGGGAAGGATGGGGTTGCTGTTGGACGCAGTGGGTCGTGTAGAACCTCCATACGCTTGACCTGGTGCCCAAGAGCGTATGCGATCTATATAAGAGGGCTTATCAGTTGAGCTTTCCTTCATCGATGTATGCGGCTTTGGCAAGTTCGACGCCAAGGTCGTGGGTTGTTCTGTAGAGAGAACGGGAAGAGGGGGGAATGTTTATTTGAAAGACGCCCAGGCAAAGAGGGAGATAGGCTTGGACTAAATAGGCAAAGAAGCACTTGGAAATTAGGCACAAGGTGGTGGCGTGGGATCAAATCTGATTGGGGAGAGATCAAGACGTAATCTAGGATAGATATCAGGGGTAGCCCAGGTGGTACTTTGGGATTGGTTCCTAGGTAGGGTAAGTAAGAAGAAGCATGAAGCCAGTCATGAATATGTACTAGAGTCGATGGGTAATAAGGTGATGGGAGCAGTGATGGGCTTTGGGTAAACTGGCTTGGCAAAAGGTCACTGGTCCCCTGATTGATAGTTGATAGGCAACGTGTAAGTAAAACTGTGTGGGTTTTCGCCCTGCTTTTCGGGATGGCGATACAGCGTCGATCCACTCTGAGGCTAGGGACCTTACAAGTTGACGGTCCTGACCTACTTAGTCACAGTCTTAGTGGCTACTTAGTATATGTATGTTACATAGCACATATAGTAGGCTGGTACTTAGGTTGATGTATAACTGTATACATACGTGGCGCGTTTGTCTATATTGCAAGCCACGCTGTAATCAAGAAGACTTCCCCTCCCAGTTTCTTTGTGATTGTTGGTTAAGACTGGATGATACTTGCCTAGTTAGTACGTTAGGTAGGTACGGTACTCAGCTTCACTCCTATGGCAACAATGACTTCAAAAGCTGCAAGGAGTGAATGTTGATGTGATTGGGAGTACATATGTATTCTCAGCCACTCTACGATATCTTATCGACATTGAAAGAGACTTGAAGCCGGCAGACAACTGTGTAAGATCTCCACTTGAGATTAAGCTTGCCGGGAATTGATGTAGCTTCGGGAGCATGTTGTTGGGGTGTGTGGAGACAAATGCCCTGTTAATGTTTACACGTCCACCATAGTTAGGTTGTAGGTGTGAATATGCACATACGAAGTACATACTTGAAAAGAAAGGCATTTACAAGTAGTTACATAGATATAAGAAATGGGAAAACTCACTCATTCTATTTACCACAATTACCAAGTCCTGTTGAGAGAGCACCGTCTACTAAGACAAATACTCCCTCTGGAATAGTGTATGTGAGTGATGGCTCGTACGATTCCGTAACCTCAACAAAAAAACATAAGCAAAAAAAAGAAAACTCCCGGTGCTCTTCCCCTTCTTTTCTTCCTAGGTAGTAGTCAGCAAGCCGCGTGTAACACATGCTAACCCGGTGATATCAAGCACCTATTAAGTAGAGATAACCTCGGAACCGTTTGTCGCAGGATCAACGGTGCGGTCAACGGTGCGGCTCAGGTGCCGAACACCGCCTCACTTCTAGAAAGCAGCACAGAATAAAATGGAGGCTTGGTATCCGCACTGTACCACAACTACAACGTAACCGACAAGCTGTTACTCGTGTAGGGCTGATGAACTAAACTATTAGCTACCTAGTGTAGTTTACCCATTAGCTTTCGTTTGTTGCTTTGCAGCTTCGAATCATTGAATGTCCTGTGTGTGTAGTAGTAAATACACAGGTAATAATAGCATGCAGTGCGGAAGAGAAAGGCGGGAATGTCAATGTATGTAATTCGTCTATGCGTGAGATTCGGATTTGGACTTGTTCGGAACAGGAATGGGAATGGGAAGGAATGCAATCACCTGCACTTGCTCACTTGCGGTGACGCGGTGACGCGGTATTAGGTACCTCGTCACTTGCAGTCTAACAAAGGAACAAACAAATGATAATGACAATGATGATAACTATTATAATGTTGACTTGGGTGATGAAAGGAGAAGACTGATAAGTTGATAAAGTTTATAAATACCTAACCTAATAGATGTTTTAATTTCACTTTGGTATGAGCATTGAGCATTCCCCAACAGTAATAGAAGCTTGCAATCTCAATTTCAATTTGAACATTGAAGTTGTAGTACTACTACATGTAGTAGTAGTTATTACTAGTACTGTATAATATTTTGTTACGTACCTAGCTATGCATGGGCCACGGTACAAGTCACGTTTATCCATAGATATTGCCATATTGGTGACAATATTGATACATAATATCATTGTTACGCTAGAATTGCGAGGATAACAAGGATGACAAGGATTATGAATTATCTGCCAAGACCTTTAATTTATGTGCTATATCATAAGTACTACGAAGTTTTTAGTTATACGTGGATGAACCACACCAACTGTGCTGAATGACGTACACGAACGGATAATTGTAGCTGTTGTAGAATTGTATTGGTTTAATCAATTATCCGGTGTCAGTTGTCCCACCTCAGTTACTTTTGTTTTATTTTTTCCTTTTTCTTTCATATCCAAGCACGACATATACCGGTTTCTGGAGATTTCTCTACTTCGAAAAGTAAAACACTCCAGGGCTGTGAAGAGCCAAAAAAGAAAAAAGATCAGTGATGCTAGCCCAAGACATACATATAGATCAGTATGACAGACCCAAAATACCCCTGAAGATTACATGTGCAGTCGCCACAATAAGGCTGCAAGATCTCATATTACAAGATCAACCACCACAGCCCTGGGTCGCAGCCCAATCAATGCACTCGATCCATACCTTAGATAGCTAGGCGAGGACGTGCAGGTACATAAATAAGGTCATCGCCGCTCGGATCTCCGCTCTCTTCTATTCTAGATACGGACGTATCGGCTCGGATCTGGCTGCGGCCATTCCAGGACCCAATTGCGTAATGCATGCATGGTCTTTGTCCTACCAGTTAGGCCAAAATTATCCAATATAACATCTCTGAGTACGTAGAATAAGTTAAATTAAAGTGTAGAATGTTACTCAAGTCTATAATCCGCGGAGACAAGGAAAGGGGGGGCAAGGGAGCCTACGTAGGTATGTGGTTTGCTTGAAAAAGCTAGGTACCATGTAGGTATCATAGAAACCGCCTTGGAGACGGAGGAGCAATTTTCATGCCTACGCTGCTTGTTATGTAGGTACGCACATTCAATATATCAAATCCTTCACTCATGACTCTCCATGTCTCATACGTTTACAGGATATCGGGCTCCCAGTCGAATCCGCCGGAATCCCCTTATTCTTCCATTCACTCTGCCATAAAATATTATTTCTATGACATGGTATATACCTATTCATGGCCAATTGTTAACCCAAGTATGGTTACGAGAAAACGCTCAAGTTCAACACCGGAAGGACTCCCATGCGGAAAGAGGGGGGAGGCTTTGGCAAAATGAAAACTACCCCTAGCCCATTACAAGGAGTGCCGTATCCAAGAGTGGTTCAGGGACACCAATCTTCACATATCTTCAAGTCTGGGTATGGCAGACCTAGGCCTCGCCTAGTCAGCAAGTGGTCACGCGACCTTAGCCAGGAAAAGGTGAAGCGTACCTAGTAGCTTGATACCTACACATGTAGACCAAGGGTATCGCCCAATACTCCCTCCCGCGAGGCATACACCCGATAGATCAGCTGCCTGACATATATATAGGTAGGTAGTATACTTTCAACGTATAATTCCTGACCGACAACCGAACCTCTCATTCACCATCCTCCTCCCCCTTTCCTCCCCCTCTTCTTGGATTACAACACACACACACACACACACACACACAGTTCTTAGCGAGATGCTAGAGAGCACCACACCTGATAACACGATGAGGTCAACACAATATCAAGGACTAAGAAGGAAGGATCACATACCTACCATAGCAGGAACCCCCCATCCGTTGGAATCATGCCAGACTCGATGGAATATATCCACGCATCCCAATGATTTCTTCTCAAAAGAAATGCCTTCTCCCGAATAAAATCATTGGCATACATAGATATATTACATCCGGTTTAGAATGATTCTCACGGTATTTGGATGATTTACTTACCTACGTACAAACACTCTACGCCTCCATAGACGGGTTACCTCCTATCTGATGGTCTCTAGAAAGGCTCCACCTAGGTACCTGGTCGTATCCGAGTCTACAACTATAACAGCTTGATGAACAGATATCTACCTACCTAACCTAGATAAGTAGAGTGCCGTCTTCGCTCTACCCAGCATCATCCGATACCTAGTTCTAGTTCCAATACTTCCTCATCAACCCCAACGTACCTCCATCCAACCAACCAACTTGCCTGCGTACCTACCTAGGTAGGTATCTAAGCCCACAAGCAAATGCCCATCACAGCACTACGGCAGATCTACCAACCTACATACAGTACCATACCCCCTTGCTTAAAACCATACCTAGTAGGTAGCATACAACATCCCACCAGCCACACTTCCGCAAACCAACCAGGGAGTACGGCAACAGCAAGCCTTCCTGCTTCACATATGTATGTATACCTACCTAGTAGGCAGGTAGCCAGAACCGCATACACACTACTTACTTACTTACCAACATTCCCTCACGCCTACCTACCTAGCAAGTACATTCTTACATATATCCCACACATCCCCTATATCTTTTCTATACATCACCTAGACGAATCACCCCTCCTTTCCTCCCTCTCCTCCTAAAAAAAAAAGCCGCCCCCTTATGACCTCACAGCTTCTTACATCCATACCTACCTAGTACCAATCTTCCCCCGTATCCAAGGCTAAGGCAGGTATCAGATATGCTGATTGATTGACATAAGCCAACCCAGAGCCAAGTACCCCAGGCTAGCAAGAGACCAACCATTTCACGTACATAGCGGTAGCTTATGTTCTCTGATACTATGTAGGTCACCGGGGGGCATAGGTACCTACCTTCACATCACTCGGTACATATGTAGAACCCACAAGACGCAATAGAAGAAATAATAACAACATCATTATACATACATACATACATACATACATACATACATACATACATACATACATACATACATACATACATAGGTGCCTGTCTAGATAGATACATACCTACATACCTACCTAGGTAGGCAGAGACCTCCAACACCCCAACACCCCATCTCTCTTTCCCCCCCTGAAGACCACGGAGGTTACACCTAGGTAGGTAGGTAGGTAGGTATACACACACACACATGTCGTTCTTTTTTTTTTTTCTTTTCTTCTTGTTGCTCATGTTCATGTACGTGGATTATTACTACGTATGTACCCCCTATGTACATACCTAGCCTTATGTACCTATCTGCCCCTTATGTACGTACCTAGGTAGGTACTTAGCCCCCGGGTGGACACTGGATATAGGAACTTAGGAAGATATAACATACAAACATCCCGCCAACATCACCTACGTATCTCGACATGACACGACCTAACTCAACTCAACTTGATTTGACTTGGTCCGATTTGATCTGATATGATCTGAAATGATTTGATTTGATTTGACTTGACTTTGACTCGATTTAACTCCTAACTAGACTATACCTTACTCTCCAACTTTACTTTACTTTACTCAACTCTACCTTACTTTCTTTACTCTACTCTCTTCTCTTCTACTCAACTCAACTTTACTTCTTCATCTTGGGTTGGACTTTTACTTTCGACTTCGTATAAAGTACAAACAAGAACCACCACAAGCGCAACAACCACAACTGTTATAACCGCAAGAACCAACAACAACTGCAACAAAAAATCCGGGTATTTTCATTTCCTTGATACGACAAAAAATCATTGTCCTGAAAAGATACACACAACAATATACACACATCCTAAGAATCCTTTCAATCAAGACTCATCCACGCGAATGCGGACAAGCCTCCGGCAATAATCACAGCCGTTAGGATACCCGCGCCGGCCTTATCACCGGTGGTGATGGGAGTAATCGGAGCTACGAGGGGTTCGTCGGAGCCGGCGTTCGCATCGCCCTTCGACGTGCCGCCAGTTTCGGTGGTTAAGGGGGCCGCACTAGCCGGGGCCAAGAGGCTGATGAGCGCGCCCAGCACATTCATTTGCTGACCGGCGCCCACCTCGCCATCGAAGACACCCGACGTCCAGTGGAAACCACAGAAGCGGCCGTTGGTACCGCCCGTGCATTGCTTGAGGGCCGCCTGTGCCGATGTCTTGAGAATAGGTAGAACCTTTGCTTGCGTGTAGGGTGCCAGCTGCATCGTAGTGCCCATCCATCGATGTAGATATCCCTTGAACGACTCCATATCGGTGTTACATCCACCAGTTTCGCAAGAGGGTTCGAATGCAACACCGTTCGGGAAGAAAATCTCCAGCATGCGGTCGATGAGGCCATCGACACGCGTCTTCCAAACCGTGTCACCTTCAGTCTGTTTCAAGGGGGGTCATGTCAGCAGCTAGATCCAGCTTATATAAATATTCAGATAGGAAAGGGGGAAGCTTACGTAATTATACATGAATGCTGCGCCTTGCAACAACATGGCAGAGTTATATGAGAACTGGGCTTTGTTGATATCGGAGCAATCAGGCAAATGTGCTCCGTCGTAGACATCCCAGTCATCCGAGATGTAACCTAGGCCTTGGACTAGATCAAAAGTTTTCGCCGCGAGATCGGCGTAAGTTTGGTTCTTCGTATAGCGGGCCAGTCGGGCTCCGATATTGAAGTAGCAGGCGTTCGCAACAGCTGCTCTCTTGTTAGCGTCTAAGACCGTGCATACCCACGTGGGTAGTTAGTATTTAAGGTTATAATATTGTCTGACATACTGTTGATGTAGTTGTATCCGTTGTTAGACGGAAAGACCTGCCATCTGAGACCCCATTCGCAACGTCCACTTGGGACTCTTCGATCATCGTGCGTTTGTTCGTGGAACACGGCTTGCGCTAATGATAGCCATTGAGGTTGGTCATCTGCCGGATCCGTATATCCAATCTCCGTAGCTAACATGGCTGAGAATCCCCAGAAAGCCTGATCGTCGTTACCCATGGATGCGGTCCAGTTAGGGGGCATAAAGTCTTCGTTGGGGCCGGCTTGATGCAATATGGCTGTGGTTATGATATCGTCATAGGAAGTGTCGCCAGTAGCATGTCGATAATCTAATAACGTGCCGAACATGGCACCTCCTTGCCACCAATAGTAATCGCCATCCGGGGGAGGACCAGGCAAGATACCGGGGACCTGGCCCGGCTCATCGCCATGATAAAAACTGAGAAGATCTTCGACAACAGCGGCAGCGGCCTTCTTGATGGATGCTAAAAACGGACTATTAATGATCCCTATTCACGTGCGCAAGGTATGTAGCGCCAGCATCGCATGGCGACGGTAGGTACACACCTGGATCATCGAGGTCTGCTTCAATAGCATATGCGGTATTGAACGCTAGACCAAATGCCGCCAGCAGCGACGTAGATATCCTCACCATGGCTCAAGAACCGTATCGGTCCGGGGAGGGTGATTGGGAAACGAACGAACGAGGCAGCGAAGCGAGCGAGCGAGCGAACGGAACGGATATGGGCTGATCACCAGGAAAAGACACAACACAGGACAACACAACACAGCAAAAAAAATAATAATATATAAATTGAATAAAAAATAAAAAATCGAAATCGATAAATCGGATAGAAACTAGAATGGGAGATAAGATGGGGGATAATTAGTCTAGTAACGAGTGTCTCATCTGATAGAGATGCAATATTATGATTTTAATGCGAAAGACGAGAGAGTTTGGACTTGAAGGAGAGTGGGAACTCGACGTCAACGACGGAATGGCAAAAAAGGGACAATGGACAAGACAGGATAAGACAGGATAGGATAGGTGAAAAAGGTTAGGTAGGTTAGCTTACAACCAACCATCAAGCGCATCAATCAACTGGACTTGACTGACTAACTGACCAACTGGCTGACTGGACTGAACTGAACTTGGAGTGAAAAAAGCTGGGAAAGGTGGAAAGCAAGGTTTGAAAATCAGGAGGTGACATGAACGAAGGGTTGCCGAGTGTTCTTGGCTGAGCACCAAATAGGATAAGTCCAGACTATCGTGGAGATTATCTTGCCGGTAAATATGGAGACAAAGAGGATACTCTTGGTACTCTTAAGTGGATCAAATTGAGTATTATACGAATCAGAATGAAAGAATTCTATTTTAGTGGCAAGCGAACCGTAGAATACATACGACGTAGTACCTACCTGGGTAGTAACTATTATGCTGGAAAGAGCAGAGCATGTTCGTTGTTGCTTAGTAGTTACATAGTTATCACGATAGATCGAATCATGCCATACATAACTAATAGGCATTAATACTACATGTATGTATGTACGAATAGGCAGGAACGATATAAACATAGAAAGGTATGTAGTTATTGTACAATACAACCCAAATACCTAACATTTAAACTCAAATCACTATTGAAACCAGCCTAGTGTTTGTGCCGTGCCCAGGTTACATGTTGAAGGTCAATTGCAATGCGGTGCGTTGTTAAAGTACCGACACCCATTACAATCCAAACCCCAAGACCACCCCAAAGCCACTAAAGTCACAGCGCCCAGAACCACCAAGAGCGATCGGGAATCACGGATCTAGGTAGGCAGTTTTCTCGTATATCATATCTTGACTATCCTCTGTCGTTCCCATCAAATCTTAACGGCCGAGTCATCCGAATCGTGCCAGTATAAAATGCCTACATGTAACTAACTACTTATCCAAATCCAATGATTAGTTAATACTAAATAGGCGATTGCTTGTAGTTATTAAGCATCGATTTAACAAAATGTAGGTTAGTCAGATCTTTAATCCCAAACCCTCCCAAACCCATTCACGCTTCCCATATGGATAGGATTCTGATGTCGGCAATGCAGAATCTATGTAATACAATACATCCCATCCCATTAGTTAATTGCGAGAGAGCGCGAATTGCCCAATCACACGACGCGCACTCCTGAAGATCTTGGCGCCTGAACCGCCACCCAGAGGGGACTAGGGCCGCAGGCACGCGCCAGGTTAAAGTAGGTACCTACTACCTAACCTAGGTTAATGACATTCATTATTGTACCCTAGACAGGCAGGCTTCGATGTTGCCGTAATATGGTACGTACAATGGTAATATGGATGGATGTATGTAACAAATTGATGACATTCAAGATGACATGATGTCTGGAACCAAATAGTAATATAACTACCGACATTACATCGTTACGTCAGTTCGTGGAATCCTTCTAGAAATTCATTCTAGAATCTTTGAGATTGATAATGTAAGCAATCAACTATCATAGAGAGAGAAATGACGCGCCTACGTATGTAGATGCGGTTCTGTCGAGTACATATTTATGTATGGAAGTGATTTAATACTACTGAGAATATGCATAATATGGTTCACGGACCTACCTACTTACATACATACATATGTCCTTATGTAGTCCTGACGAGGGAGCAAAAAGGGATAACGATGTGAGCATGAGTGGCCTTTCAGGTTTATTGATGGGATAAAGTAGTGTAGTGTTTAAGTTGTTAGATGATGTGTTTTATTACTCCCGTATTGAAGATAAGTTCTTCATAGACGATAGATCAAATTAGACCTCATATTACATCGATATTGCTACTACATGTATGTATGTATGTAGGCATTCATAGCATAAGTTGTACTCGATCTTGTTCCGCGTAAAGAATGCAACTTATAATCTAAAGGATAACTACTAACTAGTTGTGTCGTGTATTCGAGTCCTTGTACATTCGCCGTCGTTCTTGGAAAAGGAACTAAAACTCAATAAACCTCAGCACTGCCCAGTGGCTTATACCTACCTCCCTCCCTTTAGCTCAGATGGCAAGACACAAGACACTAGGTAAACACACAAGTAGTAGCACACAAATAGTAGCACACGAGCACGAGTAGCACATCACATCACATCACATCACCCCCTCCACAGCAACAACCCAACGTGGTAAAGCATGTTGAATTTGCAATTCGTTTTTTCACTCGACTATCTCTCTAACTCTGATACTCTGTTTGTAGGCAGGTTTTGTTTTTTGGGGGATTGCTAACCTAAGCCCAGGCCTATATCCCTTATCCCTAATCCTAGTACCTGATCCTTTATCCCATTCCCATCCTTTGTCCGCGGATGCCCACCGTAGTTAACCTGATTTGTGGTCTATGCAATTCAATCAAGGGCCCTCTCTCTTCCTTCCTAAAGCCACCAGAGAAAAAATAAAGAACAAACACCATTCCTTGAAAGTTAAACCGAATGGCTACATCATGGCATGGGCATAGCAAAAGACCAACTACAAACTCGTAGTACAAATCCCTCCAATCAACTTGAAAAGGGTTGACCACTGACAAAGCGTTCATGATGGATGAGAATGAAAACTCGACACCGGGTATCAAGTCCCTATTGGGCATTTGACACCCAGGTTGTCCTTGTCTGTCTCTAAGGTCATCCGGAAGTAGACAGGAAAACGAAGGGTAACCATGGCTTTAATCGGTTGCAAAAAGAGCCACTGGGTGATATGGCTTATAGCCTAATCACCAAACCACTACATTGACTTGTCTTCTTCCTCCTGCCTTAATCCTCAATCCATCCTTCCTGCTTTGGTGAGCTGTGGTGTGTATGCGCATGATCTTTCCCAGATGATGCAGCCGACTTATAAAACTCCTAATCCGAAAACGCCCAAATTCAATGATGCTAAAAGTGAAAGTCATGAATGCAATGGATATCGTGTATGCTATACGCCTCGGTTGGCGATTGGGTTGTTTTCGACAATTATAGAATTCAAGGGGGTCGGGGTGGTTTTTGCCCCCTTGATATCGCCGATTTCGGGTGTTGAATATCATATGTTCCCATAAGTATAACTGGTCTTCCCCACAAGAATGATAAATCACCTATATTTGGTGCAAAGAGGGGTCAAGTAAATCTCATCGATTTTTGCTCGCCCGAAGTAGTTTTGTTCGCAACCACAGAATGAACATCGTCCAAGTACTTTGCGTCTTCTTCTTAGCCGTGTGTTTCCGTCTGGGGGACTGAAAAACGACATCTTGCGCACTCCCAGCCTCGTTACCAAAAGATGGCGGGCTTCTCGCATCCAAGCTGTCGTAGTTGCTGCTAGCAAACTTCTCAGTCTCAGTCTCACCCAGAGGGCTCGGTATATTCTTCCGCGACGTGCTCGGCCTAGACATACTGGTCCTAGATATAGCTAGACTTGGGCGACCGCTGCTGTTCATGCTATACTTTCTGTTGTACTTTCCACGAGACATGGCTTCCTCAAGCTCAGCGGCTTCTTGGCGAGCCCTTGCTGCCATTTGCTCTTTATGTAATAGAGCTGCGTGTCTTTCTAGCTCGAGGGCACGCTTATTATCAGCACGTTCCCGACGCTTGATCTCCTCGCGTGCATATTTCTCTTCCTTGGCCTTTTCTCTTAGCTCGAATTTTCGGCGGGCTTCTCGGAGATGCTCGGCACGCGTTGCAGTGTCGAGATCAGATTTAGCACGCAAGCGAGGGAAAGCGGATGCATCGAATGAAGATCGCAATGGAGACATCGGGGCTGTGGAGCTGGTGGGCGAAGCGATGTGGTTCGAAGCGGCATTGGACGAGATGGGGGATTCTACCATACGATCGAGCTGCAGATCCGATCGGCTAGAAACGTTGACCAGGCGCGAGGACTGCGTAGGCGTAGCTCGCGTATTTATTCTAAGGGAAGGTGTGCGATGAGAAAGGGTGGGAGAAGGTTGCCCATTATTTACTTCGGTAAGCGATGGTGTACGTTGGCTGCTTGTCATAGATGGGCGTCGAGGCCCCAGACTTGGTTGTGAGTGTGAATGCGGGTTTATAGGATGAGTATGAGTGCTGCTTCTATGGCTGCGAGTGGAGCCGGAGCGTTTGCCAACGGTTGCGGTATTAGTGCCAGTGCCAGTGCCAGTGCCAGTGCCAGTGCCGCTGTCCTGACTTTGTTCATTGTCGTCGTCCTCGGTGATGTCGAAGAAGGACGTCAGTGAATTGGCATATGACAATGGCGGGGTTGATGTGCGAGGTGTTTGTTGGAATGGATGCACAAATTGACCGCCGGCCTGGTGACGAGGTCCGGAACTGCTAGATGTTGCGACGGAAACATGACTTGCGCCGCTTATCGATCTGGCGTGGTTGTACCGACGGGTACCAACTGCCTCGTTGAAAGTTAAGCTTGTTGCATCCTTAGGCGACTGTAATTTGGCCTGTATCTGTAGTATCTGTGATTGTACTTGCGACTGCACAGGTTCGTACAATCCCAGCCCACTCCCGTATCCATCGTGACTTCTGTAAGGCTCATCTTGATCTTCCCACGCCCTATCCAAATCTAAAGAACTCTTCTCCGACTGTGTTGCAAGCTTCCTTAGAATTGGCTTTACTGCCGTTTTAGCTCTTCTTTTGCCTATCCTGTGAACAGAACTATTCGACCCGAACCCCGGTAGATCTTGAACTCTGGACATGGTGTTTCCAACCACTACGATAACGATGTTTGTATGCGTGTAGTAAGTGTGTATATATATGGATAAACGTATAAACGTATGTTTATCGTTACATATACACGCACATACACCCTACAACTATCGCGGAACCATAGAGGAATGTGGATAGATGGTTAAGAAGGTACGGATAGGCTCGGTTGATCGGCTTCGATGGGGACCGATTTACTGTTCGGCGGACAGGGCAATGAGGGCTCTCTCGCAAACGGCCAAAAAAAGCGGGATCACCGGGTGAAAGACATTGGACAGACAGGATCGGCACGTAATGATTAGATTAGGTGCTTTGGTGCGCGATGAATTGAATTGAATTGAATGAATCGAATGGATCGAATGAATCAACAGGGAAACGACGATGACTAAGACCAAAAGGTTGCGATCAAAGTGATATCAAGAAGCAGGACTGGCCGTCCCGTTATAACCGGCGATGAATATGGGAAAGCTAATACCATGTGATGAAGACCGATACTAGCTCGGGAGACGAATGGATTAAGATTGGTGGGCCTCGTTTCCTTGGACCTTGGTCTTTGGTCTAGGGGGTACCGATGGTTTCAATACATAACGGGGAAGACAAGACGCGCGCAATATAACACTAGAACAAGATTCGATTTCTAGTCGTCCGAGGGAACCGGGTAGAGCGATATTTCGCTAAGCGGTGAGACTGACTAGTATGTAAATGGTGTAAATGGTGTAAATGGGATGTATGTAAGTTAGGTAGTAATTGATGATAATGATTATCTACTATAATATGTATAGTAGATCAATATGTAGGTACTGTAGATTAATGTAGATGATATGGTCTAGATAGATAAAAATAAATAAGAAGATGTTATATAACTTGAAGACATCTATCTTTGGTTCTTCAATGTTGTCTGGTCTTGGATGTATCTGTGTATCTGGGTATATCTTGAGGATCAATTTGATATCGATATCTGGTTCTATTGTTCTTGATTGATGTTATGATGTCTCTTTCTAGTAATAATAATGACGATGGCGAAAAGGAGGAAGATGATGAGAAGATTACGCAGTGGTACGAATCAGAAAGAGGCGGAGAAAAAGAAGTTACCTCAAGTGCTTAGTTAATTAGCTAAAACCAAAAATGATTAACTTAAGAGGCGCGAGGCTTTGCTTAGGTACATACTTGTACAGTAAGTACCCTAGGACCTAGGTAACTACCTATTAGGGTGGGAGGGAAAGGAAGGGGACATCAATTAACATGAAAGGGAAGCAAAGCGATAAGTCGGATACGGATAAGTCGGGGAAGGGGGGGGGAAATAACATTAACATTAGCATTACCTCCAGGGCTACCTACTGCTACCTAGGTAGTAATAGGTAGTACTTACTACTTTAGTACACTAGCATTAGGTACTTAACTATTGTACTAGGTAGTTAGTGTAGCATTGTAATTGTAACATTGAACCTATTAATTGTTAGTCCCTATCTAAAACAAAATCTGTTCTCAGCCTCATTCATTCCATTTTCGTTCAACGTTGTTTTCAGCAATTTTCAGCAGGCTCACACCACCAAAGTGGCCAAACCCATTAGTTTAACTACAGAGTACATTCCTAGTTACACCACAATCCTTACACCTTCTAAAGAAGCACCTTCTAAAGAGGGGGAAGATGTTCGGGGGGTAACCAACACCCGGTCAGCCCGGGACAGGGATCTTAACTGTTTAAACTGTTTGGGTCTTATCGATTGTGGGAAATTGGCCACTAATAAAACGAAGAAAATAAAACACCCCTGGCAACTTTTTTATTTTCCCCCTTATCCTGTCCCCTTATCCATCCATCCCCCCCCCTTATCCATAGTTAATCATTAATTATCCCTCCGCCCTTCTTTTCAAATGTCCCTCCCCTTACCCTGATCAGCAGTTTAGCAAAGAAGCCTCGCCTGATCTAGAAGCTATTTTACCTAGCAAGCTTGCCTAACCTACCTGGCTGCTACCTGGCTACCAAGGCTTTATATTACCCACCTACCCACCCAAATCCACATATCCATCCATTGATTCCAACATCGATCACCCCTTACACTAGGCGAGTCAGCCTAGATACTAGATAGACTGCCCAGAAACCCTCTTTACGGTACTGTAGTATTTTCCTTTTCAGCTATGGTGATAGGCAAACGGGGAAGAACATCGACAGAAGAAGAAGAAGAAGCTTTTAGCTTCCAAAATCTCCATATCCTTATCTCTATCGAGTCGGAAAAAAAGAGGGGGTGAGCCAAGAGAAGGGAATAAATGGGGAAGAGACACAGAGAGAGGAAAGAGAGGTAAAGGAACAAAGGAAAGGAAGAGAGAGCGAGAAGAGAGCGAAATGGGGGTGAAGGAAAAATGACTAATGCAAGTCGGACATGCATGGCTGATGATGTGTCGGGCTTGACGATGCCAGACATTTAGTCTTTGCTAGGCAGATTAAAGATCCCTAGGAGGTTTCATAACGCCCTTATATTCTATGCATTATAGTTATGTACCACTTGTTCGTTGTGGGTTTACTCTATTCCCTTAACAACGAGAAATCCATATATGTTAATGTACGACGTATAATACTACTAGGTTAAGGTATATCACAGCACTCGAGTAAGGCATGTAGGTCAACTTGTTATGTAGGAATCATGTAACTATAACTATGTCTGCATGTATGTAGGCAGGCATGGACATGATGGACTAAGGTTAGGCATATGATGTGTACCTGCGGATTATGTACGGTACCTTGCTTCCAACCTGTCAAAGTTGGATGGTAATGGTATGAGACGATGGGATGGATCACCTATCATAATGTCGAATGACAACCCAGCCGTATCCGTGGCTCCATTCCAACGGACGTGGATAATCTCAATTGTCCAGCCCATGGACCATATTATCTGTTAGTCTAACAGAGGAGTCTGCCTACATAGTTACATACATACATCCTATGTACATGGCCAAGATTAGATGTTTGTCTGTCTCCTTTTAGCCATCACTGCCTCATTAGCTAACCACGTTTTTACAGATACGATAGATACAGGCACTAATTGCCTACCTACATACAATAGCACTATCTGTACACACCTACCTAGTCTAGGGGGGGCACTACCTAAGCTAGTCCTGGAGCTTGCCAATTCAAAGTTCGACCTGAGCAGTGCCTTAAACCCCTTTGCCCATATCCAGCTATATCCGGGGAGAGAGGGGGGATTAAAATAGAGTTATCCATCAATCAGCCCGCCGCGTAATTGCCTGTCGTCGTTCCGGGAGGCGATAACTCGGTTGTTTCGATGCCGCTCGACACGAAGGATGAAGCTAAGATGAGCCACATGATACTTTTCTTCCGCCTCTACCAAGATCCTTGCGGGTACCCTCTAGGGCTGCTTAGCACTTAGGTACCTAGTGTAGTCACGCAGACAGACATACATACATACATATGTACATACATGTGTTCAACGATAATCTGACGTGTAAAAGGAGACATAACACCTGAAGCCATAGTCATGAGAACAGAATAAGGACATCTAATTTGAACCGGTTTTGCGTTTCGTGGAGAAGACTCGATACCTGCCTACCTGTCTCCCTGCCCAAGAACATGTGCGACGTCTCTGTGGAAACACGGTATAGCTAATATAACACGGAAATATATCAGGGCCCCGCCAGGAATTATGGCCTATGCTTGTTAACCCACATCAATTTTAAGCAGGTAGGAGGAATTATTAATAGTTCTTCACAACTCATTTGAAGACAGCCATGGGTGGCATCGAGATGCCACCCATAAACACATCCAAATTCATTGGGCATCATGTCCGCCAGCGAAGAGCGTCTTCGCTGCCATGCGTCCTGAACGTGTCTTTTGTGATGGACATGCCATATAGGTACTTAGTAGAGAACCTGCATGCTCCAGCAGGGAAATCACTTCGAGTTCCACATTGGCCAGGTACGATGCGATGATTGTGATAGCTCACGGCAGACGCAGGGTGAATCTTGGGCCATCTCGGGACTATCTCTGGTAGGGCTATAGCGCTAATGATACTCCACGGCAATACAATATGGGATGGAGGTATACCTAGGTAGGGTCATCTTAATAACTCTTATTATGCCAAGGAAAGGTCCCAGGAGAGGAGCGTTTGAGCTGTCTTGATTAGGATCGCGAGCTGGAAAGAGCAAACTCGTAACGGCAGCTAAGTCTTGTCGACCGACTAACGACGGCATAGTTGACCAAGACAAGAGACACGCGTAGCATCAGGATCTCCATATCCCCATATCCCCATAGAAAACTAGGAAAGGGGGTATCGTGCATTCGGCCCGGACTTCTCAGGTGCAGTTCGGTCGGGGTCTGTTACGGAGTGGTCCCGGACGGTCGATCCCCTCCGGTCGGCAGCTTCCTGTGCCTTGACAGGTCGGTCTGATATTGTGTGTCAACACGATATTCAATACCATGTCGCCGAGGCCGGAAGAGGGCCACAACAGGCGATGCCGATTGATGGAGCCGATGAATATGGGACCTCAGCTCCCCGCTCTCGGAGGCCGATCCGGCGGCGGCGGTGGACGCGCTGTATAAGATAGCCACTTCGATCCATTCTTGCTCGCTTGTTATCATGTTCTTTTCGCATTTGGTACGGATGGCCCCGGTGGAAAATAGGCCCCATCTTGACATCTTCCTCCACTTGCTACGACCGTGCCTCCTCAATGGGTACCTAGGCTCCTAGGCAACAATGAAGCCCGTACGTAGTCATGGGTAAGAATGTTAGCTGCTGGTCACACTAATGAACGGTATTGCCGGCCCTAATAACGGAGCCGTTACGATCTGATCGAAGAGTCAGTTCGGAAAAATAGTTTCTATTACTGGCTTAAAAATAACGTATTCTCCTTGTCCCATCCTAAAAGTTCAGAGCATTGAGGCGAGGCATGTTTCGAAATTATGTATCACAAGGTGGCTCAAGCAAGACGCTGTAAATATGGTATGCGTGCTTCGTAGGCGTATTGTATAGATCACAAAGGG